GATGACCTTACAAATGGGGATGTCCATACTGGAAAGACGAGTGCGTGCAGCAGTTTTTCTCAGTGAAGGATTTAGGACAAAATGTATGGAAGGCGTACAGGCCAGAAAGTACGCCACCATAGGTAAGCTTTCCAGAATAAATTGAAGCAGGTCAGGGAGATGTCAAATTCTTGCAGGTATGTCTTACTATCACATATAGCAGAAGTAAGCGCTTTGATGGCCCGTTCTAAAAAGATGAAGTCAATTTAAGACGGGAAACCACGATGAGAATCCTGAGAGTTCCAACTCACCCATACAAGCTCTACCTTATCCGATGCGGAGGTATTAGGCCACAATATAAAGAATGTATTCTCATTGCTGAGTGCTGAAGCGCTGAAGACTTGCCTCTTCATCTAGATTTAATACTATAAAAACTCAAATTGTGAGTTCCGAGTCTCAAATTAATCCGAGATTATGATGCTTACGGAATCTGTAGACGGATAAGCATCCCATAGCAGCTACAGTGCGAGAACATATAAGTTCTAGGATATAACACCTCAGTGATTGTCCCAAAACTCACTCCACGCATAGTTTTGTACTTTGAGAAGCCAGAAGAGCGAAGTGTATGAAGAGTCCATCGCGTTTACCAACCTGCTCATTATACCTAGACTTTATATGTGTCTCGGACATCTACGGTACTGGTTTACTTTGCCGTCCGCTGCTGTGAACATTGTTGCTGTATGTTGATGATGGATATAAGTAACTTCATCCGATCATCACGACTCGGAAGCTTCGACCAGCGGGACAATACTTCAAACGCTCCTGTGAATCTGTATCTTGATGATCGTTCTATCTTGATCTATTCTAAAATCTGAAACAAAAGTCAAACGCTTAGTAAGAGCAGGAATTATTTGAAGATATGCGTTCCAAGAATACCTATGAAATAAGGTGCAGCATTATTTAATTCCTCCCCCTTAAGTAGCGTGCAGATTGTGAATTTTAGCCAAGAATGAATTAGCATGCCACTCTGACCGTTCATTAGACTTTATAGGGCTGTCAAGGTCAACATGAAGGGCCTCGCAGAGAAGTTTGAGTAAATAAAATAAACAAGTTCGACCACTGCTGGTCGCGAGAGGCATGCACCTTCGACAGTACCGCCCACACGCTACGGTCGATGCGTGGCGTCTGCCCATCATGCATCATGTTGGTACATAATTATAGGTCTTGAAATACCGAAGAGTCAAGTACGTAGAACAGCATTCAGCTCCTTCTCGTCGAGACTTAGCACCAGAGATTCCCGTGAACCATTCTTCTTGAGAGATCTTTTGCTTAATAGCAATGTTCTAAAGATAATTAAGTTACTGAGAAGGCGATGCGATATAAAGTTATATTGCATATACTCCCGAGCCTGGAGAGCGAGGAGAGGATTATGTCATACACGGCAAGAATGGCTGCACGTATCGCCAATATGTTTTTACGTGAACGCGTTATCTCTAAGATTCCACACACCTTTATGAAAATTACCATTACCTAATATCTTCTTTGCTTATGTTGCCTATGCAGATTTATATCAGGATCTCGTAAGCATGAATAGACCTCTTGATCTCCATGATCCTGTTTCAAGATGTTCATCGCTCACTAAAACATCAAGATGCCATGATATCTGGATTCTCACAGACGTACAGGCACTAAGAGTCTCAGTTGTGGGTATGTAGCCATTACAAGCCAAGAAGGTGCGTTTGTCTAATATACGTCATCCAAGTTTAGTACGGCATTCTCAGATAATCATTGCTTGAGCCATAACGACCGCAAAATCACGCTCAGATGAGCAAACCCCAGATGCTTCTGAGTTGCGGGGCTAAAGGTAGCCAAAAGATTCTGTGCACAGCATATTTCTTCTGGATAAACGTCCTCCGGTGGGAAAGATCAAATGTTCAGACTAGCGGCAAATAGATTACTCCAAAGTTAGCTTGACAATGAGCTGCGTATCACCGGAAAACAACACGAGCCTCTACTGAAACCAGCCCCCCTAACGTCGTCGTTCTATTTCTCACTCACCCCATGTGATCAAGACACGCACGGATTCTACTCAGTTCCAATGAATCCAATCTGAGCTATTCTCGAGTCTGGATACCTGACTTTTCTTGGTGGACGATTCTAGAGCGCTCACTCTTGGTGGAAGCGCTAACAACAACCAGATACGCATCCAGACACCTAGTACTGCCATATGTCTGAACAGTGATGCTCAGCAAGTTTTTCAGCGTTATGTAGAGCAGTACTGTAGATTTTGATGGTGAAGTGTGACCGGTGATCGCTATTCCGCGGTGGCACTTGAGTGCTCTGGAATAAACTGCGAAAACCTTCTCAATTAGGAAAATCTTACAGGCGTACTACCCAAGTGGGCGGGGCCTTGTTGTTCGATCAATTACCATCGGACTAATAAGGTGCTTAGTCTGTCTAGGAAAGATTAGAGCGGGGCCCCGTCAAAGTTCTACGCAGAGTTGTGGCGAGCCGGTTGGGCTGTCCCCGAACCCAATCCGCCGCGGCGCCCGTAGCCAGTTGACCACCTCGAGAACAGCAAATCCGTCCGCCGAGATGATCCAACAACATCCCTGGCCTCATACCACCCATGGAGATAGGGAGGTATGCTGGTAAACGTACATACCTAGCTAGTCCGGGCATATATGTCCGGATGCCTCAAGGCATCCTCCCTAGCTTCGAAAGAGGTCCAAAGCTTCCCATAAGCCTTGCGATACAGGTGGACATGCAAAAGATCACATTGGAGTTCAACATATCCGGAGTCCCAACAGGAGTCGTTCGTAAGGATGGGCAGGTCATTTACCACCCATGGGGAAAGAGGATAGAGGGCGATGATGAGGTAGTATCCGATGTACGTATGTTGTATTTTGATGTTATCTCTTTTCTCCTATTTTCCCGCGTCGGCACTTGCAAGTTTTCAAGCGCAATTCCTCAGTCTATTTGAGGCTTTTGTAAGGTTGTCATCACGGTCATATGTTCCGCTCGTTCGGCGGGATTCATACACTTCTCCGCAACTATCCGCGGCTGCGTCGGTGAAAGTCGCGGATCGTGTCACCGCAGAACTATCCGGAGAGTTTCTTCGACTCCTCCGTGTATCACGTCGCCTCCCTTGCGGAGAGTTCCTTCGACTCCTCCGCGTGTCGTGCCGCCGCCTCCCTTTTCCTCGACTTCTCCGTGAATCGTTCCGCCTATTCCCTTGCGTATTCTTTGGGGAAGGAATGAGCATGATACTCTCAACAAGGAACGAGATGACGCACTGTATCTGTCTCCGTACAGGAAGTATCTCATGTGATCTTCATCTTGATCCGACATGCCGGGAGTATGTAGCGAAAGTGACGGAGCTCGGAGATACCGGTGCCAGCCTCGTTTGATATGCCCTAGTAAATGAGAGCGAACGCACGATTGGACATTACAGTCGACGCCGTCGTTGCCGACGGGGAGCTCAGGGCACGCCCAGGCGGACGTCTGGCTGTGACTGCCGCCTGTGAAGACCTTGTGCTTTGTTACCTCCCGATACGCGGTGAAATACGTGTTGCAGAAGCTGCAAGAGCGCTTTGAGACGCCGATGTAAGGTATCGCCTGAATACCGTGAGTTTCTGTGAGCAGCTTGCACTCGCAGTGAATCGGCGCTGAGCTCGTATGGTCTAAATTGGGTAAGACAAACGCAATGAAGAAATGAAGCAATATATGAACAAGGTAGATGATACGCACCAAACTTGCCATCAACTACCTCAACCCCAAGATTCTTGGCGAGCATGACAATGAACCCCTCTACGGACTCTCCTTCAGATTCCTCAATACAACACCCGGCTTCTTTCAACACTTGCGTCATCTGTGAGTGTTCAACCGTATAGCGTTGGGTCTTCGAGGAGTCATCCTTGGGAGGCGTGTTATCGACACCTATGACGACTGGATTCTGTAGGACCATATCTGCGAGCGACTTAGACGTCACAATGTCGGCTAAACGTAAGTAATGGCTGCGAATCGCCGTCAACTTGTCCAACCAACGAAGGACGTTCAGCTCTTCTCGGACTGGTGTCCCCTGCGACTGCGATTCCATCAAATCTGAACAAAAAAACGCTTAGTTCATTAATCGCAAGTCTGAGCAGTATACTGGGACTCACTGCGTGTATACCGATTCCACGCGAAGAGGAACCTGCCTTTGTCCTGCAGCTTCGCTCTTGCCGCGTCCAGACACATGAGAAGGATGCGAACCCGTCTGACATCGCCAGGTGAGGACGGTTGGAGTGCCTCGGCAAGCATGTCTACATGTGTCGCCATAGTCGAAACCATATCCAAGTCAACTGTCTTTGATGTTTGGAGGTACTTTAGGAACGCAGACTGAGTGGAACCATCCGCGCGCTGCAGCGCACCGGGATAGCATATATCACGCGCGGTAGCGATGAAGTGGGTGTGCCGCGAGTTCTTCGTGACGCGTCGCCTGAGCTTCTCCCATGCGTGTCCGAGGATCGCCAGCTCCAGATCAAGGAGTCGCGCCTCAAAATTGTTCTGAAGGTCGTTGGAGATGTAGGGATGGACGACTGGTGGAGAGCTCCTATCAGTTGTTAGTGGCAGGTCCGGTCGATAGGCAGATATTGCGTAAGATAGTGGCGTCACTGTCGTTCTCACAGAAACGCCCCTGTGCGCTCGCAAGCGCTCGCAAGCGCTCCATCTCGTCACGCATTGTGCATTCTCCACTTCGATTTATCTTCAACGAAAGTAAAATACACATAAGATACGCTCGATGTGTGCAGGGGTGTGTAGGATGTACCGAGTATGCGCGCGTAGAAACAAAGACGCTCCTCTCTAGGAGAAAGCCAGCCTCAGGTGAGGGGGCGTGCGTGTGAATCGGGTAGAAAACGCTGTGAATGGGTGTTTGGATGGTGGATGGGATTGATACGGTATTGATAATGGTAATGGTAATGGAGGTAAAAAGTGATGTTGTCAATGAAGCAGCCCAGTACTACAAAAGAATATCGAAATTATGATATTAAAGGTATTCCGCCGGATGGTGTCTGTTTTAGCGCCATGCGGTTGAAGTCCGCAGCTGTGGATCGCAATGAGAAATTGTAACGAGTAAAAAGTGGACGAGCGACACTTACTCTGCGAGAAGACGGTGTTCCCCCACCAATTGAGACTAACGCCGCCATTGGGTAACTGCAAATCACATTAGCCTCACGAACCTAACGACCTTCATCAAGAAAGAAATACGCACTGCAAGAGTGAAAAAGATGACGATAACAGATAAAACGGTGCCGCTATCGAGGGCCGCACTCGTGATATAGTTGAACTTGCTCCACCACGCAAAATTGCGTTTCCGGATCAAGTATTGGAACACGAAGCCCACCGCAAACCACGCCGAGTAGTTGATACCCGCCGCAGGTGGGATATATGACGTGCCGTTGAGGATGACGGGCGTGCTCACGAACTTGACCCACGAGTTCGGGTACCGCCGCTGCCACAGCCAGAACGGAAGCGGGAGCAGCGCGCCGACGATGATCGCGTACAGCTCAGGATGGTACAGCGTATTGGGTCCAAATTGCCGTGTAGGTCCCATCAAACCCCTGATTGATAGGAACGTAGATCAAAGTCAGCAACGATCGCCAAGGGTCCGGTTGATGATCGGACAACGCACCAGATAGCAGAGGCTGTGAAGTACACCTGGTTGTGCGGGCACGTGAGGGAGCTCTCTTGCGTGGGCGAGCAGATATCTTTCACGTTCGCAAACATCCATTCCTTGACACCGACTTGAACGAACGAGGCGCAGAGGGTACCGACCATCTGGACCAAGAACGTGGCACGGGGAGGGACCTTGATATAATGACCGAGCTTCAAATCTTGGACGAATGACGACGCTTCTGAAAGAGTCTGCACGGAATACGCCTTGAAAATCTAATGTTCTGCTTTGAGAAACGTTGCAAGTAGCCAATAAATTACAAAACGCACCATGTTCGCGAGCGGATCACCCGACAACAAGACACCGGGAATAACCTGAGCCTGCAAGTTCAGCGTAATCTATAAAATATTTCTGAATTAGCATAATTCAGGCGTCACCACGAGAAAACCACATACCCCTTGTCCAGTCATCGCAAAAATGAAACCCGATGGCAGCACGTAGATAATAGGCAGCAGCACCGAAAGCAGCAGCGCCCACACGGGTACCGACGTATGCCAAACCTATATCAAGAAAACCCAGGTCAGCCATGACTAACGCCCCAGAAAACGAAGAAAAAAAACCCTACCTCAACAACCACAACCATAAGAAGGAAAAACCCAACGAGCACAATCGCATACCACCAGTCCGGCACCTCGGGGTAATTGCGCATCAGCTTCGCATGGATATCGTCCTGCTCGACCCGGATCCGCTTCGCCCCGTTGATGAGGCTCCGGCCGTGGTACAGCACCGTATGCACGAGCACGCACGTCGACAGCGCGAACGCGAGCAGATACGTCATCGCGTACGTCGCGGGCAAATAAAGCGGCGAGTACGCCAAGTACGCCGTCTCGTTGAACCGCAGGGACGAGTCGAGTACGCGCGTCACGTCGTATGGTTTTCCGAATCGATCGTACGGGTTGTTGTCGTTGATCGGGAAGTAGGCGAGGTCCCAGGTCTGGATAACGAACCTTATCAGAAAACACGAAAACGAAAAAGGGAGAGGGGAAACGCACGTTGGTGTAGTACATCAGAGGGGTGATGATCCAGAAGAACAGCACGAATCCGAAGAAGATGTGCGCCTCGGCCCACCAAGGGTACATCAATGGGCTGCCGATCCACGAGATCTGCGACCAATCAAAGGTGATAATGCTCATGCCCAGACCCGACTCGACGCCAAACAACTGGTTCACGGGGACGTTCTTGGGCACGATCCAGCAGACAAAGGAGAACACCGAGAGTGCTTGGAAGAGGTATCCTGATGATGACCCATCAGCAAGAAAACTCAACAGTTGCATAGGGATTGTCTCACCAGGAACGAAGTAGAAGAAGAAGGCACCAGCAAGAACCATCATGAAGTACCTATACCGCGTGATGCCTCCCGAGCTGTTATCGTCCTCGGCGTGGAGCGTGTTCAACAGCGTACACGTCACCAGATTCTGCGGCCACACCATCGACGCCGGCCAGACCAAGAACCGTCTGCACATGCCCGCGAGGCCAAATCCAGTCAACTGGGTGGCAACGACAAGTAGCACGCTGAACCAGTAATCGAGGTTTTTGATGCCATAATTGATTTGTGAGACCACGATCATGTTGAGCGCGTACGGCGGGCCAATGGCAACATTGGCCATGATGTACACGAGAACATGTTCCTTGATATTCCACGGGCCCGGGTTCAGCGAAAACTCGAATCCGCCAAGGAAGCGGGGTAGCCGATAGGTTGTTATGGGTAAGATGAAGGCGAGGAGTTTGCCAATCGGGTAGCAGACCAGAAGGAGGGCTAGTGGTGAGACGCTGGGCGCTGGTTGCCGGAAGTTGAAGAAAACATTCAAGGCACTAAACGTAATTTTAGCGCCTGGAGGCGTGACGACAAGAAAAAATGATATACCCTCCTAGCATGCAAAGCAGCAAGCCGATGAACCACATCCGTATCGTCATAGCTGGCATCTCCGGGTCGTCAATATTCGACACAGAGGCGCGAACTTCGGGGAACGGCGAATCCTCCTCGTTGACAGCGTCAAAATCGAATTCCATCCTGATAATTGACAAAACGTTTAGGGGATTTACCAGGGCAAAGGTAAGAGGAAACACATACTTGATGGAGCCCTCTCTGCTTTCAAGCATACTAGGTGACAAGTCCAACGTCTCGGTATCGCCGATAGACGACGACGGATGCCGTTTCCGGACCGACGTCTCGCCGACCATCTCCTCGCCCACAAAGGTATCGTCGCGCATCTTCTCCCGGTGGCTAGATGCGGGCAGACTGACATGAATCTCGCGCGAGCTGACAGTGCCAGCGCGAGACTGCCTTGTCTTGTCGGTAGTGTGGGTGAATGCCGTACTGAGTCTGCGCATGCGATACGGGTCATTCGGGTGATTATTGTGCCCTTGCTGGGAGGAAGTGGACGGGGGGCTCTCGACGGGGGGAGGTGGGTGGAAGGGGAGGGATAATGATTGGATGGGCCGGCTATGGAGCCCGTTGGGTAACGAGCGTGGGGGTCGAACGCCTGGGGAGGGTACGCGAGGGAGTCAGCCGTCTGGGGAACATCGCTCGGAATGTCGTTGTGGTGATGAGGGAACGCGTCCGGGGTTGTGGGAGGGAGGGAATGGGAGAAATCGGGGGTGAAGGAAGGCTCACAGTAGTCGTACTCGAGCTTGTGGGGCGCTGGTTGCTGGCCGTTCTGGGCCTGGTTATCGGCGGTGGTGGGAGGTAGGAAGGCAAAGAGATCTTCAGCGTCGCTTTCCTCTTCCTCTTCCTCCTCAAAGTACTGTTCGTCATTCTCGTACATGTACTGAGGCTCGTGGGCATGGGAGGTTGTGGGGCGACCGGTGTTGGGGCGGAAAGCGCTTGCAGTATACGGTCGGGAGCCGGCGGCTGAGGAGGTGGGGCGGGCCATGGTGTCCGGTGGTTGAGCGGGATAGTCGCTCAACGCTGTGGCCGGCGGGAGGGAGGAGTGAGTGGGAGGGGGGGAGGGGGCGACAGAGGGAGATGGCTGGGCGTCCGAGGGAAAGAGAGGGTCTATAGAAGGAGAACGAAAAGGACGGGTGGGAGAGCAAGCAGGGAATCACTCCTCAGCCAATCACACACTCCAGGCACATCACACACAGTGCCTGATCCATCATGAATTCCCCCTTTCCCGCTTTTATGTAATATTTATTCTCCCATATCTGGCAATTCTTCGGTCACTTCTCTTGCATCACCCCTCCGCCTTTCCGCTACCACCGCTGAAACTAACGCCTCTATCGGCGCTCGTCGCTCTCAACAGCGCACAACTTACGCGGGAGGCGCAGACACACGTCTCAAAACCCGCTTGAAAGTCCCCGCAAATACTGGGGTGCAGTCGAACGCCACTGGTCCAGTTTCCAAGTTCCATCCCGGTTGACGCACCGTGCCTGATCTCTGTTCCACCGAGCAAGCGTTGACGTCCATACCTCCCGTCATCAGGTCGTGCCTTTGTCCCTCCCCGTCGCCGATTCTGCATGGCGCTCTTGTATCAAAGCGACTGCACTTACGTATAGTCTACTGTAACTGTGTTAATCTAAGCTGAAGGTAACAAAGCGAAAATCAACCGACCGAATGTCCGCGGTAAACAGCTTCCGCCGTCGCCCTGCTGAGCTGGACGGTCTTGGACAGTGTCACCGCCGGCTGGCTCGGCCTCAGTGGTTGCTCATCCTCGTCGTCGAAACGATCGACAACAAGAAGCGAGCTCCTCCCGTGCTGTGAGACCCGTCAGTCTTCTGGCGAATCACCTCGGCCTGCCGAACGAACTTGCTCCCTCGACGTCGCAACGGCTCCGCGCGTCCTTCTCCATCTCTTCACATTCATCTACGGCGCCCCCTCTTCTCGTCACGTTTTCAAGGAACGCCCAGGGACGCTGTCCCTATCCTGCAGTCTGCTTTCCTGTTGCCAACAGCCAAGGCCAGCCAAGGCCCCAAGCAACGTTTCCGAGGGTGCTCATCCAAACTAGGCATCAGCCTCGCCCGACTTGCTTGAAGCTTGACCCCCCGGAGTCGCCGCCGAAAATCGAGACACCGCCGTACTTACGCCCAGCTCCGTACTCTCCTCCGCGGCCCTAGGGCCCTATGTCTTATCTCTCCGGCCGTCCCGCTTCCTGGGCGTCTACACCTAAACATATGCGCCTCGCCGATCGACGGACTATGGTTTGCACAGTCCAAAATATCCACTCTCGTTGATGCGGCATTATGCTCGTTTCACCGACGCGTATAGATATACTTACTAGCCAACGCTGTCGATCCCTGATTTGCAGCCACACACTATTATTCTTGGAGCCTCGGATCGCAGAACACGTTTCACGACGTCGACGATCATCGATCAACTTAGCTCCAAACACCTCGCCGGGAGCTGAGCTGAACGCGTTGGCGCACGGCGCAGTGCTCCACGTATGCTGCGACCCATGTACAAGTGTGGAAGTGTGGATGGGGGCGCGTTTCACGCACATCACCCGGACAGTGCCGCGGCGCACTCATAACTGACAGTTTACAGCGTCCGGGCGCGAAACACAGAACGTTCGGACACATCAAGAGCCTCGGTGGAAGCTTCCATCGATGTTCGCCTCGGTGCCAGTGTGACTAAAGATAGCCAGCTGGTGCCTGCAAATGTCCACGGAGCGCGAGTACACCAGTTCATCGTCTTGTTGCCTACGGGGTGTGGTATCCTGGGCCGTGCATGCGTGTTGCAAACGTGTCCGTCACTTTATCATGCGCGTCCTACCTCGAAGCTCGCGGCGCGTTGTAGGGCCCCGCAGAACTGCCTCAACCTCCACAGTCATGAATCCTACTTTTATACCGGAATGCAGTGGGCAACGCGATGCCCGCCGGCGAGTCGTTCCAGGGTAAGCATCCCAATTCCTGGCGTTTCAACTTCCAACGTCCAACATATAAACCTTCAACCTTCACAGTCATGAAGCCTGCCTGCTTTTGAGGTCATGATGATACTGCAACGCGACGCCCGCCGCTTGAGCCTTGTGCGGTTATCGTAAGTTCATTTCCTTGCACCAAGAATAGCCCATGCTTATCGCGGGGATCGCCGCAGAGCACCTTTTCCGCCCAGAGACGCTCGGCCGAACACTGTCCGTAATCTCAAAACGCGCTGGGTCGTTTTTGGGGGGCTTGCAACAGTCTACCGAGCCAATGAATGAATACTTTCATCCATCTAAGACTAGTGTTGCCGCGGTTCGAGAAACCAGCTGAAGTCGACTCCTCGAAACACCCTTTCTAGCCACAATACCGACCAACGAGGTGTTAATCTTCGCGGTTTTTAGCCTCTACAGCGACGAGGTATGTTATCTGAACTGATAATGAGTGCAAGTCCAAGTTTCATCGGCTTGGTTCCAGCCAGTTCGCCAAATGTGGCAACACTATCTAAGAGAGGCTATGGTCCCAATTTTCCTAGGGTTCCATCAGGCGACGCGTTCGACATCGATACCCTTGCCATGCGCATGCCGTGCGCCATGCTCTGGGGCTCCGGTAATAAAGCAAAGAAGGGTCCGGACGTTTCAAACTTTGAAGGCTCCATACTGGTAAGCTCAGTAAGTCGGTGCCTGGACATCCTGTCGACCTTGTTATCCATCCGCAGTCGCCCCGCCTCGCTGACCCTACACACCACTCTCACGCAGGGACAGCGGTCTCAGCGATGCACTATGTATACCGTATCGTATTAATATCGCGCTCGGCCCGGCCTCCCTCCGTGCGTGCCCCGATGTCATGTTCCTGGCCTGTTGGTCTGGTCGCTGACCATGATCAAACTCTGATGACCGGAACAGAGGCAGGGGAGACTGTAGCAGTCCTCGGCTGGTTGATCCGGTAAGCCTGCACTCCGTTTTGCGTGAAGCTGTCAGGTCGGACTGAAACCAGGCACGGTGTGCGCATTATCTCTCCCAGCTGATCCTGTGATCATAACATGCAGTGCGCAGTTATCAATTGCACTTGTTTCAAGATAGTGCGGGATGCACTGTATCACGCACCCAACAATGTCTGCAGACCCGTGCTTCTTCATCTCATTGTTGGGCCTCATGTCTGGGATCAGCTGTGCTCTAAGATCAGGTGCGCCCTCATTTACCTTTCCGTATCCAATCCGACCTGACATCTAACGCGAGGCAGAGCCGGAAGCCGTTTGGAACATTTGAAGGTTGTATCACGTTCGGAACCGCTCATTATAGGGTAATGGGCTGCACGCCGAAGCCAGACGCTCCGTTATCGCAGAAGCTCTGTGTGACGTGCACCGCGACTGAGGACCGACGCGGTACTAGGTACGGGTCAGTGTTCGCCTACTGTACCAGACATAGTACCTCTGCTTCTTCCTAGTCGCTGATGCGTGTACTGCACTCATCAAAGATCATTACGGCACCCGCCACTGCCTCCCCTTGGGTCTGGCGCTCGATACCACGCGCCAAGGACGGCTGGGATAGGTAGGTCCCACGCAAAATCGCCTGTGCCTGCTGTCGTAAAGAAGCACTGCTACTCGTGCAATTGAACGATGGGCACATCCGTAGTGCTCGGGTGGCTCAGGCTAGACATCTAAGTGGCCCCCACGTAATTGCATACTGCGCTTGGGACAATGTCCTTGCTGTTCTGTGATGTTTTTGGGTAACTGCTCTGCCCACCTCTCCAGTCATCAGCGAAAAGATTGCATACTGCCAATTCTACCCTGCCCTCCTAATCTGCATAATAAGCGCACGGATCAGTGGTCAAGTGAGCAAGTATCGGTGATGTCTTCATGCAGTGGTCGCTTATTCCTGGCAGTGCCTGAGACGTTCCTTTCCCCTTGTCCAAAAACGCGATCACTACTGTGTACTATAAGCGTGCGGCTATTTGAATCTTTTTTCGTCTACGTATCAAAAATATCCATCCAATCAGTGGTCTATCACCATATCCCTACCAAACGCAGCCCTCGCGGATGCATACAGTATATTTGTCTCTTACCCACAACAGCTCTGTTAAAGGGCCCGGCGTTGCCCGGCCACACGGCGGTACACGCACAAGCCGGCGTCGGCCATCCCCGCTCCGGCCGAGCCACAGAAACTAAAATGAATTCGGAGATAGCGCATCACGCGCACGCGTGCGTGGCGTGCCTCGTCGGCGCGCACACCGCCATGATCTCTGAGCAACATGACAGCTCGCCGCCGGCTCAACGTGAGCCAGGCCGTTCTTGGCGTTCTGAGTCCGGTTTCTTGCAGATGCCGGAGCATGCCTGTCAACTCTGGACTCAGACCACGACCGCGACCGCGACGCTTCCGAGCTGAGGTCAAGATGCAGAAAGCCGAATATGGGCTGAAGAAGTTGAAGCATCCTCTTAGAGTCGCGTTATGTGGTATTGCAGCGTTCGGATAAGAGCCAGCAACCCTTCTGATGTTATGCCTCGGAGGTATCCGATGGCAGGTACTAAAAGTAGTTTGTAGGCTCTACGCCCAGGGTCAAAGATCGCTCAAGTCCTTAATGATCGTCACCACCGCCTAAGTCACGGCAACTCAACCAGACACCTTCCAACGGATGCATTTTACATGGGCGGAGCATGATTTCTCAAAAGACTAGTGCAAATTACACCTTGTGTCAAAAACGCTAACGTCTTGCTCCGACTGAGGTTACAATGATTTTCACAGTTCGACATGTACACTATTTCGCATTATCTGCCCTCAGCTTCGGGGATATATATCGCAGGCGTGTTTGTGGTCCTACAGGTGAGCGGGCGCTACATCTATCGCGCTCCATATCTATATAGACCTGGATTCATAAGCAAATCATACACTACCCGTCTGTGGCCGCCCATTTGCACGCTTGCTACTCGGTTTGTTGGAAGGCGTACGTGAGTACGACAGCTACAGCCCGGCGAGGCATGTTGCATCTTGGCCTGATAAGTAACCGCAGAGAGGCGAGCCCACTTGTTTATGCCAGTATACCAGCCACTTCAAGTCGCAGACCTCTCCTTATTTCCACCATTCCATTCTTCATTTTAGAACCACAGAGCTAACGAAGAACCTCTGTGTTTGGTAGACATGACATGTGCGCCTCCGACTCGCACTGTCGCCCACGTTGTACCCATGCCACCCCACGTGGTGCTTGGGTGCCCTGAACTCTCATTTTACTATTGGCTGAATATCTTCTGACACGTGGTCCAACAAGCCAATGGCAAAACTTGTGGCCTCAAGGGCGCAACAACTTATCTAGAGCCTCGATCCTTATAATTCTTGCTTTCCGGCTCCGTCAGTTCAGGTGAACGTTGTCAGCTGAATTGATGTGCAGATGTAGTCCGGGGGCTCCATGACCGAGTGGTACGCCTGCTCAGTCATACATCACACGCACTCGCATCTATCCGTTATCAAAGTGAGGTGCTTTGTCTGATTATCGTTAGATTCATGTCCGTTTGTGTCGCCCCATTGACGTGCCACATGCTTAGGAACGTCTTTTCTACTACTGCATAGGTCAAGTTCTTTGACTCTACCTTAAGTTTGGGCGTATCCAAAGAGCGGTGTTAGCTTGCGCATGTTCTTTCAGACTCCTACTCTAATTACCGCCATTGGCTATGATCTCTCACCGATCGGATTTACGATCCAACGTGAGGCAACGTTGCGCAGTATACTTCACAAGTGGGAATGTAGACACAGGGTAAGCTCCGGCTCGTCACAAAGTGCTCATTCAACCAGAAAAGTTTGATAGTAGCGTATCGTAAGGAAGAGGCTCAGCTTCGGTACCAGTTGACGTATGATGAATGATTCAGGAGCTGATCAATCATTGGACAGTCTCCATTGAATGGTGCTAAACGAGCCTAGTATAGCAATTATAACACGTTCTGATGAGGTCCACAAGGGAGATAGCGGCATCCCCACAAGCCGAAAGTGTGGTAGCGTTGAGCATGCTAATCTATAAGCCTAAAATAAAGTTGCTTTCACGTTACGGCACAGATGTAAGGGGAGAAATGGAAGACGCTCACGACAACACCCATGTGTGTACATATGGTCACGATTCTGTGCTGGCTTTGATGGCGATTGAAGGTTGAGGGTAAGAATCTGCTAGCTCCTCCCTGGTACGTACGTATATGACTGTGAGTGAATAATCTGGTTAAGCAAGTAACTGCCATTCCCTTTATTTGTATGTAGATCGAGATTGAAACAAAAGTTAACATGTAGATGAACACAGCGTCTGACGCCGCAAGACGCATGTCTTCACTCGAGCCTATGACTGGTTTTGCATTACCTGAGCAACATCGTTCGCTCTTGCCGCCACTTCGACTTTCTAGCTTCCTCCGGTCGTTCCCCCAGGCCCTATCAGCGAAAAAGAAAAAGCGAAAAACTCCGAGACGAGCCAGACTCAGCTGATAGCAAGCGCTTCTTGACGGAGAAATATTGGTCCAAACCCCTGGTGGGACCTTGCTTATACACAAGATCTTGGTGCACTTATCGGCTTTAAATTTAGATTCTTCGTCCCTTACGATTGAAGAAATTCGCGTCAAACCCAGAGGATGTCCGTATCGTCAGCGGCCATAACCGTGCGACTGCAAATACCGCATTAATATGGCCTTGGAGATTTGGGTACAGGAAGGTAGGATCCGCTCAAGCACCAGGCGCCGTCTCTTCCATTCTCAACATATTACTTATCTATGTATCGTTTGAATGTTCAAGCTTGGTAGCCGACTATCGCATTGCAGTGCTCGCAATCATGCCTAAGCAAGGGATATAAATGCGTCAGAATGTGGAAGCCACATTTGAAAGCTGTCTGGACCAATTGACCCCGCAAATTACATCCTCCACCGTTAGAAGCGGTGGTCAGGAGATGCCGGGAAATATGGAGCGATCCGCTACCCCCGATGCTAAGGCAGTCTCGACTCCTTCGTTCTTCTTTACGCCGTCTAGTATAAGCAACAAAACTACCCTCGATCGTTCTCGCGCAGTACTGACACGCACCTAGAAAGGCTCCCTGTCTGGCCTGCTGACGACGCGATGCAGAGATGCAATGCGCTAGATTTTCCGGATCTGGTATGTGGGCTCCGAGTTCATATCTCATCACATCCTCACCGTGCACTCTATGCATGTTCCGTGTGTGGGGTGATAATACCCGCGAGCGGAATACGTTTCCCCCGCATGCGATGGAAGCGACCGAGGGCTGGAACTCCGCTTTGCGAGCCATCAGGAAGAGTACACTCCGCTTTTCCGACTTAGCCGAGATGAACATCGTTGGTTAGAACTGTCACTTACCGAATGAAATCCATTGCCTTTTTTCAATTGATAAACGCGACCTTGGCACCAACCAGTCGATACCAATCAGTCAGGCTAGTCTGCCACATGATAGATATCGCAGCCTAGAGGTCATCGACAATGATGCGGTCCGCATAGTCTGCGCAATCAAATAGTCACAAAGGCTGGAGAAGCAGGTTCATATTGGCTGAGTTGCTGAGTTGGAAAAGCACACGGAAGCGGCGTGCACTTCGCTTGTCAGCCATTTGGGGAGAACATTAGCTTCCTACTAGTTCCGGTGCGACATGTCAACGAAGCGACCTAGAAGTTCTCGTCTATTTCCTCGATCAAGCGCACCTCCGTGTTATTGAATTCGTTTATCGGGCTGATAGCAAGAAAAGGAGGAAGTCTGGTGCGCTTTCCAGGTGCGTGTTACGTGTTTCCGAGGACCATTCGTTGTTTTGCAAATTCTGCCATGGAGCAAGGGGAAGCGATACATGACATGTGCGCCTGCGGTAAGTGTGAGGCTCATTAATTCCTGGTGGTATTTCAAAGCCTGCACGCTCGGAATTTTTGACGGTAAAAGTTGTCGTAATCAAGGGAACCAGATTGGCGGAGACTACTCGAATGATCGACGACCGACCATGAAATCGGAGATCTTGTGTTAATGTCTTGCAGTGGTGCCGCTGCGTTTCTTCGACCATGAGTGACTCTAAACAATTATTTAAGCCTGAGCGAGCGAGACGTTCTTCAGCCCCGCAGAACTCGTTGGAATTTGATTGTGCGGTGCACAACGTCCTATGAAAAACCTTAACATGTGCAAGGTTCGTTTGTCGATTTTTTCTCTTTATTTTGATAAAACATTAACTCACGAATCTTCTCTACGCAGGAGACCATGCCAGCATATACTCCTCCTAGCTCTACTGTGTCCAGCCTCTCAGAGCAGTCTTTCGAGAGCTCGGTTCAGGAGCTTCCGACGGAGATCTTGTGCAGCATCTTTGCATATGCACTCCCTTCAATTGAGTGGGCGCCGGACGCTCACGGTTCTCCTCCTAGACACGACGAAATCAGCCATAGGGTACAGGTAGCAATTGTTATATCTCACGTATCCAGCCGTTGGCGTGATGTTGCTCTGGATACGCCATGGCTCTGGAACATGACGCGAGTCAACTGGTCACCTTTCTCCCTTGGTCACGTCGACAGCCACCTGAGTCTCACCAAGGAGCTGCTTGCTCGTTCTCGGGATCATCCCACCCGCTTGTCGCTGTACGTTGCGGAGAAATACGCTTCGAACTTCGCAGAGGACTGTGCGCGCGGATTCCTATCTGATCCCTATCTGCGCCAGTCGTGTCGCGTCCTTGACGTCGCCACCGACGAAGAGCAGCTCGACGCGCTCGACGTCAACACGCTCCTGCGCGTGCTCGCCGACTTCCCGCGCCTCGCGCACCTCACCCTGCCCAACGCAAACGCGCACCTCAGCGACCTGCTCATCCCGTCGCGCGAGCCCGCCAAGCGCGCGACACTCGGCAACCTCCGCCGGCTGCAGATCTCGATCGGGAACCCCGCGGACGCGGACGCGCTCTTCGACTCGGACCTCGTCTGGGCGCGCCTCGAGACGCTCGTGGTCACGTACACCGCGGCGTGGCCGTACGCGAGCCCCGACACGCTCGCGCGCTGTTTCCCGCGCCTCCAAGAGCTGTTCGTCGCCGTCGAGGGGCTTGACATGGAGCCGCCGTCGCCGTCGGTGCTCCCGCGCGTGCACCCGACGCTGCGTGTGCTCGGGCTCACGACCGACCACTGGAGGAGCGACACGTCGCTAGAGGACGGGAGCGGAGACAGTACGTTCCTGCGGGGCATCACCGTTCCCAGCCTCGAGTCGCTCTTGGTCCCGATCCGGTGCAGGAGCGAGCTGGAGGTGGTCGCTCGCCTTCTAGACCGCTCTGAGTGTCATTTGGATGCGGTCAGGCTCACCGTGGTGGTGTACTGCGAATGGACAGTCACGAAAGAGGAGGTAGAAGAGATGCTGCCAGGTGTACGCGTCTTTGAAGAGGAATCACTGTTTGGCTCTGCAGAGTTCAGACAGTGCAAGGGGAAATGGTACGCTTTGAACTGACGATTGTAAGTGACATGTCGGCAGGGATGTACGCTGATTGCTGTACAATTGAGTTATTTATGTCTGGAAATTTAGTGAGGACTCACTTGTGTACATACAATATTTGCTGCGTAATCGGTTTATTTATTGGTTCCAATAATTTATTAATTTATTGCCTTTTGGGGCTTTCACCTACGGAAGGATTCATCTTGCGTACTTGACCAACCAGCGAGAAAGGGCTCTGGATGATCTACTAATAGTCGCACCGGATATGACTCGTATTTGACAAGCCTACGAACGCAACCGTGTCAGAACTAAGAGGAGGCGCGTAGAAAACCTTCTGAGCAGTTCGTGATGTAGCGAGTTCATCTCCCCTGCTTGCTGCGGGTGCGCTCGGGGGAAGAGAAGAAACCTGTGCAACGACAGCAGAGCTCCCGAAAAAAGTCTGAATCTAAGTCGGACGAGCGGTGAGGCGCGCAGGAGGGCTGGCAAAAGGACAAAGTATCAGTTAATGCAGCAACGACACACACAGCAACTCGAACAAACAACATCCATTGCAGCAAATTAGGCAAACCAGGCGTCGACATCGACCAAGCCTCGCCATCGGTAGGCGTGGCGCGGTTGCGTGACCTGGTAGTTCGACGGAAAGAACGCAGAGAGCCCTGTGTGCAATGGGAAATGATAATCCAAAGCGCCTTATTGATGGGATGCGCAGCGAGCGAAGCCTCTGGCTGAGCATGTGTCAAGGGCTGCTCGGAGACTACTCTGAGAAATTTCTCCTCGTGTAGTTGATCAACCGAGGAGAAAAAGCCTCTAGCTATTCTAGCAGCACCTGGATATGGCTCGTATTTGACGAGCCCACAAACACAACTGTGTCATAAATGAGAGTAGTAGACGCGTCAAAAACCGTATTGATCAACTCACACCGCAGTTACCTCGCCTACCCCGCGACCTCGGAGGAACAGAAAACAGAATGCATCCGTTCGAAGCAAGGTAGGACCCGCGGAATCCTCGAACCACAAAGGGGAGTCCAAGGACTCTGCAGGCGGGCCGCCGGAGGCGAGATGCGCGGGAGGGCTGAGCTGGGCAGCGCAGAGGCGCACCTCCGCTCTGGGGAACGAAACCAAGCGCCGACATACGCCGATCAAATGCCGCACGCTACAGCCGGCGCGGTTGCGAGCCCTGGGACTTCGTAAGAAGGAACCGTGACAAAAAAAAACTCTACGTCATGATACCAAACGGTAGAGTTGACGCGGCTCGAAAACCCAGCCCAAACCGAATCCTTGAAATACCCTTTCGTGCCACAGCACCGACCACCTAAATGTGAACCTTCGCGCTTTTTAGCCTCTACACAGCGACAAGGTGTGTTATCTGGACGTATGAGAAGAGCAAGTACACGCTCTTTCGGCCCGGTTCCACCTGGTTCGCCAAATGCAGCAACGCGACCAAACGTTGTTCAATACCGCACAGTTGGCTGTCTGAGGGGAGAGCGCCTGGAGTGGCGGGTGGGGTTCGTCAATATATATTGAGCTTCAAGACTGAGCGGACGGTGACAGTGCTTGGGGGGATAACTAGGGATAACTTACACCGCTCGGACGTCTGGCCCGAGCGTCATGCATATGCCGGCAGTGACGAGCGTGTGCGTCATCGCGCAAGGTAACGAAGAGACGCGCGTCTTGCAATTAATGTGTCGGCGAAGACCGGATAAACACAAGCGCTAAAATACCTCGTCTCGCCCATGAGCCCACACGGTCCGTCTGAGAGGGACTGGGGTGGTGAGGACGACGAGATAAGTGAGTCAAGGAGAGCAGTACTTTGGAGGCGGAGTAACAGTAAAAGATGTCTGGCCTGTGGCCGGCGCCAGCGTCATCGCGCAGGGTAAGGAAAAGAGACGCCCCTAGTTACACACTGCGCGCCGGCTAAGACCGAGCAACTGCATACACCCAGCCGAGACTACAGTAGGCGCGGACCCAGGTGCTACCGCAGAAACAATAATCATAGACGCGCGGCGGTAATCCAGCTCTTTCCCTAGTGCCTTTTCACAGTTCCACCAGCGTAAACTGTGAGAGAATCGCCATGCATGCGAAAGAGAACCCATATGTGCAGACGAAGAACCCATTGAAAGAACAACCTCAACAAACTCAACAAACAGTCTAAAGCCATAAGTAAAATGACCGGTAATGTACAAGCCAGACCAGGCCACAACAAGAAAACCACGCAGCGCCTCCTGGGTATTGGATATCCACCCCCGAGAATGCTCAACGGCAAACGACAGCCCAAGAACACGGAAGGATCCAGACGAGACGGAAGACGAGACGGAAAGGACGGAGAGACGGCACGGTACAGCGGAGGTATCCAAGGTAAGTATCGGCGGGCCTGGTCACGGAATAAAGGGAAACTGTATCTGTATCTGTATCTGCGTGCTGTCCAAGATATATAAGAGAAGTGTGATATGCAAGAGCATGCGTATAGGCGGGATGGGGGGCGTAAAGTATGCGTTTGTGGGGTTTGCGTGGGCAGGTGGGTGTAAGGCTCATAGTGGGATGCAGCGTAAAGTCCATCCAGGTTCGCGTCGAGAAGGCGGACATGGGTATATGCGTACAAGCAACGTGAGGGCCGGGTAGGGTCGGAGTGGTCGGCTGAGGGTTGAGGGAGAGCGAGAAGAGGGAAAGGCGTAGGAGCAGGCGAAGACGGGGACAGGCGGATTGGCACGGTATCGTCGGGGATGAGGACGACATCACGACACCTGCGCTCACTCCGACTTCTTCCTCCGCAGCTTCATCGCCTCCTTCGCGCGGTCCATCCACCCGTTCCCGCCCTCCCCAGGCTGCTGATCCGGATGCAGCATCGGCACACCCACCGTCGCCGCCCTCGGCCGCTTGCTCACCAGCTTATTCCCGCCCGCGCGCGAAATCGACCCCATCGCATGATGATGTCCTCCATGCGAATGCACATCCGCCCGTGAGCTCGACCGGCTCCCAGGCGGCATCGTCGACCCGTCGCCCGCGTACGCCGCGCTCGCGACACCCTGCATGCCAGGCGCGAGCGCGATCCCGTGCTCCTCCGCGTGCGCGTCGCCCGTCTTCTCCTCGATGCACACGCCGATCACGAGTCCCCCGCCGCCTGCGCCGCTGCCGCCTGCGGCGACGCAGCCAAAGTCCGCGCCAAGCGGGCTCCCGAGCACGCCAGAGGACGCGGCGCGTGAGAGGCGCTTGGGGAGAAGCGAGCTGACGCCTTTGCCGCGTGAGAGGGAGAAGGAGGGGAGCGGGGAGAAGGAGATGGACGGGCGGGGCGCGATGCGTTCGACTTGGGTCGTCTGGTGCGTGTCTTCGAAGTGCCGCGCGTCGTTGGACGAGTTCGAGGCAGTGCTGACGAGGGAGTCGAAGGATTTGGGCTGGGAGGGAAGTCAGGGTAAGCGCGGGGCAGAGAACGGAGCGCGATGTGAGACACGCACATGTGCGAGGGTGTGGTAGTACTGCGAGCGGCGGGCTGCGCTCGCCAGGGGCGTCGTTGCCGTGCCATCTGGACTGGCTGAGCCGTCTGTCTGTTCTGGGGGCTGTTGCGTGGGAGTGTCAGCACTCGCTGCGCTGCGCAGGTAGTGAGAAGGAACGTTACCTCGCCGAAACGGGTGACGGAGATGGATCCGGCGCGTCTTTGGCGGGTTCCTACGACAGAGGAGCGGCCTCCAGCTTCTTCAAGTGCTTCGCGTTCTTCCTCTAGACGGGCACGCTGCTCGAGCTCTTCCTCTATGCGCTTGAATTTCTGGCGAAGAAAAAAAAAGAGCTAAGCGAGGGGTGCGATGGGCGGACAAGGCGCGTAGTTTACCTCTTCAAGGGGCTGGAGAGACTCTAGTGATGATAACATGTTGAAAGGTGGCAAACTGAGAATGGGTGATATGAACGGAGATGAGAGGGGGTGTAGTGGTAGTGGATATGGGAGAGATTGAGTCGGGGCGGGTGAAGAGGAGGGGGAGGGCGTGAGAGAGGGAGGAGTATGTGCGACGGAGCGCTGGAACGGCGTTTATAAATGGGAGCCGGTCGTTCTGTGGGTGCGCGCTTATGAGCATCGCGATCACTTGCGAGGCCGTCACTTACCGTTTATCCGTTAGAGAGAGAGAGGAATTGAGGGTGAGAGCAAGACGTGGATTTGAGGATGGGGAGCGTGGATTGCAAAACACGTGGTCCTCAACATTTCTCGAGGGGCAGAGTAAGGCAGCGAGGCGTCAACGCTGCCGGTCCACTTGGAGTACCCCGGTGCCTCGTCTCGCGTGCACGCCAAATTTCATTTAGCCTTGAGTGCAATTGAGCTCGTCAGAGGCTGTCGGAGGCGGTGTCATGTTGGCAGTCCAGCGTTAGAGGCGCAGCTCAACGCCATATCGCTGTCAGAACACATCTTCGCCAAGTCGTCCACCGGGGTAAAAATTAAATATTAGAATATTAGCCATTAGCCGAGCACCCTCAATTAAATGGAGACCGGCCTGGACTGTATCACGTGCTTTCCAGAGAACACTTCCATTCTCGGCGGTGTCAAAAGGGGACGAGCGCCAGCGGAGAAACAGACGCCGAACGCGAAAAAGTCCTGCAGACGCCCGATCATTGACCGAGGATAGCTCTACTCGTTCCATCCAATATGCTGTCCAACAGCGAGAGCGACAACGACAACGACACTGGAGAGCTGCACGAGCTCACCATCAACGAACATTTTGCAAAAGCATTCCAGTTCAAAAAAGAAAGAGAGGAACTTTCAAAGCGTCAGTCATAATTTGTTACCCCGTTTCCCTCTGATAACTTTCCATCGTCCCCCTTCCATTCCGATCACCCTCCGTCATGATACGCCCAAACGCTGACCCCCGATCTTTTTATGTGCAGTAAAGGAAAAGTACGGCTCTGATGCCGAAGACGCCTCGGACGACGACACCGACTCCGAAGAGCAGGAGTCGGAAGACGAGGACGCCGAGGAACTCACCCCCGCCGTCGACGTCGCCATCCTCCGCACCCTTGCCCGCATACGCAAGCGCGATCCGTCTATCTACGACGCAGACAGCCGCATATTCGATGGTTCGCTTATCACTCGTCTCTAACAACAAGGTAGCTGATATTGCAATCTCGCAGAGGAACGCGAGCGCACAGCAGGCAGCGCACCCGAACCATCCCGCCGCAAACCCAAAGACAAGGTAACATCCTCTCTTCCCTCCCCATCCACACCGACTCATCCTTCACCCAACACAGACCAAACCCATAACCGTCCGCCAAGCCGCCCTCGAATCCCGCCTCCTCTCCCGCTCCCCATCTCCCTCCGGCTCTCGCAGACCCGCAGACGACCCATCGCTCACACACACCGAAGAACAGCGCCGTCTCCGCGCGGAGACGCTCGCTGCTTTCCACGACGGCATTGCGAACGGCAAGGACAGCGACGGTGGCAGTGACTCGGACGGCGACGACGAGGACAACTTTCTCATTCCCCGCGAGAAGACGCAGGACGAGCTCGAGCGCGAGGAGCAGGAGTACCGTGCGTTCCTGGAGACGCACGTCGGTGATGAGCTCGAGGATCTTGTTCTCGGTGGGGAAGCTGAGACGGGCGGTCAGGATGAGGACGCGGTGGATGGAGAAGGCGAGCGGGGAGGAAAGAAGGAGAAGAAGAAGCGGAAGAAGAAGGAGAAGCTGGGTGCAGGGGAGAAGAAAAAGTCCAAGGAGGAAGCGGATCAGGCGTTTTTGGTCAAGTGAGCTTCATATTCATGTGGCTCTAACCGCGACTCGTACTGACTACAGGTTTCCTATTCGTTGCTCTCATCTTTTTGCGCTACTTGCCACGCCCTACTTCCTGTAGCTACATCCTCAACCGCGGCTGGATCGACCGCGACGCTCAGCGGATACCAACGTACAGCGAGGTCACCAAGTCAAAATCAAAGTCAAAGTCGAAAAAATCCCAGCAGGACTCGGACGACAGCGACGCCGACTCGGCGGCGGATTCTCACGTCAACGGGCATACCGCAGACGGGGAACAAGATGCCGCAGGGAATGAGCAAGGAGAAGACGACGACGAGGAGGTAGCAGAAGACGAAGAGGATTTCGAAGACATGGCCGACGCGTTCGAGGTGTCGTACAACTTCCGCTTCGAAGAACCGTGCGTCCATCTCCCTCGTCCAATCACACCCATATCTCCCCACATCTCCCCCGACTAACGCACCACATCATCTACACAACAGCGGCGCAGACCAGATCAAATCCTTCCCGCGCGACCTCTCCGCGTCGGTACGACGCACCGAGACCACGCGCAAAGACGCGCGTCAGCGCCGAAAAGAGCGCAAGGATGCGGAGCGCGCGGCGCGCGCGGAGGAGGTGCGTCGTCTCAAGGCGCTCAAGATGCGCGAGCTGCGGCGGAGGCTCGAGCGTATCGGGCGCGAGGGCGGGTTGGAGGGTGCCGAGGCGGATGGTGAGTGTTGTGTTGTCGTAGCGGGAGATAATATGGGGGACTGATTTGTGATTGGGTAGCGTTTGCGGACTTTGATCTCGATGCGGATTGGGATCCGGAGGCGCATGATGCGCAGATGGCGGGGTTGTATGGTGGGGAAGCGGAAGGGGGCGACGGTGTGGAGATGGACGAGGAGAAGCCGACGTGGGACGATGATATTGATGTTGGCGACATTGTTCCTCCTTCAGACGACGAGGACGGCATTTCGAGTAAGAAGAAGCGCAAGAAGGACAAGAAAGATAAGAAAGACAAGAAGAAGAAGAAAAAGAAGGGCGGGGACGACGACGACGACGTGGGCGTGGATATGGACGAAATGGACGCGGACGCGGTGCCTCCTGCAAAGGGCTCCGACGGAGAAGAAGATGGGGAAGAGTGGGACGGGACGGAGGAGATGCGCAAGCGCAAGGTGCAGGAGTACATGGACGAGATCGACGCGCTGGAGTTCAACGACATCGTGCGTACCCTTTCCCTCCCACCTGCCTCCCTACACCCTCCATCCACCGAAAACCCGGTCTGATCCACCCACCGCACCCAGGTCGCCGGCCAGCCCACGCGCTTCAAGTACCTCCCGACCGCCGCACAGGACTTCGGCCTCTCGCCCGTCGACATCCTCCTCGCGTCCGACCGCGAGCTGAACCAGTTCATGAGCGTCAAGCGCTACGCGCCGTACCGCGCCAAGACATGGGACGCGGGCCGCGGCGAGCGGCTGCGCGAGCTGCGCACGACTGTCGCTGCGCGTGCGCCGGGCGCGGGCGGGTGGGTTGTCGAGGGCGAGGGTGGGTATCGGAGGGGACGTGGGGATGCGCAGGAGCGGGGGCAGGGGCAGGAGAATGGGGACGGGAGGGACGCAGGGACGAAGAAGAAACGGATGGGCAAGAAGGAGCGGATGAAGGCGAAGGTGGCTGCGCCCGTGACTGTTCCTCCGCTTCCTGATTCCGGATCCAAGCGGAAGCGCGTGCACTTTGATGCGGATACTGTCGGTGGCGAGAGCGGAGACGAGGAGAACGTTATCGGTGACGCGAACGCGGAGGGCAAGTCGCGGAAGAGGCGGAGAAGGCAGAAGAAGAAAGGGGGTGGTGGGCAGGCGGAGGTCGAGTCGTGATGCATGTGTGAAGCTTGGCCTAGGTTGCATTCGCAGCTGTCTGAAGCTTTCCATGGAGGACATAGGATGAGTGATGTCATCATGCTATGTGGTAATCACATACATACCTTGTCATTGGCATTTGGAGGTTCATTTAACAGATTTCAGTCTAAACCACGGGTTATTGTCCGTAAGGGTATATCTCTATGGTAGACATTTCTAACAGAGCTCGCCTTTCAGAGTACTCGCTCTATACTTATAGTGATTGAATATCGCCGCTTGCAAGGCTGCCCTTTACGACGTAAAAGTTGACATTTTATTGGAAGAATATGTTACAGCAGAATTTCCGAGGATATCGCAGAGCATAAACAAATCGTGTGGATAGAACTATTATGTGAGGAAACACGCACCCAGGCAACCAACGAACACTAGCTAGGAGCAGCCTGGTGCATAAGATCAAGCTATAGAGTATGAAAAATAAGGTATAAGTCACTCAACACGTTCCAGGAACCGAACATGGCGGCCGTTCCATCTGATCTAGAGAATATGTCTAGAAAAATCTTGGGACAGGTCATCACTGTGACCACAAAGGCTTGCGTTCATGTCAACAACGCGGGTCGCTCGTGATGCGCCGTCGCGACCGGCATCCATCTTTTCCAGCGTACCACGCCAAAAGTCGAGCTGGTCGCTCGCATGCGTGTGGACCTCCTTCAGGTCCGGTACTATGGCCCGGAGGACGCAGGCCGTGAGGTTTACGTCCCCGGCTTGCGGACCATCGTGCTCTAACAAAAGACGGTCCACGCCAGCACGCGAGCGCAGATCCTCGATGCTGCGGGCCAGCTCGAGGGTATCTGCGGAGCGCACCAGGACGCTGAGCCAAGGCGAGACGAGTCGCGGGCAGTGTTCGAGGAGCGCGATGAGCTCTTGAAGGAGGACAGGCTCTAAGAGCGGGCCGATGTCCAGGTATTCGAGAAGCGGCCAGTCGCTCGCGAGGGCGAGGATGTGAGGTCCGCGGAGTGCGCATCTGTCCTTTAGCGTGGGCCGGATGTGCAGCGTGACATGTGTGAGCCGTGTAAAGGCACAAAGAGGCCGGACGGTATCGTAGAGCCAGGCCGAGGAGCCCGAGAGGGTGTTGTCGCTGTTTGACATGGAAAAGCATGTGAGCACTTCCGTACTAAAGTGGGCCGCGAAGAAGGTCATGAAAGGGGCAAGTTCTGGGGAATTGTCGTGCTCCTCCATAAAGGAGTCTGCCACCAAGGAAGGCAGCGCCAGAGAGTTAACGATGAGCAGTTGGTCCGCATTGACCTCCAGGCCAAACTCCTTTATCCGCGGAAGCGGCGCACTAGTGGTCAAGTCAAAGAGGATATGCATGGCTTTGATGCTTTGCTCAAAAGTCCATGAGTGGAGCTTGAGCACCTCTAGAAATGCAAGGCGGCTTCGACTGACCGAGGGAACTTGCAGCTCATCAGCAATCGGGGGGCAAATAATGTTGATGTCAAGCTGCTGGATCGTATTGGACATGGCGAGCTTCTCTAGTGCTTCTTGACCTACGCCACAGGGACCTGAAAGCAAACGCAGATGCCGCCATCGATCTATAGGTAACGTGCAGAGACGAAACGGATCCCTTAAGACCAAATTCTCGAGCGCAGGGCAAGAGTCCGCCAGCTCAGGTCCGAGCATGTCAGAGGGAACCTCAAGATGGCGCAGGGAAGGGGGAAGCATTTTATGGAAAAAAGGTTCACAGATGACCCAGAAGTAGGTGAGACTGTCAAACTGGAAGGAACGTAGATTCGGAAAAATGTGGGATGCTGAGCACCTGCGAAGACCATCTATTACTGTTTCATCAACAACTAATTGCCTCCGTTTGGGGTTTGAAGGACGCAACGGTAGTGATCGCCCCAAAGATTTCACTTTGGCAGTCCGCGGGAGTAGCACATCCCAATCACTAGGCCGCATTTTGCGGCGCAAGGTCTAGAAAGGAGGAGTCTCCGAGTCAACCAACATGCATCACAACGAAGTAAGGGCAGTTCCGTACAAGCACCCAACGACGTGGTACATCCGCCTCTGAGTCCTCGTGGACCACCGCAAGCAAATCATGTGGTAAGCACATGAGAACCACGAAAGGGTTGTCAAGATGCGTGTATAGGGCGTTGATCGCAGGCTCTTTCAGGGCCACGCACACACGGGCGAGACTGGCGAGGCTGGCCGGGTCATTGACAAAATCGAGGATGAGCTCGAGCAGCTCGTCGATGCAAAAGCAGCGGGGTATGTCCGCGTTACTTGGACGCTCATAGGGCCGTTTTGAAGGGATGAGTCTGTCTGGCGTTCAAGTTCAGCTAGCAGCTTATTGACTACATGAAGAAGACGCTGCATCTGACGTACCACGGAGTTTGCGGATACCGTTAAGACACGTTCGGCGAAGTTGCATAGATAGCCCTCCGTTGGTGTGCATAGTAAAGGTGGGGCAGCGCAACGGTTGGCATGCGCTCTAAGAAGACCGTTGCGCGGAGACCCTCTAGTTTCTGGAAGGGAAAAAAAAATTGGTCATTACGTATAAACACGGATATTACAAGTACAAATAAACCAGCGCTATTCCCGCGCTGCGTCTGCGGGCGCCTATTTGCCGCTGGCTGCGATATGACAAAATCGGGGGCGCATGAGAACTTCTTTTGGTCGTGAACGCGCAAGCAACCACACGAATGCATGACAGCGCACTTCTACGGAACAAAGGTGATTCTAGATCAGTCACTAAACTTCGCGTCGATAAGGTGAACACCAAAAATCTCATTCATGCCATGCCGCCAAGAAGTACGTTCTGAATGTCCTCCAACGCCCCGACCTCCATCAGCATCATGCAGACTTGTAAGCAGAAAAACGTCTTTGGATTTCCATTTACTCTCGCTGATCTACCTCTCCAGGTACGCAGCTTCTGTAGTCTTGCAGATAACATATGGCAAACCCGCTCCATCGTCATTTGAAGACCCCGCTATTGTTGCCATCCACAAAATTGCGGACCGCTTCCTGGGCATGCTGAAGCCCGGAGCCTATCTAGTAGGACGTCTGCCATGGCTGCGCTATGTTCCTGGATATGCACCCGAAATCAAACGGTACCGCAAAGAGGAGTTGGAGGTGCACCTGGGACAAGTAGATGCAACCCGTCGGTCTGTGGTAAGTCTTTAGAGACACGCGCATCTTGTCGGCCGGCTCTGATGCCGCCCCGAAGGAGGAGGGATCGGATCTGCCCTCGTTTGTGCGTTATCTCGTTGAGAACCCCGACTCGCACGGGCTAGACGAGGAGACACTCGCATACTTGGCAGGGCCTTGTACGGTGCTGGTTCGGACACGGTAAGTCGCTCTTCTCGAGACAGGGTCTCTACTGTACTAACGCACGAGCCGCAGACCTCTGTCGGGATGTATACAATTGTCATGGCTGCCGCACTTTTCCCTGAAGAGCAGGAAAAGGTTTTGGCTGAGATTGACGGCGTTTTTGGTGGTCAAAGTGAGTTTAACGCTTTTACGATACAACACACTCTCAATGGTGCGATTGAAGTGCCCACACCCGACGACATGAACAGGCTACCTCAGCTCGACGCGTTTATTCAGAGGCTCTGCGTTGGCGGCCAATTCTACCCATATGTCTCTACCATCAAGCCTTCGCTAACTTCGTCTGGAACGGATACCATATCCCAGCGGGTGCGACAATTATCGGGAACAATTGGTGCGTCCCTTGTCTCCCGTTCCTCGGCCTTTTAATCCCTGATTTGCAATCCACAGGGGCATCTCTCGCGACACTGAAGTCTTCCCCGATCCTGAGACGTTCAACCCCCAGCGCTGGCTCAACGACCAAGGCCAAATGAGGCCCCAGAACGAGATCCGGTTTTTCACCTACGGCTTTGGCAGACGGTACGTTCGCACTCTCCCTCTCCAGACCACTCACATTTATCGTCGTTATCCACACAGAGTATGCCCGGGTCAGTACGTTGCCAGCCGCTCGCTTTTCGTGACAATGTCATTGCTCTTCTGGTCATTCCGCATCTCGCAGGATCCGTCGCAGCCAATCGACTCAAACGCGTGAGACGATGGCATAGTCCGCCATGCGCATCCATTTAAAGTCAAGGTTGAACCGAGGCGAAGCGTTGAAGAGATTAGGGAAACCATGGCGACCACTAAGTGAAAGGCTTCTGCAAGATATTGATACACATAGATTGTATACTACTAGAACTTTGCGCAAAGCTATCACAGGGTACTCGCTTACTTTGATGATTTTACGCTTGTACATACACTTCAAGAATAATACTAGATCTTAGTCATAATGCACTGTAGAATTCTCGCTGGAACCAATCTACTACCAGTAATATCAGGTATTTCAAAAGCACTGTGTCATCACGTTACAGAGATACACTAAGACACCACTTGCATGAGACTGAATCCTTGAACTCGACATCCTATCTACGGAGTAGTTCTAGTCGCAAGCTGGCCTATGATGGCGGTGTCAACGACGTTAAGTGACCCTCACCTAGGTGATATGTTCAAGATCCTCGTACTTTCCATCCACGCAGCCGAATTACCCAGATACTATCCACAACAATGATGATTCCAAGGCTGACAACGAGACTTCCACCACTATGGAGGAAACACGAACTAATATCAGATAAAACCGAAAATCATTCATCAAGACGGAACTCACAAGACCCATTTCTGATAATTCCACGCCGTATCTGGTGTTATCCCAATGAGCGGCAGTGCGATGGCCCATGGGAGGCAATAGAATATGTTGGCAACAAGACTTTGGCATAGATACCTGCGTTAACGTGCGTTCAAAGGTAACAGGTAAGCATTTCACCACGCAACGACGGAAAATTGGGAGTGAACGAACCACTTGGTCTGAGTCGCCAACAAAATCGTTGCTAGTTGTGTTGAGACGGCGTAGCAGATATAACACCAATCGATGCTTCTCCACATCATTGCCGTAATATCTGCCACCTCGTCCGAATTAGACAGGTACTTTGCAAATGGCCCTGCTCCGTGGATCGAGAGAGCTATACACATGGGAACTTCAACGAGGAGCGCTATCGCAACCGAGCGGCGTGCTGGTGCGGTTATGACTGTCCGTGAAAAAGCGGTCGTGAGTGGAGATCAGTTCGGGAAGACTGGCGGACGTACACCTGATATCAGACCATGACGCCGGTGAAGGCAGTGATCTCGCGTGCTGATATATACCCCATCGATGACCTACAAACGCGTTCGATGTCGCCTCGAGTGCATTGACGGGGACCATGATTAATCCCCATCTAATCGTGTTGAAGACGCCCCAGGCGGTCGCGTATGCCTGACCCATCGAAACAACACCATGAATCTGCCATAGACTCCAAATCCGATTGAATGTCAATTTATCGAGAGTTCGAGGGACTCAATAGACTTACTATATCGCGTTCCTGACCGCACTCTCCGTGAACGTCCACCTCCCGGGACGTACGAGCCTCATTAGTGAATGTCGGTTGAACCATTTCAAACCACGTGTGTCAATGCCGTTCCGGGTGCTTGTTGTCCTGACGAGGTACAAGAAGTAGACTAGGCCAGCGACAGCGCCTGCGAGACTACGGGCAGTTGATTAACAAGCAAATTGGTCAGTGGGATATAGAATTGGCGTACTCGCAAACGAGCTTGATAATGGCAACAGTATGAATGGTTGGTGTGAATCCCTTCACATGAACCGTTGATACCAATGCAAGTTCCAGGAAGATCTGGATCAAAGTCTGCACTGTAGACATCAAGAGCGGGACACTTGAACGAGGAAGGGAAGGAGGTTACATCAATCATCTTTCGCACAGAACATAGGATAACAACAGTAAGGTACATACTCGGGCTTATCCAAAGCGCGCGTCCCCAAGCTCACTGCCGTATTGAGTGTGCTTGCCAATGAATCGAATGCTAGGATTCGAAGGTACACGACAGATGTAGCGCGTGTCTTTCCAGGAACGTAAGAAGCGGCGAATCCGGGGGCGCCAAAGAGGAATATGATGGACAGAAGTGTTCCAAGGCACGACTGTACCGAAATCAGCGTGTAAGTCAGAGACAGCCTGTCTAGAAGTTGAGTCGAGGAATCGCGGGTCGTGTCTCCACTTCCGATGGTGGACCTATATAGCAGGAGGAGATGTTACGATAAAGAGTTGTTCGTGATTCTGGATAGCGCACCATGCTGCACGGGGAAGACCTTCATTCAAAACCTCTACAACACAAGAGAAGTCTTCGAAGTTGATTCATAAGGGACCGCATCAGCCATAAAGTATTATGCCTGACTGTACTTACAGGTGTATGCGTCCGTCGTGGATACTAGCGATGCATCAATGTTGGCCACCCACATCTTCGAAAGCGTGCTATATACAGCTGGTATCAAGAAGGATGCGAGGTTGAATATGAGCGCTCCATGATAACTGGAACCAAAGAGCAATAAGTACACAACAACATAGCCCTCTGCAGCGAGCCTACCTGGCACGAAGCCGTGTCAGAGTCATCCTCCCATTCTTCGGTCGACCGAGCTCTCCGCGTTGGCCATCCTCGTCGTCAACAGGGGACTTTGTAAGGGAATCGGGTCTTAAATTATCAGCCATAGCGAGGTCGCAGTCGATGGACAATCTGGTGCCGGGTTCTGTACTGGGTAGAGGGGTATATAGGGAGGTACTCATGGCGGCACTTTATCAGAGTTTCAGAGACTGTCTAAGCTGGTAGACGCTGAGGTTGGGTCACATGTAAGTCAGTGACGGTCACACGCTATTTGAATAGGGCCCTTCTCACAATCTCCCCCTGTCAGCAGTGGCGTTAACGTTGAAGTGGCACCCCACAATCTTACGAAACATCAGGATCATCGTCGACCACGTCCTATGGATCATGTAGCTGAACGCCTTCTCGCACTAGACTGGCTGGGTCAACATCAGATTCAAATGGTCTTACCTGAACATATCGCCAGTCGCGCGCGCGAAGAATGACTAGTGACTAGGGGAGCGAGGGAAATGCACATACGCGGGATCACTGATCAGCGCAAATCCAAGTTAGTGAGACAAGGGCTTACCGCGACGGCGATTACGCCACTGCGCGCAACGGCGGTGAAAAGATGAAGCTCGGCAGCCGCCGATCCCAAACTTAGAACAGAGCCCCTGACTCGATAACAACTCCTAGTCACTAGCAGACTAACGCGAAGAAGATCGAAACATTCAAGGTACATTCAAATACGGATACATTTTGAGGACGTTGATCATATAGCTACAGGGCAAAAATGCAGTGGAACATAGGAAACTCGATATGGGTTATGATAACGGTAACTGACATCTTCATCGTGCGATCTATGAAATCAAGAAAAGTCCACCACCTCCATCATGTTGACAAACGAGGCGCTCTGAAACTCCCGCTTTGGCCCATACACCATCTCGTACTTCGAGTAGCTGTAGCACGTCCGCCCTGTATAGCTATCGAAGCACCTCAGCTCTGCTCCAGGTCGAGTCTGTAGCAGCTTCGGGGTGTGCCTGCACGAAGCCCGCTGCGTCGTTTCGTCGTACACGATCTCGTAGGCACCCAGGACTGGCAGACCGCCTGCTGTCGAGTAGACACCGCGAGAGGACCCGTTGAAAGATGGTTGGAATATCAGGGGAATGTATGCTCGGTAGGTAAAGTCGTCTAGTTTCTGTATCTGAGCGCAGATCTTCTTATCCGAAGATGTCGGAGGGATTTGCACGCGAGCGACTACGTATTCAGGGCTCCACTGGCGCTCGTTCGACGCTCGAGAATAGCAGCCATGAAGAACAATCTCTGTAGCGCCCGTGCAGCTATCAATCACCGAGTCGCGTAAGACGGACACGGGACATAGAATGGCTGAAGGTAGGTCCCCGGGCTTGTGTACTTGCAATTGGCTCAGCCGAACAGGCTGTGTCGATCGCCCGATGCCTGAAAGCGGATACGCCTCGAGGCGTGTACTTGTAGAGAGTGTTGAAATGTTATCCTCGTCTACAGTGTATGGTCGAAGGACAATCAGGTGGGTTTTGGAGAGAGCATGACGTGCTATGCCAAATGTGGTGCCCTCGACAATCTACGCCGTTTGAGTACGCAACTCTCGTTTAAGAAACGAGGACAAAGTGATACTCACGGTGTCATCGATGATCTCCGTTACAACAAGAGAGCAATATGCATCGAAGGTCAAGAGCAAGCCGTTGGACCTGTCTGTCCCTGCAAAAAGGAATAAGTGATTCGGTCCTACGACAAGCTCTGTGCGGTAAGAAGAGTCCGGAGGGATGGAATGAGAGTGTTCAAAAAGCTGGGGGAATTTGGGGACGTCAAGCTCCTCATCGACGTTTGTGTTGAGCACAACTCTACAATCATAGTAAGTTTCGCTATGGCGAGCAGGCAAGGCCAAGGTCGCTTACATGCGTGAATTACTGCCTCGTTGTTCGTTGATAGTCACGAATGCATGGCGGTTTCCTTCGTGGTCCGTTACTTCTGCGCACTGCATGTGGTTCACGGAGAAACCATGAGTGACAGCATAGATGCATATTGAGTCATCACCAGCAGGCCATGAACAATCCGTGCGGCTGAGATCGCGGCATCGGACTTCAGTATGCGAAGATGAAATCAGGTACCGGCCTCGGAGAAGTTGAAACGTATTGCCTCTTCCAACAGGGATGCTGAAGCTGGATGCAACAGGGGGTTTGGCGAATATATTGCGAGACGCGCGGGCGGTCTTCACCAGAGCCCGCTCGATCAGTTGCCTCGGCTGAAAGGGGGGCAATCGGTGCGGCCGTGGAAGATAGGAGGCTGCGTAGATACTCCTCCATAGAGCGCTTTCATAGGTTATATCTCGCAGACGTCGCGATACCTTCAGTGAAGCCGGTATCAGCGATACGCTATATGACGTCGAAGAAGAGCGACTGTGATACCTGTCGTAAAGAGACGACACCATAGATGTCTGTTTCAGCGACAATGCTGCAGAGCACGTCGAATGGGAGGTCGCTGAGTTTCATGGGTGTGGAACGTGGTAGTAGAAGAGGAAGATGTGAGACAGTGTAGGGGCTTAGCTCAAGCGAACCTGGTGTCCCAGAACGCGAAGTGATACCGAGGGACGGGTGTGGAGGCTACTGCCTATGGGGCTGGTCTCACCCAGTGACATCCATTCTATAAGTATCTGTCAACGGTACCCGCAGTCTCGAAATGGTCAAAGGGACTGACATCACATGGATATTATCGGTGGGTACTTGCCAAATTACCGAGGACACAATTACTCAGTGAGATTAACACTAAGCTGAACATAGGTCGGGAGGTCACGTAAGTGGTAATAAGGGTCAAGAGTAGCGTTCACTCGTTGCGTTGTCCTCAAGCGGGGCCAATGATAGCGTGACTCGTGGATCGTGAGACTTTGATTCCATCCTGGGCGTTCTCTGAAGTTCACCTCTCCTGTTTCTTCTTTTATACACGGCCAACCCGCAAAAACATCCAACCCCATCCAACTGGGAATTCCGAGGCTAAATCACCCCTCTTCTGCTTCCAAAGGGCGGAGTCACTCACGGAAGACCGGGAACGGAGCATCCGCGTGCCCCTGCATCCGATCGTCCCTCAGGCTTGCCGTCATCCAGGTCAGAACGTAAACCCGTGTCAAGGGCTGGGTCAGGCTATGAAGCTGTCCGATCAATACGTGGAGGATAGCGACGTTTTAGCAGAAATACGGAGAGAATCGCAAGACCTCTATAATCGCATCCATTCAATCGCTTATGATGCCAATTTCATGGAACAAGTCGCCGAGACGTACAACGATTTACCTTGTGTTCGTAAGTAAACTGATTTCACCGCCTTACGCCTACGTGCCAACGTAACGGTCCCTTATCAATCAAATTATGTAGCAAACCTTCGGTGTGGCGCCTGGTATGTCGACCCGAAACTTGTAACAAGATTTCCTGCTTTCGCGTTCTTTCCTGGTCCTTAACCAATAAAACAGGCCTCAACTCAAAGCGCTTATTTCAAATCTACTGATGGCCATACTCGAAATTGGTCGTTCAATCTTCGGCGCCCAAACATTCATCTCCTTACGTTTATCGAGGACCACAAGGGGTGAGGTGTTCATGTTGCCATCTACCACCTATCACCTACCTATCCCGCTTTCACAAGCATGCTTCTCGTGGATTCAACCCGTGCGGGCAAGCGCATGCCAGATGCATTGTCTAAGACTGTACCGATCTGGTGTGCGGTAATAAACCGAGCCGTATCGCTGCGATATCCAGATGTGGCTCGCTTCCATGATCCAACAATATGGAACACCAAATTGTACACCCCTCCCGGTGTTGTCTCAGCCCAAGAGCACACTCAGATATCGGAGCTACTGGACTCTTGGGCGCATGATCTTGCTGTTCGTCCGGACTTTCATCGGACCCCAATGGATTATGATTGTTCTAACAGAAAGCCTAGACGTCTTCGTATGAGATTCCACAGCTCACAGCTTCTCTACGGCCGGTGTGGGTCACGCCATCCACTACTTCTTTTCCGCAGGCGCCTTCCATTAAGGCCAAAGGATCATACCCTATCGTATGCGTATCGGCATCGAAACAAGTCTTCGATGGAGTGGAGAGGAGATATGGCGGCTTCTCCTACGTGCAAGGCTCTGGTGACGACCACGAACTTTGGGGAATGGTAGTTCTCTCGTCGAAGTTCAATTCACCGCGCCCTTCTCACCTTACGTGTTTTCTCAAACAGGGTCTTACCCCCGAGATATTTTGGAAAAACCAATCGGCTATCCTTAGATGCTCCCGCGCCGAACTTCAGAACACAGTGCTTAATTTAGTCAACGCTGTTTCTGGGCCGCTCCCTGTCGGTACCGGCACTTGGAAGCTGCTACCGAGTCCGGTTAAGCATGTGAGGGAACGGATCCTGCTATGTGCAAATCAGGACCTACCGTGTCCTCTTTCATGCCAGGTTCCCATTGACATCAAGAACAGTGGAAGAGTTTCTTACCTGCAGCTTACCTCTGCATACGATCCTGTCGCAAGCGATCCGACGTCCTCCACAAACTTCAATCAGGATCAGACATCAAACCCTCCTCGGAAAGTAATCAACATTCCCGCAGGCAAGCGCGGCAATATCCATCTCCTACAAATCGCCCTTCCTCAGGCGATGTCCTTCGTTCACGCCCAACTCGTCAATGATCGCATCGTCTGCATCTCGTGCGACTCGGGCAAGGACGAGTCCGTCGGAATTGCCCTCACGACCCTGGCCATGTACTTCGATGAGAACGGCGACTTCCGCCCCGAACCTGGGGTACAACGCCTAGGTACGTACACACACAAGTATATTGGTCGTCCTGTGAGTATATCTCAAGGATGTACACAGATAAATCAATCGTAAAGACCCGGCTTCAGTGGATCATCGCCAGCCGCCCTTCTGCGAACCCCTCTCGTGCGACCCTGAAGCGGGTGAACGAGTTCCTCTTCACCGACCCGTCTCTCCGCTTCAACAAATACGCTACCACTCCACCGCTCCGTTCAGAGGCGGCCGAAATATCTTATTAACCTAATCTTGAGCCCGGCCCTCGCGGAGGGACACAGCCACGCCTGCACTTGAGTGGTAGACGACGATCTTGAACTTCCCTTGCAGACCGCCGTTGTACGTGCTCGGGACCATGTAGTATCGACCGGCAGCAAGCGAGATCGGGGGTATGTCGACCCCAGATATGGCGTCCGAGTACGGTCCTGATGTCGCAACGCATTCATCTGACGCCAAACGCGGTGAAGAGAAGATCGAGACGTTGAGAGATGATGATGGGGAGGGTGTAACAAAATGTAGGCGTGCTCTGTAATTTATTATTAGCCATCAAAGAAGCAACGTGCTGTCCAGTACCTACCCAAACTGCGATGCTATTGGCATGCGTATCTCGTACACTGGGTTATCTGCGTACTTTCCATTGCTAGGGCCTCCTGCTGCAGTTTTGGAACTCCTGCGAAGATCTGATCAGCCAATCGATCCAAAAGCTCAAAGACACAATGTAACCTACCATTCGCCTCTGACGATCCTGTTGTACATGCCAGCACCCTCCTGCGCGATCGGAGCGCAATCAAAGCGTGCCTCACTCTCGATCTGGATGCTGAAATCGCCCATCTGACTGGCGTCAAACGCAGACAAAACCAGTGTATAACTGCCAGCTACGCAGCGTATTTCTTGTCAATTTCGATGACTAGCCGTGGAGATTCGCACGTACTAGGTAGAGACGTCGAGATACGAGCAGAACCGTACACGTACGCACCCGAGTTCGCCACAATCTCTTTACGCGAAAGCCTATAAGCGTAAAGTATCAGTCCTACGTCGCACCCCAACATATCAGCCACGACGCACTCAATGACGCGCTCGCCTTGCGACCATACGAGCACGAGGTTCAGGGGCATTTCTCTCGAGCCATATGCTGTAATTGTGACACGGTGGCCCTCCGGAGCTTTCACTCGAGACTGCGAAGCAGTCGGTACCAGCCTAGCAGGACGAGTTGATGATGGCGAGGTAGATGAGGTAGGGTGCAAGCGTAGATAGTACTGAGGATTGAGCATATATGTTGGGCATGACGGGTTGCCGCCGGCGTTCTTGCTGGAGAAAATGCCGTCGATCTAGTAGGTTTAGTGGATAAGCGAGCGAGCTCACTCTTCACGGAAAACAACAAGAATGACGTACCTTTGACGTGTGGGCTGGCGGGGCTGCACGCGTATCCCATGACAGAGAGAAACGGGCGTAGGCTGTGATAGTGAACCCTACATCCTCCGCCTTCAAATTGTCCACCGGATTGTCCGGTTCATCAAAACAGGCTAGCAGAGATAGCACGTTCGACTGCACCCCAACGCGGGTGCGCACAAGTAGATGCGAGCTATCCGTGTACGTCCCCTGTGTTATCCATGAAGCAAAGCAACACACCATACATACTGGACACTCACCTTGGATGCTATTCGCGAGAGATCGCCTGGTCCGACTCCAGCATCCTGACTCTGGGTATTCAGCGCAATATAGCCCCCGTGCTTCCGCGTATTCCGCAAATGTCGCGTCAAGAGCACCCACACCTCGTCGCTGCCCCCATCATTCTCCCGGCTCGAGCTTGATGAGCATGATGATGAGCTTCGACTTTCCGATAGGCAGGGCCTATGCCGCGTATCATGCGACGGGCCACACTGCAGCAGAAGGTGGCGAGTTCTATCTATCACAAGCGTCAAGCGGATGTATGGCTCTGGAGAAGGAGGAAATTACGTGTGCTTGACTGTCTTCCGCCCGTAGCCGAGGTTGCATGCCACGCCCTTGGGGAATAGCATATAAGTGACTATTCTAAGTGGTGGAAGAGGCATAATTTACCCGTGAAATGCGAGGCTCTGGCTGAATAGAGCTGGATCCCAGCTTATATGCACACTCCCAAATATGTTGCAGACCTCCTCCCACTCAAGTTCGTAAACCTCTGCATATTCCCCAGAATCATGGTGTAAGAATGCCGTTGCGTACGTCTAGAGAGTGGCATTTTGAACTCACGGCAATGACTGAGATAGTCGTCAGGATCCAGTCTCTTCTCATCCTCTTCAGCAACCCGAGAGTCGAGCAGGGTACATCGTCGCGAGTCACCGCTCTCGGATAGGTCTAGGGACTGTTGTATGCGAATGACTGCTAGACATCGTATAAATGGATGCATACCGATAACTGCATATGCGTGGGCTGGCAGGAAACGCGGGTCTGGCACAGCATCTCGTGTAGTACCGACGGTGATAACACAGTGACCTTCGTTCATATCATGTGTAGAATGGTGCCAAAGGTTTGGATACCGTCAGGGATTGGATGCAAGATTGGTTTGATCTACAAAATTCGGCGTACCTTCCGTGAACCCCTTGCGTAGTCTCCTCCAAGTTCGCTCCCACTCGAATGAAGAGCTGTTTCACGGTAAGTTCGTTACGCCAAGCAAAAGCAGCGGTCGAAAGGGACAGACTGACCTCTTTATCTCGAGATGCTCTGGAATCCATCCTGTAAGAACACTATAATTTGGGAAAGAACATTAATTCCGTGGCCGAAATGGAGGAAAGAAGCAAATTAACGATGCTCTCAGATACTTACTGAAGATCCACCCCCGAGTTTCTGAAACGTTTATGATAAAATCAATGAGTATGTCCGACCATGGCAGGTTCAAGACGCACGATCCCGGAAAGTCGTATCCACCAGTTATCTTCATATACTAGAGCATTGTCTGATTCCAGTCGCATCACAGCAAAGCGTTAACAAGACTTACTGCTTTCTCAACCAGAGCCGGCCATAGGACACGACAATGTCGGTGTGTAAGCGACACGCCCAGGAGACATCCCTCTGAATCGACCGGTACACGATCATTCAGGACTTGTGCACGAACGGGGAAGTGACGCCAAGAAAATCAACCACGATACTACGTCTCAATCGAGAAGCCAATGACGCACCTATCTGTCAAGGAAGGCCAACGATTCGAACGGCGATAGAGGGGCAGCACGAGTCGATAGTCGAGCAATTCAATTGTCAATCCCTCTGAAGCGATCAACGACTTACTCGGCGATATGCGCCGTTAAGAAAGGCGCGAAGGGCGTACTCGCCACTCGCTGATCGGATCGGAAGCCCCGAAGCATCTTGGGGGTGAAGTGACCCAACGAGAAGCTGAGAACAAACCACAGCGTCGGTGCATACAACGAGCAAGAAGAGTGATTAAATGCACGAGACACCTACGGTAGACTTAAATCGGCGTTGATAGTCGACGCATACGGCCACTGAGGCGCAGACTGAGCAGTCGTTGACGACGCTCTGACGAACGCCTCTCGGGTCGGGCGCATCCTCGTCCCCACCAGAGCCGCTGGTGCTCGCCGTTGTGTAGTCGGTCAGAAACTCAGAGGGGCGTTTCCAAGTCGCGCCGCGGGCCATCTGCTCAGGAGCAAGCGACACGTGCGCATCGCGGTCCCTAGCCATGCGTCAACGAACACGTCATAATCAGCAGTAGCACAACACCGACTGCAGAGGCGGTGCGGGGTCCGTCCACAGAGGCATCCGAACTCCATTGACGACAGCCCCGCGAGCAAGAACGGCTGCTTGTTGTTCTGCAAGTAACAAAGTCAAATGAAGGAAGTTCGATGTGGTCAAACCCAGAATTCACGAGATGTTGTGCTACCGAATAAGAAACCGCACGCACGAGGTGAGAATGGGTCGGCGGGGAGCGGCGCTACGGGGCGCGCCCGCTTGATCTTCTCCGCACGGTCGAGGGCTCGTCGGGCAGACTGGCGTAAACGCGCACGTGCCTGGTCATCTGTGGTGTCTCTTGAGAGGTGTATGGCGCGGTCGGCGGCGCGGGCGTAGAGATTGAATGCTTGGTCCCAGTCTGAGCGAAGCTCGGCCTGGGCAGCTTTCGCCAAGGAAGCCTGGTGGACGGACAAGTGAGTCCGCGGAGTCTCGGGGCTTGACAGAACTTGCCTCGATGTCGTCGACTGATTTCGAGGCCATGGCTCGACCACCGACGTCGATCAGCCAAGAAACGCTTGGTGTGAACCATCTATTCAGGACAACAGGTGGGCGGACTCATTGCCACCGTGTATCGCCTTGCTAAATTGGGCTATTTATCCCCTGTCCGGCTGGCGGTCCAACAACAATTTTCAAGCCAACGAGTCGTCCACGATCCCTCCAATAGCGTGCAGAGGATATAGTTTTATAAAGATATTCAAATGTCATCGCGATGTCCACATGATATATAGTAACGATTAAGAATACAGTACTATACCAGACCTATAACCATCCTCCCTCATGACGTCGCGCTCCAGCGTCCTAACTCAAAACATAGCAGCAGGCCAAGTTCTAAAGGTTCGCAGCGCGCTTCAAGCTGGACCTGCGACGCCGTCCCCTAGTTGCAGGCTCCGGCTCAGCATTGGTCATAGTGATTGCGGAGGGTGAAGGGACTCTGCCTTGTGGGTTCTCCATCCACCCCTTCAAGAAAACGCGCCAGTTGACCTTTGACGGGACAAAGTGACCTGAAAATCACGTTGGCACCTTTTCGTACGCCGAGATATCAGAACTCGCTTACCACCATCGTGTTGCTCAACCCTTATGTTCTCAGCAACTTCCATAAGCATCTTTGAGCGCTCTTCAACAACAATGATGTCGTTCTTCCCCATCACGAGTAGCGTTGGCGTCGTATACATCTGGCTGTATATCTTCTGGCTTAGTTCACCGGGAGCTTTGAAGCCTGCGACCGAAATGCAAAATTTGCTGTATACGTAGACAGTCAGTACACTGCGTGAAATATGCTGCCATGAAGATACACACAATGGAGGATGAGGAGGCAGGCCATCGACCAGGAACGGGGGGTAGACATGTGGTCTCTCAAGCTGGTGGGCGATAAGTTAGGAGTGGTCATTCGCCCACAATAGTCGACATGCTCACCAGTGCTGCAAGAAGAGGAGCAAACCCAGCACCCTGACTGCACGACCCCACCATTCCACCATCAGCTACTTGGCGCCCACCCTCATGTATGCCATGCGTACCTAAACCCGAAAACACCCTAATACAGCACCCTGTCAGACTTCCCTCTACCACGAACACGAAACGAAGGGCTCACGTCAAACCGATCCTTTCTCAGAATCTCCCGTATGTATATCAGCGTGTCCTCGAGACCCTTCGCCGTTTGCCTTGCTCTATCAGCGCGCCACCATGCGCGGGGAGCGTCCTTCTCGTCTGTGCTGTCGGGGTTCGCCTCGGATGCGCCGACCGCGTCGAGGGATGGCTCAGACGCGGAACCAGCCAGGTCTATTCTGCGGAGAGCAATGGGCGCATTGACAAACACTGACATGGGGGGTGATGTCAGTCCATGTGTACGTGTGCGCAGCGTGCTGCAGTGCGAGACAGACGTACCTAGCTCAATGTTTGGGCCAAGGGACTTCCTGAGCGCAGCGAGCTGGGCAGGGTCGTCGGTTTTTATGTCAATTAAAACGATTGGAGATGTGGACGTACGCGTTTTCCAAAGATACTAGCGTTCTGGGAGAACCTAGCCAAGATACTCCATAAGATTGAGGACATTCGTCAACGCGTGTCACGTACCCATGGAGCATAAGGACCTTGCAGGGTGCCGCCTGTGTAGTCATTTCTAGATTGAAGCGTCGAGTCTAAGGGGTGACTAGTTGATGATAGGATACAAGAGAGAACCTCTAGGGAAGGGCAGGAGGAAGAGGATGGGGTAAAATTGGGGCGAAAAGTCTCTGTGTGATACCACCTCCATTAAGTAATCCAGCTGCAACTGGAACGATTGGTTGGGGCATTCTGCGATCGCGACACGCGCCGGCCGCGCGTCTACCTTGTTCCTCCCTTCTCCCGCGTTCCCAGCTTCATAAACCTTGAAGCCTAAAAACCTTTGACTGTCCAGGTCTTTGTGACCTTGTTGTGCTCATATTGGATTGAGACAAGCTATCGGGTCAATGTGGGTTGACTGTCTTTATTGCGTCTTGTAATGCCTCATGCAGTCCGTGCATGTAGTCCGCGGGCATATCAGGTGTGGTCACTCTTTCTGTCGTTCTTGTGGGGCTATGCTGATAAGAAACTGGCTTGCGTTAACTAGGCAAAAATGTAATGATACATGCAATGGTATCTATTGCAAGAAACAGTGTAGATGATTTGATATTGAATAGATAATGGTGACGAGATCCGTGGTTTATGTCCACCACAACGCCTCGAAGGTCCCAGTGCACGAAGCGGAGAACGGCAGCCTCTCGGAACGGGTGGCGGGGAACACTTACTCCGAGTATGTGTCGTTATCGTCGACGTTGATGCGCTCGATGATCGTCCGCACGCGCTCGTACACGGCGAACACGATGGCCTGGCCAGGAGCGACACGCAGCACTCTCGGCGTGATACCCTTGTAGAACGACCGCACGCCCTCCTGCCTCCACATTTCCGCCCCGATAGCTGATATGCGCTGGAACGCTGTCTTCCCGGGCTGTGCAGGTGCCTTCTGCAAGCCTGTTATCAAATGTAAGAGATGGTATCACACTGAGGCGGAGATTACGACTTACGCGTTTTAATAGTGTCGATGGGCGCATTGGAGAACGGACCCATCGCCCCGGATATGAGACCGATCATCATAACTTGATACGACGGAAGCTCAGTTCTGTCGGGCTGATATTTGTGCGCCAACTTCTTGAGCTCCTGGTACGCAGTAAAGTTCGCACCTAAGCACGCCAAGTCAGCCTCAGCGCTCCACCTCTTCACGTTCCCCAACGGCAACAGCACTCACCCTGATTCGTTGCTTGCCGAAGGGCGGTCAGGGAGACACCGCGATAGAGCGTTAGAAATCCCTCCTCGCGAAGGATGGTGTATACGGCATGACCAGCGTTGCGATATCTTGGCGCCTCAAGAGGATCGGCAAGGGAGTGTTGCTGTGCTTGCAGGCGAATTTTCACCACCTCCATGGGACACACGACGGCCACCGCCTCAGTCGTACCCGCAGCAAGACCAGCTGTCAACGTGAATGCCAAGAGCGCCAAATCAGCGAAAGAATGTTCAGAAGAAAGAGCACTGGATGAATGACGCACAGATGAAAATGTTCCCGATACTCGTCTTACCGGTCTCCTTGTCCGCCAGCCAGCCCTTGTACGTCTCAAACGATGCGAACCGTATCGCCATCTTGGGCACGATGCCAGAGAGCACAGCGCCAAGACCCTTGTACAGCGCGAGCGGCGTTTCGCGCCGCATGATCATGGCTCCAGTTGCGAGGAAGCCTCTAGGCTTCGTCTGCAGGGAGGTCGTTCGTTAGGTTCGTCACGGTTGCACGAGGCACGCGATATGGCAGACTCACCCCTGGAGCCATGCCTGACTTGGAGAGTTGCATTCGGACCTTGATGGTGTCGAGAGGTTGGCAGCAGAGCTGAAAGAGTCGAAGGCGACGTTGGCATAGTGCTCAAGTGTATGGGTAGAGGACATACCGCCTCCATCGCGCCAGCCATGCCCCCGGCGGTGATGTGCGTTGCAAATCCGACTGGTTTCTTGTCTGCCTTGGACATCGTAAAAGTACTTTGCTAGATGGAATCAAAGAGTTATGGAAGTCCGTTGCGCGTCGTGTGCGAGATGAGGGATCAGAAATTGGTGTTGCTGCGCGCGCCTACGTCGTGGTAGATGGGAAACAAAAGGTATGAAACTAAGCGACCAGCAAGAGCCCGCCCAAGATGAATGAAGGAGCCCCGCTCGACCTCCTTTCGTGTCGCCATGAATCACGCTTCAGTTGGCCCCTGACGAGAGATTGCGGAGCGGCCTTAGCATGTGAAATGAACGAAGACGTCTCGTTCCGCGTTCGGCAGTTGCCGCATTACGCCCGATCGCTGTCTCTCTTGGACCGGACCCATCGCCTCGCTGCCTGGCTCTGGGGCGCCCCGCGTGCGTGGTGGGCTGGTGTTGGTGGCCTTGGGCTTTCCCCCGCATCCGCTCTTATTCCGCCAAGCTTGAAGGCGGGTTTAAGCCCAGATATAAGCTCGTCGACGCTTCTCGTGCAGATGTTGGCTCTTCGGGCCACCTCGGTCTGTAAGTGCACGTTGGTGTGCGTAAACGCATGTTCCGGGTTCAATCAGCTGCGTCATGGGCTGTGCTTCCGAAACTTAATCATATGATCCCCACGAAGCCTCCTCTGCTGACTCGGACTTGCAAAGAGCCACTCGGACTTGTAAAGACCCCTCGGCAGTCTACACGGGCGGGTGACGCAAAAATGGCAACTAAGTTTGCGGCCAAAAGCGCGTGAGATACAGAATCTCTGTGGGTGACACATGAGAACAACACTGTGGAGATATGATGCAATCAAGTTCATGAGACACTCGGAAGTGCCGAACTCAGGCCCAAGCGAAGCGGCTGAGTTCGCCCAGGTATTGGAGCAAAGTGGGGTTAATTTGTGACAAAACGATGAGGATATCGCTCGAGGCAATTCTGTCCAGTGCATGTAATCCGATATCCTAACCATATGAGTGCGACGAGTTCACTGTGCGATGCCTGCCAAGTTGATTCCAATTGAGGGCGCATACTGCCCGCATGTGTTGAAACGGCATATCGGCCACATATGGGCTGCCTGTGCAGCATAGGCCAAGACCTTCGTTCTCGGGCTAAAACATCCGAACGCGCCGATGTGCAAACCTATTTCATTCAAAGCAAATCCAGTTGACAACTGCAACATTAGCATACATGCAATCTTTCTAGATATAATACAACAGCGCTAGCGTAACGTGAATCATGATTATGACGAATGCACGAGGTCAGTGCAAAAAGGTGAGGCATGTCTAAGAAACTCAGACCAAACAAAGTTGGCAGCCGCATCCGAAGTGGGAAAAGTGGAATGGGGACCACGCGCATAAGCATCCGTAAGCCAAGACTCGATGAACGAGCCTTCGAGAGGGATAGCATTATCCCACTTTGGCCAGTGGCCGTACGGGAAGTGAAGATGCGCACCAATCCATGAAATCCAAAAGAGCTCCGTTCCCCAAGCCCTAATGCCGCTGTCAGGTCTGACTGTAAGGAGCCAGTTACGGATGTTGTCGCTGAGATGGGCCCAACAGCTTGGTGTTTTTCGGTCAAATGTTGAAGGCAGAGGGAGGAATGGGATGTCGTCATAGGAGCTAGTGTCGCCATGGATGCTCTCCGAGTCCTGATATAGGTAATTAGGTTGGTAGCGTAGAGGAGGTGAATGAACACACCGACGACCAATCGGAATCTGGGTTTTCCTCTGTTTCATCCTTGGTGTGAGCGCGTAGAGACAAGGTGGTATATGGCTCGAGTTCCGGGGCAACAGAGACGGAAATGGATATAGGCTTTTCAGGCCTCATTAGCAGGTATGATACAGCATCGACAAGGAGAGAAACTCACAATATCTTGATTGGCAAGGTGGGGGGGGATCTCTCCCGCGAAATTCAATGAGACATAGAACGGGAGTATCCTTGCACTCCCAGCGCGAGCGAGCGAGACATTGGGGTGCACGATGGCATTGACAGGGAGAGGCGAGGCGAGGTCCATGTCCATGTCGCTGAAGGACGGATCAGCAACGAGGGCAGCAGCGATGACAGTGGTGGAAACAAAGACTCAGAGAGAGAACTCGCAAGGTCGCCGCTCACCAAAATGGATGTGGCACGTGATCTGCACGCACCCTCAGGCTACATGCCGCTAAGTGCCTGCGACTCTGCAGACGCGCTGCGTTATACCAACGTCCACCGTAGTTGTATGCGTACTGTAATCCAGACGTTAACACGTTAACAATGGAAGATTTTGTTGATGGTACCGGTAAGCACGGGTCTTGTCCGATTGACGTATCTTACGGCTGGGAGCTTATATACAATACATCAAGTTATTCAGTATCCCTCAGACAGTGAATCTCGCGACGAAGTTCGTTGCACCGTCTGCGATGCAACACTCAAACTCAAGGGAAATATCAAGAAACACTTGAAATCCAAGAGCCACCGATCTGCATTTCACCAGAAGGCGTCTATCTCTTTACCTATGCCCAATGCCTCTCCGGTGGCAGGCCCATCAAGGACTCGGAGCCACGCTGCTCAGCTTGTCGATGACCCGATGGAAGAGCTTGGACCACCATCCTATCAGCTTGATCCTATGGATATCAGCCCACCCCGCAGTCCCATGGACCTTGGTCAACCCCACGATTCCCGGAATATCAGCTCGCCCCCCCCTCTTCCTGTTGAACATGGAACTGTTGGTCCTGATATCAGCAAGTCCCAAGCACCCCGTGATCGTGACTGGGCCCCACTATCCACGCTCATTAACAGTGTCCCTCAGTACCACAATCAGCGTGAGGATCATCTTGACGAGCTGATGTGGGATAGGTTGCGACAAAACCTCGCCTATCAGGATGCGTTAAGTGGGGTTGCAGGCAGCGACGACTCAGATGACTTCTATGCAGAGCAAGATGCCGGTATGAAGCTTCCAGGTACTAAGAGTTTGTCTCTGCAAATCTAATGACTACTGACGTCTTGCACAGATATCCAACCTCCTGCTTCGGATATCGGAGATACTTCAGAGACGTCACCTGAGGATCCCATGTATCCTTGGCCATCCAAAGAGGTTCGTCTATTCTTCCAATTATCCAATCATGAACATGTTAACTTAAACAACGGAAACAGCATTTCATTACTTCCGTCCTGTTCAGCTCCCCCCGAATACCTTACTCGACCGCTCAAAAGAATGCTGTACTGAACTGGGCAAAGGAGCTCGGCGCTCAAAATGTGCCGTCTCTATACTCCTTAAATAAAAGCTATAAGCGGGTTAAGGAGCTTGTTGGGGATCCTACCCAGCGCAAGGTTAGCCCTTCGGGCGATGTCTTCTACATTAACAATGTTGCAAAAGCGATTTCCATGGTATAGTGATCCTTCACTATCTACTTCAATTGCCACTTACATGTCTGCTGCTAAGGACTACGCCAACCCTTTAACACGATTTGCTATGCAGGATTACCCCGAAGATACCCCTCATAAAGTGTCGGAGGTATTTCACGGGCAGAAGATGCTTGCTGAGCGCCCATCGCCACCCGCTGTTCGCTTGAATAATAGTATATACTTTGTCGACGAGCTGCTCCGATTGGATGGAGGTGGCTTCTTCATACCCTCACGCTTTTTCTACGGATCACCAGAAAACACTTCAGGGGTACCAGAACGTCAGCTTTTAGCATTTGGACTGCCCGTTCAGCGTACAAAGGCAAGATAATCCCTTTTGATGAATTACCTATAAAATCTAACTGTTGTATGATCAGGCTGGGTTTGACGTCTCGTCCACCCCAATTCTCGTTCCAGTATCATCTTTTGAGCTATCGTTTAGCGACTTGCAAAAAGCGGGACAAGTCACTGACGGAGTTTCTGGTATGTGAGCAGGGCATTACAATGCTGCTACATGTACTGATTGTTCGCTAGCTTTGTCGGGGTCTAATACTACACTCGGCCCGAATCCTCTGCGTGTCAAATACAATGGAAAGATGGTATACTCTGTCCCTGTCATCGTTTTCATGGACGATGTATCGGGAAATATGTCCAAGCAGTGGAATAAGCACCATGCAGTATACATGTCGAACGGAAACTTACCTCGTGAGATGGTCGAGAAGGAGTTTTGTGTTCGCTTTGTCTCGTCTTCACCCAACGCCGCACCAATGGAGTTGATGCGAGCGATGAGGGACTCTATCAGGCAAGTAAATTCAGTCCTATTAGCAGAGAATTAGACTAACTGGTTATAAAGCCAAGCTGCGGACGCTGGTGTTGAGACGTGGGACTGCAAAGATGAGGATCGAGTTATACTGCTGCCATACGGTCTCTTTTTTGGCGGTGACAATCCGATGCAAGCCGAAGAGTGTAGCCAGGGAGGCGTCAACAGTAGCCACTTCTGCAGGACTTGCGATGTTGGCGGTACCAATGAATTCAAACAGAGCCACGCAGGCTATCAATCACTCTTTACGGTAAGTTGTGCTTCTTTTAGTTGCACACCCAGCTTATACGATCTGTTTAGTCCGGCAACTTACGGAATCCGAAAGATACGAAGGATGACATACTCCGGCAGTTCAAGACAGCGGTTGAGCCTGGTGCGGCCAATAAACTTAAGCACTCATTTCAGCAAAGTGGTATTCGGGATTCGACTTCATCCTCTATTTTAGACGCAGTCGTTAATATGGGAAAGAAGTTACGAACCAAAAAGGGTGACGCCAGTGGACCTTTGACGGAAGCAGAAATTCGGGCGAAGCTTGAGAAGGAAATGGAGGACCTTTTACGTGGCCAAGCTGCAGAGGATACCATTAATCCCTTACTTGGGATGGACGGTGCGTATTTTTTTTCCTTCTTGTCTTTGTCGTGCTTATATTTCTCAAGGCGTGAATATTCATATGGACACTCCGACAGAGATTCTTCATACCGTGCCCCTGGGAGTTGTCAAGTACCTGTGGAGCCAGACCATCACTGTTTTGGACGAAAAGAAACTGCTCGGTACTTTCCAAACTCGTCTTGACTCCGTTGATGTCAAGGGGCTCAATAGTGCTGCAATTGATGCGGCATACATGGTTCGACATCGCCAGAGCCTCATTGGCAAGCACTTCAAGAGTTTGGCACAGGTAATGCCATTCTTAGTCTACGATCTTGTGCCGTGCGAGGTCTTGGATGCGTGGACACGTCTAGGGGAACTTGTAGTGCTTATCTGGCACACGGAAATTAACAATATGGAAACCTACTTGGTGAGTTGAACGGACATAAATTTACTCAATATTAATAAGCTTACTGAGCTATGTAGGCGGATCTCACTCGCACAATCCAGGATTTTCTCAACGTCTCCTGTAAATGCGCACCAGGCATCCTCCTCAGTAAATCAAAGTTTCATTTTCTGATCCACCTTCCTGCATACATCCGGCGCTTTGGACCTGCTATAATCTTCTCAACTGAGCGTTATGAATCTTTCAATCACATCTTTCGGCTTTCGTGTATCTTCAGCAACCGGCAAGCTCCGAGTAGAGACAGCTGCTTGGCTTTTGCCCGGCAAGATGCAGTCAAGCACATTGCCACAGGCGGGTTTTTCTATGACCCCCATCACGAAAAGTGGCTTCGAGCTGGTTCCTTTGTTCTTGGGTACCTCAAGCATCACCCTGAGCAAGCTCGTCTGCTGGGTTTGACAGACTACTTAGACCAGAAGTCAAATCCAGCACCAGGTACGGCGTTACTCAGGTTCAGGTAGATGTCGGAATTGTGCTAATACTTAAGTGATTGATAATCTGAAGGTTCTGGGAAGATTGAGCGATCATCAAACCCAGTTGTCGCCACCCACACGCGGTGCAGCAAGATTTGGCCACAGTTCGCATTAGACAAGGCCTTTTATCACGGTACCAGTTTTGTTGCCCGACATGGTGACAACGTGACGGTTGGACAGCATGTTATCCTTGACAGGGATCACGAGCTTTGCATAGGGACCATTAACAAGATCTTGGTTTCCGAAGCAGATCATTGCTCGGTGAAGCACATTGCAGTGCAAACCATGGAGTTTATGCCAACTCTACACCCAGCTCTGCATTTACCATGCTTGCGACAGACTATTCAAGAACTTGTTGTGGGTCCAGCGGTAAGTAAACGCTCACTTCTGGTATCATATATCACAGTGCTCAAATGCAACCAGAGTGTTGTCTGCGCAGTGAATCTTCAGCACGACTGCCCCGAATCACATTGCACCGGCGTCACAACCAAGATGGTTTACCAAGAACGTGAGGCCACCACATGTACCAAACTTGTTATCGAGCATGAACCCAACGATTTGTATGTGCTCAACGCATATTCATTGCACAATTACCAGCACATCCGTGCTGTCATACCCAACAGCGAACTTCTGAAGGCTCCTCTGCGTGTTGCAGAAGAGGATATCAACGACGTTCGAGATGCAGCGGTCCGCAAGCTCAAGGATAAAAGAGATCAACGAGCTGCTAGCAAAAGGACGAAGCCCACCCCAACATCGGACGAAGTTGCAACTCGTAGTGGCTCAATGCAACCGCCACGCTTTCCGTCCATCCAGTCGCCTACTGTAAGCGAACCGTCATCATCGCAAAGGCCAAAACCTCGCCAGAAAACGAGAATAAATAACCCTCAGTCCAACATTCAGTACTCGAGCTCATCACATCAGACTACTCGCCACGCATCCCACCCAGCTGATGATTCTCAATCCCCCAGTAGGCATTCAATTCATCAGCCCTCGTTACTATCATTGCGTCAAGATACTGATCCACCCTCTCCGTCTCTAGTAGTTTCTTCACGCCCGTCAGATCCAAGCCAAGGTCACCATCTCGTGTTTCGCCCGGAACAGACCCCACCACCGCGCTTTGATCATCAGAACCTGCCACCAATGATGCCGCCTCCGTCAGCACGCAGCGACCAGATGAATCAGATGGATTCATCCCGCAATTTCCCTCTGCCAGACATCACTCACAACCTTTCTTACACGGCAGCATCTCAGAACCCACAACATTTGTCTCAACAATATTCTCCTAGTCCTTTCGTAGCTCAGAGCCCTCCCTTTCCTTCGCACCACCGCGGCACAAACCTTCCACAGCCGCCGAACCCTCTTTCCCAGCCTCAATATCCATCCATGGGCATGATCCCGCACTGGCAGCCTTTGCAGGGTCACCATACATGGGCTCCTCTAGCTCCGGGTCAATCTCAGGGACAGCCATCGCACTTCCAGCAACCACCAAATCCTCAATATGCCCATCCTCATGAGCCAGCGGCCCAGCACCCAACCAACACATTCTGGCATGCGGTCCAGCCAAGGTCCTATCGCCCTCCATGGAGTTCGCCTCCTCCGTGAGGTCTTCTTGAAGGATTTCGAAGGCAAGCCACAAGTTCACGCCCAACTAGTGGGGCACTTCCCTGGACATCCGCGACATGACAGACTTGGGACCTCCCGTGACACTCAACACATTCCGCCCTCTCTTGCGGTACCCCTCCCTCCGCACGTTCAAGATCGAGGTGAAGAGCCCGTTCGCGCTCACAGACGGCGATATCGACGAGCTGTCCTGCGCTTGGCCCAACCTCGATGAGATCGCGCTGAATGAAGTCACCGGCTGGGGCGAGCCGAGCGTCACCATTGAGGGTCTGTTCTCGCTTGTCCGCAACTGTTCGCAGCTGCGGTCCATTGCATTGGCCATTGATGCATCACAGCTCATCGACATCCCCATCCGCCGGGCCTGCTGGTGGAGTCAGGAGTAGAAAAGTGGAGGCGCTGTCTCTCTCCGACTCGCGCGTGGGGGATCCTGTTGTTTTGATTCTGATCCTCGCGCAGCTGTTATCTTTCCCCAAGCTCAGGGTTCAGTTCAACCCCTGCGCGTCTCTGCCCTCGGGTGCACACTGCACTCAGCCGGTGCTGATCTTCCACGGATGCGGGCTCGTTGTGCGGTGCTCATTGCCCATCCACTCGCTGCTCATCTGCCACGCATTGCACGGTGCTCGCAGCTCGGTGCTCATTGACGCTCATCCTCGCTGCCGTGTGGGCTCGCGTATTTCGGCTCGGGTCTCAGCGCACCTGAGCGCAGCGGTGAGCACAGCCATTGACGTCAATGTGCGCAAATTGGGTCATGTGACTGCACAAGCGAACTTCGCGAAGTGGTGCGGGTGGTGCATCTCTGTTATTTTATGGCGTCTTTGCATCTGGCGAACTCGCGTTGCTCCTTCTCTCTTTTTCCATCTCTCCTCCCTCAATTTTTGTCTCCCTCTCTCAGCTCAACCAGTCTCCCTCAACCCTCTTGCTTTTCCCTTTCCCTCCTTTGTTATGTATGTTGGCCAGTATCGCTACCATGTTCCAACCACCGGCACTGGACCGGGGAGAACCTCCCTTGCCCGCTCAGTTGTTGGTGGCCCAGGACCGCCTTCCAATACAGACCGCTCTCAGAGGGTCTCTCAACGCTCGCAAAACACCCTTGTATCTCACAGCTCAAGCGGGACATTGCCCATGGATCTTGCACCTCCTCCCCTCGCCCAGCCGCCTCGTCGTGCCCCATCTGAGGATGACTTATCGCAGCCCGGTTTAACCACAAGCCTCCGCAGGAGCAGGGACAACTACGAAAAGGATGACCCGCTCATGCTTACGCCCCACGAGATCAAGCGGAACAAGCATGACGCCGACGACATTGCCAAGCGGATTGACGTAGACAAGAAGGTCCTTCATGGGTTTATTGATGTACGTCATAAATTTTGGTGTCGTGTCAACGTGCTCACTGGTCTTCAAAGCTTGGGGGTGTCGTGCCAATGCTTACGGAAATACGAGCTATCCAAGAAAAAAACTCGGAAATTATTGCTGACAAGACCAAGCGTCAGTGGGAGAAGAAACTGAACTCCAAGGGGTTCAAGGTATTTTCGCTCTTGATTGTTTTTATCTATCTAACCATTTGACAACAGGGTATGCTTACCACTCGTCTCATGGCCGCCTTTCTGTCACCAAACCTCACCGCATATAGGATCAATTTCACGAAAAATGTAATGGTGTGTATATTCATGCAGTTATCTCTATCTCGTCAACTGACTACCAGCACAGAAGTTTATACGCCTCCACCCTGACATCTTCGAGGTCAACAACGGCCTGCTGAATGATTACCACCTGTCCGAAAGCTTCAGACGCTCGGGTGTTTCCTTCCACAGTGGACAAGTTCGAGGGACTATCAAAACCCGGGTAAGTAGATCTCAGCTTCCTCCGTCTTCATCATTCCACTGATATTTATGAAGATCACCGATTCCCTCAAGAAAGAATTGAGCATTGTCACCCTTTCTAACGGCCTCGCGGTGTCGGCCCAGCACATCCCTGTGGACTCTTCCCAGTGGAGGAGGGTAGCTGCACTCGTAAGCCGCTCATGCTTTTGTCACATATACGCATGCTGAGCTTATGGTTAGCGCCTGTTCACCCGGATCTTCCTCATCGGCACGGGCCAGTTCAACAAGCCAAGGTGTCTTCCCCTACGTCGACTTTTCAGCACCCACATGGCTGGCTCTATGCATCCTGACCTCCACCCGACCATCCAAGAGCACCTTGGCATCGACGTTGCAGCTCTGCTCCGTGGGGATGATGATACTTCTAGGGACATAAACGGTAATGAACGTACCCCTCCAGCAAATACTAATTCTCCCGAACGCCCTTCGGCAGCTGATGAGCCTCGCCACGGTGAAGAGGACGGCGAAGAGGACGGCGAAGAGGACGATGGCCCGGAGTCCGGACCAGACGAAGGGGATTTTGAAGATCCCGATGAAGAACATGATGAAGCCCGCCCCGCTCACCTTGACCCTCTCGAATCAACACCTGAAGGCGACGACGGTTCGCCGCCGTTGCCGCCAAGCTCGTCCGGATTCTTCGAGACGACTGGAACTTATGGCCAGAAGGTCCCTCCCCGGTATGGCGAGAGAAGCCTCTGGCCCTTCATCGACGACTCTTTCTCGAGCATTCGCAAAGTCGCCGTGGATAACGTCCGGAGGCATCCTATTTCAGGTCTGTCAATGACACGGGCCCGAGACATTGAGATGAAGAGGTAGGTGCTTTTGTCTCAGAGATCGGCTTCTCGCTGATCGTATATATATCAGGATACTCGGTGAGATTATGCAAGCAGACATGGCAGAGTTCAAAGGTAACAACGACGACATCCCCATGCGTGATCTTGTCGACGATGATGACGAAGGTGTCATGAACGTCGGCCGGAGCACCTCCGTCCCTGAATGGGTGGCCATCATGCACCGTGAGCTTCGTTGGGATTAGCCTGTAAATTTATTGTATATCTATTAGACCTGCTTCTGCGCAGAACCACAGCTGTCCATACTCAAATGCCCGTCACTACTCGTGTAGGATTAAACATTCTAATGCATCTTGTTTACTCGTCATTGGTCCTGATAACGGCTGCCATCAAGGAGCAAATTGGCTGGTACACGGTAGTACGAATATGAGATTCACATATGTCGTATAATCGCTGCGAGCAACTGTTGACCATATCACAATCACAGCACTGAGATGAGTTGGTGATCCCGACATGCTGCACACGTGGGTACCCGGACATCGTGATCATTTGGTTCGGAACATATTCCTCACATATTGGTGAACAAGGCTCTGTTTCATTTCGTACGTCCCATTTTGTGACCATTGCCAGTTGATAATGCTCCAACTTCAAACCCTGTATCACATCCACGTGTGGGTTCCAGTGACGTAGACATATCATGGCTCCCACTTTGTCACAACCCTCGCGGCCATAAGCGGTGGCAAGCTTAGCCAATATGGAGGTGATAAAGTCTCAAAATCATTTCGTGTACATATTATTCCCGAACCGCCGTGTAGGGTCGCGAAGTTCGTCATCGTTCTCCAGTGTTTCACTATAAAGGGCTTGAAATGTGAAGGTCCGGACATAATAACGTGGGCCTCGCACATCCGTTTGTAGAATTGCTTAGTGTCTGATGGTGAAGGGCGATCCTAAGCATCTTGAGCTCTACTTCTAACTTGGCTTCGCTTCACTGCTCAAGAAATCGATGTGAGGTCCCTGGAAGCGGGATCATCAGAAGTTATGGACACGAGTTAATGTCAACATTAATGTTCGACCGAGAAGTCATGGATGGCTCTGCCAAGTGCTCGTTGCTATCTATTCTCAAAACATTATATGAACGCGATAGGCAGCACAACTCAATTCTATGCTAATCCGGCGCGTCGGCGCGCCTTTGATCCTCATTGAATAGTGTTCGGCACATAGATGTTGTCTCTTCTGCCGACAGATAGTATCCAGAACCCGTCTCGCCGATGGGAGAAATGCCTTTGGGGAAGTTGAACGTGGCGTGGCCAATGCTATGGGCATCAGAACAAGTGTCATCAGACTGAAAGCTGAGGAAGTTCACATTAACGGCTAGCATGCACAACCCGGACGTCCGTCGCCTGTTGTGACTGCCAGCTGGTAGATCATGCGACGCCGCCTTGTTTCTACTTGCAGCAGAACAGCGATGCTTCAGAGGCCCTTTGCCGCTTTGAGGACCAAGATATCGCGGTGCCGTCGATGGTGAGCTCGGCGCCTTCCTTGGTTAACTTGAAAGCGAAGACAGCGGCGTCGACCTGGACATCGGAGACGATGGTGTTGAAGACGGGCGAGGCACCGAAAGAGGAGATGGACTGGTAGGCCTTGCCCGTGATCCTTTCCGACGTTCTTCTCGTAGTTGGCGAAGCCACGCTCATACGTACTGTAAGTAGCATTGCATCATAAATAACAAGCAAACACCGAGAGTAGAGTCGGAGAATATGTACGCCTTGATGGAAGCAACGTGCTTGTTCAGAGTAGTGAAACGTTAACCGCACCGCTGGCGTGATTGAGCATCCCGCGCTTTTGGAAGGGAATCTTGGTGGCCGGGGCCTGTGTGGTGGGGGAGGCCTCAACCAAGGACGGGAGGCCGACGACAATAGTAGCGAGAGAGAAACGCATGATGAAAGAGACTCGGGGGCTTGGGTCGTGAAGTGCAAGTGCTACTGGGGAATGACGGGCGAATTCAAATATTCAGATCTTTACGAGCAAGAAGAGACCGTTGTTGAGATGAGAACGCGGCTGCAGTCGGCGGACGCTATTGTGTTATCCCCGTGGTAAGACTTTGGTCCATACTGGTCCATACCATACAGCTATTGAATGATGCCGCATCGCGAGCTAATGTTGCTAATGTGAGGTGAATTGCCTGTCAACGCCATCCAGCTGTCAGGTACGCACGCGATAATCTCTGGGATACCGCGCGTTTTGTGTATTTCCCCGCATTTCGAACACTTAGAAGAATGAGCACACCTATCTATCCGCTGATCCTTGCGCCTCTCCTCAGTAGCGTATGACACATTAGGAAATGGATCATGACACTGGCATACTAGACTGTATGCTGTGAGTTGGACTTCTGGGGAAAACAGCCAAACACGTACCATACCGGCTGTGCACACCTAACACCCTATGGAATACTTTGCGATGCGCATCCGTGTCAGCATGATGGTACGGTTATGGCCCTACTAGTGAATCGTGATGCATGCTTCAGAAAAAAGCAACTCATTAACGAAGAACAGTCAGCATCGGCCGACAGAAGGAGGTAACTGCATTCTAGGCCGTGTTTCTGGAACTTGCTCGTATGCAGAGGGACACTCAGAGGTCTGGAGCCACCAAGTAACGGTAAGAGTTGTTTCCGCTTTGAAGTTTCGGTTTGTATGAACGATAGCACGTACGTGTTTCGACGACGTTATCGGAGCGTCAGCCATCCTTCTTGCTCGCCTTGAATACTTTTACAGGCTTATTCCGGAGAGATCGGCTGCAGCAAGCCCGCATGTCGGTCATATATTCGACATAGACCTCGTTATGTCCTTGAGATCAGATGCTGAGACAGAAGTTTCCGAAGGGATTCGGAGGGAAAGGTAAAAACTTGGCGAAAGACACTGGCAGTGCCGAATTGTTATGGCCAGTTCATCGCGTGCTTTCATCGCCGAGGTGAATGTCGAATAGCTCTTGAGAACACAGCAGGTCCTAGTGGTAAGCAGCAAGGATGGGTGACGCGTCTGAAGATCTGAAGCCTCTGTGAGGCAAAAGCGATACACTCAGCCTTGTGTCGGGCAAGTTCCCACGAATTGTGATTGGCCCGTTCCTCCGACCAAGTCAGCGAACCTCCTCCGCTGTCCTCGGACCACGAGTCGGTGCAAACAAAAACCGATATCTCGGCAACATTCAATGTTGCTCACTTGACTTCAAGCCCCCCAACTTTAATGGGCAGTCCTCGTTCGATGCTGAGGCGAGCGCCTTAGCCATTACGACTACCCCCACCATCATGCCTCCTGATACTCAGAAACGCCATCACCACAAACATTCACCTCCTGACGGACCAAAGCGACTCCCTGCCTGCGATGCTTGTAAGCTTCGCCGAGTGAAGTGCGATCCGGTGCTTTCACCGGATTCTTGCTCACGCTGTATCTCCAAGGGCATTACGTTCGTTCGTTTCACTGATAAAATATAATGGGTCATTATTGATGACCTTTTATTGAACAGGTGCACTACAACCCCAGTCAAGCGCAAGAGTAGGACAGGAACACGTATCGAGGCAGCCAGGTAGGGTCATAACCTCTCACTTCTGACCAGATGTGTATACTATTTCATTCAAAAGAGCTGCCTTTGGTGCTCGACCGGGTCATGAAGCAAAGCCAGCACCTCTCATTCGAGCTGAATCATTCATAGTGCAGCTTGAGGTCTCTGGCGAGCTCACTGCACACTTACTCGAGGGTACGCTGTCATGTGAAGCCAAACGTCAATTGTTGATTTAGGGCGTACAACAGTTCACGCCTTCGTCACCGGGGGCAACCTGATCGCTGGCAACTCCCTCATCCCCCAATTCAAAGCTAGCGGACGACGCCTCGCCTCACTCCCTCGGCTCTCCCAGACCCTGACGCTCTGCGTGCTGGCCATCTCCGCACGTATATCGTCGCACCCCCTCTTGTTCGGCTCCTCAGCTATGCCTCCCCGCCTGGCTACCATCATCGTCGATACTTCGGCCGTGCGTAGGGACAGCATACCCGAGTGGGGCCGGCGACGCGAGACGGCGTGTCAGCGGCTGCGCGAGATGGCTGTTGAGAGCGCGTGGGACGCGAAGCTGATCAGAGGAGACGGGGATGTGAGCGATGAGGGTCTGGCTGCTTGTTTGATGCTTGGGGTCATTGAAGAACGTAAGTATCATTCCTGTACTCCATGCTTCGCCGTGAGCTTACGCATTTGCAGGGCATGAGCAGGGGAAGGGTCAGCTATGGACAGCCGCATTTATCTCGCTTCTTAGGAGGAAGATTGAAGCGAAACACGAAGAAGTCACGCCGATTGCAGGTTCCGACGACGTCAATGATGGAAAAACCGGTAGCTTTCTGATGTCTACTTCATCCTCGGTCATTGCACCAGACAAGCTTCTCGACAGAGCGCCCTCGGACGTCTCTGACCTGACATGGTCTACTCACATCGTACGTCACTGGCTATTTCCGCTATAGCTAGCTCATTGCCTCCCTAGATGCGCGAGGCGCTCTCATCTGCTGCTCGTGGACAGCTATGTGCCTAGTATGTGTTCTGACGCGTTCTGTCGCAATCAGTTTATCGGTCTGACAATTGATCTAACAGTACGCTTCATGACGAGGAACTACTCACTGGGCTACGTCCTGTTGACATCGAAAAAGTGTTGGCGCACTCAGACACTTTTGGGCTTGCCTATTCCCCGTATCTCCGAGACTCCTTTGAAGAAGAACACGTTCGTGCTGAATGGTGGGACTTTGAAGCCTACTACTCCATCATTCGACCATGTACGTGTGCAGATTGATCTAAGGACCCAGACGCAGGTTGCTGACAAGCCGTACGTCCAGTTACTCACCGGATGACGGAGGTTGCATTGCGGAGCTACGAGTGGTCTTTGCGTGAGTGATGCTTACATTCTTGGTAACAGTGTATCATTTGTGCCTATATCTATTTTCCTCTACAGGCCGACTCCACCACGCACCCTTCGACGTCAGAATATTCGATGAACACATAGCTTCGCTTGTTCCACTACAAAAGCTTCTTATGGTGGCAGGCGACAGGCTGCTAAATTTGCTCTCTCCCATGGCTGTAGACATGCGCCGTCGAGTGGGGCGCAGTGCATCGAACTCGCAAAGAACCGATGGGACATTAACAGGCTCCGCGCCGACTCCCTCGGACAGCCCTAAATCTCGCGGAGGAATGGTAATGCAGGGTGCGGATGGCAGCGATAGCATACATTCGCCGATGGACGAGCTGCGCGCTCAAGAAGCGGCTCGGTCGCTTCATCTCCTTCTTAGAGGATCCATGGGCGCGAGCCTCTTTCCCATCTTCAATGATCTCTCGGAGCGCATACAGGCTATCGACAACGGCTGCGGCTTCCCGAGGGACAACAGAGAGCTCTTGGTGAACATGCTGGATCGCGTGCGCAGAGCCCTGCTGCCGCAGGTCCTCTCTATGCTCAGGAGTATAAGCAACACCGTCCACCTTGCCTGGGTAACGTCTATCGGGCGTTCGGTACGCGAATCTGGATCCCATTCTGGGTGCTCGGACTGGTCCGCTTCATCGTCTCCCGAAGCGGAGGCTCACAGCCCCGCCACTGTTGGCTCCATCAGCTCTGATCCAGGGCCTTACTCTGAAGACAGTGATGCGGTACTTGGGGAAAGCGAGCTACTGTTCCCGTCTTCGCTTGTGTGGGAAGGGAAATTGATGTCGATGTTCCGGACATGTATCTCTCCACACGTCTTCTCTAGGGCGAGCTGGAACGAGCCGTTTTCAATATGGGCACGGGTACTTCTTGATTCGCCGCTGGCTGAAGACGGGCGTGATGGCATAACGCGTGCGGACAGGCTCTTTGGGCTCGAGACGTACGTGACTCGTAACCGCTACCTCTTGCTATGTTAGCTGACCGGCGTAACGCAGCGTGCTCGACAGCGTAAGAGTCATGTCTTGGGCGTACCCCTCTCTCGACGACAACTTCATCCGAACCCTCGAGCGCTCAACTGAAGCGCTCAAGGCAGATGGAACCCATGATGGTGGAACTGCCATCAGCTCGTCGCCCTCGTTCTCTCACGATACCCCCTCCACCTCGAGTCATTCCCTTCTACCGAGAGCGACGACGGCCACGTCCATCCCCACACTCAAGGAGGTGCTCGAGGGTGTCCCACACGAGCGAGTCTCTGATGTCTTCTTCGGAGGGAGTGGGGCAGGCGGACTTGGTATGGAGGGGACGGATAGCGCCCGTAATGCGATTGAGGAGCTCAGTTCGGATTTGAGGAGTTTCATCATTGGTGATGAAGCAAATCACAGGGATGCAAACTTGGAGATCAACGGCCTTGCGCATACGGCACCCTCCGCCACCGCAGAAACCTATTCTCTCCATCCGTCCGCCAGCCCATTGATTGACGTGGTGCTGCTTTCTACACCTCCAGGGCTCAGCGCTTTCACTCTTGCCGTGGATCACGCATCTGTCATCGATCCGATACCAGACCTCACCATGCTCACCCAGGACAAGAGTCTAATCGCTCAACCAGCATTCTTCCCGCCATCTCAGTCTATGCCAAACGACGTATCGGGGAACTGGGTATCCGAAGGTTTCGGAGCTCAAGGCTACAATGAGCAATACGATCACCGACATCATCTTCCCGATCACCAGGTGCTGCAGCACCCTCCAGCGATACAATCCATGTTTCTCGGCCGCACTCATCTCCCCCACACTGTTGATATCGCTTACGAAATGTCATCAGGCATGCCTGCTGCGCATTCTATGAGCGCGGTCGAACTCGAGGCCGAGTTCCAAAGGCTGTTCGATGGGCGGGAATCAACGCGTGATGGGGCTTTTGACCCTTCCATCTGGAAAGGTTTCGATTCACAGGGAGTTTTGGACTGGGGCAGCGTTTGAGTGTGATACCTAGTGTGGAACTATTGCTGGAGTATGTGGGTTTTGGTGCGTTTCGGTTCAATATGGTGTGTATGTGGCGTATCGCGTCTTGTACGATACAGGTGCTGGTCCTTAGTTCAATCCCAGAATAAGTGCAGTGCCGGCGTAATAGTAAGCAAGTTTCTGTGAGGCCGAGCCGCAAGACGCACCTTGTTGACCAAGGTATAGGTTTGGTCCCTACTAGATGCTAAGACTGTGCCAGCGTGCAACCTTGCGTGCAACTATGGGTGTGAACTTCGGAAGTTTCCACCGAAGAAGCCGGCTCGGCGTCATTATCCCGATGCTATGATCGGCTGCGGTTACTCCCCGTCTCTTCATAGTCAGTTGGCTAGGCTGTATGCGATGACGCTGCTGTGCGCTGATACGAAATTTGCTTATCTTCAATGCCTAGGTTAAAGCTGGCCAAACACCTCTTGCCACCATCAGGATGCCCCCAGACGTCAAAAAACGCCTTCCAGCCTGCGACGCGTGCAAACTCCGCCGTGTCAAGTGCGATGCGGTGCCCCTACCTGAGTCGTGTTCACGCTGCACCTCCAAAGGCATCATGTAAGTCCACGTTATATCGCCTCTTGAGGGTCATCCTGTTCACAAGTGGCAGATGTACTACGACCTCAATCGGCCGGAAGAGTCGGACTGGTGTGCGAGTGGAGGCAGCAAGGTTGACCATCTACCCCACTCTAAGTTCGAAGTGATCATGCGTGCTCACTACCAGTGCTTAGGGCTGCCTTTGGCACTACTTTCCCCCGGATCCAGGCGAAACCTTCCCCCCTGGTACCAGCCGAGGTATCTATGGCCCAACTCGAACTGTCAGGGGAAGTCGCTGCCCACTTACTCTCGCGTGCGTAACATTGTTGGAGTTTGCGACTTATTCCTAAGACAGTTCACGTGACAGTCCACGCCACCCTCCCCAGCGAGTTCCTCGTCGCGGGAATGTCTCTCATCCAAAAGTTCGAGGCTAGCGGACGGCGGATCTCCATGCTACCCCGAACATCACAGGCCTTGACACTCGGCACAATGGCAATGACCGCACGCATCTCGTCCCACCCCTTGTTGTTTGGCACCTCATGTGCACCTCCGCGACTCCTAAGTGTGATATTTGACGACTCGCGGGTTGGCGTCGGTTCAGTGCCTGAATGGGGCCGGCGGCGCGAGAACGCATGCCGGCGACTACGAGAGATGGCCCTGGAGAGTGCATGGGACGCGAGGCTGCTCAGAGGCCAGGGTGGAGACTCGAGCGAAGACGAGGAGATGGCTGCTTGTCTGCTGCTGGCGGTCATTGAAGATCGTGCGTAAATCCTGGCGCCGCTCTCGTTCATTGTTGCTTACTACGCCAAGCAGGGTATGCTCTGGGGCAAGGGCAGATATGGCACGCCGCGTTTGTCTCGCTACTCAGGAGAAAGCTTGAAGCGAGGCGCAAGGCTGAGTGGGATCCATCCTTTTATAACTCTCCCCCCAGCACCGGGATTGCTCTAGGTTCGTCCTCTAGCTCGGGACCTTCACCCCCTGGCCCGGGACTAGCCAGACGTTCCCCACGCTATGCAGGTTTGGCTTGGTCTATCCACATCGTGAGTTACGGCTCTTCCGTAGCTACGACTTGTAGCTGAATGTCTTGTCCAGATGCGAGATTCGCTATCTGCCGCTTCTCGGGGGCACTTGTGTTCATAGTATGTACATATCTTCTTAGTCTGATTCGTCTAACAAGCGTATTAGCACTCTTCACGACGAAGAACTAGTCATGGGTTTGCCTCCTGCGGTCCCGGAAATTGTGCTAGAGCACTCGACGTCCTTTGGCCTCAGTGATCCAGCCCATCCCAGAGATCCACTTGAAGGAGAAGTCATCCGAACGGACTGGTGGGACTTTGGGGCTTACTATTGTCTCGTTCGACCACGTACGTTTCTACCTTCTGCTCCTTTGTTTCGACCATACGCCCAACACAATTGGACACTAGTCACCTATCGAATGACTGAGATTGCGTTGGGAAGCTACGAGTTCCATTTGGGTGCGTGATTGTCTTGTAAGCTGAATCTGACATTCATTCTTGCATTCATTCATTCCTAGCCCGGTCCCATCATTCACCTCTTGACGCGAAGAAGCTCGAGAATTACGTTGCCTCCCTTATTCCAATGCAGAGGCTTCTGAACTTGGCCGGAGAAAGGCTGGCTATGCTGGTATCTCCAATCGCTGTCGGCATCCGACGCTATGCAGGACGCGGTGGCAGTTCTCAGCACGTGACCGGGGACGAGCACGCAATTTTCACAAAGCTGTTTCAGAACGGTTTTCGTGCTGGCGATGGCGCGCCGACACAAGGCACGGATGGAGTAGATGGCATCCACTCTCCAAAAGATGAACTTCGCGCCCAGGAAGTGGCACGCTCGCTTCACCTGTTCCTCAGAGCTTGCATGGGCGCCATCCTCTTCCCTGTCTTCAATGACCTTTGGGAACGAATACAGGCAATCGACAACGGTCGCGGATGTCCAGGGGATGATAGAGAGCGTCTGAGCAGCATACTGGACAACATACGAAAAGCACTGCTCCCTTACGTGCTTGTTATGCTGCGGAGCCTAACTTCGGTCGTTCACCTCGCATGGGTCACGTCTGCCGGTGAATCGCTTCGACAAGCTTCTCTGCGTCTTGGACGATCCCCCAACGGAGCTCCTTCACCTGATGATGCCACCACGCCGATCACAGCCCTTGTCACTACGCCCACGCCTGTCCCCTACTCCGAGACTCAGACTCTACCTCTCGACAGCGGGCTGCTCCATCCATCTTCGTTCGCCTGGGAGGGCAAGGTGATGCAGATTTTCCGCATGTGCACATCTCCTCATCTGTTTGGTCGCCCGAGCTGGGAGGAACCATTCTCAATATGGTCCCGAGTTATCCTGAGTTCCACTCCAATTGAGGATGGGGGCACAGATCTTAGCCGATCCGAAAAGCTCGCCGGGACTCGAATGTGGGTAGTTGTGCTTCTGCATATATCGCGTGCGGTCGTCTGATGATGTCCTATCTTAGTCTGTTAGACATCGCAAGAGTCATGGCGTGGGCGTTCCCCACTATTTCTGATGATCTCATTTACGAAGTTCACAAGACGTATGAAGGTATGAAGGCGCTGGGCATATCCGAGGACACTGCTGGCCCCGGTTCTAGCTCGGACCTCAGCGTCGAAGGAGCACTTTCGGATGCTTCCGATCGTTATTCAGGGCTTATCCCCAAAGTCACACCCGCGGAAGCGGTCCCCACAGTCAAGGAGGTGTTGGAGGGCGTCCCACACGAACGGGTTTCGGACGTGTTCTTCGGCGGGGGTGGGGCCACCGGGTTGGGTCTAGAGGGACACGAGAGAGATTCCCGGTTCATTGAAGATCTCTGTTTGGACCTGAACAGACTGAAGATTGACAAAGCTTCGAGCCACACCGGTACAGACTCGGTGAATGCATCACCGGGACAGGTAATGGCCAACGACGCGAGGAATACGTACTTGAACATGCTCGCAGCTGGTCCTTCCTCTCTCCGGTCCCCTTCTACCGTTTCATCGCATTCCCAGCCGTCGTCTATGCTACAAGATGTCGGTGTGTTCAATCCCACTATGAACTACGCCCCTTCCGTCAACCAGGTGTGGAATGCCGCCGCTCAACCAGAGTCGTCACACCCTTCTTATACGTTGCCGACCTGGGAAGGCGCGAGCCCGCTACCTGGGAGCTCTCAGGGATTCGCTCAACAGAGTCCATCATACGCTGGAGACTTGACCGAGGAGGCTTTGTCCCTACACCAGCAAGGATACCAGCCTGACTCGCTCTCCGCGTTTCCTGTGGCCTCTTTGGACCACGAGTCAGCGGCTGCATCAGACCCTGTTAGCTATCCGACCGAAGCTGAGCTCGAGGATGAGTTTCAGCGGATATTTGGCGGTCGCAAGCCGGATGAAGCGCAGGATCGTTTGGCCTCGCAAGGGTTTAACTTGGAAAGCTTCAATTGGAGTGGGTTTTAGAATCGCGCCATTGGGAGGCTAGTAACCAGGATATTGGCGCGTCGGGGTCAGAGGAGGCGTTTTGCTGGATAGATCTACCAATTCCTTGGGTATATGATACTCATATATCAAAGTGTAGTTTACTTGAAATAATAAATGTTTCCGCAGAGTTCTACATACACCCAATCGTTGACGATCATTGGATTGGTCAACTTTGCGGCTGTGCAAGCAAGCGGTGCAGCGTGAGAGGATGTTCACTTAAAGCCCCTGTTGCCGGCCCGCAGTTGCGCAGACGTCGCATTCTGACATTTCGGCGGCTTCCTGCGACCGGACCAATGGCAACATAAAAGTTCCCATCGCAGTCCTCAAATCTCTGTGTATACTGATGTATCATGTTTTGAACAACGGATGCCCTACGTTTCCCTCTTGACTCCAACATGCCCCCAGACAAGAGCCCAAATGCCCCCAAGCGACTTCCCGCATGCGATGGTTGCAAACACCGGCGCATCAAGTGCGACCCAGTTCCTTCGCCCGGATCCTGTCCTCAGTGTATCGTGAAGTGCATTGCGTGAGCCTTTTGGTTTAGAGCTTCTCAGAAGTTTGGACGAATTGGCAAGACAGGTGCAAGACGACCCCGGTTGTGCGCAAGAGAGCGAAGGAGAGGACGGGCATACGGATCGAGGCTGCACGGTGAGTTCATTGCTTGTTTGTGTTTTTTTTGGCTCTGGCTGACCACCGCGTACGAAGAACCACTTTTGGCGCTATCAGACCTCTCCATGAGACTACGCCCGCCCCTTTGGTCCGAGCTGAGAACTTCTTGGTCCAGCTTGAGCTCTCTGGCGAGCTAGCTGCTCACCTATTGGATCGTGCGTCCCCAAGTTCGTTTTGACCTTGCGTCAAGGCTCACTCGAACTTCTCGAGCTGTTAGTTTACTCAAAGATCCCTCGTGATAACCTGATACCCGGGTCCACCTTGAACGAGAGGTTCGAGGCGAGTGGAAGGCGGATCGCCATACTCCCGCGGACCACGCAGGTCTTCGCGCTTTGCGTCCTAGCTATATCGTCGCGCTTCTCGTCCCACCCTCTCTTGTTTGGCCCCGGCCCTCCACCACCGCGGCTCTCTCAGCTTCTGCTTGACCCCTCGATTGACAGGGCGGCGGTTACCGAATGGACGCGAAAGCGCGAGAACGCATGCAAGCGACTCGAAGACCTCGCGATCGAAAGTGCGTGGCATGCACGGCTCATCACTGGGAGCGGAGACGCATCAGAATGCTTTGAATGCTCTCAAAGCGTGAGCAGCGAGGCGACTGCTGCGTGCCTGCTACTGGACACGATCGCTGATCGTATGTACCACGTTCGCCGGGTATATTTGGCTGAAACATGATACATATGTTTTTTTCCCAGGGAACGAGCCGAACAGTGGCTTCCAGTGGAACGCAGCATTCATATCACTGGTCAGAAAGAAAGTTGAGGCAATGCGCAGGGCGTGGGCTGCATCTGCATCGCCCACCGGTAATAGTCCTGACGGCTTCGGAGCTGGCAGTGCTCCTCGAGTAGCGTTGATTGGATGGTCCATGCAAATTGTAACGTCCTTAACGTCCAATCATCAGTTAGCCGTCGTTGACCTCACTTGCACTATGTTAGATGAGAGTAGCACTCTCGAGTGCGGCTCGAGGAGTGATATGCCCCTAGTATGTCTTTCGTTATTCTGAATCCCTCGACATTTTGGTTGACGTATGGCACAGCACTCTCTACGACGAGGAGCTCCTCTCTGGTTCTAAGCCCGCCACTCCTGAGCAGGTGCTCGAACACGGAGACTCGTTCGGGATAGCCGAACCCCACCCACCTCGAGCAAACTACGGTGGAGAGGAATATCGCGCCGAATGGTGGGATTTTGGAAGCTTCTACTGTCTTGTGAGACCATGTAAGCGAGGTGTCATTGACATGTTGGGGGCGTTAACTGACTGATGGAACCCTTTTAGTCACGTATCGGATGATCGAGGTCGCGTTAAAAGGCTACGAGTGGTCACTGCGTAAGTTCCCACCACCTACAAATGCGCCTGATGCACTCTCATATGACATAATTCCGTAGACCGAGGGCAGCGCAAACCTTTTGACGTCTCGGGTCTCAAAAATCTACTTGCTTTTCTCTTTCCCCTCCAACATCTTCTAGACCTCATGAACCAAAGAATGAATGTGCTCCTCTCTTCATCTGCTGTCGAGGTCCGAGGCTGTACGGGGCGCGGTGGCGGTTTCGCGCAGGCTACAGGAGAGAAACCAGGGGAAGTCAACGATATGTTCAAGAACGACGCGCGGGACACAGGTGAACAGCCGGACCTGTTGAGAGGATCGGATGGCATAGAGGGCGTCCACTCTGCCAGAGACGAGTTTCGCGCTCAGGTTTACGCGCGTACGTACCACATGGTCGTTCGTGGGGCCATGGGCGCCATCCTTGTTCCGGTATATCTCGACCTGGAGGAACGCATTCACGCCATTGACAGAGGTTTCGGGTGTCCTGGTGATGATAAGTGTTTCTTAGAAGAGTTGCTGCTGTCTGTCCGAAAAGCACTGTTGCCTCATGCGCTAGGGATGATGAAGGATATCCGCTCCGTCGTGTACATGGGTCGAGTGGCTACTCTTGGAGAATCAATGTCCTCGTCTCTTCGGTCTGCGTCAAGCTCTTCGCAAGACTCTTCTCCCAGCCGTTCATGGCAAACTATCGGGTCTTCGTCCACCACGCCGGATCTTACCTACGGCGCTTCTTCTTACAGCGATCCTGCGGTGCGATCCTCGATCTCTCCTATCCCGTTGGCATACCCGAGCACGTTCGGCTGGGAAGCGAAGCTACTTCAACTCATGCGCTCGTGCATTCCTCCTCGTCTGTACTCGCGTGAGACTGGGAGAGAGTCTTACGCGTTTTGGACGAAGATTATCCTCGACTCACCCGTCATCGAAGACGGGGGTACGCGGATGACGAGGGCTGAAAAGGTTAAGGAACTGCGAAGGTATGCCAATACTCCTCACAGCTTCGTATCTTGGCTCCTCATGTTGGCTTCCTTATAGCGTGCTAGACATAGCAAGAGTACTCTCTTGGACATATCCTCCGTTGCCAGATCTCCTCGTAAACTCGATGGAAATTGCGATCTATGCCCTCACGCCAAATGGAGAAGCACCCCAAAGTTCGAGCGACCTTGACGGCTCGTCCGTGACCTCGTCTAGCTCGTCACGCTCATCCTCTCGGACTATGCCGCTTCCCAATACCATACCCACTATATCCATTCTGACTCTTAAGGAGGCACGCGACGGTATCCCAAACGAACGTGTTGCAGATATCTTCTTCGGTGGCTCAGGAGCTGTCGGTTTCGGCACCGAGGCAACCCCTGGTGTCGCCAGTGTCATTCAAGACCTCACCCAGGATCTTGTTCGGCTCTCTCTCAGCGATACCTCTTCAGAGGCGAATAGCGCGTATGTTCCCACTTACACCTTATCGGCAGATGCATCTGGCTTTCTCGAGCTTACTTCTCAGGATCAGTCAAGCACTTCTGTTCTTTGGCATGATTATATAGACCCTGCTATGAATCATCCACATTCCTCCGCAGGAACTGCGGCGACAAACTATCACACGCAGATGCTTCATACTCTACATTCGGGGACGGAATCGAACAGCCAGCTAGGCGAGAGTTGGATAACTGAACCACGAGACTGGCAGTCATACTCGACTGACACCTTCGATACTTCCGTACAGGACCAGCATCCTACGTTCGCCACCGGTCAGCTTCCATCGCAGTTGACATACCATTCCCCGCCTTTACCCGAGACAGTACTCTACAGTCCTCCCTTCAACCAGGCCTTGGAACCGGTCACCAACTCCGACATTCAACGTCATGCCCCCACCGCCGCCGAGCTTGATGATGAGTTCCAGCGGATGCTTAATTCTGGTGCCTTCACAAGGCCCCTCGATTACAATCACGGACAAAGTTTCTAGTGATCGACGACGTATCCGTCGATCACCCTACGACAGCTTCTCTGGCCCTCGATCATGACGTGTGACAAGCTCTGGAGGAAATTCCGAATTGTCTCGTCGAAATCTAGATCTCGCTGTTATGTCACATAGTGTACATTGTTATGTATTTGTCGCTATTTAAGGATGCGCAGCTACTGTTCGGTAGACTCTACAGACCTTCCGAGGTTATGATATCGACAAATCGGCGAGGCGTGCTACGGTGCAACTCAAGTTCGTTACAAACGGCATAAGAAACTAACTCGCAGAGGTAGATTCCCCGGGCTCGCCGAACTGACCGATCGGAGTTATCAACCTCTGCTTTGACAGGTGCATTCACAAGCAAGCAGATCCTCGGCCGCCGGGACTACGATGAACATCTTATCAACATGACGCAGTATTGACTATCACTGCTGCCTCTCACCGCCTCCGAGTCGGTACACGCCTCGCATGTTTGGCGAGAGCTGACTACACAGGCGATATGGGGATCGTGGGGATCGATCACGCACACAGCAAGCGTAAACGCGCAAATCGCGAAGACAGGGTCTAATCATTTTATTTTATCATGAAAATGAAATTCCTCACCGCGTCCAGCTCACAGATAGACGCGATGTCCTTATGGCAAAAGTTCTGTCATATGGCTTCTCTCAGACACGAGATACTGCGGCTGTTTCGCTTTATTGGTGTCCATGTATGTGCGCGTCTGTGCTGCGTTATGGTCATTATTGCAACATCAAGCCCCCTAGTCACGTCACAAAATGACGCCCGATCGACTCTCATTTAGCCCTTAAGTGCTCCTAGCGTTGACGCGACGGCTTGGTTCTGATCATGTTCTTGCCCTATGGAAGGCTCGCATAATCCTCTCTCGGCGAATGACGGCGGTCACAGTGCTCAGTCTCAATCTGTGCCAGCGAGTAATCTCAACTTTCAGGTACGTGTGATTCATTTCAAACCAGATTCCCCCCCTAACATTCGTACGTCCAGGCAGGCGGATACTTACAGAACCTACCCGCCTATGTGCCTCCTACCGGTGGACCCGTTTCGCTCCCTCCAGAGACGTACAATTACCTCGTCCAGCACTTGACGTCCTTGCAAGCGTCTGCCGACATCTCGTGCCCATTGCCCTACAGCAATCCTCCCCATGATCGACTGGCGTTTTCGGAGCCCTGGACGCCTTATCAATATCAGAACAACTTGATACCTTCTCCTAATCAGACTTCAGGCAGCTCGACCCCGCCGCCACCTTCACCTGGACCTTCGCGTGCGGGAGGCACTGGCTCGGAGCCCGATGTACATGGAGATGGTGAGAGGGACGGAGAAGAGGATAAACGGTATCGCAATAATTCTGCCTCTGGTGCGTTGCTCGTTGAATCTCATTCTTACGTGGTTGCTGACGGTCGAATGATATCGCCCACAGCTCGATCTCGCCTCAAGAAGAAACAAGAGACTCTCCGTCTCGAACGCACGGTCTCCGATCTGGCTGGGCGCTTTGATGAACTCGAGCGGGAGGCCACCGAACTCAGGAAAGAAAACAACTGGCTGAAGGAACTAGTTCTTCTCCGGGGTAAATCAGTGACCGAGGCTGGGAACAGTGGACATGATGAACATGTTCCGAGTGAGGACGATGATTTGGGCAACGCACAGGAACGGGGAGGCGGCTCTATCGCGGAGGGCAAAGGCAAGGGGAAAGGCCTTTCATGATCGACACGAGTTTTTTGTGTTCTGGTGAGAATACTTCGCAGTGTCTCACTCATTGAGTAAAGACCCGGTCTTCCGCATTTCTCTGTCACTTCTTAGACTCTTCTCGCAAATGTAAATCTACATCCTGACGCTTCTGGCATCGAGTTGCGGCTTCGCCAACGACGGAAAAGTTCCCCTCTGTGTGATGTTGGTGTAATGCATCAGAGTCGTGGAAACGCAGGCTCGAAGTCTTGCCAGGCATAGCTGAGACTGGTGGGCGGTTGGTGACTCCACAGCTTGCATATCACTTTCTGTACACAACATCGGTGGTAAGGCTACCCTGTCACTCGACCTTGATTTCAGTCTCGGGCCTGTTTGGCCTGATCTGTCACTTCACCGATCATATAGTACACAAAGTGTTGTACATCCCCCGCAACATACTCAGGCCAGGATAGGGGCTAAAATGGGTTTGGGAGGTAATGCTTGAAGGTCTATGACCGTTGCGGTGAACTTAGTGCTTTCAATTCTAGGCCTAGATATGTTTAACAGCTTCTTGCTTAGCGTTAACCATTCGGACGTAGAACTGTGGTCCGGGGACAAGGTACAGGGATTATTGGAGCATTTCGACCAGCATTTCGACCCTAGGTTCGCTAGGATCACGAGGTTCAAATGATAGCTATGCCTCTAGCATGCTGATTTGGACTTGCCTACAGCTTCTGATTTTCCGCCAAATGTCATCCCCGTAGGTTCGAAGGGGTTGGTTAGGTTCGTAGAGAGGGCGGACAGAAGTTATGATGAGATGGTGTTTTGCTGAACAGCGCAGCGAAGTAACGGGGGCAAACAGGGGCTTGCCTTTAATCAGCCTTCCCACGCCCTCGCACCCGTGAAACCCGTAAATCGGTTGGACGTTCCTTCTGCTCGGAGTCTGCGGAGCCAAGATAAACATTGTCACGATGCAGACAAAAGCCCTAGGGAACGTGCGGACATCGTGTTGTGCACCACCGACAATACGTTTCTCTGCACATCTATAACATGCCTCCGGATCAGACGAAACGGCTGCCAGCTTGCGACGTATGCAAACTTCGACGCGTCAAGTGCGATCCTGTACCTCCTCCCGACCCGTGTCCTCGCTGCCGCTCGAAAGGCGTGGTGTAAGTGTGTCCTTACTGGATAGCTTTCTGGTCATAGCTCATCACGAAGAAACACATGTAGATGCAGGACGACACAGGTCCTCCGCAAAAACGCTAAAATCAGGACTGGGACACGCATAGAGGCTGCAAGGTGAGCTCTCGACTTCTTCAAGAACAGCAGTTGGCTCAACGAGGGCCCCAAGGGCTACATTTGGTACTCTTCGGCCAATCCATGAGACACTGGCGGCCCCCTCACCCCTCATTAAAGTGGAGACCTTCCTGGTGCAATTTGAGCTCTCCGGGGAGCTCGCCGCACACTTGTTGGAGTGTACGTAATATTCTTCTCTTCTCGTAACCGAATCTCAGTGTCCTTCAGTGTATTCTAAACTACCTCGTGGCTCTCTGGTTCCGGGAGCATCCCTCAGCGAGATGTTCGAGGCTAAGGGACGGCGCATCGGTCTCCTTCCTCCCATTTCCCAGGTCTTAGCTTTATGCATTCTGGCTCTATCGGCTCGGTACTCCTCGCATCCTCTCTTATTTGGACCGGGTCCAGACCCGCCAAAGATGGGCTCCTTTTTCAACTCCCAATCCCTGGCCAGACTGTCTATGGCTGACTGGGGGCGAAAGCGCCAGAATGCGGTCCAACGCCTTCAAGAACTCGCGATAGAACGTGCGTGGCAGTTGAGGTTGCTGGCGGGATCCGGTGAAGACGGATCAGAAGGCGTATCCAACGAAACCCTCTCTGCGCTACTCATGCTTCAGCTCATTGAAACTCGTGTGTTTGTTGACCAGTGTGGTGCACTGTCCGTTTGTTGACTGCTATCGTGGCAGGACGCAAGCACCCTATGGGCTCTCCGTGGATGGCCGCATTTATCTCCATGATCAGAAAGAAACAAGAGGTTCAACTCAACGCGAAAGTGCGCCTTTCCAAAGAGGGCACCGATGCTACAGAAGCCACGGATGGGAGTACGTTAGGCGGTCCGGTACTGGGGTGGAGCATAGAGATTGTAAGTGCCATGACCCATTATCCTTCACAGCCATCCTCTAAATAGCCAATCAACGTTCAGATGAGGGAAACATTGTCAGCTGCTGCCCTCGGACAGATTGGCTCTTAGTAAGCAGGTTTGTCTACGTATATGCGTCTGGGTTTGTGACGTTTTGGCCCAATAGTACGGTATACGATGAAGAGCTCATCACTGGGCCTAGACCAGTCTGTCTAGAGAAGCTATTGGAACACGCAGATACGTTCGGTATCGCTGATCCGCATCCTCGAGATGCCTATGAAGGCGAAGAAGACCGGTATGAGTGGTGGGACTTTGGGAGTGTGTGGTGCCTTATCCGACCTTGTGCGTTTTCAGTTCCCTTCTCCTTCACCGTTATGCCTAACGTAGAGTGTTGTTCAGTCGCCTTTTATGTCTCGGAGCTTGCCAGAAAAGGTTATGAATGGTCATTGCGTAGGTTATTTCGTAAACACTAGCCCCTAGTTCACGTTATTGATCAGTATGTCAGAGAGAGGACACCGGAAAGCGTTCAACTTCTCGAACTTTGAGGACTTGGTTTCTTCACTCGTCCATCTCCAGCGTCTGCTTAACTCCATGAACGCAAGGCTCCAAAACTTGCTTTCTCCACCTGCTGTCACTATTCGTCGCCAAATGGGATGTGGTGCATCGATCATAATGGTAACTGGAGAGAAGCCCGGCGAGATGAACGAAATGCTCAAGGATCAGATGGACGCTGAAAACGGCCCACTCCAAGGGACATTGAACATAGAGGGTATCCATTCGGCGCGAGACGAGCTGCGTGCTCAGCTCACTGCCCGGGGATATCTGTCTGTATTGACGAATGCGATAGGCGTTATCCTTATTCCCATCTATACCGACCTTCAAGAGCGACTGTACTTGATCGACGAGGGTTTTGCATGTCCAGGGGACGATGCCGACCGATTGAGAATACTCATGCGTATCATTCGGAAGGCGTTATTGCCGCACGCATTGGATCTGCTAAAAGCTTCACGCACCTACATTCATGCGGCATGGGCAACTGAGCTAGGCTTCTCAATACGCAGGTCGTCTATCCCCTCGTCTAGCAAATTCCATAACACGAGTAGAAGTTCTACATCTAGCGCACCTATGGGGCCTTCTCCAGAAACCACGGCCTCTTCTTCTCAGTCAAACCGCGACGGTTCTCAAAACGAGCACAATTTTGGCTCTTCATCGCAGCCGCTTCCGTACGAGTATAACTGGGAGGCTAGGATGCTTCAGCAACTCAATTACCTTATTTTCCCCCGGGTTTCTTTGCGGGAAACTGGTGGCTCTTCCCTCGCCTTTTGGGCCAAGATCATTCTTGAGTCCCCTGCGACAGATGATGATGGGCCAGGCATGAGCAGAAAGCAGAAAGCAGCTGAGCTAGCATGGTACGATGCCCTCTCCCCGCCGCAGGACAGTTTAGCTGACAAGCCCAATCTCAGCCTTTTGAACGTATCAGAAGTGCTGTCCTGGTCATACCCTGGTCTCCCCGACTCGCTTCTATACACCATACGACGCGCTATCGTAGCTCTGAAGGCAGAACCTTTCGGAAGCTTCGGTTCCTCGCCTAAATCCTTTGTCCAGGCACACGCATCTTCCGTCCCAACGCTTAAGGAAGTAGCCGAGGGCATTTCGAACGAGCGCGTCCCGGAGGTCTTCTTCGGCACTCGTCCTGATGTGGGACAGGAAGTAGACGAGGCTGAGGACGTTCCTGACGTCATCATGGGACTCTACCGTGATCTGAAGGATTTCTCATTCGCTGGTGCATGGGCCCGGAGCGTCGCGAGGATAGCATCCTCAACAGGGTCACCTCAACCTCCACCGGAAATCGGGGCTACGATGGCTAACTCGTGCTTGGATTCCGGTGGAGAAACATCTTCGACAAATACCGCTGATGTCGCCAAACCTGAAGATCTCTTCTCACAGACACGCGAAGTGCCGGTTTGGACAGTCAATCAGTCTGACTGGTCAATTCTGACAGCTGATGGCGGGGACCACCCTCCGCTTCAGGCAGCTTATGAGACACAACCACGCCAGCCTGACCCCTTCAGTTATTCAACACCATTAATTTCGTCAGATTACCTACAGAGCTCTCAGCCTCTCTCGCTCGACTCTGGCATTACCACATCTACCTCAATGGCCTTATTCGAGTCGAACCCGTTGGATGCTGACGAGCTTGAGCTCGAGTTCCAGCAAATGTTTGGTGCTTCTATCTCCTCTTCCCAGAGCTTCCCCGTTCCGATCGGCGATCGGAGCAACCACTTCACCGACTCGACTTTATATCAAGAAGCACCTTCTCATTCTGGACTGTTAGACGACGAAGACACCTCGAAAATAGCTTGGACTAGGAACATGTTTTGATGTAGATCGACCGTGTAGCCCACTCTGAGATCTGCAGCGACTTCTTTGATCAATCAGTAATCGAGCTGCTCATGTTTTATAGGACTGTGGCCAGATAAAATGTGTTGATAAGCCAGGCTAAACCTGTCGCCCATGGTGACAGGTTTCTCACGTCCCTGACTGCCGTGAAACCCGAAGGCAGTGACGTAACCCGCCATTCTACAGCAGTGGGGCACGCAACAGGTCGAACAGCCACCGTTATGGCATCGTGCAAAGCTACATACATCGTGGCGGGCATTCCTCTGATGATAACTCTTTGTTTCCTATCTTTCTTCGCCTAACACCATGCATATGTCCCCGGACACGCGGCAAGACCAAGTGAAACGACTTCCAGCCTGTGATGCGTGCAAACTTAGACGCGTCAAGTGCGACCCCGTTCCTCCACCCGAATCATGTCCGCGTTGTCTCTCCAAGGGTGTCGTGTAAGTATCTCTCTTCATCACCAAGGTCTATCTTAAATACTGGATGGATATACAGATGCAGGACGAGCCCAGTCACGCGCAAGACTACGAGAAACAGGTCCGGGAAACGCATAGAGGCCGCAAAGTGAGTTCTCGACCTCAGCATGATCGACTTTTGGCTGATCTGAACCGTATGAAGAGCTGCATTCGGCGCTCTCAAGCCATTGCATGAAGCAAGTCCCGCGCCCATCATCAAAGCGGAAAACTTCATGGTGCAGTTTGAGCTCTCTGGAGAACTCGCTGGTCATCTCCTGGAATGTGCGTCGCCTTCTCTTGCATGCTGTGCAAATTGACCCCATGTCCACATTAGTGTTCTCCAAACTACCCCGCAGCGCGATGATCCCGGGTGCTTCGCTCAGTCAGAAGTTTGAGGCTTCCGGACGACGGATCGCTCTCCTCCCTCAGAGAACCCAGGTCTTGGCGTTGTGCGTTCTGGCCATATCAGCTCGGCTGTCTCCCCATCCGCTTCTGTTTGGACCTGGCCCTTCACCGCCGAAAATAGCCACGTTGTTCGAGCCACAGTCAGTAGATCGACTCCAGGTAGCCGAATGGGGACGCAAGCGCCAGAACGCGTGCCAGCGCCTACGGGAAATCGCCGTAGAACGAGCATGGAACGCAAGGTTGCTAGCGGGACAAGCGGAAGATGAGAACGGCAACGTAGACGAAGAAGCTCTGGCTGCATGTCAACTACTGTATGCTATCGAAGCTGGTGAGTTGCTATCATCATCGTCTTGTCCCCTTGCTCACGTTTTACAGGGTATGAACTTAGCGCAGGCTATCCGTGGAGAGCTGCGTTCATTTCGATATTGAGGAAGAAGTTGGAGATGCAACGTCATGCAAAGATTGCCGCCTCTCGAAGTTCTACCAACATGGGATCTGGCTTTAGCGGGAGTATCCCAGGCGGATCAGAATTAGGCTGGACGACTCACGTTGTAAGATGCATTTCTGTCGCTCACCCCTCATGTCAATGTTTTCGATTTCTTTCGTGACGTGACTTACTCTCATCGACCAGATGCGCGAGACGCTGGCGTCCGCTGCACTCGAACAAATCAGTCCATTGTAAGCAAGATTGACGCCATTTGAGCTGCGCTCATCTATTATCCGAATAGTACGATGTACGATGAGGAACTTGTCTGTGGACCTAGACCGGTCTCTCCAGAGAAGATCCTCGAGCACGCCGATACGTTTGGTATAGCTGACTCGTTTCCGCCTCGGAGCAGTTACGAAGGGGAGACTACGCGCACAGAATGGTGGGATCTCGCCAGCATGCTGTGTCTTTTCAGACCCTGTACGTACTATATCCTGCTGGAGACCACTTCGTACCTAATGGAGTGCGCCGTAGTCACATATAGAATATCTGAGCTCGCGATAGCGAGCTACGACTTTTCTCTGCGTAAGTCTACCATTGGATACCATATCTCGGCGTTAACGAGGACACAACACCAGAACGGACACATGGGAAACCTTTTGACTTCTCAAAACTCGAATCCTACCTTTCATCACTTGCGCCTCTGCAGAAAATCGTTGAGATTGCCAACGAAAGAATGAAGGCGTTGCTTTCACCGCCTGCCGTTGTCATCCGGCGGCAGATGGGCCGCGGCTCTGCTTTCTCAATGGTGACCGGTGAAAAGCCAGGCGAAATTAACGAACTATTCAGAGGCGAACCCGATACCGCGGAGGGTGGGCTGAAGGGAACCATCAACATCGAGGGTACCCATTCTCCAGTCGACGAATTCCGAGTGCAGATTTCTGCGCGCTCCTTTTTCGCCCTCATCCACGGGGCTATGGGGGCGATCCTTATTCCCGTCTACGTTGATATCCAAGAGCGTCTGTACGCATTTGAAGAGGGCAACGGATGTGCAAGTGACGACCTCATTGCCTTACGGGCACTTCGGGACGTCTTCAGGAAGGCGCTGCTTCCGCACGCTCAGGTGTTGTTGAGGGATATCCGGACCTCCTTGCACGTTGCCTGGATGGCTAACCTGACGCGGTCAATTGCCGCATCCACCGCCCCTTCTTCCCACACGTCCACTGACGACGGAAGTGTACCGAGCTCGTTCTCCAAGTCTACCCCTTCTACAGGTTCATCGCCAGCGTCCTCTGACTCGTCACATAGTTCGACGCATAGCGGTATACCGAGCCTGAATACTCCTCGCGGAAAGAGTTCACGTGCTATACCATCAATGTCTGCTGTAGGCCCTCTTGGATGGGAGGCACAAATGCTACAGTACCTCTACTCACTCATCTTTCCACGCGTCGCCTCACGAGAATATGGGAGCAACTCCCTCGCATTCTGGGCTACAGTTATTCTTGATTCTCCTGCAATCGAAGACGGCGGGTTCGGGATGACCCGAGAACAAAAGGCTGCCGAGCTAGAGTGGCAAGTCGCATCTTTCTAGTGTGTTAAGCGTGACCATTAACCCATGTTGCAGCATATTGAACGTATCGAGGATATTGTCCTGGTGTAACCCTACTAGTTTCTCAGAGACTCTAGCCGGATTGATCGAGCGCAACATTCTGATCTTGAGAGCAGGCAGGTCCTCCGATAGTCCAAGTCTTGCGTCCGATGGCCTCGCCACCCCATCCACATCTTCTCACTCATCGTCTACCCATGCACACACACCCTCGGCGGCGACGTCCTCCATCCCATCACCCAAGGAAATAGTCGAGGGCATCCGGCATGAGCGCGTTGCGGACGTGTACTTTGGCGGGGACGGGAAGAGAGACCAGGGAACGGCAAACATCGAGGATATTCCTGACGTCATCGGAGAGCTCTGCAGAGACCTCAGCTGTCTCTCTTTCGCAGCTGCCACGGCTCCGAACATTCACTGGGAAGAGTCGTCTCCCGGGTTTCGCACGAGTGAAGATGTTTCAGCTCTTTCGAGCGATGGGTTATCCAATCCTCATCTCAACATGCTGCAAGCACAGCCTAACTTCGACTTGGCGGCGACGGACATTCACGCTAGCTTGGCGCATGATCAGACAACATTCTCATTGGGCACGGAGGCAGATAGCGTTGTCCAGATGCATCAAAATCCCAGTCTGGAAAGCTCCGGTTGGATGTCTTGGAACTTCGGTGGCGATGGAGATACATACGGACAGACTTATCAAGGACAGCTGCAGGCCCCGGACTCCTTCAGCAGTAGCGGCTTACCCATACATTCATCAATATCGCCCCTGTCCTCACATAGCTCCCTCTTGAGTCCACCGCAAGTCGACTACACGCGAGGCGCGTCACCCGTCTCGGCAGCATCACTACAGCCAACGCCACCGAGCGCATCTGAACTGGAGCACGAGTTTCAGCAGATGTTTGGCGTTGCCACGTGCGCCGCCCAGACGGGTGCGCCGTCTTTCCAGGATTTGCTCGCTTCCACTGGCGATGAGACTGGCTGGTTTGAAGCTGACGGTTCGGGCTGGGGTCAAGACATGTAGAACTATGTATACCGTATCTCCTACTTGGGTTTTGTTTCTGTTACACATTCAATCTCGCTAATGATTGAAGTGTACTATTAATATCTATGGAATACCTTTTGACCTAAGATACGTGCCTGCACTCAGTATGAACGATGCCGATGAGCTGGGTATCCCAACGAAAACGTGCTTTGAGACCGCGAGGTTTCACATATAAGTCTTCGGACTGCTTACCCTCTTTCATATTCAACAAGAGATAGCGAGCTCACTTTACAAGACCCGCGCTACTATCATGTCAGGTGTATCTTATTAGGCATAAATCGAGTCTTTTACTACCAGTCCCCTATGGATTCCACGTTATACATGCAGTGTACTTTCATCCCCGCCTGTTTACGAACAATCCTATGCAGAACCCTTGAACTGGAGAGGCTCCTCCGAGAACTCAATCTCACCGAATGCCTCCGTGATCTTCGGATGCGAGCGGACCTTGTCAAAGAACGCAATCGTCTTGGGGTACTTGGCTCTCTCCGCTGATCCGAGAGTAATCTTGAAGGCACTCTTCAAGCTCGCGGCCAGAACGATGTCGGCGATCGTCAATCTGCCACCGACGAGGTATTCGCGGCTGGCGACGTGCTCTTCGACAGATTCGAGCGACTTGTACTGACGAGCTAAGAGCAAGTTGTGGAGCTGATGGAAACCGAAAAAAAAAACCCCGTGAGTTATACGAAGGCACGAAAGACCCTGTCACTCACGTCCTTGCTGTATCCGGGAAGATAACCAGCGGTAAGGTAGAAGCTGAAGTCGGAGGAGAGCTGGAGCTCGGATTCGGCGAAGTGAGTCCACTGCTCAATCTCAGCCGTCTCTTTCTTCGTTTTTCCCAGAAGGCCGCTCTCTGGAGCCAGAGAAGCGACTGTCGACAGTGGGCAAGAAGGCTCAGCTCGAGTAGTAGGGTAAGGCTGTTAGAAAGACCGACTGTAGTTTGCGATGGCAAGGCCCTCAGTCAGCTTGAAGCCCTCGGCGTCTTCGAACGCTGGAATCTTGCCCTGAGGGAACTTGGCAAGGAACTCGGGCGACTTGTTGGTCTCGCCCATTTTCACCTCGGGAAGGCTGAGCTCGAGCCCAGCTACGGCGGCAACCGCCTTGATCTGCATCGTTCATGCATCAGTGGACCACCGCGCGGCAATCAGGGCTGAGACGTACGGTGGAGGTCTGGCGTTGGTGGCCAACACCGTAGAGAGTTCCGACAGGAGCCATTGTATAAGAGTACGAAAAGATTAGGTGAAGGAGAGAACTTGGTGTTGAGGGACTCTTGGTTGCGTTGTTACGAAGAGTGCAAGTGTGTATTTATACCTTTGACATTTGCCGGTCTGCAAACCCTTGAATACCTCCTACGCTGAGTAACGCAGCTTCATCCCGGCTGCATCGGTAGCCATGCTAGCTTGGTCATCGTTAGCGCCAGCAAATCCCGAGCGCTGCAATTCGGAATTGACGCGGGAAGACAACGCAAGACACTGCAAGACAGCGGCACGGAAGAAAAAACGCATCATGTAAGCGATTGCCGGTGAAGGTTTCGACAATGGAGCATCTCGACAATAGCGATCAGGATGCTAAATGCCACCGAGTGCTACCGAGTACATGATGGGGAGGTCAGAAGCCTGCCAAGAAGCCTGCACCAGGTTAATGTCCAGGCCTGAACTGGCCCAAGGCCACATTATCCAGCGGCTCACGAAAGTCTGAGTGTTGGCCCAAGGTCACTCACGACGCCCACTTAAACCACTAGAAAGGGGTACGCTAAGTAGAAGGATCTAGACTCAAACGAAACTCGGGCACTGCTCGGTGAGGGCTCGGTGAAGCGTTCTCATCACCGATTCTTGTGCTTGACTCGCCTTTTAATGTACCTGCTCCGAGTCCCACGGAGAAGTTGGCCATGATGGGCTCTGATGCTGCAGAGTTGTTTGGCACTTGTTATCGCCTGTCAAGCCCGCGTAAGGTACGGTGATTGTCAGTCAAGAAGTGCTGGCCTCCTAGCAAATATCATCAGCCATCTGGAAGCCTTTGTATCATGTTCTTCAAGATGGATTCGCTCTACGTGTCTTTGCCAAGGCCAACCATAATGTTAGCAGCCGCCCTTGTCTACTTATTCCCAGGTGAAGTCCTCCAGGTTCTCCCTCAACCACGCTACGTCCTGGTCTTGTTCAAGTCCCTCCGTCCTTTCATTTTCAGACCTTCCCAGCTCTTCATTGAACCCGTCTTTTGTCCTGGGCCGAACCGCACAGTGCACGGTGCGCAGAACGCCATTTCGAGCGCACACTAACCGCCGGATCGCACCCGCCGTGACAGAAGGACACCTGCGGATTGTGAGGTAGTGCATGTCGCGCGCTAGCGTGTGGACATCTGAAGTAGGCCCTGACGTCAGCTCTGCCTCGTCTGGTTCTGGTTCTGGGACGTATGCAGCTGGTACGGCGAGCAGATCGAGCATGGCATCGTCGAACGCGAGACAATCTTCCACCGCAAGGCTCCCGTTTCCTGTCCACGCGCACAGCGCAATGAGGATGTCGTCCCGCGAGGGGAAAGATCGGAGCGTGAGTCTGTTTGTCTCCATCTCAAACGGCGGTATGCCTGTGGATGCAGATGCAGATGAAGACGCGTCTGGAACAGACGAAGGTAAGGTTGCGGAGTGCGATAAGTCGTGCTGAAGGGGAGAGACGGGGGAAAAGGAGCAGTCGACGAGCTCAATGCCCAGCCGGTGCTTCCACTCTGGCTTAAAAGCCCGGAAGAACAGAGCGAGGAACGGTGCCGCGAGGGAGCGCAGCGTGAGACTGAAGGTGTTGCAGAGGTACATCTCTCGTCCCCCTTCGTCTTCGTCATCGAATTCCTCAAGCGCTACGTCGTGGTTGAGCGTGACGCCCGTGATCGAGAGGCTCACGCCTGACATGTTATCGATGTGTGCGAGCGCGTGAAAGAACGCGCGCGCCGAGAGGAGCGGCAGGCTGGGTATGCTCGAGCCTGAGGGAGCTAAAGATGGCGGATAAGGAACCACGTCGAGCCCGACGTGGTTGATCCAGAACCCTTCGAGCTCGTGAGGCCAATCCGGACGCTTCGTGACGATATCAACGACACCTTTGGCATCAAGTCGGACGGACCTGACCGTGGAGCTGTGGAACGCCGGGAAGGTAAGCTCATCGGAGGTGTCTGTCACGGAGGCGGTGAGGCAAAGGCCTTCCAAGTGAGGAGCTGAACAGCTTGCGAGGTGTCCTGTGGCAAGGAGAAGAGAGGATCGGAAGTGTGTGTGAATTGAGAGTGTTGTAACGCGTTTGAGGTGAGCCGAGACGGTCTGGGCAAAAAACAAGACGCGCTCGTGTTCGCGCTTGCGATGTTCATCGTTTGTGCCTGAATCTGCGGACCCGCAGCTGATATAAACGGCCAGCTCCTGCTCTTGCGAGGCTGCGATGTATCTGCGCACGACCCAGGGGTAAAGGTGGGGGTCGTGCACCCATAGAACGATATGCCTCCAAAAGCGGGGATTCAAGGATAGAACATCTAGGAACCTCTGACACACAGACGCAACAGAGCAGGGGAACGAGCAGGAGTCTGCAACCAGCTTCTTGGGATGTTTTGGCTTGTTGGCTTGGTGTTCTTGGTATAGCAGGTCGAATACAGCGAGTAGAATTTCGGTCGGCAGAGTGAGGAGCGACGGTAGCCCTGGTTGTACATTGACACCTCTGGAGTCGAGCATTCTGAACGTTAATCGTGCGCGTGGACAGGTGAACGGCGATGATAGAGACATACCTGAGATGAAATGCCTAATCTTGGAAAGACTCAGACTCCGACTAAAAGAGCGCTTATCGATATCCGAGTCGGGTTGCGTCCATGCTAGCTGCACTGCAGACAAACTGTGATTTTTCTGTTAAAAAAAGTGATTGAAGAAGGCGGACAGATGAAAGCCTTTTTCACCCGTCTTTTGCTGTGGGAACAGTTACTAAAAAGTTAAACTTTTGCATCGGAGTTTGCGTTTCTGTGCGGAGATTAGATAGAAACACGTCCAAATCGGGAGGGTGGGGTCCAAAATCGGTAACCCGTCCATTTTACCAGCGCAAAATTGACGCAAATGTCGGCTAAAATAATACCTTTTCCTGTGCAAAAGGGGATGACAAAACTCGGACGAAAAGGCTTTCATCTCCGCCTCTTTTTCTCGATTCCATCCCGGGTAAAATCGTCGTTTGTCTGCAGTGCTGCTGCTTCCTGTTCATGGACAGTGCAAAGCAAACTGCCGTTGCCTTACAATCTGGCACCCGAACCGCGACATGGGGATGTTCATATTGGACAGTGGCTTAACATGAACCTTTCCACTTCACAGATAGAAGGCAAGCCGCACAAATAGCGGCATGGAGAGTGGAACAGGCAAACGACCATCGCGTCAGAAGTTACTTTACAGTACATAACTCTGTCTGAGGTGGAGGAAAGAGATGGTGCTGTAATCACAATGAGATTGTCTAGCCCTTTGCAGATTGAACTGACAGGAGACGTCGCGGTTGCAACGTTGAACGTTGAAACGATCGTTGAAAAAGGGTAAGATTTGTTACTAAAGTGCTAACGGTTCTTAGCGATGGCATTACCATCAAGTTCGCCAGCTCTCCAAAGACCCTGCTGACAAGACTATATCACCCTCAACTTCCCAAGACATACTGTCAATAAGGCACACTAATTACCAGCGACGAGCATTAATCCAAGTGTCAAGTCGTAAGTATCTATCTGGCAACTAAGCTAATATGGTGAACACGAAGTGCAAGGGAAAATACAACAGGAGCCAGCAGCAGGTTTGCTGTGTTGAGGCGAGCGTCTAGCGCTTCTACGTAAATGAGGATGATGATGAAGATGGTGGTGGTGACGGTTTATGGTGACGGTGACGGTAACGGTAACGGCAGGTCGAGGATGGACGATGGAGGGTAAGATCTATGTGCAGGTAATGGTATGAAGACAGAGCAATGCGGAGTGTCCGGTGCGTGCAAATGAGAGCGTCCTGTCAGATCAGCTAGTTAGTCCATGCAGTATCAAGCAAAGCGTATCAAAAGCTGCTCGACGGAGAACCCAAGATAAAGCAAGGCGTAAAGGTAATTCTATAGAGCCATGAATGCTCCCTCCGAAGAAGGTCTATACGGGCTTTCTGTCATGGCTGGAGCGGCGACGGGATGACCAGGGGGTTTGGGCCAAGATTCCTCCGAGGTAATGTCCTGTTCGACCTCTACCGCTTCCACCGTGACGGCGGGTCCTTTGCGAGGTAGCGGGGGCTCCTCCTCGCCCGCTTCGTCGACCTTGGACAGCGAGCCAGGCATGGAGCTCCGGCGTGTCGTGTTACTGTACCGAGGGGCGGCCTCGTTGAGGTAGGCGGGCGGATGACGCGTCGACGCAGAAGACGCGCTCGACTGCTCCTCGGAGCCGTCTTCCTTCGTCTCCATCGTGCAGACGGACTCTGTATCGCGGCGTGGCTTTTCGGGGACGAAGGGAACGGGGAAGAGTCGGTGCTGCGCGTATGCAAATAGAGGTCTACTCCACGCGAACTCCGGTCAATATACACGTTTGCGCAGCGGTGATAGATAGAAGCACGCACATGACGGCAAGAGATACGACGATCAGGGCGACCGTGGTTGCCGGTGGGTGATATCCGCTCAGCAGAGCCTGCCAAACTTATCAGACATGACACAACGGGCCTCGCAGGGGTAGACATACCATGACATGCGACGCGTTTCGGTCCATGAGATAGCGGAGGCCACGGCTCAACCCATTTTGCTGGTTCACCACCAGATCAATCCCGAGTCCGACGAGAAAGCTGCCTATCGATGCGCAGGCGAAGAGCTAAAAATAATCCGATGTCGACAGCATCAGAAATTTGGGAGAAGCAACGGCTTACGGTAGTCGCTCGGCTTTTCCACGAAAGGCAAAGAACACTCAGCACTCCGCAGAGAGCGATGATCACCCAATTCGCCGCGTACGCATTCTGGCCCTGCGCGAGCAAATCGTCGCGCAGCAGAACAACCCGAAGGCCGATGGACGCACCGCCCTCGAGCGCGAGCAGGAACGGCGCGAAAGGCAAGAAGATGCTGGGCAGGCCAACAAAGAACGCGACGGCAAAGAGCAGGACGACGAACACGACAATGACGGTGTCCGATACGCCGCCATCGGAAATGCAATTGACGACGGCCGCCCAGGCGGCGATGTCCACGGCCAAGCCGAGCGCGGCACCGCAGCTCAGCCGCCTGCCCCTGAAGCCCGCGAGCAGCATTGGGGCGCCGACGACAAAGCAGAAGACGACCCAGATGATGGCGGGCGTGTCCCATCCGCCTATGCCACCCCCGTCGGTAGCTCCGCCCTGGATGATTTCGTCGCCGGTCGACGCGCTGTAGACGACCGTTCCGTTCCCGGAGTGGTCGAGAATGACATGGGGGTCAGACAGTTCCTCTGTATTTGGTGGGGTGCTTCGGCTAATCACTGAGGCTGATGTGGGAACGAGGAGAGTGGAGAGGACGAGGAACATGGTGGCGTAGGAGGGTGTTAGTTGGGAGAGATGTCTCCCGACATTAAGAGAGGAAGAGGACATAAAGCCAGAGTGGAGGAAGAGGTCCTACATGACGACAGAATGAGTGACGAGATAAAGTATGTCAAGAGAAACCGAAGAGAAGTGCATACCTTGCACGAATGCGGACTGGGTAGATCGAGAAGCTGGAGGGAGCGTTATGGGGAAAGAAGGGCGCGTCCTGGATGGACTGTTCTGAATCAAACGACGTGGAGGACACCGACAGCAAGTTGGATGCTTTGGGCGCCGACCTTGGAACGTTAGGTAACGAATGTGAAGGGAAGGAAGCAGGACGACTTCATTTCGTGCATTGAAATTGCGAAAGGCCGACTCAGGGATAGCCAGACAACCCGCGCTTTGTCGGGTTTGCGGCACCATGCTGCCGAGACGCTCTGGCCTCCGTTTCCCACGTGGGCGCGTCTCTCGGACAATTGCCAATTTATGCAGCTTATCTGCGACCATTGACATGGACGTCCAACAATAGACTCGTAACCAGTCTTCGCTGACGCACCCTAATCGGGTAACGAGCCTTGGGCTCTCGCGTAGCGAAGACTGGGATATTTCGTCGAGGGCCTGGCAGGCGACCGACGGAGTGTGAAAGTTGGCGGATGGGAAAGGATTTGTAAGGACTTCGCGAAGCCGGCATCGTGGTGCCGAGGCGATCGACGCCCGTAATCTAATCTTAGCCTCAGGGGTATTCGACGCGTCCACCGACGCGTCGTAGATAGTTGAATATAATCGCTTTTATCTACTCTCCCTCCCTGCGTGAATTACTCGAATGACAAATTACTGGGGCTATGGCATCCCTCGCACTCAGGCGACACCTCGGCCGCTCACCTGGGACTACAACTGGCTGGGGACTCTCACTATGGAACAAAGGAAGAATGAACTCTTGCGCGCTGTCTCGGAGGCTGGGGTCGAACCGATCGACCTCGTCTGCGCACTGGCTCACCGTAGCAAATCAAACGAGATATAGATGCCACGTTAACTCCCTGTATTCGCGTCAATATGATAGTAATAATAAACTGATGGGACTCACATCCGAAGCGCAGCTGGTGGCAATAACTGTTGCAATATCATCTGTATTCTTGAAGTCTTGAAAGACGCCCTTGCTATAATCTTCAGACATGCCGGAGTGAAGATGCGATACAATTCGTTTTGTCCGCAGCTCTGCGGGGAATCTATGGCGTAAGTAGTGAGCAATGTCCTGCGAACGATCGCGTGTGTCGACAAAGACCAGTGTCTTTGGCAGTGGTGTGGGACTAGACGAGAGAGGGATGAGGAAATCTAGGTTCTCGAGGTTCTTGGGACCGTTATGCATCTGGTGGACTGTGTAAAAATGGTTCGGGCGGTTCGTCGAAAGAAATAACTTAATGACCGTCTCGGGATTAATACGAAGGCTGTCGAAGACAGTGTAGAGCGTCAGAGGAGGGAGGGTTGCTGAGAGAATCATGACCGGCGTCGACGAGGGGATGACAGCTCTAACCTTGTTGAGTCGGCTGTATGCAGAACAAAACGGTGCCTTCTCTCCTTTGCGAGCAAAGCCAGTGGTATGGATAGAATGCCCTTCGTCGAATAGCAAGTGACCGATATTTTTGCTGAATGAATGCACCCGCATGATGAGCGAGGCGAGGCGAGGCATATGACCTTTGAAACGAAAGAACTGCTCGGGCGCGACCAGTATATTCTAGTAGACGCCTCGAGCAATATCCTGTACGGAATAATGTAAAGATTAGTGGTTATATGCACGTAGATACGTACATTCCAGAGCTCCTTGTCATCAGAAGTGTCTTCGTTAATTTGGATAGTACGAACACCGTAGCTATTAAACTCCTCGACCTTTCGAGTGTTAAGGTTAGCGATTAATACATTAAAAGCACTTACATGGTTTTGTTGGAGTAGTTTGAGTGGGGAAACAGTGATGGCGATTTTGCGAGGGTGTGCAAGGACAAGGGGCAGGATCATGGCCATAGTTTTGCCATACCCCGTCCCAGCGCGTACAACGACGTGCTTCCCGGCTAGGTGATTAATAGCAGCTTCGATCTGAAACTGCCGTAGCGTTCGTTCGCCTGAGAATCCCACGTCGAACCAGAGGGTCGCCCATAGAACAGTCTCTACTTGCTCGAAGGTGAAGCTGTCGAGGAAAGATCGGGATAGTTTCTTGAGGGAATCGTGGCCGTTGTTCGAGAGAGGGGCGGGGAGAGTTGTAATATAGTTTTCATTCATAACTTAAAGGAGTGGAGTAAGGGATAAAGACATAAGTACATGGGCTCGACGCGTATGAGGCGGGGGAGCGCGTTCAGACGCGTCGTATCTAATCTACAGGGGTTAATTTTCCCTATCCGGACGGCGATCTCTCTCGGGCCGAGCCAAAATTCAAACTCCGTCGGTCGCCTGCCAGCGAGTCGACGAAATATCCCAGTCTCGCTGACGCGAGAGCCTCTGGCTCGTTGCCTTATTAGGCCGCACCAGCTGAGACAGGTCACGAGTCTAGTCCAACAACGCTGCCTCTGTTCTTCCTTCGTCTAACGTTCTGATCCATGGATTGGCCCTCGCAACGACAGATACTCAGCCCTCCGAGCAGAATATGACAACTCGGCATCGCAGCAGGTGTGTTATCTCGAGAACCTAATTCAAGAAGGCCGTTTGATGGCATCGCCATCGCACGACCGGCGCGGGCCTATCTCGTTTTCCACATTTCAACTTCAAAGGCGTCCAGACGCATTGCTAGCTAAGAGAATGATCCATCTCCTGGCACAACAAACGTCCTTCAAGCCCATGAAGTTTCGGTGACCGACCCACGGACTTCCTGTCTCGGTAGGACAGATTCGGGGGGACGAAGTCAGCATCACAACAATTGCGACATTCCATTAAAGTCCCGGTGGCGATACACAGCGCTTGCCAATGTCACGTCTCTCTCTGTCTCTCTTTGAAACTGTCGATGCTCTCTAGGATCTGACCAACACTCTTCAACATTCGACACAGAAAGACAGACACTGAGGTATTGGCTCCGGCTGACATGCGCACTGCCAAGACACTATGGTCGTCGAGCATAATGCATGCTTGTCAACATGCTGTGTTCATACAAGTACATGATCAGACTCGTTCCTTGGTCATCCTCTCGAGTGTCCACCGAACAACTCTATGAACGGACGACGATGTCACTCAAGTCAAGCAGATTTGTTGTCGCAACCGATGATCCCGCCGAGCATCTCATCTTCCTTGAACCCCTTGGTTACTCGGACTCCCATGAGCGAAGGGACTCTCGCCCACCAGTCATTCATCGCGATTCTTCGTCACATTCTCCACTGCAGGCCTCGTTTTCTTTGTCGTTTTTGCTATAGCCTGCGTTGTGTTGGGTGCCGTGGCCTATCATACACCAATCACCCCAAGTGTTTTGACTGTTTACAAGGGCACATACCACTCTGTTCCGCGACTCTCCATTCTCGTGATGAACTTCTTCGTCTCCGCGTGCACCGAGTCCATCGGATTCATCCACAACGCTCCGTCCTCGCCCAGGAAGGGCGCCTCGCCTTCAACACCAACGCCTCATTGTTCAGCGCAACGCGCGGGAATCGGTGGATTGGCCCCAACGATCTGATGGCAAATGTATCAATGACAGCGCTGCTTGTTCTGTCTTTCGCGTCCAGTTCGCTCGCGTTCGAAACCTGGGAAGGCCCATATGCAAACGCATACCTCTTTACCACCACTGTCCCTTTCGTCTACCTCGGCGTATGCGTCCTTCTCCAGACCCTTCTGCCATCTACGCGCTCATCAACACACGTAACATCTCGTGGTGCACAACCGCGCTCGACACCACAGCCTCTTCCCTGCGACACAACTACGTCACCCGCGTTCACGGGCGCTGCATATGCAGTGTCATCGACACCGAGCTCGCCGCGCAGCCGAGCACGTCCTCCATCTCGCAGCCATCGCTCTGGCACGCCCGGCGCGACGTGCGGCGCATCATCTTCGGGACGTGGGCCCTCGTCGCGGGCTACGTCGTCTGGGGCGCGGTCATCTTCCACTCCACGGGGCCGGGCCTGGTCTGGTCGTTCTTCCCGATGTTCGACGCCGAGGCGGGGCGCAGCCTCAATCTCACATTCGGCGGGATATGACAGGGTGGCGGCGCCCAAGCTGACGGGTCCGTGCGCGTTGTGCTCGCGTGGTGGGTGTGGTACCCGGTTATTGCGACCACGCAGGGCTCGTTGACGCTTGTGCTGCATTTTGCGGAGGTCGTGGTGTCGAGTCTGAGGGATGAGGCGACATGGCGGGAGGCGGCGGGGGCGAGGGGGCCTTGGTTGTCGAGCAACCCGGTGCGCAATGTGTTTTCGAGCTGGACGAGCGTGTTTTTGCTGGCTGCGAAGCCGTTCCTTCGTGAGTCTTCTGATAATGGCTCGGTTGCATCCGTGTGCTGATCATTGATCTGTCACTTTAGACTGGATGTTCAGCTTATGCTGCGACATGGCGCTCATTCAAGGCGATTATACGCAGTCAGAATCTGAAGCCGTCACGAACATGCATTGGTATCTCAGCATGGGTGCCACTCAAGCACGTCAAATCCCTCTACTCTCTTCGTTACTCAGACAGCTAACTTGCAGATGCAGATATGGAACCTCAGCATCGCGCTCGACCTCTTCGCTGCGCTGCTCACGCTCCTCGCGCGCCAGCGGCCACAGGGGCCTCAGCCAGCTACGTATGGACACATTCAGACGCTTGCTAATCTCGTTGATGAGTGGCCAGCGGATGGTGCTGAGAGGTTGTGGTGGGGGCATAAGGGAAGCTACACAGTGGTCGGAAGCGGCTTCGAGTCGGGTGGGGAGAGTGCAAAATGGTACCATGCTGGGACAAGCGGGCGTCCTTTACCGCCTGTTAGGATAGAGGGGTTGTATGCGTAGACGATATGGGAGGTTCGGGAGATGTATGTTTTTTCATCGGGATTATTTATACGTATGGGCATTGCCATTGGGCAAACAATTCGTACGAAGACACTACTTGTAGATTTCAGAAACTTGGGAGCCTAGAATCAAAGCCATGTACAAAGTGGGATGTGCAGCTCCCCCGGGCCCAATCCGCACTTTCCTCCGCACCGCATGCGTCCATCACTAGGCGCCCAAACCATCACTCTGACTCAACGACGCTTCCGAGATGTCCTTGCCAGTGGGCACGATGCAACCCCGGATGTACTGGCTAGGTTCTATATCACCGGCGCCGAAGATCTTCGGCTTGCCCTATGAATCCATCTCATCGTTATCGCCGCCGTCCCTTCTCCGCTTCGTTCACTTAGATCTCACCGTCAAGCGACCAGCAACAGCTAGATATTATGGCGAACGCACCCCTCGCAGGACCGCCCGCATCGTTCGACCCGTCGTCTGAGGCGGGACGCAAGCTCAAGGTCCGACCGTCCACCGAGCGCGCGGTGGCGGTCTACTGCGCGTCCTCGCTCGGAAAGTCCAAGGCCTTCCAGAACGCTGCATTATGTATGTTCTGAGCTGCCCTGTCCCTAATGTCCCTAGTAACATCGCACTGACTCTGTGCTACGCCACGCCAACGCAGCCGTCGGCCATGCGCTCGCAGATGCAGACCGCCCGCTCGTGTACGGAGGTGGGAACACGGGTCTGATGGGGACCGTGTCCGGCGCTGTGCTCGAGCACGAGAACGGGAGGGTGATCGGCGTTTCGCCGTGGGCGATGGTCGATGCTGAGGGGAGAAGGACAAGGGCGATCAGCCTGTCGCTACGTCCGAGGAGGTTGCGAGTGCGCTGAAGCAGACGCGAGCGGTGAGTGAGGTGCTTCGTTGAGGTGCTTCAGGCGAGAGGCTGATTTAGAGCAGGTCGAGTCGGTTAGTGGTTATTTAAGCGAGGTTTGCTATTGACAGTTCGGGCTCATGATGCTGTCCCTTTCATGGTAGGTCTATGTCAGTACGATGCACGAGCGTAAGGTCGAGATGGCGAAACGCGTTGGTAGCTTCATCGGCCTCCCGGGCGGGTTCGGGTCTTGGGACGAAGTATGTTTATTCTGTCACTGTGGTACAATCAAGGCTGACAACGGTATATCTAGATTCTCGAGGTAGTCACTTGGAACCAGCTTAACATCCACAACAAGGGTAATCTGCCACTACTCGTCGCCCAGCTCCCCGCTGACTCATTCCACAGCCGTCGTGATCCTGAACGTGTGTGGCTACTACGACTCCCTGCGAAGCCTCATCAAGCGAGGGATTGCGGAGGGGTTCATCCGCCCCGAGAGCGAAAACCTCGTGACGTTCGTCGACGGCCCGGAGGACCATGCCGAGCACGAAATGTTTAACTGGGGCAAGGCCGCGATCCACGCGATTGAGTCGTGGGACGCAGAGAGCATTCGCGCTTATCCTTTCCAGTGGCTCGACAACGTCGACACTAGTGCCCCGGCCGCTAGTTAGCTCGCCGGGGGTGTCTCGGGTTCGGCGGGGGCGCAGTAGCGAGCCTTTGCGCTTGTCAGGAAAAGTTCATCATCGGTGCCATAGCCGCAGACGGGATACCTCATTGATAGAACCACAGAGGACCAATAGGATGGTATCTTTTGGATGACAGGGGTATAGTATGTTTGCGCCTCATGACAAAGAGCTAATTCCGAAAAAGAAGAACGATGTGGGGAGGGGAACATTCTTTACGCGGCTTCTTCCAGAAGGCCGGAAACTGTGTTTGTTACGGAAACGTTTTGCCTCGCTGTGATGCTAGGGCGCATGAGGCGGCTCTTGATTACTTCCGTGAGCGCTCTGATAACACGATGCAGGGATCAGCCTAACCAAGCCCCCTCGTGACACGGGGCACTTTGCGAATACGTATGACGGCGGCTATGACGAGGAAACACTATACCTTAACAGACGAATAACGTGGCTACTGAGAATGAGAACCACGAAGCGGGGAGGACAATCGCGGTCATCGGCATGTCTGAAATATCCTGATCACGAAGCCGAGAAAATAGAAGGCGTGGCGTGTCAACGTCTGCAGCCCTGTTCGCGAAGGCGGTCCGCGGGGCATCATACAGCTCTGTGGCTCTTTCACAAGGAGAGGGATCTGGGGCTCCCGCTCTTCTAGACCCCATCATATGTTGCGAGCGGTCTCGGTCTGGTGAGGGGAGTGACAGTTGCATTTGAGTTGGGATGGGGATGATGTGACCGTAACGGCTTCCTGAAGAGAGCGCAAATTGGAGCGAGTGTGTTTGGGGGGGCTGGCCTGTCAGATCAATTCCCACGGCTGTAAACACGGACATACAGACTGCCGCTGTGTTGAGGGACATTCTCTCTGGCCGCTGCTAACCCTTGTTTTCTCCCCGGCGCGCCTTCCTCTCCCCTCTTCATCCCACCCCCCGACGCGTCTTACGACTTAATACGATGGAAGGCTGGACACCTGATCCCGCAGGACTCCAGGAAATCCTCCAAACAATACACGATTCCACCAGCACCCAAAATAAGGTCCAGGAGGCGATCACTCATGTACGATACCAGTCTTTCGCATACAGCGCGCCTACCTTTAACGCTCCCCGCAGAAACTAAATGCATTTACGCGTGTTCCCGACTACATCGCCTATCTTTCATATATCCTCACCTCGATGCCCCAGGAAGATGAGAGAATACGAACGATAGCCGGCTACCTCCTCAAGAACAACTCCCGTCTCATCCTGTCCGCATCCCCTGCCGTCGTCAGCTTTTCAAAATCGGCCGTCCTCCGCGCATTTCTGGACACCCCAACGATCCGTAATGCCGCGGGACAGGACATTGTCGCTTTTCTAGGCGTACTTGAGCCCAGAAATTGGCCAGAGTGCTTACAGCAGCTCGTCAACATGCTCGATTCCCCCGATGTTCAGCTCCAGGAGGTAAGCCGCATATACCCATACAGTCTCTTTCAGCCTCCTTGCAAATCCATTCGTCTTTGAACCCATCGATGCGTGAATCGCGTGTTTTTTCTGTCTTCACATGTGAAGTGTGATATGGTGTTTCAATGGCTCTACCTCTCCCATCGTCCGCCATGATCGTCTCCCTCAAATATATACTGATACTTGAGTTAGGCCGCATTCAGTGTTTTTGAGCGCGCCTGCGAGGATTATCCACGAAAGCTGGACGTTGAGATCAACGGCACACGCCCTTTGGACTACGTCATCCCTAAATTCCTCATGCTCTCCGAGCACCAGAACGCTAAGATGCGATCACACGCCGTCGCCTGTCTCTCCTACTTCGTCCCCATCGGGTGCCAGTCCCTCTTCACTCACATCGACGCCTTCATTGCTTGTCTGTTCAAGCGGGCTTCCGACGAGGACCCCGGCGTCCGGCGGCACGTGTGCCAGGCTCTCGTCCTACTCCTTGCCGCGCGGCCTGAGAAGCTCATGCCGGAAATGGCCAACGTGGCCGAGTACATGTTGTATTCGACGAAGGACAAGAACGAGAGCGTGGCGCTCGAAGCCTGCGAGTTCTGGCTCACGTTCGCCGAGGACCCGGACCTTGCCCAGTATCTCCTTCCCCTCCTTCCCCGCGTCGCTCCTGTTCTCCTTGACTGCATGATCTATGGAGAGGACGATTTGCTGTGGTTGGAAGGCGACACGGAGGACACGAGCGTTCCCGACAAGGAGCAGGACATCAAGCCTCGCCACTACGGTGGCAAGTCGCACGGCTTCGAGCGCGATCCCGGCGAGAGCCAGGCTAACGGAGAGGAGGCGAAGCGCGGCGCATATGGCGAGGAGAAAATCGACGACGACGAAGAAGATGAAGAGGATTACCTGGATGACGACGAGTTCGCTGACGAGATGTCGACGGAGTGGAACCTCCGCAAGTGTGCTGCTGCTGCTCTCGACGTGCTCGCGGTGAGGTTCGGGGCGAGTCTGATGAACGTTTTGCTCGAGCCGCTCAAGGTGAAGCTGTGGAGCTCGGAGTGGTTGGAGAGGGAGAGCGGGATTTTGGCTTTGGGCGCGATGGCCGAAGGTGCGTGATCGATGTTCCCGCTGTATGCTATGTTCTAAGGCGCATATAGGCTGCATCGATGCTATTGAGCCCCATCTCAGCACTCTCATTCCCTATCTCATCAACACGCTCAATGACCCCAAGGTACGTCTCGTTGATGGTGGCGCGTACAAATAAACATCTTAACGCGCCTCATTAGCCCCTCGTGCGCTCAATCACATGCTGGACGCTTGGACGCTACGCTAGTTGGTGCACACAACCCATCTCTGATGATCACAAGAACCAGTTCTTCGTGCCGACCATGGAAGGAGTACGTGGGACGGAATTTGTACACTGAATAACATCTGACCGCCTTCTAGCTGCTTCGCATGGTCCTAGACGACAACAAGCGCGTTCAAGAAGCTGGTTGTAGTGCCTTTGCGACTCTCGAGGAAGACGCTGGCCCCGAGCTCGTGCCGTACCTGGAGCCTGTCCTCCGTAACTTGGTCTTCGCCTTCGAAAAGTACCAGCACAAGAACATGCTCATTCTCTACGATGCTGTTGGCACTCTCGCTGATTCAGTTGGACGTGCACTGTCAAACCCCGCTTATGTGGACATCTTAATGCCGCCTCTCACACAGCGGTGGTCGAAGTTACAAGATGACGACGACGACCTTATCCCACTCCTCGAAGTAAGCATAGTGCTGTCTTGGCGACGGACGTTTTCTGACGCCATTTCTAGTGCCTGGCCTCAGTCACCATCGCGATGGGTGCTGCGTTCCTTCCCTACGCCGGTCCGGTCTTCCAGCGTTGCACAAACATCGTCCACCATGCTTTGCTCCAGTATCAGGCCTACCAACAGAACTCTGACCTCGACGAGCCCGACAAGTCTTTCCTTGTCGTCTCGCTCGATCTCCTCTCGGGCCTCGCCCAAGGTCTGGGCTCGAACCTTGACACACTCGTCAATCAGACGCAGCCCAGTCTGCTCCAGCTTCTCACGGTGTGCTTGAAGCACCCTCAGGCGCCTGTAAGGCAGTCAGCGTACGCACTGGTCGGCGATCTCGCGATGGGATGCTTCGGGCTCCTGCGCCCGCATCTCCCGGCCATCATGAACGAACTGATTCTCCAGCTTGATCCTGAGCCAAAGGTCGAGTTCATCAGCGCGTGCAACAATGCTGCGTGGTCTGTGGGAGAAGTCGCTCTGCGTTATGGCCGAGGTCAGTGCTCGATGGGTAATTCAGCGCATACAGGGGCGATGCTCATGATAATCTATCTCCAGACGACCCCGAGTTCCAACAATGGGTCAACCCCTTGATCTCGCGCTTGATCCCCATCTTGTTGCACCCCAAGGCGCCGCGTAGTCTACACGAGAATGCGGCCGTGTCCATCGGCCGTATCGGTCTGATGCACCCCGACCTGGTGTCCCTTCATCTCCCCGAGTTCGCGTCGGCGTGGTGCCAGGCTCTTTACGAGATCAGGGATAACGAGGAGAAGGACTCGGCCTTCCGCGGGCTCTGCACGCTCGTGCAGAAGAACCCTGCTGGTGTCGCCAAGGTACGCCTATATGCATTCGTCGTCGAGAATATGCTGACTTCGACCGCAGAGTCTCCTCTGGTTCTGCAACGCGATCATCCGCTGGAACCACCCCTCGGCGGAGCTCAACGCGATGTTCCAGCAGCTGCTTACCGGGTTCAAGAACCACGATGCGGACGGATGGACCGCCCAGGTCCAGACGTTCCCACCCATCATTCAGGAGCGCCTTGCTGCTCGTTACGGTGTTTAGTTTACGACCTCGTGCATCACGCATCAAGCCTCCGGGCTCTCGTTTCTCAAACATGCAATGTATCATATGTATATCATGCGCCTGCCTGCCCACTCTTCGCTCTATGCACCGTCCGCTCGTTGTTCCGTCATAACTTCATGTATCCGATGTCCGCAACTGGGAATCTCTTTTTTACCTAGCAGTAGTATAGCATTTTTCATCTCTCAATTAGGTCTCAGGCCTCTTACAGTAGTTTACAGTAGATAGATATCTCATCATCGCCATCGCCATCACCACCGCCACCCCCATTCATCCATTCATCCATTATATGTCGTGTGCTTGCCTCCGAGGCCGCTCGTTACTTAGTAGTTAGTAGTTTACGTACCTTTTCATCGCCTCGTTCTTCTTTCTTCGCTCTTGGGTGGCAAGCTTTGGATTCCAAAAGGCACGGTTGCTTGTATCATCCCTCCAACCCGCAATAGTCCCGCAGCTCATTAGCTCGTCATCTTGCTTTTAGTAGTACCATACGTAGTTAGCATCTCTGGTGTCCTAGTACTTACAGTAGATAGTAGTAGATACATTTTCTCTCAATCTCATCGGCATCGCGCATCACACCATCATCATTCGGTCGCTCGACGTGACGTCGGAAAATCGTGTCGATTATGTATGACATATAGCCGCCAGTACCAGCCAGGTAAGATGTCTCGACGAAGTACCGGTAGTGTTCAAATATAGCAACAAAGAAGAAACCCCAGACCACCATGAAAGCCCGGACCACGACTGAGCACCGCGCTCAGAACTTCTTGCTGTTCGAGTACCCCAGCCCGCCGAACATGCCCGCGCGCGGGCCGTACAGCTTGCGCAGCCTGTACTGGTTCCAGCCCCAGAGCGCGCCGGCGCAGACGCCGAGGCCAAGGACGAGCTTGAGCAGGAAGCCGAGCCAGGTGCCCTTGGCGGGCTCATCGGAGGCGGAAGAGGGGGAGAAAATGGTGTCGCGCGGGGACCACCAGCTGTCGCCGTGGTTGGGCATCTTGTCCTTTTGTGCGTTGTCGCCCGAGAGGACGGCGGACCAGGATGCGACGGAGATGACGCTGTCGGAGTGGGGAGGTCAGTGGGATGTGTTTTGTGTTGGAGAGATAGGAAAGAGACGTACTCGTGCGAGTCGAAGACTTGGCCGGTCATGGCTGAGAGGCCGAGGTAGGGCGCGGAGGGGAGGTTGACGTCTTCGAGGCGGAAGCAGTGGGTCCAGTCGTCCCCTTACCGAAGGAAATCAGATGGGAAAGTCGAAGGGGGGCAGAGACGAAGGTAGCTTACAGGCCTTGTAGCGGACCTGGACGTCTAGGTAACCGCCCTTCACGTACGTGAGCTTGAGCTTCGTGTCGACATTTGTACGGCGGAAGTTTGCCTGTGTCATTTGATCAGCATAGTTAAGTTTTCAGAATTGGAGGGACGCACGGAGCAAGACCCCAACGCCTGCGAATGCCCATCGTTGTCCTGGTCGTAAGCGGTATTCCCATCTCCCATCATGGCCACGATGCGGGGGAAGCCATATGGATGACGCGAATTGGCGTATCTGAAAACATCCCGTCAGCTCGTAGGCATATATTAGCAAGATAGAAGACTGACGTGTCAAGGAAAATGCCCAGCCCCTCGAACTTGTCCTTGCTCCCGAAGACAGTCCCCGTCTCGGCACGGTCCTTGGTCAGCCAGATCGCCATGCCATCGCCGTAGAGGTGGCTCGACTGGCCGGAGACCTTGAACTCGACCTCGATGACGAAGTTGGGCGCGGTGAGAGGGTATCTTGTCCACAGCCATCCCTATGGAGAATCAAGAGGGTCAGGCGGGGGTTCACGTAGGATGGCAAAGGGGCTTACATTCTGGCCAGGTCGTGACTGGGTTAAGCGGATGTGCTTGTTCGTGTTCTGCGGCACCGTCAGTCTTGGTGTAACGCAAAGGTGCTGGAAGGACTCACGATGTAGGTGTCAGCTCCAAAGTCCCACCATCTATGCACCGACGACGATGAGTCTTTGTTGTGGCCACGCGAGCATACCTACGTACCGATTCTGCAGGTCTTGGTCGATGTATGGCGGGAATATCGAGTGTGTGCGAAGTTGTACACTCTGCAACGCATGTAAGTGACTCGTCCAGGAAACTGGGGTTGGGAACGAAGGTGGACCAAAGTGGTACGAAAGCCGGCGAGGAATGTGGCAAGATGGTGAACGGGAAAGTGGGGCGACCCGCAAAGAGAGTAGGGACACAAGTTTGCTTACCCTTTCTATCGTTTTGTTCGCAACCTTGTCCGTGTTTGCCTGCACGCCCGATAATATACACAAGGAAAGTAGGAGCGCGTATAGCACGGAACAGAACCGTGCCAGCATGGTGTCTTGTTGTGTATTCGGGGTCGTCAGCGTCCGCGACAGAGAGGGCTGGCTTCCAGTCGTAGGCTTGAACCGTAGGTTAAGGGAGTGAGAGAGATGTCCACAGTTTCTGCAACGCCTGCAACGATGGAGAAAGCTATGTTATGCGAGACTTCACTTGGGCTGACCTTTCCGTCCCTCGGACCTGTATTTCCCACGGGCATAAGACTCAAAAGGTCCGGCTAAGTTTTACGGAGACCACGTCATCTCAGTGTCAAACGTTTTGCGCAAAGTGTTTATTAGTGCATTTGCAGACATGCGCGCGTTCAAAACGCGGTAATACTCTTCTCTGAGGCAAGTATACGTAATTACGCCAGACATTATGCAGGGAGCTCGAACTTCTGTCCCTGCAACACTCTATTCCATCCCAGCAACGACGAAAAGAGCGCGTCAAGTCAGCAGGTTTCGTGAGCGTGGAGATGGCGACGTACTTTGTAAAGTAAACGTAGAAGAAATCGAGGTAAAGACCCGTCTGCACGAGACCAGCAACGATAGCGATGGGGTCGACGACGTCTTCCGTGAAATATCTGCGCTAGCCTATCAGGAATCTGGGACGATACGTCATAGTTGAACACACCTATAAATCCAGTTGGGGATGTATAAAGCTCTGTACGCGCCCAACGCAGCGAGGTAATGTGTCGTAATGGTCTCAGCCTCTCCAGTGCGCTGCAACATGAAGAGCTGGGGCAGGATCGCGACGGCCTCGAGATATATCGAGAACGTCCACAGAATCTCGGTGAACTCGAACTTGTAGTTGAAGATGAGCGAGAGAACAACGGCCGGGCCGACCAGGTATTCGACTTTGAAGGTGTCAATAGAGGGGTCGTGCGTGGGTCTAGGGTGACGTTTCAGAGTCTGTGGAGCGACAAGTTAAACGGAAGGGGCGACTGACCGGTAACGGTACTTCATGAGGTAGAGGATGTACACGCTACTAGCGATGAAGAAGATCTTCATGAAAAAATTGTACAGGGATATCCATCGGAAGAACAGGTCGATATAACGCGCGACGAATACTGTAACATACAGGGCTTGAGTCTGGAAGGATATGCCTGTGTAACACCGTCAATTCGACACTCGAGCTGGGACAACAAACAGGGGCAGAACGCACCTCTGCACGACCTTGTCGTCTGTATCTTGTGGATGAGAATGAAGATGGAAGCCAAATGGGACAGGTCTCCTGTGAGTGGGTGCGCGCATAGGTCAGCCCTGATGGAAACGCGAGACCAAACAGAGGGTACGGACCCAAAAGACGGAAGAGATTCATGGCCTACTCTGCAAGCTGACTCGTAACTCCCAACAACACTTCTTTCTCGAGCTGCGGGCGAGTGGGCAGCCGTGGAACGTTGAAGTTTGGGCGTGGTGGGGAAATGCAAAGGTGTAAAGTTCGTTCTGTCGTTCTCAAACGTGTCCCCCTTCTTTGGCGGGCAATCCAATGACTAAGCACTTCCCGCGCCTGTCACCCGCGGCATGTCCTCGATCGGCTCGCCGCGCGACACCGCTCGTTCCCTCTTCGCTCCCTTCCTCCTCCTCCTCCACTGGGCATTTGGCTTGCTGGGCACGCTATAGGTGAGCGTCGACTCTGATTGTTTTCTCTGGCGACGATGCTTTAGTAAAAGGGTCGATCTCAGCCTGGCACCTCGCGTCCTGTTCAGACCTCCCGAGCCCTTAACGCGTTCGTTAAACGGTGTCCTGCAAAAGACCTCTGCAGGGCATTGTAAGGCCGGACCGACATATATTGGCTCTCTTTTAGGCTGGTGCGCCGCGAGCCCAAGGCGCACTAGCAAAGGCAGAGCCACCACACCTCGGCGCGCGTGTGCCGCTCTCCCGTCGCGTTTCATACGCGCACGGAGGAGCTGGTGCTGCCGCCGCGGGCAACATCCTAGCCGAGCCTGCGCAGCGAGCTCTATCTGCGCAGGTGGTCTCCGGACGTGGTTGCCCTACGTTGCCCAAAGCTCCACGGAGACGTGGACGCATATTCAATAGCGCCGCAGCTAGAGAACGACGCTGCGTGCGCGTGGTTATATGCGCACAATGCAGGCGCGGTTGTCTAGACGGGCGTGGGGTGTGCCGCTGAGGAAATGAGATCCAATCTTCCTGCTCTGCAGACCTGAGCCTTCTTTCTCATTCTCATCACGTCTTACTCGAAGCCGAAGAATGCTAACACCTCCGTTTGCAGTTCATGTCTACGGCCATCTTTCGGTTTCTCAGCTGGACATACCTCCCCGACTTCGCCACCCGGCAAATACTCCGCGTGGGACATCGGGTATACCCCACGATTCTGCGTCGTGCCCCTCCCGCCCCGCGGACTGCTGCATACGTACGCCATTACCGCTTCACTTACGCCGCCGTTGTCCTATGTTACCTCCTATACAATTTCTTCGATGCCTCAAGTGATCTGCCTCAAAACTTCTATGAGCTTCTTGGCATATCCCCGGACATTGGCGAGGGAGCCCTCAAGGCTGCTTTCCGCACTTTTGCCAAAAAGCATCACCCAGACCGCGCGGGTGCAGACGCGGAAGCTTTCTTCATTCAAGTGAGAGATGCATTCGAGGCATTGAAAGATCCAGTCGTACGGTTCGCATACGATAGGTATGCTCATTGCTATTCTCATATTACACTTTGAGTCGAGAATAGTAACATTGCAGATTTGGTCCTGATGTCCTTCTCTGGACTGATTGCGTTACAACACGGGATTACTTCCGACGAGGTCTTTTGAGCTCATCGGGATACCATATCGTATCCGCCGTGATCCTTGTATTGTTATCCGCTATCGGGAAGCCAAACCCCATCTCCTCGGTACAGATGTCTCTTCTCCCTGTGACTCTGACATTGTCTGACTCGATCGATGGGCGGCCAGTGGCGTTACTTCCTCTTCGTAGGCCTTTTTGCTTCTGAGCTGTTCTTGTTGGTGTCGCCATCTCCTTCAGCGGCGACCCCAAGTTCCTTTATCGACAGTGCTTCTTTGGAATGGACAGTCCTGAGTCTCCTGTTCCCAAGGCGGGTCGTATTCCAGCATGTCATATTCCTGCATCAGGTCTTCTTCTTCCTTTCAATCGCCTCGAGTCGCGTTGTGCCGGTCCTGTTCCCCGGCCTTGCACGAGGTGACTCGGTGATGGACTTGGACGTAATTCGCAGCATGGCAGAGCGGGTAGGCATGTTAGCCAAAGTGTCCGAGAGAGAATGTGGGTAGTTTGCTTCCGCTTGGGTCTCTTTATATACTGACTCCGGATGCAATTCTGCGCCTCTTTTGTTCGCGCCACCGCAGTGTCCGTCGCGCTGAACCAGGAACTTCACGCTCTGCACGGCAGCCGGCTGAGGGTGCCGGCCGACTTGCTCACGCCCCCGGCGAATCCTCGGGAGGATATCATGGGCGAGCTGAGGAGCGAGATGGTGGACATGATGATAGAGGGCAAGCTAGGTCTGGAGGTGGGTCCAGTCAAGAGCGTGTGGGATGCTGCTATGCGGAAGGAGGAAGAGGGGGGTCAAAGATAGGCCCCTGTTGGCCCCCCTTTTCTCCTCCCATTGTCTCCTCATGCATTGAACTCTCTTGCACCTCGTGATGCTAGGCGCAATCCTCGAGGCTCGATAAATTGGTATTAGCCTGCACTCGTGTACGATATTAACAATAGAGGAGCTGTGATCCAGTCAGATCCCGCCATCCCATCGTGCTTATTGTGTGAGACTAGACCAACAGGAGGTGCACGGCATTGGTCGAAGCTCAAAAAGGCCATATGTTCGAGTAGAACCCTGTGTAAGATTAGTTATCTCTTGTCCGATCATAGACACCCTATTTCTAAGATTGCTTTGTAGTCCCTTCTTTGGCATGTTGTAGAACCTTCTTTGCCTTATGGCAACTCACTATCACTGATGCCAACTTTTTTTTTATCGACAGTCGTACCTTACCAGTAGCGGCACGATCGCACTCCATTCCTGAAAAGTCTTGTCTGTGGATTCCACCCATTGTCTGATTGTCTCTAATTGGTTTTTTGAAACCAGTTGCACAAAAGCACAAAAGGGAAGGTCTCAGTGGGTCTCAGTCGGGTCTCAAATCTCAGTAACAACTGGGCAATAAATGTTTTTTCCACCCTATATCGGGAATGCAGATTCTCGCTTGGGGGCCCGATTCGGGTTATGTCGATACGACATATTGACACATTGACTCGTCCAGCGCTCCATTGGAAATATGCCCAATTCATTGACACTTGCAGACGTAACTGCTCCCAGGTTCGTGAGGGAGGTATAAAATGTGGGCCTTCTGGGTGGGAGCACGACAAGGCCAGCCCGCCTTTCCTCCCCTCCCCCCTTCCTCCTTATATATTCTGTCCGTTTGTTACAATGCAGGCCGAATCTTCAACGTCTTCTAGAAACAAACCCAGGCATATGTTTACACCGCCCGCCCTCGTGTTCTTGAGAGGTCAGCTCGTTTTTTCTCATGTTGTTATTTCACCTTCCTCACAACCCACACAGATTGCTTCAATCAGAAGCAATATCCGACCAGGAGCCAAAAGATTGAGATAGCAGAGCATGTCAGACAGATACCTGGCAACGAGCATGCCAATTTCGAGAGAGTCTCGGCATATTTCAATAACAAGCGATCTCAATCTCGTAAGAGTTCCGGTCAAGAGCACCCCACTGAGGTGGATGACACAGAAGCTATGTGTAAGGCACATCCCCTACCACGCGTTTATGCCATCAATTGTATCTGACACATGCTATTCGCGGTGATCTGATCATTTAGTGTTCCCGAGCCTTCCACTCGAGGTTCGGCTCAAGCTGCATCAATTGTACCGACTTAAACCGGATCCGAACGATGACCTGGTAGCTTTCTGGGCCGAGCGTCTCGACAGCGACCTCAAAGAGGTTGCCGACTGGGTGAGGTGGAAAGGCATGCAAGAGCGCGCCTCTCCCGCAGCACACCTCCCCACCCCGGCTACATCTACTTCTCCACCAACCCGCTATGCATCTTTGCCGCCCATTGAGGTCAAGCAGGAAGTTTCGATGGACTCGCCGGTCTATCCCCTTTCTCCCGCGCATACGCCCATCGCGCCGAGACCGGCGTCTCGGCGGGGTCCTCCAGCTGTGCATACATCCAGCAGTGTAGACAGACTGGGTGCTGCTCAGCCCATGTCGCGAAAACCGGCAGTGTTGCCGCCAAAAGCCGTACGCTCTTTACCGAGTCTAGGTGATTTGCGCCCTGATAGCAAATGTTTTAGGAACAGTCACCGATGCCCCAGGTGGCGGCTGTACCGGTACCTCCCCGGCCGCGAGGTACTGATCCTGTGCACCGGCCCGCTGTTCCCCTCACCCAAAGTGTGGAATGCAGGATTCCAAGAACTATTGAAGAGTTCAACTCCATGTCTGAACCCGTCATGGCAACCCTCCAGCGCTTCATTGACTCGGCCCGTTCTCAGACATTCTCACAAAGTATGTGATCAAAGCCCTTCTCGGGTCAATGTCGGAGAACTCATCGCTTTGCAATCAAGATTAACTCGCACAATTTTTGCTTGCATCTTGATTTGTACCCACGTCCAAACGCACCTTTTGGGACACTCTCTTCATTCATTTTGCCACATACCCATTGCTTCGACTTCCGCTTGCACCCATTTGGTATATTGTTCATCATGCACATGTTTATATCGTACAGTCTGTTAATTATGGTATATTATGAGCATACACAACTATATACGACATCATGAGTATGTAAAGTATCAATTAATGTGCTATTCTTGCTTCAGGTTGTTGCCCTGGAGCACGAGATCCGAGGATGCAGGAGGCGAGGTTCATTACAACGATCTGGGGTATTGCTTACCACGATGCATGATGAGACGTGGTAAACGCGGACTTTGGGAGGGGGTGGCGAGGTGTTCTTCCAGGAAGTGTGTCGACCGATCATTGAGATCGAGACCGGAGAACATGGTTTTGAATGACGTTATGGAAGCGACCGCGGGCACCCAGGACGTGTAGTCGTGGGGAGCGCCTTGTACTTGTAGAAAGGTGTTGTTGTTATTGTAACCCAGGAGACAGCAGTACAAGGCGGGGGCGGAGTCGCGGAAGTAAATGGACGACGGCGGGGCTCGGAGGTTGCCTTTAGTAGTTTCATTTGATGTTTGTTTGGTTCCGAGAAAGGGCAAAGGACGGCCATCCAACAAAACGATGGCACATCCACCACGGCGGTCCACTCGAGTTCCCTCTTTTACTCGCATCCTTTTCATCTCTGCATCCTGCTCGTCGTGGGCGGTGCTAACTACCAGCCAAACTCACTGACGCTCCTGCTTTCGCGGCGATTGCATTCTACCCACATACCCCACCCACACCCGCACATACCCACATATCCTTTCCACCAATCGCCACCATGGACCGGTTCAAACAGCTGCGGCAGTCCAAGGCGTCTTTCTCCGGCGTGCTTCCGCCACATGCCGCCCCGTATCCCCCGCCCGGCGGTGTGCCGATGGGCATGTCCATCTCGGAGTACCACCGCGGCTCGATGTCCACGCAGCGGACGTCCGAGTCGATGAGCGTGAGCGACGCGGCGTACGACGCTCACACGGCGCTGAGCGCCCCGCACATGCCGGCGCGCTCCAAGGGCACGTACCGCCTCACGGATTTTCACATTGAGCGCACGCTCGGGACGGGCAGCTTCGGGCGGGTGCACCTCGGTAGGTTGTCGTACGAGCTCTGGATAGGGGACTTGCTATTCACGGTTTAGCGCTTCCCGCTGTGTTTATGCTGGCGTTGGTGTAGTGCGGAGTCGACATAACATGCGGTATTATGCGATCAAAGTGCTCAGCAAGGAGAAGATCGTGCGGACGAAGCAGGTCGAGCATACGAACAACGAGCAGGCGATGCTCGAGATCGTGCAGCATCCGTTCATTGTCAACCTCTGGGGCGCGTTCCAGGACTGCGCGAATTTGTATATGGTCATGGACTTTGTTCCTGGTGGGGAGCTGTTTACGCTGCTTCGCAAGTCTGGAGTGCGTATATGCGTCTATGTGGATTCGAGCATTCTCGCTTATTATGGCTGGGGCGCAGAGATTCCCTGATGCTGTTGCAAAGTTCTACTCGGCCGAAGTCGCGCTGGCCCTTCATCACCTTCACTCTCGGGATATCATCTATCGTGATCTGAAACCCGAGAACATCTTGATCAACCACGACGGCCATATCAAAATCGCAGACTTTGGGTTCTCGAAGATGTGCGACAACACGACTTGGACGCTGTGCGGTACGCCTGACTATCTTGCTCCCGAGGTAAGCCTCGAACCTTCTAGCTCGCCTCTGTTGCATATCAACGCGTCGCTCTAGATCGTTCGGCAACAACGGTATAACAAGAGCGTCGACTGGTATGCGCTCGGTATCCTCATCTACGAGATGCTCTGGGGCTACCCTCCCTACCACATGGAGGAGCGGAACCACTTCCAGCTGTACGAGATGATCCAGCAGGGGCCGCGGTGCATACGGCGCTGGCCCGCTTTCGAGCGGTGGGCGACGGACCTGATCCTGAAGCTCATGGACGAAGACCCGACGCGTCGACTCGGCAACATGAAACACGGTGCGCGGGACGTGTTCGCGCATCCGTGGTTCAAGGAGGTCAACTGGGAGCAGCTGCTCCAGCGTACGATTCCAGCGCCGTATGTGCCGAGGATATCGAGGGCGGGAGATGCGAGCGCGTATGTTGTCGTTTTCCTGCCTTTTCCGCGGTATTTGCTGATGAGCACTTGCTTTCGTAGATTTGAGCTTTACCCTGAAGATAACGCGACCGCCATGTATGGGATTTCAGCTCCGGACCCGTACGGCGTTGACTTCCCCAATTTCGAGCACACATCCCCCACGCCTTGAATGTTCTATGTCATATATTATAGTCTTTACGACACCGAAAAAAGAGCAAAACGGACTTCTTACATTATCGGAACTCATCATCCACCTTCAACGTCTTATCAATACATCATTATCGTTCTTGACAAGGTCGGCATTGCACTTGTACATATGTCTTTTTACCCGCTGCTATAGTTGTTGTAATACCCAATACATACCGGGTCCAATGATATCTCTCGAGGCGACATACTCGAGGACATGTACACGTTTGTCGTGATATACACAGACTTTATATGAGCGTTGGTGACGTCGAGGTGAACGTGAACGTGGCAGGTCAGCGGGTTGGAGAACGCGGAAGGTCGCGCGTCTCGGCTGTCTCCCGCGTAGCGTGAGGGCGTCCGTGTTTGGCCCGGACAAACATGAACATCATGTCGGAAATGGCCCCAGTCCTCCTCGGATTCGCGCAACACTGCGCGGTGGACACTCCCTCGCACAACAACGCTGCGCTCGTTCTCCCCACCTCGACTGACACTCCCAGCTGGTGCAACAAGCTTGGCGAACCGTCGAGAATCCACCGAGATCAGCTTGCTCGGCCCCTGCCTCTGCTTACCAACTCCGTATGACCTGGTGAACATTCGACATGAAAGCGGCGAAGAAGTCGCAATTGAAGACTCAAAGCCTATCTGCGGCGACTCGGGAGGATGGAAGAGACGGAACGGGCGAGGATGGAGCAGACTCGAAGACGGAGGAGGTTCTTGCGGAGAAGCACGACGAGCTGGACAAGGTCTTGGACAGGCATGATACGCTGGTGCGTAACTTTCAGATTTGCTACGCCTTCTCTGACCGACTTATTCTCTCAGGTGCGCGAGGTGTTTCATCTGGAGAAGTTTGTGACGCTGCTCTCGTACGATCCCAAAGTACGTATGCAAATTGCCCCGCCCGGTCGTAAGCACTCCTAAAATAATCGTCTTTCGTAGGTGGCGAAAGAAGATGGCTCGGCTGCCTTCCGCGAGGTTCGTTTTTGGCCGCATCTCGTGTTTTGACGCTCGCGCTCATTATCGCCTGTTTCCTTCTAGTACAAGTCCGAGTACTACGATATCTTCCAAAACGTCGCTTCCTCCTCTGCCGCTGGCCCTTCTCGCAAGACCAGGGGTGCCCGCCACGCGCGCATCCAGAATCTGACGGCTCTATCGTCTACCATGAGCACGGCGTCCGATCCGCGCCCACGCTCGAATTCTCTCACACAGCCCACCTCCACCCCCGCACTCTCCGCCAAGGCGAAAGGCAAGCAAAAGGCGGTCGAACCTATCTCGATATCTGCGTTCACGCCGAACGGGCATGGCAACAGCAGATCGAGGCCGGGTCCCCCCAGACAGACCCTTCCCAAGGGCACGCTCGACCATCCCCCATCCGAGTCCATGTCAGCGCCACCAGGCCACCTCCGCAAGCGCACCACTCTCGACGTCCAAACTCCTGATCAGCCCCCCATTTTGCGCAAGAAGCGGAAGCTGCGGACGCCCTCGCCATCTCCCCCTCCACCCGACGACGACGGCGAGCCAGAGCTCTCGCCGGGCTGCTCGTCGCGTCGGCAGCGCAGAACAAGCAGCGTGGCGGAGCTGCCACCACAACGCTCGCGACCAACGACTCCGTTAAGGAGAAGAGTGACGATAGCAGATCTTCCGGAGGTCCTCGAGTCGCCACTGCCATCCTCGCTGAAGAGCGTGAAGCGCGTCAAGCTCATCGTCCGACGTCCCCCTCCCATGTACTCCAGCCCGCACCAGATCGCCCCTCCACCCAAATTCGGATCATCCATCAACGCGTTTCTAAATTCCTACGTCTCCGTGGATGGCGAAGAAAGCAAGAAGAAGCTGGAGAAGAAGGCGAATGAGCAGGCAGAGTTTTTGGCGAGAGTCGACACGCTGCGGCGGCAGGGGAGGATTATGCTCGACAGTCGGTCCATCGCGCTCTTGCAGGATCAAGACAAGGACGCTCTTCTCGCGCCCCCGAAGACGCATCCGCGCGGGGTGGACATTTGGGACCACGTCTTGCAGGAGGTTGCGCAGCGGAGTAACCGCAACCTCGGGCGCGGGCGGACGGTTTGCAGCCAGATCGCGAGCAAGATAAACGTGTATTGGGAGCAGTCGGCGCTGCGGGAAGATCGGGCGAGGGCGAAGGAGGAGAAGCGGCTGAGGGCGCTGGCGAAGGCGACGATCAAGATGGTTATGGTGGAGTGGAAGAAGGCCGTTCATGTACGTCTTTTATTTTTTTTATAAATTTATTCGCGTTCTTATATTTGTGTATAGTACATTCGGGAGCAGGAACGGTTCAAGGCCGAGGAGGAGGAGCGAAGAAAGGGACATGAGCATCTCGATGCTATTCTCAACCAGTCCGGCCACATCCTCGAATCACAGCACCTTGAGCTCGCTCGAGGCGATTCTCGAAGATCATCGAGTCGGGCCAGTAGCTTGGGCGATGCTATGGAAAGCTGGGGGGATGAATCGGGATTAGAGGAAGAGGAGGAGGAGGAGAATGATGGTGCTGCTGAAGAAGATATAAGGAGGATGGGGGGCCGGGACAGTGACGACGAGAGTAGGGCCGATGAAAACGAGGGTGAAGACAGTGGGAGTGAAGAGGGCGAAGATGTCAACACTCTGGAGTTGCTAGGAGTCAGGGATCTGCCGAGAGACGAGGATGAGAGACGTCTGATGGTCTCGTCCATCGACGAGGAGATGAACATGAAGTCAAGAATCGAGGAGGAAGATACAAGCGTTCACCATTCTCCCAACGCTGCTGTAACCGCGTCCCGCTCCCCAAGTGCACTTTTCGACACCCATATTTCTTCCCCGCAACCTTCTCGCTGGAGTAGTGCCGAACACGTTCAGACGCCTACTCCTACGAGGGCTTCTCCGCCATCAAGTCCAATTGTTTCCTCACCCTCGCCTACGCACGCGGACGACAAGCCAAACATTGTGCTAGGGCTCGTCTCGTATAGTTCCTCCACCTCACCCTCACCCGTGGCATCTCCAAGCAGGGCGGTTCACGAGATAGGTTCCCCGCAAGCTCGCGCCTCCCCATCGTCGAGCCTCGCATATCCTTCATCGCCTAGTCCGGAGGAGGACAAAGTCGACGACACGATGGACATCGACTCTAATGTTGAGTCAATCTCGACTCCGCAGGACGTCCCAGCACCGGAGCCCGGTGTGGTAGAGGATGCCGAACACGATCCGATGACGAGAACGGTGCCCATCATGTCGCGAGAGGACGACATCCAGGTCACTAAAATCCAGGGCGAAGCGCCGACACGACTTGTGTCCCCTGATACCCGGGAAACATCGCACGTGCAACCCGACGACGATGAGGCAGCTTCTGATGTCGCCGAAGAGCAGCTCGTTGGGGACCCCGAGGACCATATTCCAACGTACCTCAAGCCGTTCGCCGTCGCGCCGGTCGATTGGGACCCGGACAGCAAGGTGACGGCGCCGTTGCTGCTGCGTGGGGTGCTGCGGCCGTATCAGCAGTCCGGCCTCGAGTGGCTGGCGAGTTTGCACTCGAATCATCTCAATGGGATTTTGGCGGACGAGATGGGATTGGGGTGAGTTATCTACGTGTTTGTTCTTTTTATTTCGTAAATGTGGAGCTCATGCTATGGCCTTGTCAGGAAAACTATTCAGACTATTTCGCTGCTGGCGCATTTGGCGTGCGACCGTGGTATTTGGGGCCCTCATCTGATCGTATGTCCGACCTCGATATCATTTCTGGTAACTCACTTATAATTTTAATAGATCGTTCCGACCAGCGTGCTCCTCAACTGGGAGATGGAGTTTAAGAAATTCCTTCCTGGCTTCAAGATTCTGAGCTACCACGGATCTACCAAGCGCCGGAAGGAACTGCGACAGGGCTGGAATAACAAGCACAGCTTCAACGTCTGCGTCACCTCCTACACGCTCGCGAGCCGCGACGCGCACATTTTCAAGCGCAAGCCTTGGTACTATATGATCCTCGACGAGGCGCACATGATCAAGAACTTCAAGTCCCAGCGGTGGAATATCTTATTGATGTTCCGCTCGTTTCGTCGGCTCCTTCTCACTGGCACGCCGCTGCAGAACAACCTTACGGAGCTGTGGGCGTTACTGCAGTTTCTCATGTCGGGCACGAATTTTGCTAATCTCAAGGAATTTGGGGATTGGTTTTCGAGTGAGTTTCCCAATGTTTTCTGAGCATTCCTGAGTTTTTCTGTTAGGATGACGCTGACGAAATGATTTTATTCTTCAGACCCGCTCGAAAAGGCAATTGAGATGGGGAGCGCCCTCGACGATGAAAATATCCAGCGTGTTTCAAAGCTGCATACAGTCCTCCGCCCTTACCTCCTTCGTCGCCTCAAGCGGGATGTCGAGAAAGAGCTGCCGAGTAAGTACGAGCACCTCGTGCTCTGCCCGCTTTCTAAGCGACAGCGCTTCCTGTACGACGAGTTCATGACTCGCGCGCACACGCAGGAGGCGCTGCAGTCCGGCGTCTATCAGAAGATCGCGAACATCCTCATGCAGCTGCGCAAGGTGTGCAACCACCCGGACCTGTTCGAGGTCCGGCCGATTGTCACGTCGTTCGCGATGACGCGTTCGGCGGTCGTGGACTACGAGATCAAGGAGCTGCTCGTGCGCCGGCGGCTTTTACAGCAGCAGGACAACGACGACGAGCAGAAGGTGAACCTCGGCTTCTTGGGGCTGAGGTTCGTCGAACACCAGGACGTGTCGGTGTTTGCGTCGTCGGAGACGACGAGACTGGACGCGACGCTGAGGTTGCCATTCCTCTCCGAGCTCCCTGGGCCGCGTCCACCCAAGGACACGCGGACGATCGAGGGGTACAAGCTGTACAGGGCGTACCAACTTCGTGCGGAGCGGGCTAGCCGGTGGGCGCACGTTGGGTACATGAACACTATCCGGTGCAGGCGCGAGCCTATCTACAACAGCGAGGCTATCGCTACCTACAAGCGGTTTTATCGCCCCCTTGTTCCCTTGGCCGCTGCCAACCTCCGCCATCAGTACTGGGATACGGTCACTCGCACGCATGCCGCGATCAAGACTTACGAGGAGCGCGCGGAGGATATGCGGGACGTTGTGGAGAGGTTCGCCTTCGTCACGCCTTCTGTCGTCGCTCAGGATGTGGCCCGGTTCTGCGTTCCCGAGCTCGAAGACCCTTCCATATCTTTGCCGCCTGGTTTCGACTCCCTCCTACACCACACGCGCGTCAAGCTTCAGATAGCTTTCCCGGATCCGTTGCTGTTGCAGTATGATTGCGGCAAGTTGCAGATGCTGAGCCGGCTGCTCCGCGACAAGAAGGCGGGGGGCCACCGCGTGCTCATCTTCACGCAGATGACGAGGATTCTGGATATCCTGGAAATGTTCTTGAATTTCCACGGGCATCTATACCTTCGGCTGGACGGTGCGACCAAGATCGAGGACCGGCAGTATATCACGGAGCGGTTCAATGCGGATCCGAGGATCTTCTGTTTTATTGCTTCATCCCGATCTGGTGGTGTCGGTATCAAGTATGTATTATGATCTTATTATATTGTGATCTTGCTGATGTCTGGATTTCGCAGCCTTACTGGAGCGGACACCGTTATTTTCTACGACAGTGACTTCAACCCGCAGATGGATAGACAGTGCGAGGATAGGTATGACGTCATTTTCACTTTCACGTTCATCTTTTCTAACAATCAATTTCTCGTGCAGGGCCCACCGTATCGGCCAAATGCGGGACGTCCACATCTATCGCTTCATCTCGTCGCACACCGTTGAGGAAGCCATGTTGATGAAGGCCAATCAGAAGCGGTCGCTGGACGACATCGTCATCCAGAAGGGCGAGTTCGACTGGCGGACGCTCTTTGACGATCAAGGAGCGCTCACCAAAGCCCTTGGAGAATTTGAAGACACGGAGGACGCGCGTGCGGCTGCTATAGCCGCCAGCGAGGAGAATGTTCTGGTCGGAGCGGATGAGGCGGACTTTGGCGCGGAGATGGAGGCGGAGGAACGGGCAGAGCATGGCCCTGAGGCTGCTTCGAGCGAGACGCCCTCGGCGCGGCCGTCGAAGGCTGTCACCCCTACCGTTGAAGATGATCATGGCTACGAAGCGGTGGCCGATGCTGATGTTGCTTTGGAAGATGGAGGAGAGGACGGCGAAGGCGAGGGAGGGTCCACGGCTGATTTCATGCTTGGATTTGTGCAGTTTGATTATGATTTCTTCAGAGATTGGCGCTTGTAGCGTTTTGGCTTCTGGATGGTGACGACCACTAATGGTTTTTGGTTCTTTGTGCACGATGTCGATGCCCTACGATGATAGTTTACTGATTTGTTTAGTTTCCGTACACGTACTACCCCCTGCTCATTGCTGTTTAGGTATCTTATGTTTGCTTTGGTTATTGCCTTCCATCATCCAATCTTAGGCTTCCGTTCTGGCTACAGCGCGCACCATCGAGCAGTGTTTCTCACGGACAAAACCTCTCAAACCTTGGGCTTTCTCTTGCTCCGGATGAGTCCGCCATGCAAGACGCTTTCAAGCTGGCACTTTCAAGCCTAGTCTACACCGGTAGCATCAACGCCGTGCTGTATGGCTTCTAGTTGCTTCACTCGCAAAGACGGTGCATGCACTGCCATGCAGGGCCCACCAAGATGTTACGTACTAGTATCCGGAACATGACGCCCCGCGCTGTGCCCAAAACGCCCTTGCCGTGACTGACGAGTCCCACTGGCAGACCAAGAGACTGAAACATCAACAGACAGACCTCCGGATACTGCGCTGAAGATGTCTGCGGGGCTCCGTCGGGGTCGGGACATAGATCAAAACGGACTGGTCTTTTAACTCTCATAAGTTGCCGACGGATGAACCAACTGGGGATTCGCTGGTACTATTTTCTTCTTGATTCCCTACTAGTGGTCTACTCCGCAGTAATTTCATGGCTAGCGGCAAGCGAAACGCGTCAGCTTATGTCGTTTCATGCCGATGTTACGTATCTCTATGTCGACTCTCTGCTTCGTTGATTCTGTGCATCCAGCCAACTTAAAAGACCAGTGGACTTATGTCATGTGGAGACCTGATCTCTTGCACCTATTTTTATTAGCGGACTAGCCAGCATTCATATCCTCAGCGGTTCTCGGTTTTCAGACCCCCATCTTTTACAAGTCTCCAATTATGGGGAACTTCATTTCCTTCGTATCCGAGCTATTTCCTCCAGCAGTCACGTATAGCTCGGACGACATGCCAGACATGGCCGGTAAAGTCATCCTGATTACAGGAGCTAACGTTGGCATCGGGAAGGAGATTGCCAGGGTGCGTATCGCTCTTATGAATGTGTTAATGATTATCTCATCATTATTGGAACTACGCAGATCTTACTGCTCAAGAACGCAAAAGTATACATCGCGGCGCGTGATAAGAGCAAGGCCGAGCTCGCCATCGATGATCTGAAAGCATCCACCGGCAAGGAAGCCTATTTCATACAGCTCGACTTATCAAATCTGAGGAAAGTCAAGGCTGCCGTCGAGGAATATATGAGGTCAGTGCTCCCGTTTTATATCCTTGACGGCGGTCTAGCTTACGGCTCACGCCATTAATGTAGCAAGGAGACAGAGCTACATGTTTTGTTCAACAACGGGTACGTATGCCAACTTTCTCAATCAACGCCGATGTGCGGTGAATGACGTTTCTCCGCTTGTCTACTAGCGGCGTCCTAAATCCTCCTATCGAGCGATTGACTGATGATGGATGCGACCTTACTTTCGGGACAAACGTTCTTGGTATGCTAGTCGAACATGTCACGCTTTTGCATACATTGACCCGTAGGGCATCAAGGCCACTACTACTTGACAACGCTTCTCCTTCCTATTCTTCTCTCAACCGCTAAGGCCTCGCCAGAGCGGCATGTCCGCGTTATACATACGTCTTCGAACTCACATCACCTCAGTGGAATCAACTTTGACGCCCTAAATGACACGCCCACACGGAAGAAGCTGAGCACGGAAACATTGTATTCACAAAGCAAGTCGGTACGTCACAACCAAGTCTAACCTAGACGTCCTTACGCATTTCTCTTTAACTGGTTGATAGGGCAATATAGTCTTCTCGAATGAACTTGCACGTAGATACGGGGATCAGGGTATCGTCAGTATCTCAGTGCACCCGGGTAAGCTGCCTCGTTATGCATGACCATCGACCAAACTGAGCATTACTCTGCTGCATTCACCCTATTGCAGGCGCAATTCGTACTGAGCTTTTGCGAAATAATGGCTCAGTTGCTAATAAGATCGCCGTACGCTCCTACCTTCAGCGGCTGCACCTGTTGGTGATGCTAAACTTGATTAAGGATTGGTTTCTGAGCCCCGTCACCAAGGGTGCACTCACACCGTTGTACGCTGCCACTTCCCCCGAAGGTGCCGTTCTTGGTGGACAGGTAAGTATTGTCGTGATATATCCGAAGTCAGCACTGAGATAACTCGCAAATCAGTATCTCATACCGTGGGCCCGAGTTGGTAGGTCGCGTACCGACACACGAGACCCCGTCGTAGGTGCCAGATTATGGCAGTGGCTTGAGGAGCAGGTCAGGGACGTTTGAGAGATGTTCATATCAAACAGGACAAACGGACGCCAATCTTCTGTATGATCATTCTTCCCGCTTTTCATTCACCTAATAATTCTACTTAATGTCATATAAGCTACCGAGCTTCAATGCGACAAATTTGATCTGACACTACGTTCGCATCGCCTTTAGTCCGAGGGTTGACTCTTGTTTGAACGCGATGCACATGTGGGCGTAGATTTCGTCTACTGACTCCACTAGCATCGGTTTTCGTTATTAGTACATGTGTGACTCTTGATTAAGACCTATGTCCTTTGACCAGAGAACCCTCTGGTCTTCAAACTACAAACTAATACCATGCCGCCCGACATCACTGCCTTGATCTTGGCTTTATGGCGTCCGAATATTGAAACACAGAGTCCGTTGTAGATATTTGTACTAGTAGTTGACATGAACGTACGTGATCTGTAGCTCGGACTGCAGGAGAAGGTGATAAGAGATGGTCACCATTGAAATGTGCAGAACGTGTACAGTAAACGTAACAATTACCATAGCATCACAAAAACGTTGAACTCGAGATTACCATGTATGCCATTGGCATCCATCAGGCTCAGCCGATACGGAACGTCGACAACATAATCATCGTGACATCTTCGTTGTTATCAGGGTCTGCCACCTGTCTTAAGTGCAGGATAAGATGTACAACGAAAATGGAGTGCAGCATTGCGATGGGTATACTCATCAAAAGTGTTAAGTCGATGCCGGGGTTCTACTTCGGCTGTCGGTCGGATTTGATCGGTATAGCTATATGTTTGCTCACCGTCTGTGGAGGCACCACAAGTGCCAAGAACAAACCTATGAATGGATCATCAGAGAGTGGCCTACAAGCATGATTGCTAGGCCTACTGACCACAAAGCGAGAGAAAGGAAAGTAACGCTGTTTAATGTCGATGTAACGTCAGAAGCGGGTTTCTGACAGCCTCAGAGCTCCTACCATCTATGAGCAGGGCTCGGAACAGTCGCGTAAGTGTCCGTATGTCTCTGTCTGAAGCGCCGTTATAATCAGGCCATACGTTTGTGTTTAAATGCACAACTCACATGCGAAGTATGACTTCAGAGAGAGCAAGGCGAGACAAGCTAATAGAATCACAAGGCTTTATACAGTGCTTTTTGTGAATGATCACAGGTACGACCTACCCAGTTCTGCACATAACAACGCCGACCAACTAATCTTGAGCCATCTTCCGTTTGATATTACAGAGCAGGCGGTGAAGTGGAAGATAACATCGTCATTTGACATAGCTGAACAAGGACATCCATCAGAACATCTCCATAGCCCCTTTCAAAAGCTTGAAGTACGAACGCTGAACAGTTTCGGCGAATCTCTTTGCTGCATATACAGCCACCGCAACGCAAGCCAGATGCAACAGCGCCACCAGGGTTCCTATAGCAGCCTTTCGTGCCCAAACAGCCCATATACGGACTACCAAGATCACTGAAAGCTATTCAGCATGCCTTAAGGTCCGAAGGAGGACGCATCCTACCCTCGGCTAATGCCAATACGCTCAAGTGGAGAACTGACCGTGTGTCAATTCTTTTCCCACTGAAAGCGAGATATACTCACAGATAATTGCGATTATTGCATTTTTACATGTATCGGCATCGGGTGCCGACGACAAGATGACTATGAAAGTAGGTGTGCATGAGAGGACGCCGGAAAAGGAACTTTGACTTCTTACTAAACCACATCTCTACCATGGCAATGAGGAAGATCTGATATCTTGTCCACAAGTATAGCACCTTGATTATCGACCAATGCGATTACCATATGTAGGTTATCTCAACATCTAGTGACGTTAAGACATCCCAAATCTGACATGTGCGTGCTTAAGAACATCGATGATATATCAAAGAAAGGACGTACCAAGAGACTTGTACCACCACCTAAGTTGCAACAGCAGCCAACGAGTAATCAGCCATATTATCGACGCTGATCATCGGAGATATAGAACCCGTACAAATAAAGAACTGAAGGGACGGAGACGAATATGTGTGATATTTTAGCAGGAATTCACAAGGAGAATAGCGAATGAATAGCACATACTCGACCGATCTGTTGCTGCCGGAGGAGCGAAATCTGGACAGAGACGTCAATGGAGGTAGACATGAAATGAGTGAGAACATGGGCCGTGGTCTTGGCACCTTGACAAATTATGCCTCACCTATATACCACCATGGCATCAATTTAGCGGAAAGTTCCCGTTCACATCTTGGTTTACACTGCTGAACCGAGTTGCAAAAAACAGGACGCTGACCTACCTCTCGATCAGTTCGGAGCACAAGAAACGACCTGGATAGGGAACGTTTTGATCTGATAAACGGGAAGCGAAATTTATATAACCGCCTCCCAGGTGTAAAGAAACGGAAGATTCAGCCTGACTTTGTGACATCGAGTCTATCATAAAGTCTCAGGAATTCCTATGTGAGTAGCTCTTGACTTGACTACATGGGATGTGCGTAGTCCGAATAGTCTCTGACAAAAGTTTCACTTAGAGCACGTTTCGAACAGTTCCACGTCTGATGGACGCGCAGTAAGCTTGCACAGGAGCAGATATATGGGCGCTGTTAACTTCTTTGGAAGTTAGCGTATATCTAGCACGTTGAATAGTACCACATGTCACGGAGTAAAACGTTTCGAACTATGAAGATGATGATTTGAGCGCCACCCTGAACTTCTTTTTCCCAGTATCCATGTTGACAACTGGACAAGTCCGAACCGTCCGGTCATAATAGTCGCATCGGCTGTTATTCATCTTCAACACGGTCAACAAATATCTGTTGCTCACTTTGCTGCAATCGACTCATAAGGTTGGTGGTCCTTGTGTACCACATTGAAAGCTGGGAATAAACCCATGAATTCCCACAACGACGGTGACGCTGAAGACAACTTTTGAGACAACTTGAAGTCGTCCTATTGGAGTCTTTATCGGAGTGGATTCGTCCCCATGTATCCTGAAGCTGGAGACATTGTGATCTGGTAGTCGGCTCAATCAGCACAAGCACCATCGTGCCGTGGAACGTAACTCTAAGCAAACGAGTAGAAGACTATACGAGAGCCTTAGTGACAGTGAGAGCGGGCAAAGCCTCAGCGCCAGCAAAGGTACCCCCCGAGTCGCCAGGAAAGGCGCCCACGGTATATTCCGACAGCATGACGGATCCGGAACTTTAATGACTCCGGGCCTCCGGCCGCCCGGCGCATTTGCCGCGATACGACGGCGCGACTGCACGTTGCTCGCTGTTGCTCGTAGCTTCCCCGACACATCTTCGCTGTCCTCGACTCCTTCATCACTGGATGTTTCGGACATTTACCGGGCGTGCAAACCGCACCTCATCAGTACCTCGGCTAACTGTCACGGACATCCTCCACCGGACGTTCGTCAGCGGGCTCGCAGCACTTTCGGTCTATGGTCTTTTCCTGGGCTATATGGTCCACCGGGACACGCTAGCTAGGGGACGAGGTGAGTTATGAGCTACAATGCCTTCTGTTACCTGTATCTGATGCTCTGGCAGAGGTATGAATCTAAGTCGTGAGTTTGCTAAGACAAAGTTCACCGAAGTTGTAGGTCTTGGCCGTGCGAGAAGCTGAAGTCAGAGAGCAGGAGCAGCAAACGGTGCGTATATGCGCGTCATCCGACAAGTCCTGTGCTGTAACCATTGTCTCCTCAGAGCATATTGGAGGCCCGAGAGCAAGCTCTGGCAGAGGCTGCAGCGGCTACACTTCAGAAGTAAAAGGCACGATTCTGAATGTCCATCCAGCCCAAACTGCCACTCTCTCCATGCCCTCCTATGCAGTCAATTGGGCCACTTCAGGAGTCTTCGGTAGCTCAATCGGACTCACACGTCGGTCCCATGACTTCCTTATAGAAAGGAGCAGCGTACTTCCAACAGTCTATCGCACAATAATCTAATACATGCTTTGGACCAGTACCAAAGAGAAAGACGTCCGAGCCCCTACTACTCAAGACAACTCAAGCCATGCTGCGACTAGCTTCGTGAAGTTCAATGTGCCAAGGCCAGTGACTGGGTCCCAGCCCGGCGTTGCATTGAAGCCATCGGTACCGCAACCAGGGTTGTCTCCGAGGGTGATATCGTTAAAGAGCGCCGCGAAGTTGGTCGTGTAGATCTGCATGCACGTTAACAAGGCCGAGAGCGACTGAGCAAGAGAGATACGCACAGTTGGATTGATGAAACCGATAGTGGACTTGCCAGCGGCGAGACGGGCATCGTTGATCATGGTGAAGATCGCACCATTCACAGGCGAAGCGCATGATGTTCCGTAAACGAGCTCGAATTCACCATCGATCTGTCTTCGTTTTAGCGCTGATGTTCTTCACGGAGAACAATGCAATCCTCACCGCCACGACGTAATTAGCACCGTTAGCGGAGATGTCGGGGTAGGCGCGCGACTAGAACTTGGGTCAGTACGTGGATTTTAGGAGGCTCGCCGTCGGACTCACCCCGCTTGTGTTGTACATGTAGGACGGGACATCAGGAGGATAAGTCTTCAGATAGTACTCCACAGCTTCCGCCTGGTATGATGGCATCGCGAAGTAGTTGCTGAATCCTCCACCCGAGTAGATGACCTCCTCGCACGCCATCTCGGGCTGGTATTGGTACACCGTCGCGTTCGGCTTCATCATCGTGGCCCCGACCGAGGTCACGTACGGGCACGTACTCGGGAACGTCGGGTTGAACAGTGTGCCATTGACGGACTGCGTGCCGTTGGGGAACAGGCAGAGGGCATCGTTGCCCGCGACGCCGTAGTCGCCCGAGCTGTAGAGCACGGTGACGCCCATGAGCCCGAGCTTGGCGTACTCGGCACACTGGCGCGCGGCGTAGAACTCGGTGAGGTCGGCTTCGTTGTATGCGTACGAAGTGGAGATGACGTTGGTGGGCTTTGCAGTTCCGCAGTCCTGGGGACCTGGATGGTTTGTGGGATGAGTATCGGAAAAGAAGGGGGTAGCGTGCCCAGGGCGTACCTTCGTAGCCTCCACCGTAGGGGTCAGGGTAGTACGCATCCTGCGTGTAGTTGTTCCCTCCCTCGAATGTGCAGTACGTGCCGTCAATTGCGTCGAGGAAGTTGTTGAACGAAGCACCTAGAACGCAGTTTTAGTATGTATGCACATTTGTGCGATGTATGACGACTGACCTTCGACCATATCACCAGCCTGATACAAGGTCACGGTCTGTTCGCTGCCTACGAGAGTCATACCGTACTCCAAGTCGAGGTCGGACTCTCCGTTGTAACTGAAGTTCTGGTACTCCGTCTGCGCATACCCTTTCAATATCGTCCTATCAGTGTTGAACAATCGCGGATCACGATCAAGAAGTACCTCCATCGATCGAGACCATGTACGGGGCAACGCCGTACAGATCGGTAGAAAAGTTGGTAGCAAACATGTCGAGGTCAGTCTGCAGATATGCTTCGGGTGTATATTCGACTACATGAACACGCGTGATTAGCGAGAGCTTTTCCAGAACGCATAGAAGCGAGATTGAAAACAGCACTCACCAATTCCATAGGTGTTATCTGCGGTGGCCACCGGCGTGTAGTTTAGGCTGTAGAGTGCACGCAAGCAGTCCGGAGTAATGTACTCGTAACAAGTAGACAAGTCGGTGGGAACGATGCTCTCTGCATACTTTCCCGCAGACTTGGGCCCGCCCCGGAAGGACTTCGGGATGACCGACTGAGGCTGAGTCTGAGGCGTGGTCTCTGAAGAACGACTAGTTAGGCGCGCGTCAAAGTGGACTGTCGGGGTGACGAAGTCGACGTGACGTTTGACATGGCTCGGAAGGTGGTATTCGCTACAGCCTGAGCTTATGCATCAGTAGAAGGATGAGAAAGGATGGAGAGCCATAACGCACCGACGTGCTCCTTTCCGCTGACGTGGCTGTACACACTGTACTCGGTCTGAAGCAGCGCTTCAGCCTCTTCGATGGTAGCATCGACCTCGATCCAACCCTTGTTAGGTGAGAGCCTGATGCGCTCCTTTTCGATACCGTTCTCCGTGAGCCAGTCGTGGACGGTCTTCACAGTCTCACGATTTGGCGAGAACTTCTCAAGAACGTCCTTGACCGACCAATGTTTCCCATAGTTAGGGGAGTGCGGGTGGGAGACATCCATCACGTACTTCTCCATCTCCTCGATGTTCTGCTGAGTGAGAGCGAACCGGAGCGGGAGCGCGGATCCAGCTGCGTGTTTGCGACCGTACGACCACCCTTGCGGGAGGACGATGCGCTTCTCGTGTAGCGCATACGGCGAGATGGTCGGTTCAGCAGCGGCGAAGAGGCTGAGACTCAGCGCGACCAGGGAGAGGAGAGACCTCATTGTGACGACCGTGACGGGAGGGGCGACCAGGACGCACAAGGGCAGTAGGGCCTCGAGACCATGTTAAATACAGGTCGTGTGGGGAAGAAGTGGTCGACAGCATGGTCAATCGAAGATAAGGCCGAATATACCGTAAAGGTTCCACAAGATGTTCGCGACGCTCACAGGATGCTTGCCTTTGCCGAGGCAATTCTGGGAGGTGTGCCGTATGGTGAGTGAGATACAGTGGCCCTTGCCCTGGATGATCTGGGAATACGAAGTAAGCTTAGTAGAGTGTCTTGTCTATCTTTGTGTGATGGACGACGACGGTATGGTCACGAGAGTCATGACGGTGTCGACTGCGACTTGTGACGGTCTGTGTAGATAAATAGCTAAGACGTGGGTGAGCGGCCTCGGTCGTGGTTCCGCCTTTCCCAAGGATCTTGATGAGGTTGCGCGGGAGCCATGGCATCGCAAGCACTTATTCTTAGTGGCATGTTGGCGGGTAGATCGTCCGGGGTTATGAAATAAGATCTAGGCATTTAGCAGTATCATCAACAAGATATGATCTGCGCTCCTGCGGGACAAGAAACGAGCTCTGAATGAGTTTCCAGTGAAGTGAAGGACATGTACATGATCGACCAGGAATTTGTGCTGCTACTAAAACGGCGTCGAACCACCTATGATGCTCACAAACTCCGATTCTACCTCCGCCTCTCCGCAAAAACTTCAAGCTGCATTCGCCCCTTTGGACCTTGATGCAACTGTAAACGCTTAAGCGCCGCTAGCTATGAAGCACATAAAAGTGTCTCTATGAGCTAGCTACACTGAATTAAGAGGCCGTTCTACAATCCATGTGCATGAGGTTTGAAAGTTTGACTCAGGGTGCCGTTGATTCAACATTGCATCTCCGACTCCGACGAACAGTGACACGCGGTATGTGTTCTAGCCTCCTTCCTTTATTACCAATGGCAGCAAATGACGCTCGGGCTGCCTGGAAGCTTAGTTGACCTTTTGGCAATGTATCTAACGAGCGTCTTCCCTACAGAACAAACGTGCCGCAAAGTGGTCAGGATCCCCAGTCTAGCCTCGCGTCCGACCCTCGTCTAGGCCCCCGGATTTCATCATTAGTCACTGGGCCTTGGAGCACTACGGGCCAGTAATATAGCGGGACATGACCTCGTGTTTATCGACTCTTCAATGGCTCTCTTCGAAATCTGGGAGGGTTCTACTCTATAATGAGCTCCTTGCTGCTTGTCAGCAGCAATGGCTCTTGACAGCGTCCACGCACTCAATCAATTCATCGATAGTGCTCTCTTGAAGAGCTTTGACTGCCGCGGCCTGATTTTTAGGCATGGACAGTCAATCAAACTGTTCTTTGTCGAAAGGAGATTGGACAGGGTTTTGTACGTGCAATTTTCTTTATCCTCATCTGAACCCGCTCGGACTCGAACACAAACGCTAGATGTTGCCGTTGTGTTTGAAGCCATTGCTCTCGCAGTGACAACGTTCCGCCTCGCTCTTCGATACTACACGCAACGATGGTGGTATGAGGATCACGCTGCATCCATCGCTCTGCTCTTCGCGATCCCCTGTGCCGTTTCTCTCGGCTTATTCTTCGTACCACTTCGTGAGTTCGGATATGCTGTGGAAGGATTGGATGTGTTTATATGAATCGTGGTTTATAGGATACGATTCACCGGCTCGTTGCGATTTCAGATTTCGGATCATCGCAGTCTGGTTAATGAATATGACGTACACCTGTACACTGTGGTAAGCCCCACGCAGCCTATTTATGATTGCTTCACCGCCAACCCTGTCCCACTTTGTCTTAGGGCTGCGAGAGCCAGCATTCTTCTATCTATCCTGCGTATCTGCCCATTTGTTGGGCTAGCGCACGTCTTGTACGCCTCCCTCTCATTCTTTGTGATTAGCTGGACGGTCTCCCTTGTTACGAAGTGCGCTATCTGTGCGCGAGACCGTACGTGGGAGCACCATGCTCCTGTGCTTTGCCCATTAGGCGCTCCTACCGCGATTATTGAGCTGACCGGTACATATCGAAGCCCCTATTCTCATTTTCTGTTCACTTACATGATGTTCGTGCAGCCGGCGTGGTCTCGGACACCGTCCTAATATCCGCTCCTATATATATGTTACGGGGAATTCGCCTGCCGCATCGTACGAAACGGCTCATTCTCGTCACATTTTCCATGGCTGTCTGCAACTCCTTCGCCAGTCTTGCGCACATTCTACACTTATTGCCGCCGGTTACACCCAACATCACCCTCAGTGCGCCAATTACGGCGTCAATCCAAGCAAGTTTTCGTTTATCCCCTGTCTGTCAAGCCTTCGCTCACGATACTCGGCTAGACTTCGGTTACACTCATTGTCGCAAACTTGCTTGTTGTAGTGACCTTTGTCAACCGTGTTATTTTCAAAAGACGTAGTGATGATACTGAAATGTCGGTTCATTCGCTAGTTATCCCCGAAACCGAAGCTACCCCCGAAACCGAAGCTACCCCCGAATCCGAAGCTACCCCCGAAACCGAAGCGGACGTTGAGGCGGCGATCCCGACGGCTTCATGAAGCCGATTAGGTCATCACAGCTCATTCGCTCGCCCCCAGAGGTGGTGTTTGTTTCAAGTTTGTTTCGCTCTTTGTCGGGGCTGTTTATCCCCGCTATCCCTTCAACATCGGCAGATTCATGGAGCCGTATAATCATTGGCAACTCTAGAGAGCGGCGAAGGGGAGTACAGGATATACACGAGTGTTGTAGTCGGTAGACAATAGATTAATGAACCGTTCGTGCCTTCACAACAGTGCTTTGAGCTTCCTTTCCCTTGTCGTCTAACATTGGCCAATTTAACCCTACTTTACTACCGTATACTATTCGCTGGGTCGCCGCGAGAAGGATGGGGGTGTATCGAGGTCGACCACTGTGAGGTTGCTTTGTACGCTTACACAACTTTCGTCACGAAACATTCTCTCGAGGTCGTTCCCGTAGAACTTGCGATGGACGAAGGTAAACATGACGAGGATGTTGCACGTGATGAGAAGGATGGCTATCTGAAGCGGGAGAACGTTAGCACCTACACGCCAGCAGCTTCAATTCAGGTAAAGCGGGAAGATACACTTACAAGGAGCTGAGATATCATGATTGTCAAGTTTGGAGTTAAAATGAACATGATTGCGCCATGAACAACCGAAGCAGTGGCACAGATAAAGCCCATAGAAAGGGCTACCAGTGCCAGTCTACGTGAGTTCCCTGGCATAGAGCGATACGTGATATACAATGGAAGCGTGAGGATGACGACGGCACCAGATATATCACCTTTCCGTGTTCGAGTCGACGGCGGGTATACAATAGCTCGTAAGCGATGCCTCATATCAAATGTGAAAAATGGCCGGCTCACTGGTGAGATTCACAATATCAATGGCCAGTCCAACTGAGCAGGTCCCTGGAAACGCAGTGGCCCATTTCGCGATGGCGCATTTGGCCAGCCTGAACCCGAGAACGGTCGCCCACAGCACCACAAAGAGGAGAACGGTAAACCACGAGACGGCGCGTTGGTTTGGTCCTTTAGGTAGCAGCCGAAGGGTAGAAATAAGAACGCTCAAACGAGAGCACCATGATGAGGACGCGTATGATGCTACGTCGATCCATACTCCAACAATGTGCTTTAGATCGTGCGGGCAGACATCCGTACATCCTGAAGAACGAACGCGATATAAGCACGAGGGAAATGCGATGATAATGGTCGGGAAACGCACCCATACTAGCAAAGACGTTATAGAAGAGGCAACCAGTAATGGCGAAAAAAGCAGCCAAAAAAACGGCGCCATCCTCCCACCACAACCGGCGCCACGAACACCGGACAGCTAGTCGAAATACGGTCACCGCGACCGCGGGCACCAGAAAAACAATCTCAGCAACTACTTGCTAGGTCAGTTTCGAAGTCTCCGACAGACAAGCGATGAAACGGACTGAAAATAGAGAGAAAATCGTGTTTAGCTCCTTGCTCCGGCATGCTGGAGGAAGCAAGTGGAAGCGGGGGCAGGCGCGCGTACTGAAGGTACCTGGTCTCCCATGAGCAGACCTTTATGGATTGCGGAAGATAGACGTTTCTTATACAAATAGAAGGTACCGGCGGATAGCTTCATGATGTAGCAGGCGCCTAAGCGTTCAAACTGAAGATCGGGGAGGAACGCGGGTATTGCCGAGCCACTTGCAACACTCCTAATTATAAGCAACTCACAAGCGCCAGCAAGCTCCAATCCTGGGACCGTATACGGTACTGCGGTGGCTTCGCATTTGTATAGCGGCTTCGCATTTGTATAGCGGTTGCCCAGAATCAAAAGGAATGGAATCGCGGTTCGGTTCGGTGGATTCATTTGCAAAATCCCTGGCTTGAAAGTATTTAAACACGTGAAAGCGATGGGCTCGACTCGTCCGAGTCGGTCGGTGTACTGCCCAACATAGCGTATGTATGCTTCTGCATTGTCCCATTACCCGTTTTACAAGCAGGTCAAAAAGAATCGAACTGATGTCTCTAACGCGCGACTCGTGCCAGTGCCCTTCCCGAGCCAAATGTTTCTCAAGGAAGTTCGAGCCACGCTGCCAGTAGCTTTGGGAAATTCGGCGTGCCTAGACCCGTGACAGGGTCCCATCCGGGCGTAGCGTTGAACCCCTCGGTATTGCACCCAGGATTCGTACCCTCAGTGATATCGTTGAACGCCCCAGCAAACTTCGACGAGTAAATCTAACGTTAAAGTTAAAGAGCGAGCATATCTTCGAGCACGAAACGATAGCTCACCGTCGGGTTTATGAACCCAATAGTGGACTTGCCGGCTGCGAGACGGGCGTCGTTGATCATGGTGAAGATGGCTCCACTCACTGGCGAGGAACACGAAGTCCCGTAGACGAGCTCAAATTCACCGTCAATCTGCCGACAATCAATTTCCCGACCCGGGCGGGAACAATGATGTACTTACGGCTACCACATAGTTTGCGCCGTTTGCGGCAATATCGGGGAACGCTCGAGACTGGTGCAATTTGTATTTAGCGCCCACACCTCGGAGTGCAAGCGGATCAGCGCTTACCTTTCCGGTCGCATTCCAAATTGTCGGCGGGTAGTCCGGAGGGTAGTTCTCAAGGTAGTACGAGACGGCTTCCTCCTGGTAGGATGGTATGGGAAAGTAGTTGCTGAAACCGCCACCGGAGTAGATGACCTCCATGCACGCCATTTCGGGCTGCGGAGAGTAGACGCTGGTGTTGTTCTTGACCTGAGTCGCACCGACGGATGTAATATATGGGCACACTCCGGGGAAGCTGGGGTCAAAGATCGTCCCGTTTGCGGTTTGCGTGCCTGGGAGTGAAAGGTTGGGTGAGTTGTCTAGACATAGGAGAATAAATCGTCGGAAAAAAATGCACCATCCGGGTTCAAGCATAAATCGCCGTTGCCGGCGACACCATCATCTCCGGAACTGTACAAGACAGTCACACCCATGAGACCGAGCTTCGCGTATTCCGCACACTGACGCTCAGCGTAGAACGGCGTCAAGTCTGCCTCGTTATAGCCGTACGACGTTGAGATGACGTTCGCAGGTTTAACTGTTCCACAGTCCTCGGGACCTAGTCGATTAAGGGAGTAAGAAGGCTGTCATAAGGCACAGGGGATGCAAACCGACCTTTGTATCCGCCAGGGTACGGATCGGGGAAGATAGAGTCTTGGGTATAGTCATCGCCGCCCTCAAAGGTGCAGTAAGATCCGTCGAGAGCATCGAGGAAGTTGTTGAAGGAAGCACCTATGCGAAGCCAGAATTATGATGGGTGAAATTATTCTGCGAGAAGACAAACCCTCAATAATGTCCCCAGTTTGGTACAAGGTTACGGTCTGAGCACCCGTGACGAGCGTCATGCCGTACTGAAGATCGAGATCAGACTCTCCGTTGTAGTCAAAGCTCTGATTGACTGTCTGCGGGTACCCTCCATCGATGGAAACCATGTACGGCGCTTTACCAAGTGTATCGAGCGAATAATTGAGCGCGAACATCTGGAGATCGGTCCACAAGTACGCCTGCGGAGTATACTCGACTGTGAAAATCAATGGGGTCAGATCGACATGTCCATGAGAGTATATGTATGCTCACCAATCCCGTAGCTGTTCTTGTCGGTAGCGACCGGCGTGTAATCCAAGCCATAAAGGGTGCGTAGGCAAATGGGGGTGATGTACTCGTCACACTGTTCAACTTCGCTGACGGTCTCCGTGACTTTGCCGCCGGACTTGGGTGAGATACCGACACCTGGAAGGCCGATGTTGTGCGCAGGCTGGTCCGCGGTACTCAGTGGAGGCTGGCTCTCGGATGTATCCGAGCGGCGGCTGAGCTTAGCGTCGAAGTGAACGCTGGGCAAGACAAAGTCAACGTGGGACGTGACGTGCTCCGGGAGGTGGTAAGCCTCGCAAGCTGCATTCGCAGTTAATAACGAGGGATCAGTCTCCAAGAACATGTCACCCACCAATATGCTCCTTCCCGGTATCGTGCGTATACACGTGGTACTCCGCGTTCACGAGTCTCTCCGCCTCCTCCACAGTCGCATCCACGTGGACCCATCCTCTCGTCGTGCTGACCCTCGCACGTCCTCGCTCAATACCGCCCTGCTCGAGCCAATCCAACACCGTCACGATCGACTCTTCGCTCGCGGCAAACTTACGCGCGACATCGCCCGCGGTCCAGTGCTTGCCGTAGTTCGGAGATTCCGGGTGCGCAACATCGAGCAGGTACTCATCGATGCTGCCAATGTTCTGCTGTGCGAGAGCGAACCTGAGCGGGAGTACGGCATCGCTGGCGTGTCGACGCGTGCGAGTCCACCCGGCGGGAACGCTACGCCGGCGTTCATGGACGACGTGAGGCGAGAGGAGTGGCTCGGCCGACGATACAAGGGCGAGGCCCAGGAGAACGAGTCGGAGAAGTGGCCCGCGCATGTTGGTAGCTGGCTTCGAGAACAGGCTGCACTCGCAGAAGGGCTTAACCAGTCGGTACACTCCCTTCCCTTATAAAACCGTACGAGTCGGCTGTTCAGCATCCCAGATTAGACGCTGTATGCGCGTCGAGGTCGTGAAGATGAGTCAGAAGTTCCCATTATAGCGGCACCACTCACACGACGGTACCCATGGCGGCCTGCAAGCAGATGGAACGCGCCTTATCGCGTTTTCCCTCCATACATCAAGGGGTAATGTTCACAGAACGATGGGGAAAAGTCTCCGGAAAAACCTCTTCAACGAGCAAGGCTTTGGGCTTCAGGTTCTCGCATGGTTAGAGCGCATGTCACCAGACCACGCTAATACCGTAACTGCCGTGATCAGCGTGCGTTACCACCCAATGACGAACCAAAGTTACTTCACATAAGCCAGAGAGAAGTTGGTTAGGGCGGAAGTAACAGTGGCGAATAAAGCCATGGGCCAACCAAGCTGATTAAATGTTTTGAGGCCTCAACACAAAGAAAAGATCTGTTGCCAAGGCTCTCCGCTAGCCATTTCTGTCGCCGGATCCAATACGAGATCCGCCAATAGCTGATCTTGAGAAAAGCAAAGGACAAAAGTGTTTCAGGGGTTGAAACGCTGACTGGCGAGGTAAAAGGCTTCCCGCATCCCCGCTGATTGTCTCGTATGCCAATGTTCCTGATGTAAAAGCAGAGAATAATTCCTTGACCGTGGATGAAAGGCAGAGTCTTTCGAACTTGCAAGGTTGGGCTGGACGCCGGGGAAGGGGACAAAGAAAAGTCGCTTTGGCGAAAGTTGGGAACTCACGCGCGAACGGAAGTTACCGAAGGCTGGTTTCTCTGCAACTCAGTGGGAACCTGTTCCGCGCTGATCGAGGTGATAAAAGTTGATACATGTCCTTCGAAGACTACTCTACACACCTATACACCCGGTACAACAGACCGAAAAGGTCACTCCCAATGGATTCCAGTGAGACTGGGCTGCTTATAAAGGTGCGACACGGCCGCGAACGATCGCTGACGTCCACCAGAGCTGGAATCATGGACAGCAAAGGCACCAAAGGCCTCTCGCATGTACTCACAGGGACATACACGACTGTGTTGAGTGGCTTAGCTTTGTAATCCTAAGAACAAGTCATTGTACCGCGGCGACCTTGCTGTATCGGCCAAAACATCGCTCGTAAGCTAGGAGCATTTGCTTAGCCAATGACTGCCATGTGTTTTTATTCAGGACTCAACGTACTCAACCATCATACATCATTACTTGGCCCAAAACACGTCGAATCAAAATGGAAGACGACTCATTATGTCCGGTCTTATAAGGATACGACTTGTTGTCTGTCTACGAGGAGTGCCTACTTTCTGTTGCATCTATTACAGCCCATCCATGAGTATGACGGACATGGATGTTTGTCTTCGGTCGTCAAGTGGAGAGTATCCGCACAGATGTCAAAACCGAGTGAACACTCGCGCCAAAGCCTTTGGAATTCATGAAGAAGGTGCTAGATGACGAAGCCGAGTTGATCGATGATCGGTCATCCGAGGGAGAAGCAAGTCAAAACTGACATCGAGGGGCACACACCCGCACCGAGGATGTTATAGGACGAGTGACAAGACCGCGGATGGGCCAGTGATCATCAATAAAACATTGAGAGGCGTTGCGAGGGGCTGCTTTAGTACGTATAATGAATAGGTCGCCGAGGCATGGACTTCTCGTGCATTTCATTGATTGTGATCGAGACAACGGTGACGGAGCTGAGGTCATCGAATCTTGGATATGGAGGTGCAAGACGAAAGTTGGTGAAAGCCACGGAATTGAAGCGTAGGCCAGGGAGACGAGGCAGAGCAGCAGAGGAGGCAAGAACGAAAGAGGATGACAACGGTCTCCAGGTAAGACCAGACATGGAAGGGAATTGCTGACATAAGAACGTGCTTTACGGAGACTACGGCGTGAGTGGCCATGTGGCTGTGTCGTGCATATTGGCTGGGGTCGCTTCATGTCTTGCTTGGACTCCGGCGCGTGTTTTGATTGAAGGCTGATTAACGTTCCCTCTCTTTTCGCTGCCACCATCTCCCCAGAGCCACTCACCACTTCCGCAATCCACTCACAGTCAAAGCAAGCTTTCATTTCCCGTTATAAGCCCAAGCCAGCGCCCACTCTCATGATCACTGTTAGTCCCTTTCTGTCACCTCTTTCATTCGTCGCTACCTCTTCCCTGCCTATTCTCGTACTGCTCTCCTTCTCACCCACCCATCCACAGTCAGCTTGAAGTTGCCTGCAAGTCTTTCAATTCACAAGAATGCTTGTAGATCCGGAGGTTGACCATGAGAGCGTTGCGCGCGGCAGGTGGTGGGAGACAAAGCTAAGCGTCGTCGACTGGTCCGTCCCCGCCCCACTCCAACTCAAGCGTCGTCGCTACTGGCGCAAGCACTCGCCCATTCAGCCCCCTCACTACCATGACCTCCTTCTCCGACCATCTTTCCCCTCTCGCGGTCGTTACGGCGCAATGGCAACCAAAACGACTACGCCCGGTCCCGCCACTCTGACCGTCACAGCTGTCGACCATGGTAACCACACAAGCCTAGGTGTAGAGGAGGTTGACAAGGAGAGTTGGAATGATGGTCTTATTGGTGTGCGGATGGCGGAGGATGCTCTACAGCAGTTCGAGACCGACGTGGGATTCCACTATAGCATCATGCCGGATGTGGTGCTCCAGGAGTTCCTGACCCGCCACTTGGACGTCGGCTCGGAGGTGACCAACGAAGACCTCGACAAGATTCGTGACATATGGCTCCATCGTCTCCATGAACTCGTCGGCGAGTATGTCGTGCCCGAGCGCCCTGCTCTCAAGCTCGATGAAGGTGTGCCTGTTGCCACTCTCCACGTGCCTGACGCAACTTTGCTTACGTCCTTCTGGCAGACTTTCGACCAAGGTCGGCGCTGTCTTCCTCGGAGTACGATTCAGAGCACTCGTTTGAATCTGAACCTTTCCCGTGTACCCCGACACAGAAGCATAATATTGAAGTGCGCGTGCAGCAGTCCCCGCCTACTACCGGACCTAAGGAGCTCCCGCAGCCCGTCACTGTCTCTGCTCGTTCGCCCACCCCTACCTCCGCCAGCCCTGTTCATGCTCCGAAACAGTCGAACGGGCGTTCGCGATCCGCTTCCTCCCTTGCATGTGGGTCATTTATACCCTCGACGTCATCTCGGTCCCCGTCGCCACCCGACTTTGTGTTCCCAGCGATCAACGCCAACTACCAACATCTTCCGCCCAACCTGCGCAAGGACGACCAGGGCTTCTACACACCTATAACTCCACCGGGTTCCCCTCATCGTATCCGCAAGGAATATGCGCTGGGTCCTTCAGGCCTTTCGAAAAGCACGTCCGCCGCGTCGCTTTTGCCTCCACTCCTTGGGGAGAACCAAACTCGGAACTCGCGCAAGGCGTCTAAGACGCGTGAGATCGTGGATCAGCTGCGCAGTGGGGGCGGCGAGAAGAAGAAAGCGCATACACGTGCCAGGGCCTCTTCCGGCTCTGCAGTCAAGGACGCCGCATCTCGCCGCAGCCCGTCGGGTGCCTCGTCGGCAGGCTCGTCCAGCGGCGGCGCGGACGGCACCGCATCGATGGAGTTCCCCACAATCATGTCGCCACCCAAGGAACGCACTGCCTCGAGTACATGCCGAAGGGACTCGTCAGCTTCATCGTCGAATGCGCGTTCGAACACGCCGAAGCAGCGCAGTCCCCAACGCAGCATCGGGAGCGCTAGCACCAGTGGCGCCGACAGCAGCAGCAGTCGCACGAGCTCAGTTTCACCTGACTCCGTATGGTCCACTCCGTCGTCGTCAACGTCCGTATCGTCCTATTCCAGCCCCAATACCACATCTAGCTCCAGCCAGTCGCACAAACGCTTCCCTTCAACCCCCTCGCACCCTCACAACGTCCTCCAGCATTCCCCGCCTCATCCACAACACCTCTCCCCTGGCTCACTTGCACCCCCGGGCGTCTCGCCAGCTGGCCCGGGTCCGAACCCCTTCTTTGCGCACCCGGCATCACGCCTTTCTCGGCCCGCACCCGGTCAAGCGCCCACAGCACCGCCACTCCTGCCGGTCGGCTATGCAGGGTCCGCGCCGCACATGCCGCCGGGGACCTCGCCCCAGTCGCAGCTGCATATGCACATGCAACCGCACATGCACCAGGTGCACCAGATGCACGTTCCGCCGCAAATGCAATCCGCCCACAGTCATGGTCGCGGAGCGGGCGGCCACTGGGTGCCCGTCATGCCTATGGGCCCACATGGTGGCCCTATGGGCATGTTCCCGCACCTCAGCGCGCCGCACATCACCGGGAACTCGGGGATGCAGCACGTCGCGTGGTGAATGTGTCCACAGGTGGCCCCAGCGCCTCGCCTGCCTGTCTATAGAACGCCCTCCGCTCGTGAGTGACGGGCGAGAGGACTTTGCTTAACTTTTGCTGCACCTGCACCTAATCATTCTATGCACTTCTTTTTCTCAGTTTTTTTGCTGTACGTATGTATCCTGCCTTTGCCTGTCTCATTCTTCTTGCCTTTACGCCTCTGCTTATGCCTGCCCTCACACATACTGGGTTCTTCTTTTCGTGACGACCAACATCATTTTCCTTTTTCCAGTTTCCGTACGTAAATAGCGTTTCAAAATAACCTTTCCTCTCGTCTCGTCTCGTCTCCCACTCACTCCCCCCTCTTTCCCTCTTTCCCTCTTTCCCTATCTCTTTCTTGGTCCATTCGATTGATCGATGAATATGGCTCCCGGCGCTTGCTCGTCAACAAACCTTCCTTTGTCCCGAGTTCTGGTCTTCCTCCACTTTTATGCAGACTTCAAAGCGCTCTTCTTTCTGATGCTTCACCCCTCTTATCTTCCCTCGTCCTAACTTCTTGTGCTGCGCTGCATGCGCCGATGACGGACCTTTGTCAACAAAACAAAAGTGATTGATAGGCAATTACTCGTAGTCTCTAGGCCGCCGGCTGTATATTTTGATCATTCTTTCGTCGTCAATTCGTCGCTGCTTAAGCTTCTTGGTACGTTTCATACGTACACGCATACATACGTACATACATTCGGACATCCATACATGTGTAGGTTTACTATCCAGCCAGCCTCTTTTGGGTCGCGGTTTTTTTGAATGGAAAATCGTCTTTGAAATCCAGCGTGCTCGTGGGTGACGATGAGGACGTTTGAGCAATCATCAGCTATTGAAACGAGGGTGAGCGCGAGGCCATGCCTGCCGTCTCATCCCATCTCCCATCTCGAAGGAAGCCATCGGAGGAAACCAGTCGCCAGCTATCAAGTTACGTGTATCGACCTGAGCGCGAGTGTGCCTGGCCTCGAACATGTGTCTCCTGCGTTGCATTCGGGGGTCTTGTTTTAACGTTAAAACGCTAACCTTAGGTTTGATGTCTCGGCCGAGTACTCGGTCGATCACTAGTGTTACTTGCAACCTAGGAGTAGCTTTACTAGCACAGTCGTTTCTATCAGACCATTCGTGGGATGGCTGCGTTAGTTGAGTCATAGATTGCTCATAGACACTCGTCATGGAGCTATGCATTTGGGACGTGTCGACATACATAGCAAAATTGATCTGGCCGTGCTATCGTTCTCCGAGGAAGTATTTCTTCCGTAGATAGTCGTTCCTTACAATGTAAAGTGATTCAGGAAATGCTCAATGGAGCTCGCTTTGTGGAGCAAGCATTGGACTGTTTGACTAGAATGAGACTGCATGAGACTGCATGCCAAGGAGCTCTGCACATGCAGCGCGCGTTCAAAATTCTCTTCAGCCACACCGTCGTTGGCTCTCGGGGCCCGCGGCCGGCGCCAGCCACAACAATACTTGGGCCATTAGTAAGCATCGTGGCCCGGAACAACAGGGAACAACGGGCCTCAGGTTGGTGGGTGGAGAGACCGCTCAAGAAATGATTGAATGATGGATGATGAATGCGCTTTCCAACATTCTTGGACCGCTGTTATTGTGGTTTGGCGACGCCGGACATCTGGTTGGTCCTCCGTTAACGTTCCTGGGGGGGCACGTCACATCTGCCTTAAAGGAGGCAATGGGCATGTCCGGCGTCTTCCGAGTTGCCCGGAGAGTTTGCATCGCCGGGCGGAAGATCTTGAATCTCGTTGTTCCTCCCTCGCGCGGTCTCAAGCTGTCATTCGGGATATCGATGTCTGCAGCCCTTTTGTTCTGAACAAAGGAAACAAGGTAAATCGCTGGAGGCTGTGGGTATCTATCTTTGCTGCATCGTAGAGGCTTTGAAACTATTTAGCTCCTTCTTCTCGAAATAAATCACGGGCTTGTCTTCCTTGTGGTTTTGCTAACGTATATGACGTCTCGAGAAAGGTTACTTGGCCCTGGGATCAGTCCTTTACTCATATGCCGGCTTTCTGAATGTGCTTCGCATGCAATAGCGTACGCTCAATACCCGCCGAGGGTTGATATCGTGTACGTTACTCACCACGCCCGGTTGGTGCTTCTTCATTCCCGCATTGGGGCTACTGATTTCCTTGAAGCGCAAGAAAAGCCAGCAAACTGTCATCATGAACGATCTTGCAAGAACGTGTCAGGTCATAAAGCCAAATCTAACGCCGCACACAGCTATTCGAGGCCTCATTTTCCCCTGGACCCCTGGCGACACAATTTGGCGACCATTGATGACACTTTCCTTATGTGATCACTTGCACCGATGTGTCCTGTACTTTTTGCGGGAGAATCTCGCGCAAGAAATGGTCACTTAGACGCTGGAATGCTGCTGAAAAATTTGCCGTTTTCTAGCGAACAACAACACGTTGAACGCAGCAAATAAAGCCTCGCCCAATCGTCTTAAGGCAAGGACATACGGCATCAGCGTATGTGAGATCTGGCATGTCACAGTTAGCCTTCTGGTTGCGGGGCAGATGGAGACAGCGGACCTAGTAGGCGGGCGTATATTATTTGTGCTTATTTTTGTCTCGGTCCAGTGCAGCCCCTCATATTCGCTGATATGGAGCGGCTTGAGGCCGGACAACACGCATACACGCACCACCCAACCTGTTTTACTCGAGGGAAAAGTCATTCACCATGCATCTCCCCAGTTCTTTCCTCGCTATCTACGCCCTTTTAAAAGTTCATCTTCGCCGGACGGGCACTGTAAGTCTCTTCACGCCCCGTGTTTACTTTCTTGTTTAACCACGGATACCAGACATGTCAGACGTCGCTCAGAAAAACCAAACATCCCCGACCCCACCCGAACGCACGCAGATATACATCGACATTCTCCAGGATAGATACCCCTCTACTACCAGCGTAGGAGCCTTGAACGCCGGTTTGCCCTATCCTCAAGACTATCACAATTTCGCGAAAGCCTCAAATTCGAACGCGCCGCAGTCTATCCGGACAATCGACCCCACTTTGATTTTTCTCGCGCCATCAGTAATAGACGCAACTTCGTCCTTCATCGTCCTTTTCGACGGAGCCCCCATTCATAACGAAGACACGCGCTTGAGACGCCAACCGTCACCATCCAGCGGTCATCCTCAAAGCGGGGCGAATGTGTTTTACAGCACAGCGCTTGTTCCTAACTTTTGGGAGGTCATACGCACTAGCCAAGGTGAGTCCTCGATACACAAACCGTAACTTTTCCCCCACCGAGTATTTACACAAATAACGTTACCGTCGCAGACCCGACCGTATACTCCATTCTCCAGGACGTCCGCCGCGTTGACGAGCATGCTCCCCGTGAGCTCCCTCGGAGGCAGAGATCGATTCTTATCTTCTCCGCGATTTATCAGTTCCGATACGTGGCACCACCCGGTGCGACGGCCACAGGTGTGCGGGCATCCGGAGATAACCACTCGGCGCCAGCACTAATACCCCCAGATCTGCTTGAAACACCGACTCAGCTCCCCGCTCCCTTTTACGGCGAGGATGGCGTGAATGGAGAGCCATTTTCTACGTTTGAAGACGGCTTGCTATACATGAACTTAATCAACGACTTCACGGCGGCGACTTCTTATGACCTTTCGCTCGCTCAGAATTATGATAGCCAAGTTAGTCATGAGGCACGACCTCACTCCCTGAATCTGTGTCACAATGTCGCTAACAAATGATATTTAGAACCAGCAATAGTGGCGGCCGTTCCTATGATACTGTCGTATCAGGCCTTTAGGTCGTATAGGGTCGTATCCTACTTACCGCTGGCAATTTTATAACATCCGTGTCGATACCTGTTTGAGAGCCTGTTTACGATATATCTCTATGTTGCTCTCCTATTATATGTTGTATACTCACATGTTTCGTTATGCTGGTATGTAAGCAGCGTAATTACCCATGGAAAGCAGATACCCTTTCCGTGAGCAGCGGCGATTGCCCTCTCGAGTAGATATCATAAAGCCAAAACGAGCAAGGTATTCAACATACGGGGGTGTTGTTAGGCGCCAGCTTGATAACAAGGAAACAATTGTGCAAGGGTTTCGAGAATAAGGTGTCAACGTTACTCGGCTCGGCGTCAACTAGCGCGAAGCCACGTTGCAAGGACCCTGACATACCTCACTTGTGGATGTTTATGGGGCCATAAGTATTTTTACGAAAACAAAAGGCCCATCACGCTTCGAAACTAACTCCAGTAGGTGGAAAGCCAACACTTAGCGGGAAGGCAGGAACCGATCACAGACCACATGTCATTGGGCGTTTATTTAACCTCCGCCTCACCCCAAGGTGATCAGTGTCGCAGGGTGTGGTGCCAACAGGTCCTTGCCTTCTATGAAGCAACATCATATTACTATGCCAGTGAGGTGAGCGGCTCTGTGATACTGTACGACGCGCTAGCGGGGTCAATGTTGTCATTGAGGGAACAAGTCAAGGAGCAAGTGCCATATCTCGAGTAGCGCTTTTCAAATATTCCCAGCAGATACGGAAAATGCGTCCCGGGCGCTAAATCGAGCTGGTTTGAAAGCTTCTCCAAGCCGCCTTGGGGCCCTAAACTTGTACTGGAAGATATGCATATTACCCTCGTTTGCTGGTCTTGGACAGATCCATTTGAACGATAGGTAATAAATAACTTGAATGCCTGTTTGGGTGGGATGTTTGGGGGCATTGTGATCGAGGCTAACGCCACCATGCATTGTTGTGGCTGTGCATTTAGGCCCCTATCTCCTCCATTCTGCCTCACCCCATTCCACCGTGAGGTGTACCAGTCTGCACGACATATGCTGCTACGCGTCCGTGAAGTCAAAGAAAGTTCCATAGCATTATATACAACTTTCAGTTCTATCTCTAATCTCTACTTCTTCCCACCATTACATCTTCACGACGACTGCCCAGTCCCTAGCGACGCTCACAGCAGGGTCCTTGACCGTCAACACACCCGCCTTGCCCTCCTTCTTCCCGTCCGCACCCACACCAGCCACATACTCCCACTCGAGCTCCCCGCCATCCGCGCCCTCCACGCGCACGCTCGTCGGGCGCGCACCGAGCCCGAGCACCACGAGCTTCTCCACGCGCACAGGCTCCACAGCACCCGCGAACGCGTTCCGCGCCTCATACGCGCCCAGCGCCCCGCGCTCGACCGCCCCGCGCGGATCACGGCTCGCCAGATCCTCGCTCGCGATGCGCAGCGTCCTCCCCTTGCCTTTCTTATCCATGCTGGCGCTGAACCCGCGCCAGACGAGCTCCCCGCGCTCGTGCGCGTACGTCTCGCCGTCGTCGAGGTACAGCCGGCCCTGCGCGGCGCCGTCCGCGCCGAGCGCGACGCGCAGCGTGAACGGGTCGGCTTTCATGAGCGGGGACGAGCGCCGGAAGCGCTCGCGCGTGGGCACGATCGAGCCGCCGCGGATGAGCACCGGGATCTCGTGCAGCGCGGCGGGGAGAGTGACGTGTTTGCCGCGTGCGGAGCCGCGGTACGCTTCGTGCGTGAAGTAGTTGTAGTAGACCTGTGTGGTCGAGTCGGGTCAGCACTGCGAGAAACAGAGGTTTCTATGTCTGTCTGCGAACCTGGTCTTCAGCGAGGTAGACGGACGCCTCGGTGGCGCCCTTTTCCGTGACGGGCTTGACGAGCAAACCTGACGCGCCGACGTAAAACTGATCGTCGATGGCAAAGCCAGCCTCGTCCTTCGGGAACACGGTATACTGCGGACTACCCCAATCGCATCAGCCCCACCGCCCACCATATCAGCCCTCCCGGCAACAACAAAAAGCTCACCGCAAGACAGGCATCCCAGTCACACTCGCCTCGTGGAATGCGGTGTACCACACCGGCAGCATCGCATACCTCAGCCGGATCATATCGCGCAGAATAGAGCGGTACGGCTCGTCGAGCAGATACGGCTCGCGGCGCTTCGTGTCGATGTGCGCGTGCGCGCGGAAAAACGGGTTGAAGATCCCGACTCCGTACCAGCGCACGAGCATCTCCGCGTCCGGGTTCCCGAAGAAGCCGCCGACGTCGGCTGTTCCGCCCCAAAAACATTGTAGGGTCAGAGCTCACATCTCACGAACAAGTGAAGGACGTACATCCGGCAAAGGACATCCCGCCGAGACCGTTCGCGAGCACCATCTTGAGCCCGACGGCCATATGCTCCCACGTGCCGAGATTGTCGCCCGTCCACATCGCGCCGAAGCGCTGCGAGCCGGCGTAGAAGCTGCGCGTGAGGACGAACGGCCGGAGCGGCGGGTCCGCGCGGAGTGCGGCGGCCTGGTACGTGTGGTTCGTCTACGTAAACCGCGAGTCAGAATCTGCCTGCGCATAACGACAAGCAGCACGCGTGCACGTACGAAGAGCATGCCGTTGATATTGTGCACGTCGCGGTGCTCCCATCCGCCGTAGTGGATGCTGTCCCTCGGCATGCTGATCTCGGGCCCGTTGAAGATAGAGGGCTGGGGTTGGGTATCAGTCAGCTGGGGCGGAGCAGTCCTGGGCAGCGAATACTGACCTCGTTCATGTCGTTCCAGATGCCGACCTTGGCGGTGCTCTCCGTCCACGACCACTTGCCGTCGGCGCGGGGCGACAGCTGGAAGAGGCTCTTCCAGTAGTCCCACGCGCCGGGGTTAAAGAAGTCGACCCAGGACGAAGAGCCGGGCCAGCACCAGCCCTCGTATTCGCCCTCGCCGCTCTTGGGCTTGACGAGGACCTCGCTCTCGGAAGCAAGTTGGTACGCGGGGAAGTTGGAATCGCGCTTCAGATGAGGATCGATGATGACGACCATCTGAGAGTAAGGCTTGAGCATGGCGTCCGCGCATACATGCATATGAAACACCAACCTTGCGCTCCAGAGCCTCGACGTCCTGGATCATCTCAACCGGATCAGGGAACGTCTTCTGGTCCCACATGAAGTACTTGTGGCCCTCGGCGTACTCGATGTCCAGCCAGAAGACATCGACGGGGATATCGGACTCGTCGAAGCGCTCCTGCACACCGCGGACATCGTCCGAGGAGACGTAGTTCCAGCGGCACTGATGGTACGCAAGCGCCCAGGCCGGCGGGAGGACAGGTGCACCGGTGAGACGCGCGTACTGCTCAAAGACCTTCTCGGGCGTGGGCCCGGGGAGGAGGAAGACGTCGAGGATGCCGGATTCGGAGATCCAGTGTGTCTGGGTGGAGCCTTTCTTGGGGTATTTGACGTCGATCCAGGTATCCGAGCCGATGGAGTTGAATACAGCCACGGTTGACTTGGCCGAGTGGGCATGCATGAGGGGAATGGAGCCGTAGAGAGACATGGGGGAATCCGGGAGGTATTCGAAGACATCAGCGTTGAAGAGACGGTAGGGTTCGGTGTACTCGGCGTCGGGTCCTGTGGTAGCGGGAAGCGAAAGACGCGTTGCATGTTGGGGGATACCGTAGACGTTGCCGTGGTTGGGGAAGTTGATATCCAGGGACAGAGACTCGGGGCCTAAGTAGTCATGACACGTTAGCTTATGGACGGGCATGTATATATGAAGGGCGCACCTTTCGGCTTGGAGTCAGTCCAGGTAGACCACGTCTCTTCCCACCAAGCATCCTGTTCCTCGCCTTCAAACCACGCAGCAGCGTTGACCTGCAAGGGCTTCTGCGCGCCGTCGTCGGCTTCCGCGACTTCGGGTACGGCGGTGCCTTCCTTCGTGCGGAAGTGCTCCATGTGCATGAGACCACGACCGTTCAAGACGACCTCCTCATGGCCATCGCGGAAGAGCGTGACCTTGAGCGGGCTGAACTGGACGGAGACCTCGTTGGCGCCAAACTTGGCACGGACGTCTTTCTTGCCGACGGTCCACTGGACGTCGTGGCTGATGCTTGGCTCTTCAATGAGAGACCACGACGCAGCCTCGTCGTAATGCTTGCGCAGGCCATCGACCTCGTCCATGCGCACGCGGACGACGCCATCCTCGTGGACGCGCACGTCGAGGCCAAATTTGGCATCGGGGTGGATGGAGGAGCGAACGCTGGCAGTGAAGGCAGCGTCGGCGGGTGCGATGGAGACGGACGCAGGGTCGAGAGAGTAGGGGGAGTGCCATGAGCTACCGGCCTCTTCGGCGCGTGCAGACAGGGCGCGTCCGCGACGACAGAAGCCGGAGGTGGCGCATGTCTTCCAGTCGCCGGTTTTGAGTGCGGCGGTGAATGCCGGGCTTAGGAGGAGTAGGAGGAGAGAAAAGTTGGGCGACCGCATCTCGGGCTCGTCGTTGGCGACGTGCGGGGGATGCAGCTGCAGTGGAGAGCAACTCAGACGTGTCCGTGCCACCAAGACATAGGCAAGTTCCCAGGCTCAACCCACGTGCAGCTCGCGTCGACGATTTCGCGGCAAGGGTCAACGCGTTACACCAACTCATCTCTCTAGGACGCGATACTAAAACTCTATGATTTCTAAGGACATCATCAGCCCTTGACATTTGCATGAGTACTCCTGCCATTACTATCACCGACGCGACACCGCCCAAGTCGGCCTTCACCACCTACCAAAACCATGCTACCCCAACATCTATCTCCTCCACATACCGCCTTTTATATCGCGGCTCTATCTCCCTCCCCGACTCCTACCTTCTCCTTGACGGTCTGACCTTCGCAGCAAGGCTGGGACATGGAAAGCTCGGTGCACCTGGCTCTGGAAGCGGCGCCATGGACCTCCTGGAGAACCCGCTAGCACTCGCTCTGGAGAGTATGCGTGGCCGTCCGTCTCTTCGCTTCAAGGGTACAGTACGTCTGACTGACGTCTGGATGGATAACGTGGGGGATGTCTGTATGTACGTCACCGTCGCTTCTCATCCTGTTTCCTTGCTCACTTGTCGCGACAGGGACATCCATCACCTGGCCACCTTGAGCAAAGTCTACTTCGAGAACATCCTGGGTCTATCGCGCATCACACCTCTAACGCAGCGAACAGAAGTAGGAGTCCGCGTTGCACTAGGCGACACAGGTCCGTTATTGATACCATCTTCCGTCATCTCTCTATGAACCATGCACACAGACGGACTCGAAACCACCGAAATCATCATCTACGGCGCAGTCGCAGACCACTTCTCCCCCCTCCTCCCACTCGCGTCCACATCCCACTCCCCGCCCCTCGAAATCCGCGTCGGCCGCGTCACCCACGTGCCCCCCACCCGAACCAACACCCTCCGCCCGCCCCGACCCGACGATCCTACCCCGCGCAAGCCGCCCATAGCGACGCGCCCCCGCATCTCAGCCTCCCTCGGCGGTGGTGCCGGTAAACATCTGACGTTCGACGCCCGGGGTGGCAAGGGCGCGAAGGCCGAAGAGGAGGATATCGTGCGGAGGGCGCGCGAGGTTATGCTGCATATGCCCAAGTCGCTGCCGGCGAGGGGCAAGGCTGGCTCGTTCAAAGTTCCTGCGCTTCCTGTGAAGGTCAAGGGAAAGGGGAAGGAGCGGGCCGATGATTTCGAGGACGTGCAGATGGATGTGTTTGGGGCCGTGGAGACGTCGAACGTGACGATGGAATCCTCGTCACGGAAGGGGAAAGGGAAGGTTGGCGAGGGACCGCATGTCGTTAACACGGAGAACGGAGATGCGTCGTCGGCCAAGGTCGAGCAGCAGAATAGATCGGTAGGTGAAGTTTTATTCTGTTGACAAATTGATGATAAACATATCCCCAGATAATCAAGAAGATCACGGTCAGGGCTCTCGCAGACATCGGCATCTCCACGAACGACGCCGATTTCAAGGAGTTGTATGGGTATATATACCGGGGAACGGCGTTCGCATTGGTATGCATCTTTGTTGCCCGAACTCGACAACATTCTCAGTGATCTTCCTAGCGCGACGACATGGGCGCCTCGCTTCTATCTCAGCGGGCTGTCGAGGCTTTGGTGGAGGCTCATGCCAAACTGTACGTAGGGGACTACGATACACGTCGAAACCAGAAGGGCAAGGGGAAGGCTTCAGCACCTGCGCGGTGATGCCAAGACATTATATCCGTTCGCCTCATTATTATTTGCCAACGTTCATTCCCATCTAGCAAATGAACATTATCATGTAGCACTACTTACATTGACTCGTAATAATACCCCTCTCGTGCTGGCCTAGAGCCACTTCAACTGTGCTCTGCACCCGCTCAGGCCATCCTCATTTCCCCGTCATTGGCGTTTAAAACTAATTCTACACGAGAACAAATCACCACCGTTCCTCCCTCTGCTGGACCAATGCCAGATTCATTAAACCAAACCCTCAACCAAGAATGTATTATACAATCCACGAGCAAACCCTAGAATACACATGTAAGCACCAAGTATATGTACAGCGTCCGTATGTACCATGAAGAAACCAACCAACTAATAATCATAAATTATGCGTAAATGCGTAGTAGATGCGTGACCGGAATCCTCGGACCAGCAAAAGCGCCCCCCCCCTCCCCCCTAGCTATCGACCGCAACCGCAGCCGGACGATGACCAGCATGCCCGTGGTACACCTCAGCCGCGAGCTTCCGCATCGCAGCTGCGTCTTCGTATTCGTCTCGCGTCTGCCGCACGACCACCTCGATGACGCGCGGCGCTCTGGACCTCGAGCGCTGCGCGTGCGTCATGCCACCAGAATTTGGTGTCTCCATGTCTGTCACGAAGTCGGCGTCGTCAGGCTCGAACGCCTGCACGCTGGTGAAGCAGTTGAGCGCCTTGAGGAGCGGGCTCGGTGTTTTGCTCTGGTTTGGGGGGAGTGGTAGCGTCACGCGGGATGCGTTGACGTACGACGGCGCTGATGTGGGGTTTCGCTCTCGCTCTCGTTGCCAGCTGTGCTCTTCTCGGATCGAACTCGCGTTCGCATTCCTATTCGAAGCCGCCGCTGCCTGCAGCGCGTCGGGAGAGCGCACCATCGTGCGGGTGACCATAACACTGCGCCGAGGACCGCGACCGCGACCCTGCCCATGACCATGGCCATGAGAATGCCCACGGCCACCGCTGCGGATGACATATTCGACAGGGACGAAACCCGCAGCATTGGCAGCAGCCGGAGCCGGTCCAGGGATCCGCGAAGCCCGGGGCGAAGGCAGCGGCGCCGTCGTCTCAGCCGAAACGTACGACGCCAGAGTCTCCGCCGAGGAGATAATCGACAGCGTATCGTCGTCCCCGTCGTCGTACCCGCCGTCGTCGTAGATGGTCTCGAGGGCACTAGACGCCGTCGCGCTCGTCCCGGTGCCGGAGGACTCGGCGATGTCGAGCGGGACGACGACGAATTCGTGGTCCGCCCAGATGCCGCCGACGGTGTGGTTTTGCGTCCCCGAGGGACAGTCGTCCAGCGCAGAGAGGAGCTGCCCCATCCTGGACTGGACTGGGGTGGTCGCTTAGTACGGTATTTCTGTTACCGCACTATGGACGCCGGTGTATTTCTATAGTGGATGGGGGTCAGCCACGCGGCGAGGGCGTACGACATGACCTTGCAGCGTGCCGCGTGTTGGTGTCCATTATCGGGGCCCATGGCCTCGAGGTGGGTGGAGTGCAGTGCGTGCTTCGTCCATCGCAAGGGAGAGTACTGGCACGGCGTCTGATGAGCCATGGGGGGCGTTGCTACCAGGGCACTGGAGGCATGCTGAAATTTCATGTGCTTACAGTAGCAAGTATTGAACCTCGGACTTGCCGTCATGATCGATAGGGATTCGTCGTCGCTTTGTTACTTAGTGTTCGTCTCTAGAGGCATCGTACAGTGATGCCACTGTCCGCTTGCCCGAGGAGAGTCACCGGCGATACGAGGCCTAGGTGTATAAAAGGCCGGTGCGGTCAATTTCGTCGTCCAACCAACGATTACTAGGTGAAACCGTCACCAGCGTCATGCCACCTCAAAGCGTACGAGACCAAGTTGCTATCGCCGCATGTGCGCTCATGTTCACCCCTTTAGCCCATACTCGCAGAGCTGCCTTTGAACACAATCGAGAACGTCGATTGGACGATACGCCAAAGGGGCACCATCATCCTCGAGGAGCTACTAGAGGAATCTATCTGTATCATCGGGAAGGAAGTGCGAAGAGAAAGGATCAAGCTAGCGATAGCGCACCCAAGGTTGGTAAAGGTACGGGAGTCTCTGCTACATCGATGCCGGTGATTATTCTGATTGGCACGGTGCCTCCTGCCAGCTCACGTCGTCCACACACACCGCCCAGCCATCGATTTCGCCACAGAGCGCCGCCTAGAGGAGATGTTTCGTCTGCTGCCCCCGTCAGCAGCATTGTAACCGGACACTTGGAACCTGTATCATTAAATTTGGAGTCGTACGGTAGACTTTACTATAATAGAACGTTTTGTGAGTGAAATGCGGAATGTTGTGCGGTGACATGGGCTATTCGACACGTCGATGACATGAGGCCGTCGACAGAGCTGCACAGGTGACCGGGCTGCTGATACGTGGAGAACACTGAAGGAAAACCAAGACTTTCCCTTTTCATAGACAGGATAGCTGAAGAGCACGCGACGTAGAATACGGAAGCCGATGTCTAGAGCGTATTCATGAGCAGCGTTTGTTGTTGCATTGACTGTACCAGAGAGTGGTTCAGGAGATAGCTGGGTCGGCAAATGCCGAAGACAAACGCGCCGCCTTGCCTCGTTCCTGCAGTGCAAGCAAGGCTACTGCCGTCCTCCCATACAACACGCTGCCATTTCTCCTTGAAACCTCGAGGGGCTTGGAGATAATCAACGTTACAAATACCTCTGCCAAGACCACCTCTAGATCCGGCTGAGTGACCGACTGCCTCGATGAGCGAAACTGCCCTTCCCCCATCGTTCCGTAGTCTTTACAGACTAGCGTTGAGGTCTATTTCAGCTAGTGTGCGGCACCAACCATCGGCTACTCGAAGCCTAAGAACCATATGGCGCCCCACCTTTGAAGCAGCAGCTTCGGTCTCTCACCGTTTGCAGGACCCGGATACCTCGCCGGAGGAGCACCAAAAGCTGGAGAAGTGGCACGCAGCCTGGCAATCACGCAGTGCGTAGAACTTCTTCGGTTTCTGCTCCATTCTCCCTTGCTAACCCTGGTATAGTGGACAACACACTGTCGCTGCTATGCGACTCGGCCACCTCAAAAGGCGTAGCCAAGAAGGCCATCCAGAACCTCAGCTTCCTGCACCGCTCACACCGGACATGGGTCCGGGAGAGGTACTACGGACAAAAGAACACATGGAAGCCCAATCTCGGACCCGGCGAGTATCATCCCCCGACCCTTCCTTCGCGTGAGGGCCGTTCCCGCTTTTACAAGAACCTGGAGCGGAAACAAAACGATCGGGTGTACGACGAGGACGCATGGAACCCCTTGAGCGAGCTAGTCCAAATGGCGGAAGGCAGCGATGGCGTCTCCCTCGGGCGGATACGGCTGAAGCGCTGGAATCGGTCGTAGGTTATTGTGATGGCGGATGGCGAGGGGATACGTTTTGGATTGACTAGTGCGTTTACAACGTTTTCTTCCGCGCTCTGTCGCTCTGACATACCCTCGATGTGAGCAGGAAGCGCTCTTTTGTCTTCGTTACTCCCCCTACCATATCCCAGCCACATAAATGATGATACCCTCTCGCGCGCTACTCCCTAACCCCGTATCCATCAGTATGCTCGCAAACTCTATCGCTACATGCACAATAGACCTGGACCCACACGGCCCCAAATCCGCTCTTCATCTCTCCCGCCTTCATTCTCGTTCGCTTTGTAAACGCCTCGGTGCGGTCTCTTCGGCATCGGTTGCGACGAGGCTCAATTGTCCTCCACGTGGCACGTGACAGTCCCGTCCACACACAAGGCACCCGTCTCGGCCAATGTCTATTGTGCACGTCAAGTCTTGGTTCCTTACGTTCTAAAGGCCTTTTCACATATAAGACATGGTCGTTTCGGAGCGGCCAGCCCAGATACGGTTCCCAACGCGTAGCAGCGCTCCGCATTCACGCTCGCTTGTTACTCACGCTTTTGTATTATAAGATGGATATTAGCTGCCCTATCGTGGGCCTCCGTGACGGTGCTATCTCTCGCCTCGATCTTCTCCCCCCGTACGGAATGGACGAAGACTTCAACTTTAACTCGGTTCTCGGGTTTCATGGGCGGTCGTCGATGTATAGTGATGGTGATGCACTACAGGCATGGTTGCAGAGCGTTCACGTGAGTCGTCCCGTCTCCTTCCATCCTCTCTGACGCTCAATCGTACCCGTCATTTCATCAGCTTGATACCTACGGAGATGAATTCTTGTACGCCTCATCGAAAAAGCCCTACAGCCACCCCTACTCCTACCCTTCTGGTGCACCTTCCGACGACGAACTCGATAAATCCGAAACAGATAGCGACATCTCGGAGATCTTCCGCAATGCCACCTGGCTCACCACCTCGCCTCTCGGCCTGGTCAACCCCGGCACAGACGAATCCATCTCCTCGTTCTCGGACTCCAGCTCGGAGGCGCAATACATCTCCATCCCATACGGTAGCCCCTGGTACCGCGCGCCTGTTTCCCTTGCCCCCTCACTCTCCGTCCCGTCTTCAGCCCCTCCCGAGGATCTGACGAGCAGGGACTTCAACTCGTGCTCGCCGGCCGTGCAGCAGCTCATCACCCAGCAGGAGTACCTCCTGCGCGTGTTCCACGACGAGCTCCGGCGCACGGTGCCGAGCGGTGGCGGATACGACACGGACTGGCTCGACGACGTCGACCCCGAGGTACTGATAGCGCCGACCGAGACGTTCGAGGATCTGTGCTGGGAGATGTCCTCGCGAGAGTCGTCACCTGAGCTGCTCAGGGACCATCTCGTCGATATTCCGAGGGAGCGTCGTAGCCTTGACTCAATTTAGGCTGGGATGTTGTTGTTTTTGCGAAGGTTTCGATTTCGCCGATAGGACGATGACTTTGAACACGAGACGTGACGAGCTCACGAGTTATAGACGCATACCCATTCATCCATTCATCCACCATGTGTACCATAGGATATTACGCAGCTTTCATTCGTTCATTTTGTATCTGACTTAGTGCCGGCTGCTTCTTTGGACTTTCCGTTCCTTACTGTACATATCCATGATGTATTCATACGACAGAGTTGGTTTTGAACATGTACGACATATTGCCGCCTGTGATGGTTCATTATGATGCCTCCCTTCTGCACCATGTCGGACCAGTTCGTCTCGCAGGATCGCAATACCTTGCCGACAGCATGTACTTCAACGCGAATCGCAAGGATGTTGCAGCTATCGTGCACCTTCGCCATCTTCAATCTTCGGAAATGATACTGATCTGGTTAATCTGAGCAGAACGACTTCCAAGATTACGCAAAAATCAAGAATGAAAGACTGATGTATTGCAAGGACAGTGAACTACAACTATAAAATGTAAGGAGCCCATCAGACAGACGCCCAACTCGCTGGCTTGCATCAGTCGCGCTGCAAGCAGCAGCGACATCCGCCATGCCAAACGTCATCGAGACCCGTCCCGAAAGACAGGCCATGTTCTCTGTTATACGAGCGGGCGCGAGTATCATCGAGTGGACTTGAAGGATGCGGCATGTGTAAACATGCGAGACTCGAGTTAGTTTCTATAGAATAGATCCTAGCTGAGTATGTTCTGAAGAAACAAAAATGGTCGAGGCAAGGTTTATATAGGCGAGAGTGGGCTGGTCCGTGCGCGGGATTTACTTGCTATATAGAGGTGAATATGAAGTTTGGAGGTGCGAGACGAACTGCCTAAAATGTAAGGCCCTGGCTGATGCGTCACAGGAACCGACAACTCTTCGTCGGTTTGTCCTTAACTATCGCATATCTTCATCGTAGCGTTTGAGCCCCCCGTCCGCTTTAATATCAGACCACTCAGAACTTGCGCTCAAGTTTGAATCATTTCTCCTACGCAAACGAAGGCGCGGCGCTTGGCAGACGTCACCTGGGCACATCACGGTACTCACGCGCCCATTGAACTTCTCCAACGCGTCGTCGGTCGTGTGCACGCGGTGATCAGGGGCATCCAGACGAGGACCCATGATGAAGCATCATGCATTAAAGGTGACACGAGTTATCATTGCGGCTCACGCTAGCTTTGCCAAGAGGATATCCGTTGCCAGAAAGTGGCCACCGATGTATTCTGGAAGCCGGGATGAGGAGGCCGATTAACGAAGACCAGCGAAAAGGTTACGGGGCCGCGGGGAAGAAGAACTCGTACAGCCACGCTTCTTTAAATAATATGGAGGCTACATTCTTCCGGAACCGTTCAGCACGGCTCGACTGCGTCCGGCTGCAAGAACTCAACCCAAGATCCATCGTCTCTGACAGCGATTCGAGGGTAGGTTTTCATTGGGGGCTGACTCGCTGTACGTTGACGCTTCAGTCGAGATGATATGCCAGAGGATGATTCCATGAATTCATCGCCACCCTGACTTTCGTTGTTTCTCTGATGAGAGTAACGTGGTTCATGAAGCTTCCGCTTCCGTTCTCGAAGCTCCGCATGGTGGGTCATGTTGCCAGATGCTTCGCACAAACCATCGACTGATAAACCTTTTGCTCCACCGATACTTCTCGTGCTAATAACAGCAACACCAGGCTGAGGCCTTATACTCTCTCAAGATGAAGCGTCCCCGTTTCTTGTGAACGCCCCCTCAATGTCTGTCGACAAAGGCGAGAACACTGGCTCTCTCGAAGAGGTCAAAGTCAAGGTATCCGTCCATAGCGTTGACGAGGCTGCGGAACATGAACAAGCTCGGAGGGCGAGGATTGAAAAGAGGCTTCTCAGGAAGATGGATCTCCGCTTACTGATGATGACGTTCATCTACATCTTGAACTACGTAGGGTTCCCGGTGCCCTGTCTCGAAATCTCACTCATCATCTTTGAAGATCGATAGGCAGAATACCAGGTATGCGTCTCGATATTCCCCCCGTTCGTAGTACTGAGAGAAAACCCAGTGCGGCACGCCTTCAAGGATTCGAACATGACCTTCACCTGGACGACAAGCAATACTCGACCGTACTGTCGGTTTACTTCCTCGGCTACATACTGATGCAGGTTCCTTCGTACGTATGCCACTTGGGCAAAGTTTTATACGCCCTTCCCACTCGTTCTAATGCGCTGGGGCAGGAATATGCTCCTGCATTGGTTCCAGCGGCCATCTGTATACCTTTCTTGTTGCATGATGCTGTGGGGAGTCGTGTCTACGCTAACTGGTGAGAATCAATGCACGTGGATATTCCCTGAAGTATATTGGCTGATAATCGTGGTCTGATAACCTCAGGTATCACTCGCAGGTAGGGTTTCGCTCAATGAATATGTTATCCTTCAACTCAAACTCGAGTTATCGACACAGCTATGCCAGCGCATCGCTTTGCCGCATCTTTGTCGGATTTGTCGAAGCAGCGTACCTTCCTGGGGTTGTGTACCTCATATCGCGATGGTACAGGCGAGATGAAGTAGCGCTCAGGACCACCATCGTTTACTGTGGCAGCATCGTTAGCAACGGCTGGGGAGCACTCATAGCCTCTGGTATTCTCGCGAAAATGGAGGGCGTCCTGGGTCACCCTGCGTGGAGGTGCGCCAGCCTAACACTCTGTAACCACTCTTCTTTCTCATGCAACTCGTAATACAGATGGCTCTTTTACATCGAAGGCAGCGTCACCGTCGTCGTCTCGTTCTGCGCCGCATTCATCATTCCGGACTACCCACACAACGACCGTTGGCTTACGCACGAAGAGCGCCAAGTCGCGCTTGTGCGACTGAAGGAAGACGTTGCAGGGGACGAGTTGACAGCCGTGGCCGATGCAGATATCACGCCTTTAGCCGGGCTGCGAATGGCTATGGCCGACTGGCGAGTGTGGCTGCTCGTTCTAGCGTGCTTCACACAGCTGCTGGCGCAGTCGTTCAACATCTTCTTTCCGACGCTAAGTGCGACGATGGGGTTCAACACCACGATTAGCCTGATGCTGTGCGCGCCGCCGTGGATGTTCACGACTGTGTTTGCGTTTTGGTATTGCAGGTCCGCCCAGTTATCTGATGTATCTTTGACCGTGGTTTAATCATGTCAATGGCTCGTTCTAGACATTCAGACAAGAAGCGGCGGCGTTTCGTCTACATTATGTGGTCCGAACTGGTCGGCATCATTGGCTTCATCATTGCTTCCTCCACCATGAACATCGCAGCCCGTTACACCGCACTGTGAGTACTCCACCCTTACTCGCTGACACGAACCATTCCGGACGAAACGAATAACATCGCCCGGATGTAGATTTCTCATGGCCCAGACCTACGCCGCGCTCATCGTCTTCTACGCGTGGATGATGAACAGCATTCCACGTCCTCCCGCCAAGCGCGCAGTCGCCTTCGCTCTCGTGACGTCGCTCTCGCAGCTCGGAAATGTAGCTGGGTCGTGAGTCTATCCCCACCTCCCACGAGTAGCCGATAGCTAAATTGTAGCTCTACTAGATACGTATGGAAGTCAAGCTGGGGTCCCAGCTATCGCTACTCGTATGCCATTGCCATCTCAGCGGCGGGAGCACATATCATCTTGTGCTACGTCCTACACCGTACATTGAAGGCGCAGAATCGTGCTATTGCTGCTGCAGAGCAGGATCTAGGAGGTACGAACACTGGTGTGCCCCATGGATTCCGATATCTGGAGTAAATGTCGGGTTTCTTTCTCTGTCCTTAAACTTTCATGTCAGCTCTGGTCGTACACTACGAAACACAATTATGCTCATGACATTTTCGCAAGAACTGTTCTGGATATCGCATTAGCGTACTAACGCACATAATCGCCCTTGATTGCACTACCGCTATTAATAGCTATAAGCCAATGACAAAGATACGCCCTCCGCTATTCAGGCTTAAACAAGCACGCCCGAATGAAGACGACGGATCAGATCGTCGAGTTTCATGGAGAACAAGGAACGATAGTAGAGTTCTCCAGCTGAGGTCCAGGTTAAACCACGTTCTGCACATACCCCGCCTCCGTCGGCGCCCTCGCTCGCCCTGGACCAGGGCGAACGAGTATTTTAGAGAACATACAATGTCGAAAGGCACCCGGCGGACGAAATGTTAAGGGCAAGGAACGGTGCACGAGAGCACAGCGACTATCCAGAGGTAATAACCGGCGATCCGCAGTTGCCTTATCGTTCTCGCGACTCGGAGCGGCAGAGCCAATGATTGAACTTCGAGGGGGGATTAGCGGAAGCGGATACTAATCTTACCAGCGGACCTGACTAATAATACCAACGGGACGCGGGGGAGATCGGATAACCACTGATAACCAGGAATGTCTATGTCAGTTCCGAGGTGAGGCCCGAGGGGTACAGGGCGGCGTCGGTAGTTTATTCGCATCCCGAGAGTTTGCTATCTCGAGGAACGCGAGTGTTGGGTAGTGGAGCGGGGAGAGAGCAGCGTAAGACCGCCGGAGTGATGTTGATGTCGTCTTCGGTGATAGGACACGTACGCGGGTAGGCGCAGGAGAATGGAATGCTAGATGCGGATGTACTAGGATAGCACTAGTTGTTCGCGTCCTTGAAGATGCTGTACCCACTCCGCCAGCAGTGTCTTAGAACGTGGATGGTGTCGTAACGCTGCCGTAACAAACGCATCCTCGGAGATGAGCTCTACCTTGATAATAGTGCAAGAATGCGAGGAAGTGGGGGTCTGTGCTCGTCTTTACCAACGCGTTCCAACGTGTCGATTAGTTTCCAGAGGCGGTTTGACGTCATCAGGATCTTCACAGTGTGGAGGAGGCACTCAAGCCGATGTGCACAAATCATTTGCGGCGTGCTTCTTGGTAGAACGTCCCAGTGACGCACTACGGAGCGTGCAGTGCTTCCACCAGTGTACGGCGCCTTACATTAGCGCTCAGGTGCCTTGAATCCTGCCGCAATCAAGTTCCTGAGCACTGCGTTAGCACCAGCGGAACTGCAGACTGAGATAGTCGCTTGTCAAGAGAAAGTGAAAGGCGTGACAAGAATTGACAAGAATAGCATCGGGTTTGTCTGCCGAAAGGTTGCGGCAACTCGGGCGCTTGTTGGGACTGCCAAGACATGACGCGACCTATCGGAAGTGTTTTTGATCGCGGATGTTTTAGCCAGCGAAGACGCATGGGTGAAGGTGCATGGTCCCTTGACCCCCACAGAACTCCACATAGAGGGCCTAATCTTATCGATAAGGCGCACAGCTTGCTGCGGAGGACGGCGGTGATTTGAGAGGGCACGTTTGTACCTGCTTCTTGGGATGGAGGAAAGGGGAGGGGAGGAGATCCTCCGTTGATAGGGTGAGCCCGGCCAAACGGCAGGCGTTTTGGCGGCGGAGTTGTTCATCGAGTGAAGATACACACGCGCGACGCATCCCAATTGGTCAGGGACGCAGCGCTTGAATTGTGGTTGCAAAACCTCCGCGATAGAGAGAGAATGGCGACACGTCCTTACTCAGGCGAATGGGTAAGTTTGTATTGTGTCATCCCGCTTGATGATCCGAAGCTAAACGGGCAGCAGTCTAGATCTAAGAGGTGTCGGCGTGCTGTCACAATATGGCCAAGTTCAGGACGGCACGCGTTGTGAAGGCTTCCATCATAAGAATTCACCGTGACTTGGTGAACCCCCCGAGAATGCGATAGAGGCGCACGCTGAGAAGGCTCTCAGATAGATACGAGGCACACGATGCTGCTGCGGTCAGTTATAAACGATGGGACAAGGTTACGAGAAGGCGTTTACGCTTGTACGGCTCCACACCTCGCGTTTCGGCTGACAGAGGCGCGTTGCAGCAACGGGAACTCGAGAAGGCAAACAAGAGGGCTGCAACTGTAACGGGTTCCACGGAGGACGACACCATCATTGCACCTCGTCACATCATACCAACAGGATCCCGACCAAGGCCCTCTGCCCAGTGTCACCTGCGACGGGAGCTCGAGAGTACCCTCTATTTTTCAACTTGACGGCCGAGACTCGGGAACGGAAGACCAGTACAGAGGACCCGTAAGTACGCACGCGCACAAGAGCACAAGGGGAGAAGGGATTTGGAAATAGAGAATGTATGTTGACGCACGTTCGTCTCTTTGCTGCACGCCAGGAAGTTCGAGTAGTCGGGGAAGCGGCACGGTAACGGCAGGACCGGGAGGGAACGGAGGGCTGGTTTGTCCCGTACCAAGGCACACATGGCATGGGTTTGTGCGGAAGCCGGTGAGGGCCCAGACGCTGCCTACACCACCGCCGTCGCCGTCATCCGCTCTGGCAGTGGGCGGTCGGGACTGCAGTCAACTGGGCCGGAGGAGCAGCCAACGCCGATCGTTTTGTGAGCTAATTCCGGAGGAGGGTGGCGGGGGTTCGGACTTGGCCGAAAGACTGCAGAATCAGGTCAACGGTCAAATCGATCTGTTGGGCTCTGAGCTTCTCAAGCGTCATCATAAATCCAAGGGACGCAGCACCATCCACATCCCCCGCGTTTCCTCTGCACCCCAACTTCTCTCCACTGTCACCACCTCACCAGTACACATAAATCAACCCCCGTCAGTCCATTTCTCTTTCTTATCTCCACACACTCGCTCATCATACACACCAAACAGTGCGATGGCAACCCTCGCTCCCTCCGGCGGCATCAACGCTCGCGTCCGTGGCAGCAGCCACATTGACTTCAAGACCGCCACTACCGGTGTCGCTGCCAAGTCCATGCGCAATGAGATCTCCCAGCTCGTAGCCACCGTCGAGGACCAGCAAACCAAGCGTGTGCGTTGCTTCCTCTTGTCGCGGCGTCGCGCCCCTCCATGTCCACAAAACTCATCATCGATTCTCGCAGGCCTTCGACACTGAGATGCAATCTTTCTTCTATCTCTTCACCCGTTATCTCTCTGAGCGCGCAAAGGCCGTCGATCTGTACGATATCCCTTTTATGACCCCAGCTCCTGCTCATTGTTTTCCCCAACGATAGTGACTGGGATCGCATCAAGTCCCCCGCCGAGGACCAGGTTGTCCCCTATGACACCATTCCTTCCCCAACGGACCATAGCAACCTCAACAAGCTTGCCGTCCTCAAAGTTAATGGTGGTCTCGGTACTTCCATGGGTACGTATCTGCGTTTTCCATATTGATCTCGCTGATTGAGCGGCCTTGAAACTCTTTATACCCCCCTGGATGCGATGACGTCGATGATCGCCTCTTGCACGCACAGGTATGACGGGCGCCAAGTCTGCACTAGAGGTCAAGGACGACATGACGTTCCTCGACCTCACCGTGCGCCAGATTGAGCACCTCAACACGACAAACCGCGTTGATGTCCCGCTTATCCTCATGACATCTTTCAACACCCACGAGGACACCCTCCGTATCATCAAGAAGTACGCCAACCAGCAGCTCCGCATCACCACCTTCAACCAGAGTCGCTACCCGCGTATCTACAAGGAGAGCCTCCTCCCGTGCCCCAAGCGCGCGGACGATGACAAGAAGCACTGGTACCCGCCCGGCCACGGTGATGTCTACAACGCCCTCCTCCATTCCGGTGTCCTCGACCAGCTCATCTCCGAGGGTAAGGAGTACCTCTTCGTGTCCAACTCGGACAACTTGGGCGCTGTGTAAGTTTTACATGCAAGATGTCAACTGTATCATACTCATGATTATATGCGCTCAAAGTGTCGACGAGAAGATCCTCCAGCACATGATCGACTCTCAGTCCGAGTTCATCATGGAAGTCACCGACAAGACCAAGGCCGACATCAAGGGTGGTACCCTCATCGACTACGAGGGCTCCGTCCGCCTCCTTGAAGTCGCTCAGGTCCCCTCGGAGCACGTCGAGGACTTCAAGTCTGTCCGCAAGTTCAAGATCTTTAACACCAACAACCTCTGGGTCAACCTGAAGGGTACGTAATATCACCGACATAAGTCCGAGATCTGTGCTAATCGCGCGCATACACAGCGCTCAAGCGCATCATGGAAACCGAGGGCATGGAGCTCGAGATCATCATCAACCCCAAAGTGACTGACGACGGTCAATCTGTTATCCAGCTCGAGACTGCCGCTGGTGCTGCGATCAAGCACTTCCGCAACGGACACGGCGTCAACGTGCCCCGATCGCGCTTCCTGCCCGTCAAGTCGTGCTCGGACCTGCTGCTCATCAAATCGGACATCTACTCGCTGCAGCACGGCCAGCTCCACCTCAACGAGAGCCGCATGTTCGAGACGACGCCGGTCATCAAACTTGGCGACCACTTTAAGAAGATCCAGCAGTTCCAGAAGCGGTTCAAGAAGATCCCCAAAATTATCGAGCTCGACCATCTCACGGTCACGGGTGATGTGTACTTCGGGCGGAACGTCACGCTGCGCGGGACGGTCATCGTCGTCGCCAACGAGGGTCAGCGGATCGACATTCCTGACGGGTGTATACTTGAGAACAGGCTGCTCTCTGGTAACCTCAACATGATCGTGCGTGTTTCCCTTGCTTCCCTGTTCGATCAGTCTTGCTCATGCATATATACAGGAGCTCTAAACGCCCTATTGACCTCTTAACCATCTGCGCTCTTCCATCTTGGTTTCGGCTCGTTCTTTCTTTATCTTCCATATATTCGTTTGTTTGTTTCCCCTCCGATACCCATTTCCCGCTTTTTTTCTTGTACATAACTAACAGATGCCGCCGTGATCGTAACGTACAAAAACTGGACCATGTCCAAATACTACTAAGCGGGCGACGTATGGGGTGGCGTTGTTCTGCAGAAGTACCTAGAAATGCATGTTTTGCGGCACCCCCTATATATATTTTGGTTGTTTTGACGATCATCGATTTAATGAGGGGACTGTGTTGAAATCGGAAGTCCGGCGATACCAGCCGGGCTGCGATCGCGGCTCGTGCAGCGCCAGACTTCGGGAATCAACGATATGCTGGACAATGAGGGTGCCAGTGTGGTTTCATCTCAACGTGGAAATTGGAGTGAAATTGAGTGTATGGAGGTTTGCGTGGCTTCGCGGGTCCCGACTGAAACGCCGAATCAGTCCAAAACATGCTGACATTCTCATATCTCAACTCCGAGTCTCAAGGCTATTTCTGCATTTACCACTACAGCCAAAGGCCACTTTTTGGGTCCCGAAGCTCAGCTGGAATAGCCCCCATTTTTGGATTCATGTCCGCAGACGCCCAGGAATTTTGGGGTCAGTGAACCCGTTCCGAACCTTCTTTGTACCCTCCGATTCAAAACTAGACATACATATTCTCCAGGAATAGGCATATCTGAGTCGCCGACCGAAGCCCACGCGACTAGAAAATGCCAACTATCCCGCAATCAGACATGAATGTTTCCGAAAATGAGACTATCCAATGGCTGTTCGAGCTCATCTTCGGGTATGAAGAACTCCGCTGTGTAAGAGCATCGTGCACATGTCAAGTACCTGTTAACTTAACTTTGATTTCGACGTCGGGAGCTGCCCGAAGTGACCGAGATTGAGTGACGTCTTAATGCGCATTCAGAGGCGACGATCGGCTGGGTGTTCGCGGCAAGCAAGTACTGCTAGATCTCCTCCAACTCGGCCTTCCGGTGCAAGTCATCCATACTCACTGACATATGCTGTCTGTCTGTCCATGTCTTCGGACTTACGGCTCCTTCCCTCGAGTGGACTCGTGCCAACGGCTTCGTGATCGCGTCGGAGTCGCCACAGCGCCACTAGTCATGGAGGTTTTTTCTTCTTCTTGTTCTCTCTCTAGGCGAGTCGGAATAAAAATGGGTGCCTGTCTCTGCATGCCGGGTCTTCTAGCTTCCACTTGGACCAACAGCTCGTCTCAGTTCTTGGAACATCCACCGTCACCTACCGTTACGATAGTTAATCCGGCCAGGAGATGCTGATGCGCCGCTCCACGCCACACCGAGGACTTGGAGATATAGCCATATGGGGTGGCGGCGCGACATTGCCTTCCGGGATGATCCACTTCCGTGTCGTCGAGTACGGGGTGCACGTGCTTTGATCGAGGTGGAAATGGACGTGCTGGTCACTGCTAGGCCTCCATCTTGGAGACCGGGCGGACGTGGCGGAACCGGGATGGCGTCTCGCGTGCGCGAGAACGTGGTTTGATTGCAATATTACATAATGACGAGAGCGCAGATGATCGGATGCGTCCGGACTCATCCCGTCCACTTCAAGCCTCAAACTGACAGCCTCACCACGCCTCTGACTTTGTTTGGCTACTTGGTACATCATTGCATGGCTCTAGTGGAACTTTTCAAGTCGATCGGTTCTACTGACGTGACGTTGCCAACAGCCATTCCAGTCAGGCCTGCTCTCGCATGCACTAGGATCACGTATGCGACCTCGCACTTTTTCGCGCTGTTTCCCAAGTTAGTTTGGCTCCCTATGTTATAAACCGTCCGACATTCCATTACAGATCTCCCCTTTCCGTTTTTGTTCTGTTCTCTTTTGGACGACCCCCTCACCGTCACATCTCGGCTGTACGTATGGCGCAAGAGGGTGCTTGTTTCCTCGCCGTTCCAAACGAAGCGCGCATATGTGCCCAATGTCTTCTTGATGGATTGTAAGTGCTAACCGCATTCACCGTAACTCTCTAACCGATATCCCTGTGGCGTCCGGTCGATTACACGTTCGGTGTCCTGGTGACATCAACTCTGTTTACACTCTGTTATGCGTTGTGGGTGCCATCTCCGCTCCCCACCGATGTCCATGTTCCTGTGCACCTTAGGAAGGATTAGCTCTCAAGTTCCAGGACAGCGACCTGTCGGAGAAAAAACATTTACCTGTGTCACTGTCGGCACGAGCGCTCTATGCTCCGAACGCCACGAATGCGCCGCCGCCGTTCAGCCCTATCATAAAAGACGAGGCTGATTGTCATATCCATCGGACAGGCATCTCAGAATACAAAACTGCAATGGATCCAGCCAGATACGACGATTTCTTCACGCGGCTGTCATCAAAGGAGACGTCGTGGACGCCTGCTCAGGAATCGGTATGTTCGTTCCTCTTTATAGTCTCGAGTTCATACCACTGATGGTGTCGCCGACTTGACAGCTTTTGCTGGAGCCGTTCCAGTACATCTCCTCTAATCCCGGAAAAGAGGTCCGAAGCCAGCTCATCGAGGCTTTCAATCAGTGGCTCAGAGTGCCGGAATACAAGCTGAACGTGATCAAGCGCGTTGTGGGACTTCTACACAATGCTAGCCTTTTGTATGTGCATGCGACAAGCTTGTTGGTGTGATCGTCAATTTCAAAATATACAGGATCGACGATATCGAGGATGACTCCCAGCTTCGTAGGGGTATGCCTGGTTTGTCCATCCTATTGCCTAGAACCTTCTCTGTTATCTGACGGTGAATATCATACGATCTAGTCGCCCACAAGATCTACGGGGTGCCTCAAACCATCAACACCGCCAACTACGTTTATTTCCTTGCGTATCAGGAGCTCTCCGTGCTGCGTCCTCCCGTTCGCAGTCATCTCCTTACGAGTGCTCGATCTCTGGAGATCGACTATGAAGCAGACCCCTACGAGTATACGAGAAGCACTCTGAAGGGCACTAGCCCGTTCGTGGATCATTTCATACCTGATTATGATCTGGATCTTGTCGTCAATGGTGAGCGCCAGGCGTTGACCATGTGCTCAGAGCACTGATGCATCGTCGTTTGTGAAGCGGAGCTTATGTCTCTTCATCGGGGGCAGGGCCTGGATATCCTCTGGCGAGACACACTCCGCTGCCCTGAAGAGGACGAGTACATTGACATGGTCAAGGATAGTACGTGTACCTGCTATTCGGTAAACGCGAGTCAGCTCATCGTCGCATGTAGAGACGGGAGGTCTGCTTCGTATCGCGATCAAGCTGATGATGGCATGCGCGACTTCCAATTGCTCAGTGTAGGTCATCACATCCACACCATAAGTTGCGCGTAATTGACAGCCCATCTAGCAACTTCGTTCCCCTGGTCGACCTGCTGGGCATCTTCTTCCAGATTCGGGACGACTACATGAATCTGCAGAGTAACCAGTACTCGGAGAACAAGGGCTTCGCAGAGGACCTCTCAGAGGGAAAGTTTTCATTCCCGATAGTCCACGGTATACGGACAAAACCGAGCAACAGGCAAATCCTTAGTACGCAAACACTGTTCCAGCGAACATGATCATGGTCCATTGGCGCTGACCAAAGATACAGACATACTGCAGAAGCGACCCAAGTCCGCCACGCTCAAGCACCATGTCATCACGTATCTGCAAGACACCACCAATTCCTTCGACTATACGCTCGCGGTAATGCAGAAACTCGAGGACCAGGCGAGGGCGGAGATCGCCAAACTGGGCGGAAACGAGATGCTGGAGACGATAATAGACAAGTTACACGTTGACCACCCAGGAGATCGGGAAGAATGAAGGATGAAGCGGGGTAATGGATGCGCGATGATCATGATGAACAAACGGACTAGTTGAACGTGTAGGATTGTACTGATACGCCAAGAGAACGTTGCCGTGATATGTTAAGACCGCTGGCGCTGAGAAATGCGCCGCCACGGTGGTGGCCAGGTTAGCTGTCTTCGGATGATGATGGCTGGTCCTCTTCCGATTCGTCCCCCGAGCCGTCGTCCGAAGCATTTTCGAAGAAATCGTCCTCTGCGACCTCCTCCACCGCCTTCCTCGTCGCCGAAGGAGTGTTTTGCACGTGCTCCACGCGCCGATCCTTTGCAGCGGATCTTTGAAGTTTTGAAGCCTTGTTCGTGGAGTCGTCATTGCGAAGGTCGACTTCTGGTTCTGCGCTCAGCTCCCCCGACTCCATTCTCGCCTTCATCTGCGACCGTATCTCGGACCGTTCGAGTTCGTTTTCGTCGTTGGTTGGTGGCGGTGGATCATCAGATGTTGAATTCCGCGTTTCGGGAGGGAATAAAGAGATGTATTTTTTCATCTTAGGGAAGTGCTACGCGCACATTGTAAGCATGAGCGCGTGAGAGCTAGAGACTATGCCGGAGACGCACCAGTATGTAGTTCAGATCCACGCGTAGACTCGATAGCCCCTTCTCCAGCTTCTTTTTCTCCTTCCCCTTCTCTCCGGCGGCTTCTATGCTGCGCTTGGTCTGGTTTATCTTGCGAAGCACCTTTTGACGTTCTGGAGGATTCGGATCAACAAGGCGACTTCACAATGTCAGACGATCATTACGAACCAAAGAATTTGACCTTGTGATACTTCAACGCGAAAGCGCGTTCTTTGCGCGTGGTCTCCGCCTGGGCCAAGTCGTTTTCGAGAGACTTGAGTCGGCGCTCGGTCTCTATCCGGACATCAGCGGCAATAGTGTCCTATGCTAGCTGAGTAGGGGGTCCAGAAGAGCTGAGACTGCAGTACCTTGGCAAGTAGCCGGCGCGTTTGACGGAGAGCGGACTTGATCTTCTGGACGCCGGGAAGCGCATCCGAGTCTGCGCTATGTTTGGGGTGTGGGCTATGTTTCCGAGGAGTTTGAGTTGTAGAGTTAGATTTGTGACCTTGATGGTGTTTTGTTCGTGCTGGTCCCATGACAGATGTACGGATAATGAGCAAGGAGCGGTGTTGTGACAGGTGAGCGAAGGGGGCGACGAGGAGAAGATGCCTTTTCGGGAACCTTAGCAGAGACAAGAATGGGATTAGGGTTAGGGGCAAGATCTTTTACTCCTAACTTCATCTCTTCAGTCTCCTCGGTCCCCCGGCGCGATGCGCAATCTTGCACTCGTCGAAAGACATGTTTCAACTATTTCTCAACATGAAACAAGCTCAGACGCTCAAAACCAGCTTGCTTCCGGAATCTCGACATTCGCGTGTGACGTCGACCGCGAAGTGATCTATGTCGCGAGCGAGAGGGTCAACAACGATGGGGACGGGGAAGTTACCATATGGAAGATCGAGCAGGGAAAGAGCGCAGCTGAAAACTCGGCAGAGAAACTTGGGAAATTTGAAGCCACAGCTTCTGAGCATCGCCTGCTGGTGTCTCTCCAGTATCTGGCCGAGTCGAGTCAGCTTGTCCTCATCACCCGGGGAGGAGACATTGCCGTCTTTAATGTCGATGACGAAGGATGCTTCTCGGTGCGTAATGTCGGTTGGACTCATTAGATGATTATTTACTGATGAACGTACAACCTACAGGGGGGTGTAGACGTTCAGGGCTCGATCGAGGCGGGCATCCTCGCTGCTGAATGGAGTCCTAACGATTCATTGCTTGCTCTTGTCACCGGTACGTCCACGTACCAATAGGACTCACAGAAGCTAAATCAAGGGTGTTATTGAAGGAGATGACAAATTGCTACTCATGACATCAACGTTCGACGTCCTATCGGAAGAGCCGTTGGACACTTCAGATTTTGGCGAAGGTGTGTTCATCTTCGCCTCTTCCGTTATCATTCCACTCATATCCGTCAGATGCCCCGATAAACGTGGGCTGGGGGTCAAAGGAGACGCAGTTCCACGGATCCGTCGGCCGAGCGCACCTCAACCAGCCTGAATCCAAGGACATGGGGCCCGACAGCAGGCAGCTAGGCGACGATACCTGGCCTCGGATCAGCTGGCGCGGAGACGGAGCCTACTTCGCTGTCTCGGCCCTCTCCCGGTCAATGTCTGAAGATGGCTCTGGTCGCAAACGCGTGATTCGCGTATACTCGCACGAAGCGCGTCTCCAGTCTACTGCCGAGCCAATATCATGTCTGGAGGCTAACCTTTCGTGGCGACCCGACGGCTCTGTGATTGCGGCTACGCAGAACGATATAACCCGATCGCAGAGGAATGCAAAGGTTGCCAAGCACGATCTCATTTTCTTTGAACGAAATGGTCTTCGCCACGGAGAATTTAGCCTTCGCCGGGAGCTTGGACCTGACAGAGAGTACAAAGTGAAGGGATTGGCCTGGTCCTCTGATTCAACCGTATTGGCTGTATGGATTGAGGAGAAGGGGGGCGATATCGTCCAGCTGTGGACCACTGGAAACTGGCATTGGTAAGATCCTCGTCGACTCTGAGGTCAAACTTACACTACTCTAGGTATCTGAAGCAGGAGATTCGTGCCCCCTCTAATGTTGAGGGCTCTCCTGGGCGATTCACGGGTTTTACCTGGCATCCCGAAGCTGCCATGTCACTTGTCCTGACGACTTTCAGTATGTTTCCACCTCATCTATACCGATCGACTGCTAACAACACGTGTAGCGGTGATCATTCAACATTCATATAACTGGGAGACTTTCACCAGCGCAAACGAAGCAGGCAATGTCTGCGTTGTCGACGGAGGTAAGCCTTTGACAAGGTTTCCGTGAACCTCATTGATGTGACGTCTAGTAAATCTGCTTCTGACGCCCTTCCGCACGCAGAACGTGCCTCCGCCCATGTCTTCACATCAGCTCTCGATTTCGTCCGCATCTCCATCCGAGACTTCGGGACATACGTACACGCCAGTGCACGTCGCCGTGTCCCATGCTTGCGACCTCCTTGGCGCTGTCTGGGAAGATGGCCATTTCGCCGTATGGAATCTTAAAACAAGGATCGGCCCTGGCAAAGGCCCTGTGATGCAGCCGTCTTTACTCTACAGTGGTGTGGTAGACGGAGCTGGGGAGCGATGGTCTGCTCGCCAAATCCTCATCGCCTCTGAACCTTCGCAGACGGCGGTTGCTGTTCTAGGGTCGCCGCCCGCAGGGAAGGACGAGCTCGTCGTATGCAGCGTTCAAGCGTCCGACGAACCATTCAAGCTGCAGCTTTCAGATTTCCATCGTACTGATCTTCCCGAAGCCAACGGGAGGCTAGTGCCATGGCACGACGGAAGCACACTGGTATGGCAGGACCCAACTGGGGCATGTTACGAAGGTAAATGCGTTATCTGAATACTCGAGCACTACTCTTAACCACCGTCTAGTTGATCCTCAGACCAAAAGCTTCACCGCATTGTGCTCGTTCCCGCAATATTGTCACTGGGCCTCGTACAGTACCGTTTCCGGCCGTGTACTCCTCGTCGGTCTCACGACGTCGGGACGGCTCTTCGTAGTATCGCCCCAGGCAGATTCTTTCCCGATTGCGACGAACGCAAACTCGTTCACGATCGCTTCTGGATACGTTATTTACACCACAACCGCTCACGAAGCATACTTTGCACCCCTAGACGGACTCATGTATGCGCTCACCTCGTCAGAGTCTACGCTTCGCAATGAGTCGAACATATCCGAGGCTGAGAAGTGGGAGAAGCGGAGAGTGGAGAGAGGGTCTCGTATTGTCACGGCGGTCCCGAGTGCAATGAGCTTGGTGTTACAGATGCCGAGGGGCAACTTGGAGACGATCAACCCGCGACCGATGGTCATGGCTGTCGTCCGAGAAGACCTTGACGCGTAAGTCACTATCTTAGCCCGCGATGAACATAGTTGACACTTGCAAACAGTGGACGATGGAGAAAGGCGTTCCTTGCCTGCAGAAAGCACCGCGTTGACCTCACGGCCTTCGTAGAGCACGACGAGGCCGCATTTTTGGAAGGCGTACCCGCCTTTGTGAAAGGTGTTGAAGATGTGGACTTTATTAACTTATTCTTAACTAGCGTCGGGTGAGTCTGACGGCACGCATACCCGCGGAAACTTGCTAATTAGAACATAGACGAAGCAATCTGTCCAGCCAGACTATCAACACTGTATGTGACGCAGTACGCGTCGAGCTCGAAAATCAGGGTTTGGCGAAATACATAAACTCCATCCTTACCGCATACGTCATGAAGTCACCTCCAGAGCACGAAGAGGGCTTGTCTGTCTTGCTTCGCTTGAGAGGTAGGCCTGACTCTGTTGAAATTGCTCCTTAAAATCTCACCGTGTCCTGCAGAGATTGATCCTTCCCAAGTAGAGGATGCCGTCAAGTATATTATCTTCCTCGTAGATGCCGATCGACTTTTCGACACTGCGCTTGGGATGTATGACTTCACTCTTGTGCTCATGATCGCGCAGCACGCACAAAAAGTAGGTCCTAATCAAACCGATACGTAGTCAATTACTGATTCATGTCCAGGACCCGAGGGAGTTTCTGCCTTTCTTGCGAGAGTTGCAAACCTTGCCGCACTTCTATCAACGGTTCAAAGTTGATGATCACCTCCGGAGGTACGAGAAGGCATTGGAGAATCTTAGTGCCGCAGGTGAGCCGAATTCCTTGATCGACGTCTGCTTGACTCAGCGGCTGTAGGTCCGGATCATCGAGCGGAGGCACTGGCATACGTCGAGAGGTATCAGCTGTACGACAAGGCGCTGAAGATATGGGAGAAAACGGACATGTACAAGGTATGTTATCAGCGAAGATGAACTACCGACGCATAGTGACAGATGTCCACAGGACGTTCTGAACTTGTACGGCGAATGGCTATTTGATCGCAGAGAGTTCCATCAAGCAGCGTCTGGTAGGTAGCCCCTATCTCGCAGGGGCCACCGTCTGACGGAGACGCAGTGTTTACGGAGGCCGGGGACATGCGTAGAGCAATGGTTGCTCACGAACGAGCTCTTGAGTGGCAAGAGCTCTTCGACATCGCTATGCGGGAAGATCTCTCAACGGAGGAGCTCCAGGAGGTCGCCTATCGCATTTCTGGTGAGCTAGTCAGAACAATTCAAACTTCAAATTCTCATTAGTGCGACCAGATGAGCTCATCGCAAAGAAGCGGTACGCCGACGCTGCTCGGGTACTTCTAGATTACGCAGACGACGTAAGACAAACTATCGGCACCTTGGTGCAAGGGAACCACTTCTCTGAGGCACGACGAGTGGTAAGCTTTCGTCATAACTTGCGCTGAAAGCAAATGTCCAACGATGATATGAACAGATCACGATGCGAAAATGTCCCAAATTGCTTGAGGACGTTGTACACCCGAGTGCACTGGATAGCCGATCGCAGTTGGGAGAAGACATCACGGAGATGAGAGACCAGCTCCGCAAACAAGTTTCCCGGCTGAAGGAGCTACGCGTGAAGAAGGCTGAGGAGCCCGGTATGAGTTTTATCTACTTTTTGCAAATATCTGTCTCATTTTGCACCATAGATGCATTTTATGGTACCGAGGATACGAACCTACACAACGTTGATGTTATGACGGATGTCTCGATGGCACCTACCGCGTTCACTAGGTACACTGTGGCACCGTCTGCCGCCTCCAAGTCATCCAAGTAAGTCTGCTACCGTTGTCACCCGCATCTAGATAAGCTTGCTCAACATCGCCGACCCTCAGGAAAAGCTCCAAGACCAAGCGCAAGATGGAGCGTAAAGTCGGCTCGGGGAGGAAGGGCACCGTCGACGAAGAAGAGTACCTCCTTCGTTCGGTCACCAAACTCGTCAGCCGTTTCACTGCTGTTCAAGGTACGTCATCGACTTTTCCCTTCTCTCTGGTCCTGGCGCTCATTGAGGCACATCAACCGTCGACATCAGGCGAAGTGAGCAGACTGCTCCCGCACCTCTTCCAGTTCTCCGCGGAGCACCGTGTCGAAGGCCTCGCGCTCCAGGCGGACGCCGCTGCCTTCCAAGACGAGCTCACACGGGCCATCGACGAGATATGGAAGAGGCCAGAAGGCGACGCAGAGACCGAGGACAGCTGGGCGGCGCGCATGCAGCAGAAGGAAAAGGAGAGGCAGGTTGACCCGCTGCAGCGCGTGAGCAGGCCAGAGATACCCGGTGCGGACTGGGGACTGAAGTTACTCAAGTAATCGCCGTACCAAAACGACACACGCGTGCATGTATTTTATGTTTGACATATTGAGTATCGTCACCTAAGCGTCTAACGCCCTTGCGATTGCGACCCAAAAGTCACATCTAGTATTACAACACGTACACATACACAAATTATCCCCAAGAAGCAGATGAAGCAGGCGCTGTGGAATAAATGTAAGGCGACGAGAATACGGATGACGCGAAGTGGATGATAGTTTAGGAAAGCTACGAGCGAAGCAAGCAGGGAAGATAGCGGATGCGAAGTACATGGAAAGCAAGAAACTAGGCTATACAAATGTTCCCGAAGATGGGTGAGATGAAGATATTCAAAGAAAACCGAGAAATGAGTGTAAATCGCGTAAATGAGGAATGTGATCACGGGTAAGGTGAGACGCGAGATGGGGTGGATGGCGTTGAGATAGAAGGGGTATAGGAGCCAATAGATAAGGATGGTATACTAGATCGATGATAGAATAGATGCCGTGGATGATGGGAGATGGTGATGTGCACAATGAATGAGGCGAGAGGGCAGAAACAAAGGGCTCGAGCCCGGGGATATTTTGAGATCAGAGCGTTTGAGGAGAACATTTCATATTGCCCGAGGCAACTGATCTTCCGGCATATCGCAGAGATCTGAAGACACCTTAAGAATCGTCCATCTAATGCTTAGCTTGAGCAGAAACTCACCGATCGGTGACCTGAACTCCCGCAGGTACGGATGCAAATTACTCCCTTCCACATCTCTCCCGCTGCTGCGCCTTGACTCAGCATTGCCAACGTCCTGCTCCCGTTGCCCAACGACCAGACCCCGGGACCCAGCGTCGAACATATACCGCATCTGACTTGACGGATAATGGCCCTGCCCGATCCCCTGTCCCACCTCGATGCCATGCGCGAGCCCGAGCCCATATCCAAGGTCCAACCGCCGCTGTTCGCACTCCCCTGAACGAGAGCCCGGCGCGCTGACGTGCATAACACCGTGCCACGAGTTTGCGTGCAGGTGCCGGTGGACATTGACCTGCGAGCCTGGCGCCCACCCACTGACGAGGTTGGCGTAGAACGCACGGGGGTCCTCAGCCTCGTACTCGGGCGTAGCCTCTTCCTCGACCCCATCGAATGGCTCGCGCTCGCCGTCCCCTTGAAAACTACCGCTGCCGACACTGCTCGCGGCGTCCACCGGCGACCCACCCCGTGCGGCCCGTTCCTGCATCATATATGCATGGTCTATCTCAGAAGGCGTTGGGGATAAGATGGGGTTGTGACCGGGCGCGAGTGAGTCGCGTGGAGTAGTGCTAAGCACACGGATGGAGTTCCTTGCCGTGGGAGTGTCCTTGGGGGTACCTGACACGCGATGACGTAATTGTTGGACTTCTTGCCCTGTTCCGAGGAATTGCTTCGGGCTAGGTGCCTGGGCCTGAACTGAGTCGGCGGGGGGCGGAATGCGTACGGTTGCGTAGCCGTTTTCCTGTGCGAGCGACCGAGGGAAGAAGACCTGTATCGTAGTGTTCAAGCTAGGCAGCTAGTATGGGTAGACGGATGAACATACAAGGAGGGTAATCGCTGAGGAGACAAAGCAACCTATTCCAGCAATCATCAAGAGGAAATCTAGCAGAAGGGTCAGCAGTGATAGCATCACCACCCGAACGTCAATAACATACCCGAGCTGAAACTAAGAAGTTACGTGTCAGTGACGTGTCGATAAAGCATGAAGGGATTGACGTACGGATTCCATAAGATCTTGCGGATATCCGCTACTCCATCCAGAGATATAATGAAGAGAGGCAAGCTAAACATGAACCGGAAGATGATGCGGGCGCACTAAACCGAATGTATAAGAAAACTAGAGTCGGTATGGCCAATGCGCATGCTCACGTTCAACTGGTAAAACCCAACCAGACGAAGGACAACAGCGGGCTCCCCGCCATCGTCTTTGACTCGCCGGATGAATCTCGGGAATTTCCAAAGCACCCATAGGAAGAGGACGGTGGTGAACGTTGAAGCCGATGAGCCCACAAGGAATATCCAAGCTTGACTCTACGTAGAAAAGGTCAATGATACGCGGGCCAGGAACGGGTGGAAGACGCATAAAATAAATCTCGATGAGTCTGATGACTCTGGGGTTGCGCAAATATGTGGGATTGAGAGCGGATAGTTCCACTTACAAGAGCCTGTTCCCGTCGCGTGATAAGAGCTGTGAGAGGTAAACCGAGGACCGCGGTGATTGTGCCTGCGGAGGCATGAATACATCAGCGACACTGCCCAGGGCAGATAGGCATAGAGTAATATGGTAAATGAAGGACGTACCAAGTGTAAACACCCTAAACTCCCAACTGTCGAACCATGGTCTAGCGCGGGAGCCTTGGTTTTGAAGAAATATCCAGAACATAAGCTCTGGTAAGGGCGACAGTGCATGAGTGGTAACCCGGAAGGTGTTATTTGCGTGAACGTACCCTCGAGATGGGTAACCCTGCGAAGAGATCAGCTTTCCGCATTGTAATATTGTGAGTGAAAGCGTACAATTCGAAAGCCCAGGCAAAGCTGAAGACAAAGTTGAGAGGTATTATCCAACGGGCATTACTGCGGCTATAGAGGAATGGTGGTTTAGGTATGACTGCGGCAAAGTCGAATAAGCTGTGGTAGTGACGAAGATGTAAACGGGCACTGACTGTGATGTTCTGGGCCCGGGGTGACGATGTAGCCTGGAAGGAAGAGGCAGGGGTGGAGGACGTTAAGTCTGCGGCTCGAAAAGCTGAGAAAGGCGATAGCTCACCTTCATTGAACTTGATGACAGTTGTTGCGACGGAGAACACTATGAGTAAAGTCACTGTTGCGAGGTAGGTATACTTCAATCGCAACTTGGTCAGTAATGAAGGTAATAGAAGTTTTAGATAACGCACGGCCATCATACGCTTGAACGCGCCTGGCTGACGGTTCCTACTCCATCGCAGGCACTTGAACTTGTCATAGCTCCATAGATGGAAGATGAGGAAGGCGAGAAACTGGTAATGTCGAGGCGCATATGTGATGTTTGTGACGGTAGGAGAAGTTGGCAAAGGTGGTGGGGGATGATGGTTGAGAACACGTCCGGGGATACGTGGGCCGGCGGTGCGAACGGTGGAGCGAATGGACGATCGTTAAGCGACACGCGAGGCCGCGAGGTGGACGACGTCATCCACGCGAATGACGAATTGCGAAAGCCAGCAAATGACAGAGCAACGGGAGGACGGAGAGAAAGTGGAACGAGATGGTGATCAGGTCGGTTCGCATGGAAGGGTCTGAGAAGCACATGGTACTTACCAGACAGGAAAGGATAGTCCATAGCAGAAACGCCGCTGGCGATCCGGTACTCATGAACCTGCTCCAGTGTGTGGGATGTTTGTTTGTGTCTAATGTATGCGCCGGCCTAGAAGTCGTAAGGATCGTGCTGTATGTCTGTGCGGTGGGTGGGTGGGTGGGTTGTGTGGGTTGCTCGACAAGTGGGAATGGGCTAGCGCCGAAAACGAGGGGCCGTGGTGGGGCGCGAGAACCCGCCTCGGAACCTACTTGCCTCAAAATGGCAACCCACTCTATTCTGTTCCTTCTTCCCACATCCCGACATCGCAAGCACAGCTCGTAACTACGCCTTGCCTTCTAAGTACAGAAACACAGTTATCCAAGGCAGCATTCTGTGGGTACTAACTATTAGGCCATACAGCTGTTTCGTCGACACAGCATGCTCTCTCATGCCACCTCCCTGGACGAGTTGTTTTGACCTGGAGACCGCTACACAGACCCACCTGCAGCCGAGGGTATACAGACTAAAAGCCGGGCTAGAAGATTTCATGGAGATCCCCGAGGGTCCTAGCCAGAGTTCCGAAAGCTGCATAAACGTTGTGGCTCCTTTGACAGCGTGTTCTGGACTATCTTGGGAGAGTGACGGCCGCCGAAGAAACCTTTGCAGTGTTTCAATTGAGCTTTGAACTCAAGGACTGCTACCCGTATGGACAATCGTGGTAGCCCGCTTCGTCATATTCTATTGTCTAGGTAATGCACCGAGAGACGGAACAGACGAAAGGCCGGTGATTATAGGTGAGAAGTTGGCATCGATTCGAAGTTACCCCAGGCTTCTCGCTACCCCTTTTACAAGACCAGTAGGTTCCCTGCAAAGGTACAGCCGCCGTTCCTAGTTTGCGGCCATCACTAGACCATTAACACGACTAGCAGGATGAGGTCCCAGAATACGTTGCACCTCCGTGAATGCCGCTGATCATACCTCAACACAGCGGCCTACGCGTCTGAGGGGCAATCGCTGCCGTTGGGCCCTGTCCTCATTTCTGACCAGCACAAAGAAGGAAAGCCCGGCTACTGCCAATCTTAGACCCGGAGTAGGAACTCGTCAGGTTCCTTCATTCATTGTTCAGCTTTACTTCCAAAGGATGAATTAATGACTTTTTGACCTGTTCGTGCAAGAGTACCCATCCACCTCATCAACGGTCAATCAGATAGTGTCTCGTCATTGATACAGTGGTAATACATTGTTTTCATCTTGATATATTACTTCTAGGTTATCGACGGAAATATGCAAGCAGCGCGAGCTAGTCACAAGTGCAAGCTTAGACGAGCTTGGGCTTGTTCTTGGAGCTCTTCTCAACTTCCTCGTTGAAGAGGTTGATGTCCCACTTGGGGCTGTATCCTGCGGGAATGTTGAACCTTTCGAGAATATCGTATCAGTATCTGGCGGTCTCGAATATGAAACAACCGCGAGCGTACCTAAGGTGGTTGTTAACACCGACGGCGGTGACCTTCTCGTAGTCCTCTTTGCTGAGCTCGATCTGCTTGAAGTTGGAGATGATACGCGCTATGATCCGACATAAGTAAAAAAAATTGCGATATAATGTAACCGATACTTACACTCCTGGACGGACTTGGGGATGACGGTGTAGCCGCGGTAAGCACCCCATGCGATCAGGACCTGGGCGGGCGTTGCGTTGAGCTTGTTGGCAACCTCCTGGATTTCGGGGTAGTCCGTCAGCTTGGGCTTGCCGACCACTGCATAAACGAGTCAGTACCACGGTAACTTTGCTATCGCGAGATCAACACGTACGGTTGTTGCCGAGGGGACTGTATGCGGTAATGTGGATGTTCTTTTCCTTGCAGTACGCGACGAGCTCGTCCTGAGGAAGGAGAGGGTGGGCCTCAATCTGGTTGACGGAGGGGACAACGCCGGTGTGCGTGATGATCGCCTCGAGGTGCTCGATGGTGAAGTTGGAGACACCGATGTTCTTGACCTATTAGCAAGCATGAGATCGATATTCCCCGACCTCGATGAGGCATATTTCGTACCTTTCCGGTCTTCTGGAGTTTGATCAAGGTCTTCCATGTGTCGACCAGCGAAGTTTCCGTGTCGAGGTCGATCTCCTTGGCATCGGGGGTCGACTTGGGGAACAGGCCACGTCCGGGCTGGAAAGCTACTGGCCAGTGGATGACTGCAAGCCCCTCATCAAGTCAGTATCTGCGCACGTCAAAGAGGAAGATAAAAGTACGCACGATACAGGTCCAAGTAGTCAGTGCCAATTTGGCTGAGGGTCTCATCGAGTTCCTTGTAGGCCTCTGCCTCCTGGTGGGCAGAGTTCCAGACCTTGGACGTGATCCAAAGGTCCTCGCGCTTGACTACGCTCGGGATGACCTTCTTGAGGGCCGCGCCGACCTCGTGCTGGTTCTCGTAGATACGAGCGAGGTCGAGATGGCGGTATCCGTTGCGGATGGCGATCTCGACAGAGTTTTCGACTTCATGAGGCTTCGACAACCAGGTGCCGAGACCAATCTGGGGGACGATAGCGTTGGAGTTGAGAGTGACGGTCTTTCCGAGAGACATTTTGTTGATGTGTTAGTGGGTGAGGGATGTGTTGATAAGGGATCTACGGTGGGTTTTTATCCAGGAAACGGATGGAATGATGTCCAGGCAGTCCGCGACAGCCCGGCTTTATAAGCCCCTATTTAGCCAGAAGGGTGCCCGGTTGCGTCATGCTGACCACGGCTCTCCGGTCCGTCGGTCCGATATACAGCCGGTGGGTCTCGGCAAGTCCTGCGATACAAAGCTTGACAGCGAGAACGAGCTCGAGTCGATGTCGCAAGAAGTCGCGATGTGGTAGTCAAAGGGGAGGCGGGAGGATGACTATGTATAAATGAAAAGAAACCCACCAAAGGCGCTTACTTACTCCGACAAACAGCATGCCTTCGAACAACCATCGAAAATACCTACGCACGGGCGAAATCGTCTTTATGCAGTCCCAGCAGTCACACAGAGATGGGGATGCTTAGATTGTGCTAGCTCCAACAATCTATTTACTTGCTCAAATCTGCGTATGCTGATCACATATCTTGAGAAACAGTCTCAGGGAAGCGACACACTCAGAACTCAGCTTGTCTGGATATATATGACCAAATATGACGATTCGCGAGAGATTCGTCTTGGATTCATCGTAACGTCATGCACAGCGTTCTCCAAGGCTTCACGAGCCCCTATGTATATTGCAGAGTATGGACCCCACAAACCGTATTCTGGTCATCTGCGCCTATGGAAGCTGCATCCGTGGATGAAGAAGTCGAAAAAGCGTACCTTCCTGGTTGGCGGTCCCACTCAACTCTCGCACGTGATGCCGTTTCCCCGGCGGCCGAAACAAGCGATTTGAGGTTTTGCCGCTGCCAGAACTTGCACTTGACCACCATCAAACGATGGTCATGTCTCGCAATTTCCTCGTATTGCACGAACGTATCGCAAGGTGATATCAATCAGTAAGGATGATTGTCAATTGTTCGTTCATTTTACAATATAACAGTCCAGTTTCTCAGATTTCGTGCGACCGCACGGCGACCGAACGATCGCTGCTTTTAACACGGCTTCCATCTGGCTTCCATCTCCCAGAGTCTGTGCCCTGGCTGTTCTCGTGTGCTCTGCTTACTGAGCCCAAGACTACGTGTTCTGGAAACGAATCTGGAGCTAACACACGCTTCGTTTCGTTCAGGTGGTCTGCGAGGCTCATCCCACTCCCACCTTAAATGAACTACTGGCTAAACTACAAGCCTGTGATCGTATTAATCCATACAAATTCTGCACTCTCCTCGGGCTCTAGCTCCACAGGTTTAGGCTGAGCGGCTGTGAAAACCTCACGAAACCCTCATTTCAATCCATCTAGGAGCGCATTAACCAGAGTTGATGATGCTGACTATGGTCGTACGGATCATGAACGGCCGGCGACCCCTCTCTGAGTCTTTTCTATCGTTAACCTTAGAATTTGCAAACACCGTAACACCGGAACTATGATGCAGCGCATGATGTGCACCAGCACAGTGTCGTATTTTCGCTTGTTGTCTCTCTTCACTTGGCAGTATAAATCTCGTTTCTTTCAACTCCTCCTCACATCGTCGGACTTGCGGCACTGCCTTTCCTTGTCTCTCCCGTCGATTACCGGTCCCCACCATTGACCTGTCTATACCAGTCTCTAGCATCGGGGAACCTCGTTCTCCGCGTCATCCTTGGTCCGCACAGGCCATCGCCTTAAAACACTTCCACCCTCCGTCTGACGGCCTCTCGTCACTCTAACCTCGGCATCAGCATAAAAAATTCCCCCTCATCAGCGGCGATGCTATTACAAGACCTTCCTCTCGACATCGTCTACCATATCTTAGCTTACCTTGACATTCAAGATGTTTTACGCCTCCGAATCGTATGTCCTCTTATCTGTCTCTTCCAGTACGACCTTTACTCACCGTGTTGTCGCCATATACTTCTTTCATCCGCTCAAACTCCCCCTGTTTCACCTTCTCGACTTCTCGACTGTGTACCTGACTTAGCTGTCATCCTCCTTCCTCGCCGTAACCTATTCCCGGCCCGTCTGGGCCGCCCTCTATGCGCGCTCGGCGCTCCCGCGCCCTCCCGGCCCGCTCCCGACCCAGTCCGCACAGGCGCTTGAAGACATTCTGCGCAAAAGCGCTCGTGTGCAGAAAGGCATGTTCGGGCCTAATTCCCTATCGGACAACACTCCTCAATACCCTCCTGCGGGCTCGGTATCGCGAAAAGGTCGCTCCGAGTCGGGCCGTCCATCCCGGGTGCGGAGGATCGACACCGGTGCTGAGGAGGAGTTTGCGTTGCTGGGCGGCGGCAGATGGCTCATCTCGGAGCGAGCAGGCGCGATCTTGTGCCGCGACCTCGATAGGGACCTTTCCGCCCATGACGGGGCGGGGCTAGGGGCTTCATCGGCGAGCATGGATCTAGACCGACCAGAGCACGAAGTCGAATCTAAGGTGCTATATGCACCTCCTCATGGATCTACTATCACTTCCCTTAGCTGCGTAGAGACGTATGCGAGCGACGGGCGGTGGATCGCGTTCATCGTTTGTGCAGAGTATCCACTCGGTGGCAAGCAGGGGACTGTGTGAGTTAATGTTAGTCCACATGATACTGTTTCTGATAACAACTGCGTCGTACAGGAACATCTTTTCGGTGCAACGTGAAGAGAATCGTGACGATTCTACCTCGATTTCATCCGGAAATCCCACACTGAAACGCCTTCTTACGCTTCATGTCCCTTCCCCCGTGCATGTCATCGATGCGTGTGCAGGGAGCTTAGTCCTTGTCGTCAGCTGGACGCGTGAAGATGGGAGGGTGCTCTTGGTTGACATCAAAGACCCGTCACGTTGGTGCTTCATTCGCCCAAAGCATGATGCAGAAGAGGTATGTGATGATACATGGGATTGAATTTCGCCTCTGATGCTAGATCGTAACATAGGCTTCGACTCACGATACAGACCCAGAATTTATCTGGCGTCAGTCACTTATCTCGAGTCGAACCCATATTCTCCTAGTGAGGACCTATCGCCGCATCCGTGATCGCATGCACATCAACGCTCGCATCTCCGCTCTTGCAATCGACTACATCCCCTTCTCGTCTTGCCCCGAGGTCGATGGAGACATGGAAGTGTCACTTCCGTGGATGAGCTGTATCCTTCAAGACACGTTCTGGAATGCGACTCTCCTACAAGACGCGGGAAAGCAATCATCTACAGGCGACTACGCGAGCCTCATGCTCGCCGGGCTGTGGGAGAAATCATCCTCGGAGCCCAAGAGAGATGGCCAGGACATCGTCATCGCAAAGCTCTCTATCCCTCTTTTCCCTCATCTGTCCAAGCGCAAGCTCGACTCCCAAAGTATCCGATGTACCCTCCAGCATGTCACCAACCTACCCCAATCTCAGCTTTTCCTTAACTCCGCCTCCATCACCGGGTCTGTACGTGCCGTATACGCATCAGAAAAGGGAAACAATCTCAACGTTGGCGCCCTCTCGCTGTCGTATGCTGATGACGACCGGATCGATAACGTGACGGTTGCGAACTCCCCTAACTTGAAGCTGTTCTGCCGCGATCTCAGTCCGCCAGAGTCGGCTGTGGCCTGCTGGGACGGCGTGCGTGGGCGCATGTGTTGGACATACTGCATCGAGCGGAGTAATTGGGCGTTCTGGAGAAGTCGGGGCTGGGTCGTCGTCGTGGACTTTGACTAATTTAATCTGGCATATCCTGGCCATTGCATTGTATAGTAGCCATTGTACTGTATCTCCCCTCAGACTTGTAGCATCTAAATCATACCCTCTTCACCGCACTGCTAGCCCGCCGACAGAACGACAAGTTACGGCCAAAAGGCTAGTTTATGTTCACTATGTACGAATATATTAATAACGACGGACGTATTCGAGTATACAGAGGTGTGGCACTGTTCGTTTCCGATATTCAAGTGATAGATCTACCCCGCCCGAAATGTTGATAGCATGAACGACATGTTGTCTTCCATGTAAATGTAAGACGGATCTGCTACTTGTTTCAAGTGCAGGACGAGGTGAGCTACGAAGATTGAGTGCAGTATAGCGGCGGGTATGCTCATAATGAGCACAAGATTGATGTATGGATTCTGTCGACCGACAAGAAGTTCAGTACCTCCCTTTGTAAATCACGTTATACCACACTTACCGTCTGCGGGACTGTTACAAGAGCCATAATTAGGCCTTAAAAGATGTGATTAACGCCAGCCTTTTATACGATGGGTATGTTTGTACCGCATAGAGAAACAAAGTAAAGCGACCCTGGTGATGTTAGGATTAGAGCGGATCGTGTAATGGATGAAGAGATTTAGTCTTACCGTCAGTAAGGATGGTTTTATAAAGCCGTGTCAAACTTCTTAAGCTCTTGTCTTGGGGGAAAGATAAATAAGTAAGTGACGTCTCCGTTAATTGCCCGAGAAAACGTAGCAAACTTACATGTTTGATATGATTTTATCAACAGGAGAACAAGACACGCTGATCGAGTACCGATGTCTTGTAACCCAAGCAAAGCCTTCCAGAGGAAATTACTGCATACCTGTCTCGACGCACAGTAGCATGCCCCAGCTCAGCTTGAGCCAATTTCCTTGAGTAACTTCCAGGCAACCAGAGGAGTGAACGCTAACGCTCTCATCTATCACAGCTAGATACGCATTAGGTTAAGGGACTAACGCGAACAAGTTCCGTAAATTTACTAGCCTTGCATCTCTTCAGTGAATCTCGCAGCAGTGTAGATTGCTATGGCGCCATTGGTCAAAGACAATGCACCAAGGAAAATGCCTACGACCTGTTTTCTTTCCCATACCACCCATAGACGGATCAGAAGGATGACTAGAGCATGTCAAACTGCCATAGAGACACATATAGAGGCGAGAGGTCCTTACGTTCCGATAATTCTACAACGGTAATATAAAGAACTGCGCCCTCATTCCTTTAGAAAATCACAATTAGACGTAAAAGGGACTTACAGAGTATCACCGCGGCCGCCCGGGTGCACGCTTCACCGCTGATTTCAGGAGAGATTACCACTTCAAAGAAGTAAGCAAAACCATACAGAACAAGCAGACGTACGTACAGAGCCACATTTCGATGGCTGCGGCAGCACAGCTCCCATATCTTGTACCTACGTACAAGAACTTGACGAGCGACCATGGGCAGCTCCATATGTACTCGATTTCGTCACTTAGAGATGTCAAAACATCCCATGCCTCATATACCCTGCGTTAATTAGTAAACACCGTACACCGAAATGCTCTCACCAGCGCACTAGTTCCTACACCTGCCGCAGTGATCAGATATCCAAGGTCCATTTGCAGGGAGTCAGACACGTACAAGTCAAGTACTACGGACAAAGTTGCTCTGGTGAGTTCCAACTTGTAGAATCTGTCATCATTTCCGAGTTGGGACTTACTCGAACCAGCTGCTGTTGGAGCAAGAGGGATTGATCTGCTTGAGTTGAATCCGACATGGGGAAAGCACCAATAACCAGCTTTCGCCCGTTGTAGTAGCGAATCCACTCAAGGGATTCTCAGTAATAAGTGATCATGGTGGGAATTCTTGAGCCAGTCAGAGCACTCTTTTTGACATCCATGGGACATCTTACGTTCAGAACATGCATATTTTTACCCTACGGCGGGGCGAGTGGGCTCGAACGTTTTAGGGCCCCGATCGATACATGTAGATAGCTTCTATGGCCACCGTGTGTTTGCATAGATGATATCTGCGTGAATGCAGCCGTCCATCAAAGTCTCGTGGGCATTGCTTCGTGCCTCCTTTATAATAAAAAACTCCCCGTTTTCTGCATCTGTTCTGCTGCAGTCTCGGTCCACCAAAATCGGCTGTAGCATGCTTGGATTGCGTATATCAGCGAATGGCGAGGAAATCGGGTATAATCGGGGGCGGGTTAGGGTTGTGGACTTTGTCCAATGTACTTCAGCATGCTTTAGGTATTGCATTGTGCACTTGTACATTGACATCTTTCTCAGCCCTCTAGCATAGCAGTCGTAATGCACCATTATCTTACCGCGTTGATCTGACAGCTCAATGCATAGATTGCGGTCGGGAGACTATCGTACCTCCATTATGAATGAATTTCAACAGCGAGAGGCAAATAACAAATAATGTGCATCATTGACGTTAAGACAGAACGGCCTCACAGTTGTCCATCACCGAGATTCAGATTATAAGCTACGCTCGAAATGTTGATAACACAAACGTCATGGTATCTCCCATATATAACCGATCTGCTGCCTGTTTCAAGTGTAAAATGAGGTGTGCTACAGATATTGAGTGTAGGGTAGCGGCAGGAAAGCTCATCAGAAGAATAAGGTCGATGTAAGGATTCTATCGATTGGAAAATATTTAGCCGTTTTCTTTTGACACCGCCGTAAACCATACTTGCCGTCTGCTGTGGTACTACAAGAGCCAAAACTAGGCCTTCAGAGGCATCATCGGTGTGGGATCCGTACAACAATTCCATTCTTACCACGTAGAGCGACGGAAGTAGAGCTACCCTGTTATAATTGGAAAGCATAAAGACTAAGGCGTGATAGATTTCTGGAAGTTATGATCTTACCATCAATGAGAATGGTCTTGAAGAGTCGCGTCAAAGTCTGTATGCTCCTGTCTAAGCAAAAAAGGGATGTAAATCGCACCTTCAAACCCACGAAGGGACATAACACTCACAAGTTAGAAAGGACCTCAGCAGCAGGAGAAAATACACGCTAGTAGATGTAATCAATCTCCCGTTAGTCATGACCCTCTGATATAAATCAACACATACCTGTCTCAACGCACAACAGCATAGTCCAACTGAGCCTCAGCCAATATGCTTGAGTGATTCCAAGGCAACCGGAGGTGTGGCCACCGATGATCTCGTCTGTTACAGCTAAATAGTAACAGGCTGGCAAGGACTGTTGTGAAGAAGAAGAAAAACGAAGACCCGCGTTGTGTTAATCGGATGAATCTTGAAGCAGTGCACACTGCTACTGAACCACCGGTCAAAGACACGAGGGCAAGAAAAACGCTGATAGTCCACTTTCTTTCCCACAATACCCATATACGAAACAAGAGCACGACTAAGGAAGATCAAAGTCGCCTAAATCTTGAGTCATAATGAATCCTCACGTTCTGATAATATCAAAAGAATAATATGAAGAACTGTACGTGTCAGAGTTGAGATTATTTTCTTTTATGACAGAAGAGGATCTCACAAAGTGCTATAGAACCTGTACGAATGCATGCCGGGCCACTGTCAGGAGAAACTACCACTTCACGAGAAGAGAGTAGATGAGATTTGACATCGACAAAAGTAGAAACTATAGCTCTTACAGAACCACATCTCGACCGCTGCCATAGCACAATTGCCGTATCTTATCACTAGGTAAAAGAGTTCGACCAACGACCACGAACAGCACCACATGTAGGCGATTTCAATATCAAGGGATATCAAAACGTCCCAGACCTCATATGACATATTCCATGTCAATGAGTATACATAGTATTCAGCGGAACTGCTCACGAGCGCACTAGTTCCTATGCCTGCCACAGAGATCAGGCCTCGGACCGCCCCTTCGCCAAAATGGTGCCAAATACGTACAGGTCAAGTACTACAAAAAGAATGCCACAGTAAGTGCCAGTGTGTTGACGTTTGGAAAATATTGGGGGCTTACTCGAGCCAACCGCTGCTGTAATAAGAGAGACTCATCTGCTGTAGTAGACTCCAGCGCGGAATAACAGAGAATCAGTGCTTTGCTAGTCGTGCACAATGATCACTCAGTAATAAGGGATCGTGGTGAGAAGAATTACTCGAGTCGAAGGACCCCCTTGCTATGCACATCAGCCCATCTTACGTTCAGAAGATGCTTGGTTTTATCCGAATGAATAACACCCGTACTCGTGAACGCCACATACCTTATATTTGGACTGCAGGAAGGCGCTTGAACGTTTTGACGTACGCGGGTGCATGTACTGGTGCCCCGTGAAGATGACTTGGCATGGTGTACAAAATGTGCCTACATTCATTCACCAACGGGCATTGCTTGCACCGTTGCACACGGATACTACACGAACAAGAAGTGTACGTACATCAACAAAGGGAAACCAGAAGTCGACTTTTGCTTCTACACGCTATAGATACCACGATATCATGGTTTCCTTAAGCTTAGTGACCACAATTAAGATGGAAACTAAACGATTCATGAAGTTAATACATATCATTACTGACTGTGAAGGAACGTACACACATTCCAAAGAAGTAAGATCTTCCTAATGAGAATTAGGAGGGGTGGTAGTAAATCGGTGTTGATCACTTCGATGGTAGGCTTCTTGGGCATGGATCTAGGATAGTGTCAATTCGGCACCATGATATCCTCAGGAGGCTTCGGCCAACAGCTGACCGGTATTCTATACGCTTGGAGGAAAGGGTGTTAACTGCCATTCAGTTACAGATGGGGGTGTAGAGAGCATGTCGTTGAAGCCTCGCCACACAGCTAACTTTGGTTTTGTCGGTGAAGTTTACATCACGGGATGGCTCATTTCCCTACTATACGACGTAGAGACCACTTTCGGTGGACTTGGGAGACGTACCATTCGAGCATTGCCGAATATGTCTCTCAGATCCTCCGTCACGATAAGCACATTTTACCCTCTCAGCGCGATGTGCATTGTACTTATTCGCAATATGCTACCCACGAAGCACTAGGTCAGAATCCAGTCGGGCGTCCAAACAACAGAACGTTGCTACTGCCACACTTCGAGCATTCGTTTGGCGCGTAAATTTGTGTGACAAGTGATTAAATACGACAAAACCATAGCCGAAATGGCACAACAGTCAGATCTTGGCATGCATGACACGAGCCTGCGCTAAGCTAGTAAGTGATGCATACCAGACACGCTAATTCAGGGGGAAAGCCGAATATATTCTTACCTAGTTTCGCTGCTTATGGACCACGGGAGTTATGATCGTGAAGCATTCGTTCGAGAAGTTCTGTCCATCCCAAGGAGGTATGGAAATGCGCTGCTCCCTAGAGCACCATTTGACTCTAGGAATGGAGGATGCTGACTGCCACGACATAATAGTAGGGCGTACCTCGAGTTCGCGGCAGGATGCGTAGACGAATGATGTCGAGTGAGAGATTTTAGAGTTGTGACGGCGTAAGATGTCCTTATGAGAAAAAAGTTCGCCGCATATCAGCGTGCCATGACCTGGCAAAGAATCCGCATGAGGCAAAGATTACATCTCAAGACAGCTGCCGAGTAGTAGAGAGCGAATACTTCCCAATAGTTACGTATAAGAGTACTTAGAATTTTCCGTTACATGCGAGCTCTCGCGCTAGCTGGCGCATGAGAGGGAGTTGAAAGGAGGCTTTACGGCAACTTTAAGGAGCTGAACGAGATTTTTCGCGGTCATTGGCTGCCGACGCGGTTGCCGACGCAACACCGCCACCATGATACGAACACACGCGTCACGTCGTTGAAGGGGTGTTTGCGCCGTCGGATTCTATGCCATGTGGTCGGGTTCGACCGCCTTGAATCTAACCTTCTTCGACACAGTATAAAACCCTTGACACGTCCGTCTCTCTCTTAAGCTTCCCGCAACCTCCCTCGTTCTCTCCAAACTTCAGAACAGTCATTATGCTCGCATCTGCTGCCCTCGTTCTCTCCGTGGCCCTTGCTGCAGTCGCCACTCCCGTCACGACCACCGTGACGATTTCACCGTCTACCACCACCTCCGCTCCCTCGTCCAGCCCTACGTCGGACCCCGCCGAGGTCCACTTCATCCCCTACAAGTACGAAGGCTGCCGTCAGACCCAGAACCCGAAAGACCAGACCGGCCAGGCAACGAGCTATAATGTCACTACCGGGCACTGTTTCGCTCCTGGCTATATCTTCACGTCGTACTTCCAGCAAGCCAACCACCTCGCTGCCACTGGTCCTTGTTCCCTCAGCATCTTCCCTGAAGCGAATTGCACCGGTGAGTCCTTATTCGATCCTTGTTCGCCTTTGGAAAGTCTCAGCTGACCACATACAGGAACCGGTGTAGGTGCCAAGTTGGCCGAGGAGCCCACGTGCATGGCCGACATGTCTACAGCTGGCCAGAGCTTCAGACTCGACTGTGGCCCTTAAAGGAGAGGGGGAAGAGAAAGGAGACATCTTGAGATGCTGGAACACGTTGGAGGTTTGCTATGAACACTTGACTCACTGTTCGCTGTTCTCCCCCAAAGACGTACCTTCATTTGACTCACCTTTACCTTCATTCATGGACATCTTTCTTGCAGTACGAGCCTAACATTTTTCGAGCTTACAGTACATAGGATTTCTACTTGGCGAGCTCGGGGATTCGAGCAAATATAATTTGGCGCGTTATTCGTTTCTGATCCTATTCGGAGGCCACTGAGCGTTGCAGCGCTTTCACTTTCGCAGCGATTATACAATGTTTTGCTGTGATGAGCAAGAAACGCGGGCTCCGAGAGATGCCATGTCGCTTGGACGTGGGTAACCAGCAACTCAAACTCTTCTCAGTTCAAGTTGTTCGTGGCTGGTCAATCCCGAGTCGACGAGCACTGCGTCCTTTGCGTCCTTATAGGGGCTTCGTGACTGCCAGCCGCGTATGCTGAAGCTGACTCGAGCGACCTGAAAGTATCAACGCCGGCATTGAAGATGCTGATGTTCTGTGTCATGTATGTATATACACGCCTAAGACACGCCCTTCGCTTCTCACCTACAACTAGCCACTGTTCATGATGTTAAGATCATTTCTCGGACAGAATAAGCAAGGCTGTCACAGCGTGATAACTGACTGTGAGTTTGTGATTAACGTGACTGATGTGACCAAGTGAGGCAATTGCAGGGCTTCAATGAGGCAAAATTGCGCACGCTGTTTCTCTCCTGCTGATATAAGATCCTCTCCGTCAATATTCTTTCTCTTCTCTTCCCCCAGCGACCGCGTCCTAGCAGCTCTGGCAAATCTGCCACACTCCCATGCTTCATCATAATTCGCTCCGGACATTCTATCGCTTCCTCATCGACATATATACAAACCAATGTGTCTCTTCCCTCAGCGGCACACAGTATCGTCTTCATCATATGGATGGCGTCACTACCATTCACCAATGGTTACCTCTTTAGCTTCCTGCGTTCAACCCTGGAGTATTCTTGGTGACTCCTCGATCGCGCCGTCTTGGGACACGACTCTAGTCGACACCTTGTAAGCGCCCCGTACGACACTTGCCGACACCGCCATGGCAGGTACCCTTACCCCGACTACGCCGACTGTCGCTTCTACTACTCAACAGATTCACCGCAGCTCTCGTCTTGGTATCAGTCATTGGCGACTCCTGATATGTCGAGACTGCCGTCGGGTTCTTGCTGTTGCAGCTGGAAAGTTCCCACGCGTTAACAAAGCTCCAGTCCGTCGTTCAGAGTCACTTGCTTATCTCTCGCGTCTACTAGCATCCCGTATCCCCAGGGCAAAGCTATTCCTCGATGCCGACGTCAGCTCCGTTGCCCTCAGCGTACGTGGCCTTGCTAATACCGGTATGCTCAGTATCTAGAGCACGCCATCGTTGGCAAGATTGTGCGACACCCCTCGCCACGTCACCATAGCCTCATCGTTGCCAATTCCGTCGAACACGCATGCAGACCTTTTTCCGCGCGACATATTGGCATTACGAGATCTTGGCGACAGCTACGTACCAGCCTATCCTTCGCGCATGTGCATCCTGGGTAACATAGCTCACCAGCTCTGGAGGCATTCCTTTCTACTTGCGCAGCTTCCTGGATATCAATATTCCGTCCTACGTCTACCACCGTGCTCATCTTGCTCGCAATCTGTAAACCTGTTCTGCTATTCGGGCCCTTCCCCTGCAACCATCTCATTGATGTGCAACCAGCGCAGACTGTACCGCATGGTGTATTACGGCGACACGCGGTACTCACACTTCAACCCTCTGCATGACTGGACCGGAGACTTGCACAAGTCAACCATTCTCTCCTTCGAGGCTTCGGGATAAGACATTGCGGCGCTTTGATTTCTCTCACAACGGGCTCTAATCGATACAGTTTACTCTCGCTTGTAGCCCTCCGTGTCTGATTATTTAGCGATGCGTCAATGGATGTACGCGGCTTGTCTTCTTCGTCCCCGGCCTGCCAATCAGCCCGATGTCAGATGAGTAAGACTGCCGAGTCGGACATGAGATAGGTGGGCGCCTCGGGGAGGTCAGTCTACGCCCACTTGATCACGAGTCCGTCCAAGGTGCATTGGCGTCGAATACATAAGTGCAATGTTTTAGGGCATTGATCAGGAGAACCCCTTCGCCTTCCGCACACGTTCTACTCTCCAACCAGAACCACCTCGCCTACATTCAACACACAGCCTTTTCTCCACGCATCATGTCCGAACAAAAAGAGCTCCGCGTCCTCTGCCTCCCCTTCCCCAACTTCGACAACCTCGATATGAATGGCCCGATCGAGGTGCTCTGCAGCGGGGGCTTCCCAGTCCCTTACAACGTCACCATCGCTGCCGCGGACGAGCACACGCGTGCGGGCCAGGGCTACAGGGTGCAGAGGGACATCACGCATGCAGAGGCGCTCGCCACAATCAGCTCCTTCGCCGTCCTCCTCGTGCCCGGCGCGTACGCCGGCTACATCATGCCGTACCTCAAGGAAGGCGAGACGCACTTCGACGGGCTGCTCGAGGTCGCGGAGGCGTTCTGCAAGCTCGGCCCGATGGAGGACGGCACGGAGCGCGTGATGCTGAGCGTGTGCACGGGCGCGCTGAAGCTCGCGTATCGGGGGCTGTTTGACGGGCTCAAGGTGACGACGCACTTTATGTCGTACGACGCGCTGCAGGAGATTCTTGCTGGGTATAAGGAGAGGAACCCGGGGACGGCGAAGGGATCGACGTTTGTGGGTCCTGTAGAGGGCAAGGAGCCGCGGGTACGGTGGGCGGATGGCGGGAGGAATGCGCACGGCGTACGGGTGATCAGCTCGGGCGGGGTGAGTTGTGGGATTGACGCGACGCTGTTTTTCGTCAGCGAGAAGTATGGGCGGGACACAGCGTTGAAGATTGCAGAGATCATGGAGTATACATGGAGGGAGAACGCTTAGACGAGAACGTATCGATGTCGATATTCTATACGATGATGTAAAACTTAGTGACGGCATGTAAAGCAGTATTTAAAGCGCAGAAACAATCATTACTCACATCACTGACTCTACTATGTGCCGTTAGATCATATCAAACCTTCTCTCCTGTTGTGTTGGCTGCGTTGCAACTAACTCGTTGAATAAATATGTACTACTACCATCCGGGCATGCTTGCTAGACACCCTCCTATTGTGCGAAGCTGTAAACCCTTTCAGAGGTTTATCGTAAGACTCGGATGTTTGTGGATATAAAAGGATGAGCCGCAACGTTTGGTGACACGTGGGGCGTGCCTCTATCTCTTTGGTTGATTTGTATAAGCTTCGTCGAGTCTATGTCATCGCTCTCGTGTGTTCTACTTTGCGTATTGTAATCAGTTTTTGAAGTAGGCGGTAGTAGTGATAGGCAGGGTATAACATTGATGTATCAAACTAAATTCAAGGTGACAACAGAAGTCCGGAAACGTAAAGTGAAGACAACCTGCACAATCGGGTATACTCGTACAGATGGGTACAGAGTCAATTCGGTAGTAAAAAGTCATTTAAACGCACTGTTTTTTTGTTATGAGTTAACAAGACAGAAAGCAGCAACAAACCTACCCCAGAGGAAGGCTCAAGGCAACAAAAGCCACTTGGCCACCAACTGCGGGAAATTAGGCGTCCCGAGACCAGTAACAGGATCCCACCCAGGAACAGCCGTAAACCCAGCAGTCCCGCACCCCTGGTTCCCCCCGCTCGTGATATCGTTGAACGCGCCCCCAAACGCGTCCGAGTAAATCGTCGGATTCACGAACCCAATCGGCTTCTTGCCCACCGCGAGCCGCGCGTCGTTCACGAGCGTGAGGATCGCGCCGACGACCGGCGAACTCGCGCTTGTCCCAAAGACGAGCGAAAACGCGCCGTCGATCGCGACGACGTAGTTGGCGCCGTTGGCGGACAGATCGGGCAGCCCGCGCGACGTGCGCGAGTTGTTGTACACCGCGCCCGAGTACGGCGGGTTGTGGTTAGCGAAGTAGCTGTCCACAGCGGCTTTCTGGTACGCGGGCAGGGCGAAGTGGTTCGAGAAGCCGCCGCCTGAGTAGATGACCTGCTCGCATGCGCCTTCGGGCTCGAGCACGGTCGAGTTCGGGTTCACCTGCGTCGCGCCGACGGAGGTGACGTACGGGCATGAGCCCGGGAAAGTGGGGTTGAAGCGCGTTCCGCTGGAGGACTGCGAGCCTGTAATGAATGAGGCAGCTCAGTTCATCGGTTGAGCTTGTGACACGAGGGATGCAGCGTACCATCGGCGTTCAAGCAAAGACCGCCGTTGCCGGCGACACCATAGTCGCCCGAAGAATAGAGCACGGTGACGCCCATCAAACCGAGCTTGGCGTACTCGGCGCACTGGCGAGCGGTGTACGCCGGCGTCAGGTCCGCTTCGTTGTATCCGTACGACGTCGAGATGACGTTTGCAGGCTTCACGGTGCCGCAGTCCTCCTTGCCGGTGTAGCCGCCCGCGTTCGGATCGGGGTAAGCGGCATCCTGAGTGGGATCGTCGCCGCCCTCAAACGAGCAATACGAGCCGTCGATGGCGTCCAGGAAGTTGTTAAAGGATGCACCTGTGTAATATTTTAGTTGGAGGATGCGCACACATCTCTACAGGGAAAGGCAACGCACCCTCGATCATGTCACCGGTTTGGTAAAGGGTGACAGGCTGCTTGGCCGTCACGAGCGACATGCCGTACTGGAGGTCGAGGTTCGACTCGCCGTTGTAGCCAAAGCCTTTGTACGTGGTTTGAACTTCACCACCGTCGATTGAAACTACCTGCGGCGAGGCACCAGCGAGATCCGAGGAAAAATTCTGAGCGAACATCTCCAGGTCGCTTTGGACGTATGCCTGAGGGGTGTACTCGACTGCAGAAGAAGTATGCGTAAGGTCAGGCGGAAGGATTGGTCACTTGCGAGTACATACCAATACCGTAGCTGTTCTTACTGGCAGCCAAAGGTGAGTATACGAGGCCGTACAGAGCACGCAGGCAAACGGGTGTGATCTGCTGATCGCAGTGCTCGAGCTCTTGGAAGAGGGTGCCGACTGTGCCGGTCGTCTTGGGATAGACGCCGTGGTTGGGCTGACCAATCGTGCGTGCGCTCCCATCGTCGGATGTATCCCGGGGTGCGATGACAGCATCAAAGTGCACGGTCGGAGTTACGAAGTCGACGTGGGGCTGGATGTGCGCGGGGAGATGGTACGAGTCGCAGGCTGGAGGCGTGCCAGTTATCAGTACGACTATTACTAGCATACAATAGAGAAGGCACGCACAAAGGGTCTTAGTACCGGACGCTTCGTGGTTGTAGACGTGATACTCGGTCTGAAGAAGCCTCTCCGCCTCCGCAACAGTTACCTTGGCCTCCACCCACCCCTTCGTCGGAGTGACGCGGATGCGCTCGCCATCGACACCGTTCTCGAGGAGCCACATGCGGACAGCAGCGACGGTATCGTCGTTCGGCGCGAATGTCTGGAGCACCTTGCCCGCGGTCCAGTGCTGGCCGTAGTTGGGCGAGTCCGGGTGGGAGATGTCCATGAGGTGCTTCTCGATGTCGGCGATGTTATTCTGGGTGAGCGCGAAGCGGAGCGGGACGACAGCGTCCGCATCGTGCTTGTCGTGCCATGCCCATCCCTCCGGAACGGCGCTGCGACGCTCATGGAGGGTGTAGGGTGAGAGAGTGGGCTCTGCGGCGACGAGGACGCCGAGGGCAAGGAGGACGAAGGGGAGAAGCGAACGCATGGTGGATGCGATGGACTCGGTGCCTTGAAGGAAGTGAAGGGAGGGAGGAGGGCGGCCCAGAGAGGGAGACGAGGCCTGAGATCGATACGAGGAGACGCGTCCATTTTATAGAATCACGGAAATGAAGAGAAGGCGACGAGGACACGGAAAGTTTGTCGAGCGCTGGGCGTGCGGAGATCGCGAATTCGTCCATGCGCATCATCGACGGACTTTGATGAGAGCAACCCGTGAATAAGTACAAGAAAGTACATATCAGGGCCTCGTTCAGACAATCAGCAAAAAGGCGCTCGGCAGGCCCAAGAAGTCCCATCCGGGTGTCCCACCTGCATCATATCAACGTTCTGCATTCTGTCAGCCAATACTACTAAGGCTATGGTGTCCTAGCAGGCTCACCTCAAAGCCTTAAGTTGTCGGAGAGGTCTGTGTGTTCCCCAAGTAGGTCACAGCATGTCTCCTAAACTTCTTTCTTGTGCTCTCCGGGTGTCGTAACCGTCGGGATGAACGAAGCAGGGACCCGGGACTTCGTGCCTGTCCCCGCGTTGAACTTTGCACGTGGTCGCGTCACCTTATCTTCATCCTTCCTTTACCGTCCAGAAGCTCTCCATGCCGCCCTCGACGGCTTTCGAAAACGCTCCTCTGATTGTGTTGGACTTCCGGTTGCAATGATGTTATCTGGTAACCTGACCGCCTCAGATCATGGTACGTGTGCGAGGGCTGCAGTATACTCACCACGGCGATTGTATGCTTGATAGCATCATGCACAGTCCTCCCTAAATCATGGCTCCGGGCCTGACAAGCCCACCTGATACAAGCCAAACTCATGGAGCGGCACGTCGAAGCTGGACACCAATCTCGGGGACCGGCTCAGAGCAGTTGCAAAATAACACAAGCTCGAGGGGTCTCTCATTAACGGCATCCTGGGCCTTGGCCTCGATCGAGGATTACGAGCCTATGAAGTCCATGATAATCTGCAGCCTGGGGTCCTTTGTAGTAATTCGCTATTGGCATATCCCATACACAATCATTGTGAAACCCAAGTGTCTAGGACTCTGGTCTGAGTACAACGTGGTCTCAAGCTACTGGTGAACACTAAGGTAAGGGGGATAGTGTTTGAGACCACATACAGTGAATTAGTCAGTCGAGATTCTGATTTCTTACCGGTGGTGGATTCGAAGAGGAGATATGGTGATTCGGGAGCAGGTAGCGCTCCATCCTCGTGCCAAATGCTCGTCGGAATCATGAAGTAAATCCCATTGGGAGAGAAAGTATGGATAAGCTATCCAAAGCTACCTTCTGGACAATGGTCCTGCAGAGTGGTTTGAGTGACGAACAGGAAGCATGGGAGACTTTTGAGTAAGAGTGGACCATCGTTTGCCGACATGGCGCAATTCTACTCCCTCTGCCACCCCGCCGCAACGCTTATCGGCGAGTCGCGTGCGCGTTATCGAAGACTCCCAGCACTGGAAAAGGAAGGCTCTCGCGATGCTATGTTTTCGCTTGGAAGGCTCGGACAGCATGTTAATGTGAAGAGGCATTGACAGCTGCTGTAGGGTCCGTCGTGGCAGCAAGTACTGGATGGTTGGGCGACGAAAGAGGAGCACTCAGCCGAGGAGAGGAGTCAGTTCTGACGTAAGTGTGACACCGCCACTTCCCAAACAGGACCAAACGTGGCCGCGTCACAGTTATCTGGCTGGCGGCCCCGCAGTCGTCTTTCCAACCGACCACTACCTTCGTCCCCACAGTCATGACTACACTCCTTAGCTGGTCGTTGTTGGCCGTGTCGTTCGCGACGTCGGGTCTGTCCACCCCACTCTCCACCTCATCCAACTATGCCTCCTCGAGACGGCCCTCTTTCCAGCCAGCACCCCTTCATGCGTTCGAGCACCCCCACGGGTCGGTGAACAACTCATACATTGTTGTCCTCCGCGACGATGTCCCGGAGCAGCTCGTTCAGAACCACATGAATTTCCTCCAGCTTGCTCACGAGTCCAACTCGTTCCTGGGTAACAGCAACGCAGGCGGTATCAAGCATGTCTACGACGGCCTCCTCAAGGGATACGCCGGCGAGTTCGCCGACGGTGTTATCGACCAGGTCCGCATGATGCCCGAGGTTGACTACATTGAGCTCGACCAGCTCGTCCACACCATGGACATTGACACGCAGAAGATGGCGCCATGGGTCAGTTTGTTTTCAATTCCGCCCAAGGCAGTCCGAGCCCCCGCTAACTCCGTTGTTCAATTTTCAGGGTCTTGCTCGCATTAGCCACCGCCCCAGGCTTGGCTTCTCGACCTTCACCAGGTACGAGTATGACAACGACGGCGGTGAGGGCGTCGAAGTCTACGTCATCGACACCGGCATCAACGTTGAGCACGTCGAGTTCGAGGGTCGTGCTTCTTGGGGCAAGACCATCCCCACCAACGACGTTGATGAGGATGGCAACGGGCACGGCTCCCACTGTGCCGGAACCATCGCCTCCGCTCGCTACGGTGTCGCTAAGAAGGCCAATGTTACCGCTGTGAAGGTTCTCGGTTCCAACGGCTCGGGCTCCATGTCGGACGTCCTATCAGGTGTTCAGTGGGCTGCCATCGACGCCCAGCAGAAGAAGGCTCAGGCTGATGCCGAGCTTGCTGCTACTGGTCGCACTCGCCGCAAGGGTTCCGTCGCTAACATGTCTCTCGGTGGTGGCAAATCGCCTTCACTGGACACCGCTGTTGACCGTGCTGTCCAATCTGGTCTTCACTTCGCTGTGGCTGCTGGTTCGTCCTTTCCGTCTTACTTATGATTTACCAATGGCTCATTGTACTCTAGGCAACGACAACAAGGACGCTTGCAACTACTCTCCTGCCGCATCGAAGGAGGCTGTCACCGTCGGTGCTTCCACCCTCGGTGATGAGCGTGCTTATTTCTCTAACTGGGGTAAATGTGTTGACGTTTTCGCTCCTGGTACGTCATGTTTTTTCGAGCGGAGGTTTACGTTACTGAGCATGATTTTAGGCTTGAACATTCTGTCGACTTACACTGGTGGCCCCACCAAGACCGCCACTCTGTCTGGCACTTCCATGGCTTCGCCTCACGTTGCTGGTCTCCTCGCGTACCTCCTCTCCATCTACCCCTCGGAGACTTTCAGCCCCGAGATCAAGAAGCTCGTCCCCGACGCCATGGACTTCGAGCGCTCGTACACGTCCTTCTATTCGCTTGCCCACGTCGCTCTCCCCGGCTGGATGACGCAGTACCTGCCGTCGCCTCAGTTCCTTGAGGCCGTCGCCCCCATCCCGGCACCCGCCATCACCCCCGCTCAGCTGAAGGAGGCGCTCATCGAGCTCTCGTCGCGGGGTCTGCTCACGGACCTGCCTTCGGACACGGTCAACCTGCTTGTGTTCAACAACGCGACGTCAACATAAGCGCGCGAGGACTGCTTTCTTACCATAATTGCATATCGTACAGATGTTTCTATACCAGTCTGGTATTAGTACAGCTCATGTAACGACCTCTTAGTTTTATACTGTCTTGCACGATTTGCATATGCAGATGTACCATAGTTACGCATCAATATTACGCATTCAAGTTTACTCGGCTGTTTTGTGCGAGACGAAGGGAATGTTGGGTTTGCGCGACTAGGTACTGACTTTGCAAGATTTTAATCACTCATTGTGGAACGTCGTTGCCATTTACACCTGATTCTTGTCTGCCCAGAGACTCTTAGGTATGTAAAAGAATCCCTCGTCCAACATCAAAGAGCGGTTACGACTTCCCTTGGAACCGCAAACCCTCTATCTGTGACGGTGGGCCATTGGCCATGCTCGGGACTCAGATCCAGAATCAGCAGTACTCTGGGCCCTTTGGCCCCACTCCCCGCGGCTCGCCGTAGCACCACGTCGTGTAGTCCCAGTCCGAGAGTGTTCCGATCTGCCCTTTTGCGTCCCAGAGGCAGGTGTGCGGACCGACGTCGCCGTGGAGCCAGCCGTTCATGCGCATGGCGTTTAGGCCTGGGGTGGGTGTGTGGTCGGATGGCGGTGGATTGAGCGTCAGTATTGGGTAGGGTTAGATGGTGGGAAAAGGTGAGTGGGGAACTTGAAGGCGACTCAGATGGGGTGAAGGAGGGAAGAAGTGAACGGGGGATTGGCAGCAAGCGTACCTTGGGTGACGTCCAGCATGACGCGGAGGGCGCTGGGCCAGTCGCGGAGCTCGGGCACGCTCTCGCGCGCGGGGTTTAGGACGACGCGTCTGTGTGTCCTGGTTCCGGAGCTGGAGCTGGTACTGGTTGGCGATGGTGGTCCGGGTGAGGGTGGTGCGTCTAATAGGACGCGTCTGTAGGTCGTGATGCTGCTTGCGTCTAACTCGTCCCTAGCATAGAGCTCGGGCGATGGAGTATGCGTCTCGTCAAAATCCATGCTCGGGCTGGAGGGAAGGTCATCCTTGGACACCAACACAGGCTCTTTCTGCAATCTGAAGAATGTGCGCTCTGGGTCGGGGCGAGGAGGGCAGCTGCACCACTGGTCGTAGTTGATGGTATCGAACCGTCCGTCTGACACGAGATCGTAGTCCGTGAGATAGAGGTCTTCGATTAGGTGGTGGGGGTCTATGAGGTTTAGGCGCATTCGTGGCAGCTGGACCCGCTAGTGTTCTAAGATGAGAGAGAATCGACGATGGTGCACTGGTAAGTAACAGGACTGAAGACGTTCCCCGCGACGCGTGGGTTAGGGGTTGGATATATCTCGTGTGCGGAAAACCCTCGGGGAAATTAAAATAACTTGTCTCACCAAAACCTTACCCAATTTCTGAGGTTCGGTTGGTAAATGACATTTATGAACGCATCAGAGATCCGAAAGCACACGTAGGTCAGCGCATTAGGAGAGAATGCAGCATTGTTGTTACAAATGGTCCAATATTACATGTTCTGAAAGGGGTGGTACGAGACTAGCAGCGCATTACTATGTCCAGCAGTTCCCTGCCCCAGCTCGCCCCCATGGTGTAGTGTACGATGCCCGACATTGGTCCGGTGTCCTTCCCCAGACGATTCATTGGTGAACGAGGAGCGGTCAATAACACCATGTCGGACATATCCCGGCCCGAACACTTCGGTCACCTCGGGCGTATGATGGTTGGCTGATTGCGGGGCGGGCGACTGCACCAGCTGAGCGCCCGATTTAGCGTCCGGTTTTTTCAAACGAGCACTGGCTCCGAAAGGGTTGATATAATGCGCAGGCGTCGACATGGAGTTCATAGACGATGATCTCGAGCTTTCGTTGAGGTCGTCCCATAGCGCGTCGTTGTCCCGTGTTCCCAATACCCGTGCGTTGAGAGAGGAGAGAATGCATATTGCATAGCTTTGTTTACGACGAGGATCGATGTATCAGCTTCACTTGCGACACCATAATGGAAGTAAGCTTACATTTTGGACGTCAGGTAGAAACTTTATCGGAGTGGGATTATATGAGTAAAGTATGAAGATGAAGATGAAGATGTTTAAGCATACACTGCAAGATGATATAGCGTCTGTCGAGCAGCGATACCGAGGGCCAGCTCAAGAACGGTCAGTGGAACGGTTATTAACCCACTCTCGACTGTCACTTTCAAGACACGTGTTGAGATGGTCATGGTCCTCTGAAATGAAAGCTGTGGGCACTATCAATTCAAGCACCCATACTAGAGAGCAGCAAAATGAGCAGTACGCACGCAGGATAGCATGAAGCCAGAAATCAGCGTGTTGCTGATCAAGGCGGCTACAAAAGCTACCTGATAGTCTATGAGAAGACGCGATGCTTAAACCATTCAAAGGACTCACAGGGATGTAAAACGGGATTCTCGAGTCGGCGTTGGGATCCGCCGACAGACCCTGCTATACTCCGATTCTAACGTGAGGATAACAATTCGGACAGCATAACTCTGTACATACCAATACCCCACCGTAAGACATAGTGACAAGGTGTACAGTTGAGAACTAAATCTGATTAGTAGACAAAGGAGAATGACTGAAAAAGACATACCGCCATGATAGTTGCTGGTATGACCGCTGTTCTCCGGAGAACCCATATTCTCCAAGAGAAGAAAGCGTGCATGGCGAAACTGCCTACCGATCCGTCATTATCAGCTGCTTCCTTGAAAACAATGAACATAGCTCACAAATTCCCGTGAGGGGTGCGAGAGCCTTGAAAGACCACAAGGGGTCGGGTACTGCTATGTCAGAAGACACTTGAATGTTCCCGTCGCCGGTGACAGCCGCAGACAGATACGACCCGAAAACCTTCACACCAATCCAGAAGCCGTGAAATATGAAAGCAGTGATGAGCGTTTCGAGGATGGTTATCGTTGTGACTAGAGGGGGCAAGGCGGAGGTGGATTGTCAAAACATGCTTCTTCAAGAGAACAGGATATATACCCAGATACTTGGCCCATTTGTAGTCTCCGTGAGCTCGTAGTGAGAATGTGACTGGATACAACGTTAGCTAGCTACCATGATCCAGAATTTGCGACATCGTACACACTTGGACGAGAAAAACACCCATGAAACCGAAGGAGAGCGCGTATCCTATGACCTAGTTATGTCGTGCGTATTAAGAGGACACTCAGAAGGATGGCGTCAAGGTTATGACACTGACGAACGGTGCCTCACTATGCGAGTAGTTAAACTGGTGTAGATGTGTACGCATGTATAAGGACGTGCACTCACTCTTCAATTTGCGTAGCCCTTCATCCTACCGTTTAGCGTCGTAAATTTGCAAGGAAACAGGCCACTCACTGACTATATCCTGATGAGTTGTACATTGGAGAAAGATCAGTGAGAGGGTGAAATGAGGGATAAGATCGAAAGCAGGAAATCAGTTCCTAGTGAATCGCTGCGCCTGCAATTCATAAACGGCACCAGCACACACAATGAGAGCATCCCGCTCCTCGGCCATCATTAAGAGCACATGCACCCGCGTTGTTGTCGCACGAGTTCGTGTGTATGGGATGCATCGTGTTACCGAGCCCAAGAATAGGTGAGCGCTTCAAGTTGCCACGCAAAAAGCTGAGCTGCGTCGGTGCCGGAAGCTTCAAAAACTCTCGAAATAAGCACATCTGCATCACAATCATACGACTTCCTCGTTCGAACGATCGAATACGAGGCGTTTTGAGGTAGTTAGTATGCAGGATGGGCAAGGTACCTGTATGTTGCATCTTGAACGCTTTCACACGGAGTTATCGAGCAGCAGTACACGGCGATGCAGAGCCACTCTGACGCTATACACGCAAGCAATTGTTGTCCTGGTGTGAGAAGTGGTCATGGTCACCCTAGCACTCGTCTGTCACGATAGCCATGATGAAGAGGACTGACCCTGGGAAGAGTCACATCAACTAAAGGCCTGGATGAGTGGCAGAGCTCGCACTGAATTCGCCAGGGTAACCAATGGTGCATTTTGTATCCGAGTCTTGATGATGTGGGATAAGGAGAGGACTACCCAGGATGTCCAGGTTGTGGGATCATGATCGCACTGCGAGGGCCGTGAAGCGCTCAATCTCTATTGGAGGATGCAGAGCTTGAGACAAAAAGGTTCCTGGATATGGATGTCCGAAGGAACCAGGCCTTCTGTCATTTCTCCCCAGAGACAAGTTAAGGCTTTTTGGCTGTAGATCGTCGTTTGGGGCTGTGTTCACTGGACGCGCGTCCTGATATAGATATCTTACAGATGTATCACCTCGCCAAGTGGGTCTAAATTTTAATATAGCTTTCTGCTTGCTGAACGTGAACGTCCGGATGGTCGGTAGAGACTCAACTTGTCTACGCAACGTTTGACGACTACGTTTTCAGGTCCTCATCGACAGCCCATGGGTCCTCGATCATCTGGCAATCCTCTTCCCGGCGGTGGTGCAGACAGTGCGCACAGCCCCCGCTCGGATGAAATACTCTTTTCAGACCTATATAAGCTTAATCAATCAGGCGAGGTTTAGACGCGAAGACCGTCAAAGAGCATCAAGATGGAAGATAATGGTGTTACGGTAAGTCGCGATCCTCCTTGCCTGTCGTCGTTTGAATCATCACCCAGCGCCCCTAGACTCTTGCGCCCGCGCTCCGGCTCCCTCCCGAGCTGACCGCGGCCATCATCTCATTCAGACCTAACTCATCGTCCTTGCTTCAGCTTGGGCATGTTTGGAGCACATGACGATATGCGCTTCACTCGACACCTTCACTTTGGACACACCTCGCCATCAAGCTTCCGTCTCTAAAAGACGACGACTGGACGGACACCATCAATAACATCATCTCGCTTCTGGAGCTATGGATCCAGAACTCTGGTCAACTCACCATATCCTTCACACTGCACGAGGAGGGAATTTGTGCCCATGATCCCTTGTGTCACCTTATCTATGCTCTACGGCAGTATTCGGCGAAGTGGAGCATCCTCAAGTTAGTCGTTTGCAAGTCGACGTATGATAGCTTTCGGAGATATCTGTTCGGGAATAGTCTAAACTCCCTTAAGCAGCTCGTGGTTGACATTACGAACGAGGAGTCGCCATCCTACGAATCCTCTGATTTTGCGGATCACCTCGCGTTCACGCCTCACCTAACCTCTCTTGCGCTGGACAACACCTACGCGGATGAGAAATACGTACTTCCTCTGACTTGGGCGCAGATGACAGAGCTTTCCCTCAACCTCAACCTCCGCGTCCTACCGTGACGTTCGCTCGTCCACTTGGGTTACGACTCTAAGCTGATCACGGATGTGCTCTCCCAAACGACGAACCTGGTTACGCTCAGCCTGGGCTTGTTGGAAGATTTCGACCACAGTTTCGGAGTCGTCCCCAGCCCTCGTCAGATTGTCCTCCCGCATCTCACGACCCTCCGCCTCCGTCACACTTGCTTCCGCTCACAGCTCCACGATTATTTCGACCAGCTGACGCTGCCGCGGCTCGCGACGCTCGAGATCGACTCTGTCGCGCGGTTCAAATACAGCCAGGGCGAGCTGGGTGCTGAAAGGTTTTGTGCCCTGATTGAGCGCTCGGGGTGTAGCGTGCAGACGGTCAGCGTCCGCGACGTCAGTACCGAGGGAGGTGCGCTCGTCTCGCTTCTGGAGTATTGTCCAGAGCTGCACGAGCTGGCGTTCTTCCCCTCGCGGAACAACATCTCGAAAACATCGTCGTTGGAGAGTCTCCTGTTGTGGCTCACTCCGGATGGTGATGATGAGTTGGATGCTTTGCAGCTTCCCCGACTACGAAACATAGGACTAGGCTTGACATACCGTGACGCGTCATTTGATGATATCGTCGGTATGGTCGAGGGGCGTGCCGCCGCAGGCCTGAGGAAGTTTGAGCTGACGTTGGAATATCTTCCGCTCGTAGATCCCGGTCGAGAGAAGAGGGCCAAGAACCTGGAGGAAAGGTTGGTGGAACTCGGTGAATACAGCAGGAGCTCGTTTGAAGGGAAGGTGGAGGTCGTTACTGTTTACCAGCCAGTGTACATCGCGCTTTAGTAGACGCACATATTGCGAGTAAAATTGCTCGGTATAGCGATTCTTCGTAGCGCCAACTATTTGTGCTGAAGACCTTGTCCTGTACCTGGGGACAGACATAACGTTATTGATTCCGCTGGGATAGTACGAAGGTCGTTTTAGTTGAGGTACGAAACGGTCTTAAGTACCTCATTTTGAGTACGACTTTCTTTGAAAACCGGACACTTTCGAGATAAAACGTTGCTGTATCTTGCTCTTACTAGCTGATATACTCTTCCAACGATTGGCTAATAGAGACAGCATCAAAACATGTTCAGGTATCTATGATATCTATGGCTGAGTCGGGGGGATACTCCAGAAGTCTATAGCCATTAGATCGAGTGGGTAGTTAATCGATTATGTCGCGCACGACCGTATTAATCAGTAGCGGGATTAGCAAATTAGGCATCGGTAACGCATCCGTGGCTTGCGTCTAGCACATTCTTAGTGTATTTGTAGAGCGTACCCTGCCGAACCTTCAAAGGCGGTGCTTTCCACGACTGTCGGCGACTTTCCATCTCCTGCTCCGAGACGTGCAACTCGATGGTGTTCTTGACAGCGTCTACGGAGATGATATCGCCATCTTGAACCAGAGCAATCGGACCGCCAACCTGAGCTTCTGGCACGACATGGCCGATGCAGAATCCATGAGACCTATATGTTTATCAGCATAAGCGGACAAGCTCGGGTAGCGTTTGAAACATAGAAGTCCTCACCCTCCGCTGAATCGGCCATCGGTCAGACATGCAACGTCGTGACCCAGGCCGGCTCCCATGATCAGACTCGTGGGTTTGAGCATTTCGGGCATGCCTGCAGCAAGCGTTCAGAGCAGTGCTTTGCGAACATACGTCACGAAAATTGCGGCTTACCTGGTCCACCCTTGGGTCCGAGGTATCGTAGAACGACAACGGTCTTCTCGCCTTTCCTTATCGACCCACTTTCGACTGCCTTTACAAATTCCTCTTCGGAGTCAAACGTACGCGCCTTGCCGGTGAAACCCAGCCCTTCCTTGCCCGTAATCTTCGCGACCGCACCTCCGGGGGCAAGGTTACCCTTGAGAATGCTTGAAGATAGTGGACCACCGTGAGACGTCCCGCGAAATTATGAGTGAACCAGATATGACCCACCGAAGATGACCAGTCTCCTTCATAGGCCTGTTCAATGGGCGAATGACGTCCTGAGTGGGCGAGAGCTCGCCGTGTTTGTGTACCCAGCGTTCAAGGTTCTCGCCAAGCGTGGCGCCGGTTACAGTCAGGGTGTTCCCGTTGATGATGTTGTTCTTCATGAGGAAGTGCAACACCGCTGTTGAATATTTTATCAACAAAAAAAACGTTAGTGTAAGGGAGAAATCGGCGTACTGGGTATGCCGCCGATGTTGAAGACGTCAACGAACACGTACTTGCCACTCGGTTTGAGGTCAGCGAGGACCGGCGTCTCCTCAGAGATACGAGAAAAGTCGTCGATGGTCAGCTCAACGCCGACGGAATGCGCGACGGCGATCAAGTGGAGGACGGCATTTGTTGAGCCTCCGAGGATGATGACAAGCCGCATGGCGTTTTCAAACGCCTCTTTCGTCATGATGTCCCGCGGAAGAATGTTCTTTTCGAGCAGCTTACGCATGGCAGCGCCGACGGACTTGCACTCGTCGTGCTTTTCTTGCGACTCTGCAGGGTAAGAGGACGAGCCGGGAAGCGTCATACCAAGTGCTTCTGCAGCACTTGCCATTGTGTTGGCGGTATACATCTGGAACACAGTGAGCTCGCGAAACCGGCGGGTAAGGATACACGTACGCCGCCACAGGCGCCAGGGCCGGGACATGCATGCCGAACGGTAGCATATCGCTCTGCTTCAGCCTCTGCGGTCCGACCGTCCTGGAGATACTTGCCATACGACTGGAAGGCACTAACGAGGTCAAGTCTGTCGTTACCCCCGCACGAGCCAGGGCGAATTGTGCCACCGTAGACCATAAGACCGGGTCGATTAAGACGACCGACTACATTGCGAAGTATGAGTTCTATTACAACGCAATCAAATTCCACGACTTACGCGCCATGAGAACGCCCGGCATGTTCTTGTCGCATCCTGGAACGGTGACCATTCCGTCCAGCCAATGACCGCCAGCAGCAGTCTCAACCTGATCCGCTATGAGGTCGCGGGATTGCAAGGAATAAGACATGCCCCGCGTGCCCATGCTAATGCCGTCGCTGACGCCGACAACACCAAACTGGTAGCCAATCAAGTCTGTCTCATAGAGGGACTTTTTGATGTCCTGGCCAATGCCGAGGAGGTGACGGTTGCACCTGTATATCTGATGAGTTCATGCAAAGAGAAATGTCAAAAACACGCGTCGAACGCGCGATACATACGGGTTTCCCTCATACCTAGCAAATAAAAGTCAGAAGGCGGTTGGGACACGTGAATTTGAGCTCACCAAATGCTGGCTACCCCAACCATGGCCTTCTGGAAGTCCTGGTCATCCTTAATCCCTTCCGTCGCATACAGCATAGCCTAACACGGCGCGAAAACAGTTTGAATGCACACCACATTCAATGCTACACGAAAGCTTACCTGACTGGCCCCCTGGTCCTTGGGTTGAGTGACGGTCCGGCTGTATCGGTTCATCACAGGCTTGGAGTCCGCGAAAGCGGGTGCAGACGTGCGCATACATCGCACGCTGCATGGTAGCGTGTTTCGGGCGCGCCTTGAAGTGAGGATGCGCGACTGCATGTTTTTGTGGACCAGATGAGTGCAAAAAGCAAAGGACTCGAGTCTGTCCCTCGTCGGAATTATTGAATCGAGTCATAGGTCCGAAATTGCCGAACGGACGTTGAACGGGCGTCTAAAGAGAAGCGTGCCTATCGCGGAGCTCGGCTCGAGCCGAGGCGCAACAGAATAATGAACCGCCTCGAGGTCGCCGCTCTCGAGGCAACTTATACTTAGTCCTCTCCATTTTTCTCTCTTCTCATCCCGCAGCTCGAGCGCGTGTCTGAGGCAATGAGTAGTAGCCCACCCCATGAGGATTCTCGCAAACTCACGCGCCGTTCCACGGTGCTCTCCACGTCCTCTTCGCTCTCATCCCTCCGAGAGGCTATGGCAAGCACCAGCGAGCAAACGCGTCTTTTGAGCCGCAGAGAAGCTTTGAATGTTGGCGGATCAAGCTACGGTACTGGACAGCATGAAGGTGGGGACTCTGGTGCGTTTCAAGTTGAGCGTACACACTCGCGGTCCTCACTGTCGTCTGCTCGTGCCAGATCCTGAAGCGCAGAAGCGGGACGACGTGCAGAAGTGGACGCGTCGGGTGTTATACTACATCCCTTCCACGGCATGGATACCCAACTATTCTTTCTCTTTGTAAGTTCTCTGTCGGTGAAGTCCTCAACATCGGTGGCCTTACCTTCGGTAGGCTGGGCGGGGACCTTATGGCAGGGGCGACGATGGCTGCCATGATTATACCCGGTTCAATCAGTTATGGTATATCTCTTGCAAAGTTGGGTCCTACAGCGGGTCTGGTAAGTGTCTTCTTTATTGCTGCTTGTTCGGTTACAGGAGCTTGATCCTTTCACGTCTTAGTTCGCCGCTTCGATACCTCCCCTGGTATACAGTTTACTTGGAACGTCGCGTCAAGTCCTCATATCACCCGAAGCTGCCCTCAGCTTGCTCGTTGGGCAGGCTGTCTCCGAAGCGAAGATCATTTATCCCAACTTCCCAGACCAGGCCGCCCTCGGCATCGCAGTTGCGACTGCTATCACCTTCCAAGTATGTTGTAACTATATGCGCATTTAATCAACCTAATGTATACTTTCAGGTAGGCTTGTTCTCCTTCGTTCTAGGCTTCTTCCGACTGGGCTTTCTTGACGTGGTACTGAGTCGCGCCCTGATGCGAGGGTTTCTGAGTGCTATTGCAGTGGTCATTACAGTGTACGTTGGCTTTCCCTCTCCTTCGAGCTTCGTTCCCTCATGAAGACTCAGCGAGCAATTCATCCCAATGTTCGGTCTGGTGCCTCTTGAACAGGAGCTCAATCCGCCGGGTACGCTCGACAAAATTGTATTCTTCGTCACGTATGTCTGGGACAACGCGCACAAACCCACAATGGCTGTCAGCTTCGGAACCCTGGCCGTTCTCGTCGTATTGAGGGCGATTAAAGGGCACGCTGCAAAGACCAAGCTCGACTTCATCACTCGCCTACCCGAAGTTCTTGTTGTGGTCGTTCTGTCTACTTGTATGTTTTGATGCTAGTCTTTCACGACCTCATAACTAAACTGATCGCGCAGATTTATCCGCAAAATATCGCTGGGACGAACTCGGTGTTGAAATTTTAGGCGCAGTGCCTATCCGCACTGGTGGCAACTTCTTCCAGTTCCCTTTCCAGAGCACGTCCCGCCGTGTCCTGACGGGCACCACCTCCACTGCGATGTATGCGTTGTACATCCCATCTTCATCCTCCCCTACTGATTAGTGGCTCTAGCTTAATCACCATCATCGGCTTCCTCGACAGTATCATCGCCGCAAAGGCTATGGGTGAAAAGTATGTTCATCCGATCAGCCCTAACCGCGAGCTCGTGGCGCTTGGTGCATCGAACCTGGCGGGGTCCTTCGTCCCGGGCACACTTCCCGCGTTCGGTTCGATCGTACGTTCCCGTATCAACGGCGAGTGCGGCGCTCGCACACCGATGGCGTCCGCCTTCTGTGCTGTCGTGATTCTGCTTGCGACGTTCTACCTCCTGCCGTGGCTGTACTTCCTGCCAAAGTGTGTCTTAGCTGCCATGTGAGTATAATCTAACCATATAGCCTGGACATTCGTAGCTAATGACGAGTATCCTAGTATTTGTGTCTTCATCACGTCCCTCTTCACAGAGATTCCCGGTGAACTGAAGTTCTACTGGAAGTAAGTCCACTCCACTTGACCTTCTAATACACATCCTGACCTATGTCCAGCATTCGCGCGTGGACTGACCTCGGCATGCTGTTCCTTACGTTCTTCCTTTCTGTCATCTGGGACGTCGAGATCGGTATCGTCGTCAGCTTAGTCATCTCGCTCCTGCTGGTCGTCAACCGTTCGTCCAAGACCCGTCTGACGATTCTGGTAAGCCACTCCGGTGTATGTCAGCACAAGCTCAACACTGATGGGAGCGGATCATACACAGGGTCGCATTCCCGGAACCGATCAGTGGCAAGCCATATCTGACAACCCGGAAGCTGAAGATTTACCAGGCATCCTAATCGTCCGCATCAAAGAAAGTTTGGACTTCGGTGCGTCTCCATCCTCGCGTTGTTGCAACAAAGCTGACAAATTGCGGGCAGCAAACACTGCTCAGCTTAAGGAGCGCCTCCGTCGCATTGAAAGCTACGGTATCGCCAGGACACATCCATCCGAAGAACCAACCCGCCCGCCTGCGAGCGCTCTGGTGTTCCACATGGGCGATGTAGAGACAATCGATGCATCGTAAGCATTCTTGGCCCGAATTCACCGACCGGCCGGAGCTGACACGTTAGGCAGAGCGATTCAAACCTTCCAAGAGCTTCTTGAGACGTACCAGACCCGTGGTCTTGGATTATACATCGCGCACCTCCGTCCCGAGCCGCGTGAGCTGTTCGAAAAGGCGGGCATTTATAAGCTGCTCGGGCCTGCGGCATTCTACGAAACCGTGGGCGAAGCCATGGCCGCTCTGGAGAACGAGCGCCCATGGGCGCATGTTATGTGAGGTCTCGCGCGTACGCCTCAGGACCGAAAGGAACGCCTTTTCATGACCTCACGACTCTGAACGATCACGCGGACGTCATTTTACCCTCATTGCATTCACGGATTCTTGTAGCATAGTGATCGCTTTCTTGTAGACATTGTTTGGGACGACTTTCGGTGGGATTTCTTGTGTTTGTATATACTACCACACGCATTGTTCACAGTAATATCAACACTGGGGCATTCCCTCCGCGACCAGTTTTAATATTTTGCTATGCCCCATATCAATATCAATGGTACTAAGGCTGTCGTGGTGGCTCACTTTGCACACTTTCAAAACGGCGCAGATTACAGATCCTTCCGACGTCCTGTGTCTGCACTATTGGCAAACTCGATATTTCTGCAGCTGTCTTGTCGCAGTGCACCCTGTGATATACTGCTGCCGTCCTGTTCCTAGCCTAAATATCGGCAGGAAATTGTTTATTTTCCTGACCCTTTTCCGACTGACTTTTGGGTCCAGGGATATCGTGTTTTGTTTGGTTGTGTTGACCGTCGCGGGCCCGATGAGTCAGAGTCGATGAGTGGGCACGCCCAAACTCTGCCACGTGGAATAGAAGATTCAGACTCATGATCAGGTCCGCGATGCAAAACCCAAAATGGATGGCGGCATGGTTTGCGACATGCCTCTGTCCAGGTTGTCGGTGTACAGGACACATTCATGTGAGTTAGCCCCTCGGCGTCCACAGACGTCCCTATTATAGTACATGTGAGAGCGAGCGGCGAGCCCCGAAGAAGTGGTCAACAAACAAAGCCTCTTCCCAACACGGCGGAATTCTCTGCTCGACGAAGATGCATATTATCTGAAGGTTCTAGGATGTCACAGGCACCCGCTAGGTTGGCTCCGAGTCATAGCTTGGACCACAGTGTTAGTACACTGTATGTCCTCACCGGTAAAAGAAGTTGATATTTTGCGCGACCATCCAAACCGCGGCAATATCATCAAGTTCGGCGTTAGCATCGGCAGCGGCTGCATGGGTACGGCACTATTGCCAGCACCGCGATACTAATATATCAAGCTATGGCTGCAACGTGGCCAGTGGGCCGATCACCTCAATCCGACCGTCAAACTAGCGATGCTCTCCTCGGTTCTCATGGGCAGCGCACGGACCACCAGAACATTGGGCAGAGTTCTCCGGAGTCCTTCAAAGCAAGCCACCAGCTGGCCAGCCCCGATTAGCTTACAATGACAGGCTCCAGAAACGGACTCCACAACAAACAACCTCTGAATCTTCGTAAGGTGTCTTTTAGTTCTGGTGTGGGTATACCGTAGTCATGTGGGCTACCAACGTACTTAGGTTGTTCGTTGACCTTCCTTCAAACTCTAGCCTGCATCATCTCCGTCTCCAACTAAATGCTTCGCCGCCATGCCTGCTCCGATATCTACTAGAGCCCTGAGATCCCTGAGCGGGTCACTTCGACCATCCACTGTGGCGCCATTCTGAAGCGCGGAAGCTGGATGGGTAACTACGTCGTGGTCGACTATGTGTGCACCGGTGCGAAACATACTACACACTCGCTCCCACTAGCATAATACTCTTTATAATGCTATAGTGCATTCGCATACTTCATCGTTAATGCAAATTGTGCTCTAGTGTGACTTATATATGGCGAAGTCGGGAATGTAACGTAAATCTAATAATTCGAGTGCATGCCGTTAGTGCGGACGCTGTATAGTATGGTCGTCTGAACAAGCTGAGAAGTGCGTCGGTAAAATCGGAAAAGGCCTCGGAATGGCATGGTAAGAGAGATGATTGCAGGGAGGTATCGGTAACCTAAGGCTAGCTTTGCTGATCGGGGACAACCTGAGCCAGCTCTATCGACGGCGGTTTTACGGGAACTGATCTTGCCAAGGGTGTTCAGCGACGTTACCCACGGGAAGGTCCCAAATTTAGTGCGAGACTCACGCGATTTACTTTTGCCTGCCCAGCACTGTCTCCACTCAACCCCAAAGTGTGATATGTGCCGTGGCCTCAGTGCTGTGTGTCGCCATCTCCCTCGCATTCTTCATAGTCTTTCACCTCGCCCTCGTCCGTATCGTCTTCAACGCCTGCACTTTCATACTGCGTCGCATGCATGTCATCCTTGGTATTAGGGTGGGGTCCGAGCCGTGACGGGCCCGCCACGTTGCTGGCTGGTGCCCGCGGTGGTCTCCCCTGACGCATCTGAGTGGGAACCGACGTTCTGTTCCCCAATCCCAAGTCCGAGCGCGATGCCTTGTTTTGGATCCAATCGAAGCTGGTGGGATTGGAGGGCCCGGGGGAGGCGGATGAGTGTACGTCATACGAAACAACAGGCTTGTCGAAGCTGACGGAGAACTCTTCATCGCGCGTGTCCGGCACGATGCCATGCATGCGAAGGTGTCGGGTCAGATTCGAACGAACTGCGAAATCCTTGCCACACCCGGGATGGTCGCACTTGAACGCTGTCAAGAGGTGTCAGATAAAGCGCAAGGCATCATGGGCTCTGGCGGAACAGAGAAATGCGCTGATCCCGCAAGGTGTTCTCCGAGGGACAGGATAACAATTGGTTACTCACGTTTATCACCAGTGTGGGTCTTTATGTGCGCTGCGAGACTGCTAGGACGGTCGAATGTCTTAGGGCAGTACAAGCATTCATGTTGCCTCCTCCTCTCCTTCTTGTTTCGTCGCCCCTTACCCTTATCTCCTTCTGATCTGAGTGTTTGGTCCTGGCCTCCTTCCGCACTCAAAGAGGTCTTGTATCTTGAGCTATTCCGCCTGACGGAAGCCTCGAGATATTCGTCAGAGCTCCTTAGGCCACCTGAGGTCTCGCCAATATCGCTACGCGATGTTTCTCTGGGTTCAGATGGAGATGTACTACCATCTGGCAAACGCTCAGGTGACCATTCGGGCGCATTCGTGAGAGGCTGCGGCCAGTTCGTCTCCGCGGAGCTGGATAGTGTCATAGATGAGGGCAGTCCGAGAGCACTTGGTGGCATCGTATGCTCGGATAAGTAGGAATCTAAGTTCAGTGCAAGCCGTTGCTGACTCTGCTGCCATGTTTGCTGCTGGTCAAACTCTGCACTCCCGGGAAACATCAAAGTCCCCAGAGGGATATCCTGTGGTTGCCGCGTCAGGGAAGGCAAGGGCAGGTTGATTCCAAGAGGCGGTTGAACACTACCTTGGAGGAAACGATTATTAGTAGTTAGACGCATGCATAATAGAATGCGATGGATATCTCTCCAGGGCATGATTGAATAGATGGCTCGCACCACTGTGTATCATGAACCGGATGCTGGTAAACATCCAATATTGAACCCGATCGCAAATGCTCTCTTGCGTCGTAGACATTGAACAAGTGGCTATCGTGAGGTGATGAACTAAAAGGTCCGACAGAAGACTCCTGAGCATTTTCTTCAGTGTTCTGTTGTATGCTTGTCTACATGAGGTTAGCGAACGCAGGACGACAAGCTGTGAGCTATTAATATTACCGACGGAAATGGCGGGCTGTGCGGTAGCCGAGACGGATGGTCTTGCGGAGGGACAGACATAATGGAATGGCTAGGGTTCGCGGAAAGTGCGCGAGTAGATTCTAGACACTTGGTGAACGAGAGTGACTTCTTAAATCGGTTCAACCAGTGTGGAGAGTCGTCAAACCCAATCAACAGTGTCACGATTTTGATAGATATCCTTCGACGCCGGCTGAGCAGAGCATCATCGTTTGATGGCGGAGGCCGGGGGACGGGTCTGCCCGGCCAAGAAGGCCCAGGTGGTTAGCCATGCCTAGACCCAAACATATGGAGAAACCACTGAACATCTTCCTTCAGGTCAAGGGCGAGTCCAAGAAGGAAGTAAACGTGTCCCACTTCTGAGGACGAAGTAAATGTCCGATTCAGTTCGGGTTGAGGTCGATGAAGTACTGCCATGTGCCCAATAGAGACAAACAAATTGCCACTATCAGGCCAAAGATGAAGGCACGAAGGTGCAGCCGACTACCTTGTGGAGAAGACGGAGATCATACAGGCAGGCGACTGATCACCTGCCGTCTCGAAGAGGTCAGGCTGCAGCTGAACATAGCTTTGCCTCGGTATAACTCTTAAAGCTCGCCGTAGGTGGCACGACTCGGCGCGGAGGAAGTTTGCTATATATTTGTCACGGTAGGCTTCGATGCATGGATTCATCTGATAACCGCGATAGCGTCACCACAATCGGGATAGAAGGCCATCCCCATCCCGTTCCGCAGTCTATAGTTCAAGTTGAGCCGATCTCATGTTTGGCTTCTGATCCGTATGCTGAGGGGTTGATTCTGAACATATCAGGAAGCTCATGAGCCGAGGTCCACTTACAGACATCGCCAGTACCGACTCCCCATGCTCCTTCAAGCAGCCATCACACCTCTCTCATTGCTATAGCGGTCGGATACTAGATCTCTATTCAACTTCAGGTACAAGGTACAAAGGGCGTATAGGAGATATGTCGTGGGGAACATATATACTCGAGGAGTCGAGGGCCAGGCAAGGGCCAGGACTGTTTTTGAGATCGAACCGCACCGGTCCGCGCGTAACATCGGCGAGGAGAGATAGCAGAGGAAAAAATGCTTCTGGCATAGTTTTGAGTTCCATTGACAAAACCGCGAGGTACTGTCATCCCCCGTGAGAATGTACACCACCGCCAGGATGTACAACTGTCTTTTGTGGCCGTTTCTCCCGCAAAACTCTCAAACTAAATTCATGATAATTATGATCCTATGCCATTCCATATCATCCTGCGTTGGATTGGCAAGGGCATGTCTAGAAATGAAGTAACATGGCTCAAAAGACAGAAAATGGGCTCTTTTGAAAAAAATTTGAGCTCGGGTCAGTAACCAGCTGTGAAATAACCTCAGGTTGTGAGCAAAAGAGTAATCATATATTGAGCTAACACCTTCCGCCCCCACTGAAACAAAACTGGGCGCAACCAGAAGGCACAAACTCTCAATATTTTGGACCGATGACAGAGTGTCCTCTCGAGGCTCACTATAATCTTATAGCCGCCGTATCGGCGAATCCGGCTCGGCAATAACACCATGATTTTCCTTTTATGGCTCGGCTACAGCCAATACCCTGCCTAATATGGGCTTATCACCGATATCGGCTCCCACGCAGACTGTACAGTCTGACGGTGGCCGGTCCTTGGTTCTAAAATCCACTGATGTTCGTATAGTAGGGAATCCGTCCACTTTGGCGCTTCGTAGATTTTTTCAGTATTAGTTTGGGTCTTGGGGATGCTTCAAACCTTATTTTACAGGACGGGCCAGCGAGGAAAATATTCCAGGACTTACGGAAATTTGGCTGTCTCTTCTGGCGGGGGATAACAGTAATTGATGACTCATTTGGCATCTAATTGAACGCACGAAAGGAGACTTTGGAAATTACTCAATATGAAAACACGCACCAGCAAGGTTCGTCGCGAAGTGTACGTATATGAAATGTAACCAGGGAATACAGAGTGTTAATGAAGCCAACCAAGGAATTCCAAATTCACAACGTAACCATGTTAGATCACATTATCGTATTTTGGAGTAGATGGCGTATAGGGCAAACGGTGTACGGTCCGAAACTCTAAAATGGCATGCCTGCTATATAGCATTAAGTGACGACAGGCGACGACGATACATGGGGGTATTTGAAGGAGTCGAACGAGAGACCATCTAGAGAAATCTCTGTAAACCTCACAAATGCATTCCCTCATTTTTTGAAGAATCGCCAGTTCAGAGAGAACAAAGGGAAAACTCAGAACCTCGCGACCCATAATCAAAACCGTGGGTATGTCGGCTGACAAAGCGATTTGCATGCGCCCGATTAGGCCTTTTACTCTCACGTGCGCATCCCGGGGCGGAATCCGATGTGTATTAGGGGTCCGAGTCCCGAGTCCGATGCGGTTGAGGGGGAGACGATGATGCATTGATGAGTCACATTTGCACTCTCTTTGACGCCTCCAAGCTATGTCTCAAACGTTACGTTCATCCCAGCCCCGAAACATAGGCTTTCTCTTGAATCTTTTAGCCCACTGCGTCATAATTGCATCATAGAACCCACTTTTACATATCGCAGTTTCACACTCACAGTCCCTCATTTGCATCGTGACTCCATGTTCGTGTCACGGCCATCACTTCGGAACTCCTCGAACGTAACATCGACGTTCCGACGTTCCAACAATGGCTATTATCCGCTCTGGTAGGTATCAGCATGCACCTTCGCCGAGCACCGAGCACCGATTTCCAAAAACTGAAGCGAGAAATTTTATTTCCACCAACGTGTCTCATACCATTCTTGCCTTACCTCCATCTCTATTGTAGCACCTTCTCGGTCTCGTCTCGACTCCCCTTTGACTCACAACATGCATAACCATCCCCCGTGCTCCACTCAGAATCAGAATAAGCATGACCTCGAGCGACCCTCCACTTTCTCCGACCCACCGCCGGCGATGACATACACTAGCCCGCCGACCTCGCTGCCGATATTTGCCACCGGAACCAGTCTACAAGATGTCAACGCTTTCCCCCATTATCCATCAAATATGCCGCAATTCTACCCAACTATGTACCAACAGCAAGGAGGATATCCAGAGCCGTCTCAACGGAGGACGTTGGGTAGGTGCGAAGAGGCACCGGGCGAAGAGGCACCGGGCGAAGAGGCACCGGGCTCGGTAGGCAACATCCTCTACACTACGTACTCCCATAGCACATTCACTGCCCTTCATCCAGTCTTCTACCGCGGCTCCTTCACATATTCCGTCGGTGCCTGATCTTGCTCAGAGCGTCCAGTGTGAGCTAAATCCAGCTTTTCTACCAGCCAACCTACCGTTTTTGACGAAGTCCTTAGATTCGTATCGAGATCCCACCCTCCAGGGCCTCGCGAATGATCCCCCGCACTTCTCGAGCAACGATTTGCCCCCGCCTAATTTGTCAATATCTGCCCAGGATCATTACACCACCATTGCGACCTCAACGCAACAGAGACGACCACTCACACGGACGCCCAGCCCTGTTTACTCCCCTTTCGCGGCTGCGCTAAGGCCCCTGCCGCCCGATTCCCCTTCGTCGCAGGCGTTCTCGAGCCCAGCCCTCTCCAGCGCCTATTACCCGCCCTCGCCAGAATGGTCGAGCGCTTATCTCAGCGACGGAGAAGTGCCACTTTGGTCGACGGATTACCTCTCCCAGAGCGCTGAGGCTAGATCCAACGGCAAGTACCCATGCGAGGACTCCATCAGATCGTACAGCATGTCACCCAGGTATACGCATGCACACGGCAAGCGGGCCGGGGGGGAGGAAGGGGTAGAGGAAGGGCAAAAGAAGACGAAGAAAAGGCCATCAACAAGGCGCAACTGCTACCCATGCCCGATCTGCCGCAAGGAATCTTCCCGTTCCAGTGGCCTTGCAACGCATATGAACATACATACGGGGGCCAGACGTGAGCCCGTTCATTCCGCACTGCTCACCCTCGTATCCTTTTGAGGGAATTTTTCACCTCGAATCGGTACTGATGACTGGTTCCCATTCATTAGTCCTAGGTTGCTCGAATCAATAACAGCTGACTTGGCCCAACAGCCTTCGAATGCCCGATGCCCACCTGCGATAAGCGTTTCGCAGTTCGTTCCAATGCGACGAGGCATCTTCGCACGCATGGCATCTTGACGAGTGCGCGCAACCGAGGCTTCGCCGTCAGCTTTGACAAGCCTATCGTCTCTAACAACGCAATCCCGACCATGCCCAGACCCGCCAGCTACACGTTTGTCCCAGCTGGCGTGCCTATCCCAGGCAGTGACTGGCGCCCAAGTCAAGATCACCCTCCGCAGGGCATGAACCCTAGTACATAGTTCGTCGAGCTTTGGGCTCAGTCGTAATGGAACCAGGGACACACCCGAGGGATAGGGCCGACCGTGGAACGCGCCCTGCACATCTCGCCGTTCTCGGTCATGCTAAGATTAGAGTTTTCCTTGGCTTTCCGCTGTTAGATCCCGCTGACCAGTTCTCTAGCAGTGACGATGCTTTGAAATATCCCTCCTGCGACTAGTTCTGGCGCCGAGGAGATACTTGAAGGTTGACGCGTTATCTTTACTTCTTCGAATTCGCGCGCATCATTACAAGCTTCGATCTCTCGTCAGGTTTACTGCACAGATTATTCACGCATCTTTCCGCCTTGTTCTATAGTAGTACACGCGCTTAATGTATCTTAATGTCCTACCCTATGGTAACGTATCATACCATATTAGTATCTCTGTGGTATACTTGCATTTTTTAGGTTCGGGCTTCCTGGCGACCACATTATTCACGATTAGTGAACACCATCAGAACTGTGTTCTTTACAGCAATCTATGCATACGTGTCATACAGTCTGCTGGGGGGAACCTGTCGAAGTCATCAAGAAGTGATGGTACACCTGGAGGTTCTGAACACTTGAGCAGTTATCTGATACTCGGATCCAACTCGGCTAGGTGCGCTGGTGTAGAATCTGTGGAGAAAACGGAGTTCGCAAATGCAGAATTTCCAAACTCAGCGGCGGAGATCCCAGCCTTCACTTACACCCGTCGGTAGCAGATTGGCAACTCGGCAGGATCGGAGTATCACTCCAAATATGACGGCGCGGACTCGGAACTGCCAATGCCGATGTTCCGTCGTTGTGGGGCTAACTCGAGTGAACCGTGCGATGTCTTCCTCCCGATGGTATACTGTTCTACTATCACTGGCAGACGGCGAAACCTAGTCTGCTTCAAGTCTGCTTCGTGCAGCCGTTTCACACGTGTGTCTAACGTCATACTACATTTCTGGCGTGCCGATTGATCACTAGCCCGCAATCGAGCGCGAGGTTTTCAAGAACGAACAACACAAGGTTCGAACTGTCATTACTGTAACCCGGAACTTGTGTATCTCGGATATACGCCTGCAGGCAGGGAGTGCGCATGGTGAGAAAGCTTTTGTTTTCGTCTCGAGCATGTGCATCATTATTTTCAAAGCGACCTTGTCTATCTTTTGTTCCTATCACACCACCGCTCGAAGGATGCATATCGAAGATCCCGAGGTGGCAACATCCGCTTCGGGTTGTGTACCGTTTTGGGACCTGCAGATGCATAGCGTATGTAATTGGCTCCTTGTGAAGGCTGCGCTCCGACGCTACTCCAATGTCCTTGAGTGCACGTCCTGGGGCAGAAACTTCATTTCCTTCGATAAACCAGTGGCACTTCCCAACGGGATGATCTTTGGCCATCTTAAGTATCATATTCTAGTTTGACGAATCTTCACGCCTCCTTCCTTACCCAACAACAGCAACCGTACCTGAATGTATAATCCTCCAGAGGACGAAGATGCCCATGCACAACAGGAAACGTCTCACCCAACTGTAAATATGGACATTACCCCGCAATTGACTCCTATTAACCTTCAGATAGGAGTATGCCTACGAGCATGCTCAGTTACCATCATCATCGGTCGGATTCTATAACCCTTGGTCTTACCAAGGGCAACCGCAAGCATACGAAACAAGACAACATCCCAACCCAGCAGACATGCACCCTCAGAGCGATCCCGCACCATACCCGGAGTCGTCCCAGCGCTCAACGTTTAGCACGGAATCATATGCCCCAGCGCCAATGTATATGCGCGGTTATCGCGAGGAAGTCCCCTCATCACAGGTTAGCCAACCCGCGCATCCCTTTGTCTGGACCGACACTAACGACCGACGTGCTCCTGAGCCCACGGAACTCTTACAGCCGAACATCGCGGGTCCCTCCCAGACTCCCTATGCACGTTTAGATCCTGCTGAAATGATGCGCTCTCGAATGCACCAACCCCCTATCCCGGGGCAGCAACTGCTGCCACCGCCAATGAGCGCAGTCTACTACGACCCCGCACAGCCTGTGCAAGGTAATCCTGAAGCATCTTTTAGTAGAAGGTTCTCCTCGCCTTATCTGACATCAAGACAACAGGATATCCACCCCGGCGCAGCGATGAATCGTGAGGTCGGAGACCTTCATCGCAAAGAAATATGGTGGCCGGAGACGCCAACGCTAACGATCGACCCTTATTTCGGTACTACGCAGATACCGCCGCACGCACTTCAGTCGGGCCCCGAATCGGGATCATACTGGCCAGACTCCCCTGCGAGTGCGCCAGCATGGTCAGGTCCGCGGTTCTCCGAGGGCGATGTCTCACCGCTGGATGAGCGCAGGCACACGCCCTATAGTGACGTGGCCATGGATTTCGGCGAGGGTGGGTGGGAGGAAGGGGCCGATGAGAGGCAAGATACGATTACTGCTCTAAGCGCGGTCTCCGACTTCGTCACCGAAAACAAGGGCAACAAGGGGAAGGGGAAGGGGAAGGAGAAAAGGAGGGTGAGGGAGAGGAAACATCAATGCCCGAGCTGCAACAAAACGTTTGATCGCCCGAGCAGTCTCGCAGTGCATATGAACACTCACACAGGTTCTAAACGTGAGTCATTCATTGGCATTTTGTCGCTCCGAAAGAACCACCTCCAATCTATAACCAGCTAGCCCATCCTCCTCTCCTACATTTCCTAGCTCCTGATTCTCTCGATCGTGACTGACGCTTATCGGCAGCCTTCGGATGCCCGGTCTCCGGTTGCACTAAGCGCTTTGCGGTCCAGTCCAACGCAACCCGGCACCTCCGATCGCATGGCATTGAGCTGAACAACAACACCCGCGATCAAGGCTTCGCCGTCAGCTTCAATGCGCCGGTCGTCTCTCATGACGTGCATTCGGACGTACCCCAGCCCTCAAGCTATGAGTGGGTCCGGCCGCATAGCTCAATCGCGGATCTGGAAGTAGGTGCGTCCGCTCCACCTCCGGAGCGGCCAGAGGTGCCGGGAGGGCAAGCAGGCGATGGGGCAGGCCGACCGAGGCCTCCGCGTCGCCACACTGGTGATGGTCCCAGCGAGCAGGGGTGGAGGGAGATGCACTCGGGGACGAGCGAGCACCAGCAGCATGGTCCTCAGGCTGGGCCCAGCTATAGTGGCCAAGGGACACTGGGACATAGTCCCTGGCGCTGGCAGGACGAAGGGCGTGGCATGTCTGGCGGCGATGATGGTGATGCGTATGACCAGGAGGAGAGCGATGAAAGAGATGGGGGTGAGAGGGGTCCTATGGGCGCTGGATAAAGCACGAGATATCCATCCTGCGCTGGAGTTCGGTGACGTAGAATTGGAGAGAAGATGGAGAGTGGAAGGGAAGGGAGGACTTGGATTGCGGCTGCAGCACGTTCAGCGCGCGATTTGAACGACTTTTACAGCAAGCGGAGTTCCGTGAGCCAGTCCATGAATTTTACAGTGAGGGGGGTTGGAGGGGGTTGAGCTTACCTTTTGCATAAATTCTGCCGAAAGATCAGGTCGGCGTTTATCCCGGTGGGACTGTCCCACACAGTCCACACGATGTTCACCCCCTTATTTACCAATGATTTTCTACGCTACGCTGATTTTGCTTTTGTTATACCATACACGTCAATATGTTTGTTCATTCCATTGTTATGCATCAGTCAAATTTACTTTTATAGAACACAATAGCAACACGAAGCACGGTTTATCTCGGCTAATATTCGTAAAATATACGCACACCACCGCTAGCCATCCAGCACACCTTTGTGTTTATTTTATAGCCGTTTGTGTGTTGCAGTTCGTGGTACAGCGCGTGGCTGTGGGTGGTCCGTGCGCCGGGCGTGGGGAGGCTGGTATCCTTCGCCCTGATTGGTCAATGTCATTGGCTCCGCCGCTACGACAAAATGGATCAAGTCTCGATGCGGTGCAAATCACCTTCCTGACAGAAGGTCGTGGAGGGATAAATAGTCTCCTCTAGGCAGATCGACCACGAAAGAAGATGGTCGAGAGTCCAAGCTATCAAGCTATCAAACATTCCTTCTCAAGAATCAGGCGTCGGGCCTCGTCGCGGAGATAATATACCGTGTCCACTTTGCAACCTTAAATCCAACGTTCTCCATTGCCAATTGGCCGTTCTGCACTACATCGACAAGATATACTCCGTTGTACCATTTTGGAAATATTGTGCTTTCAAACCGTATCCAGATGATATAATTCCTCGTTTTTTAGTTATTACCGTAAGAACCACAGTAGCTACTTGAGAGGACAGCGTTCCACCTTGAAATGGAAAGTGTTCCGCCTTGATATCTCATTCAAGCAACCACCGCTACCAAATCAACTGCACATCGAGCCGAGGATTTCTTTCCTCAGGGCGCTGCGCAAGCATACCCATCCGGACAACAAGCCACCCGAGAGTGAGCCGAGTTTGTGATACAATAATATCTATGAAACGTCTCTAATTAGACAGCTACTTGGGAAACAGGTCGTAACAAGTACTCACCCCTTCTTGCAGCACGAGTGGAGAATGCAACATTGACCACCAAGAGGACAGCAACTAGATAGGCGTCAGCGATGGGTGCAGATACCTGTTTCCAACAATCACTTACCCGCCGTCTCCGCAAAGCCCGGTGCCAGAGGGGCAGCTCTGAGCGCTCAGATCATGACCCAGCCCGGATTCACCCAGGGAAAGATCCAGAGCCGACGTGGCCGGGATAGTTTCTACCAGAGTGTCTGCAAGCACGGATGAGGCCGCAAGCAAGAGGGTAGACAAGATGAGAGCACGACCGAACATGACGCTTGAAAATGCGAGTTGAACGTGTACACTTGACGAAGGAAACTGGGGAATATGGGTTAGGAATAAGTACGCCGCCTTTATGCCTTTTCGCTCTGAAGCACGAGTCACCACATGTCATAAATGATCAGCCTCGAGGCCACTGCGCACTTGCCAAGACGTCAGAGTGACCCAGGGTAGGCCATCTCAAGAACAAATGGCGGATCCACAACCGCCCGAAATGTATTGAAGGGAAGGCGGCTGCGTCGAGCTGTCAGAACTTAGATGTGTTGAGCGCTTGATAGACGCTCATGAAATGATGTTTGAGTGGGGCCATTGGACATTGTCAAAGATCCGGGATTCCCACTTTGAGGGTTTCTGTCAAAATGACTCCGCACCAAATGGTGCAGGTTCCATGGTGTCGTCGAACTTTGAATGGGTCTTGAACACCGCCTTCGCGCGGCTCTTGAGCTTGGCCAGTGACGGCACAGCCGCTCTTCGAGTACAGGCGTCACCCTGAAGACCTTCAAAAGGACAAATGCGTGATCATTGATGATCTGACAGAACTCTAAGTTGTACTCTTCAGGGACCGACGTTTGCAGTGAGAACCTTGTATTTCTCTTAACGCACAGCTTCTCAAACCCTGACGACGATCTCGTCAACAAGCCTCTGCTACCCGAGATCCTCGAGTGCCCCAGCCGCCCTCGCAGAAGGGAACACCCTATCGAAATAACGGACTTGATGCGGTGAGCTTCGAAGAGACGGTTCGTAGCCTCCAATCTAAAACGGCCAAGGTCGCATATGGGCTCTGATAAACCGGTCACCTGCTGAGTAACATACCTAATCAACATACAGTGATGGATGCGAGTCTTATTTGGTATCATGTTGTCGCCATATCTTAGCAATATAGGTTATGTTAGAGTGGTATCACAATAGTCAGACAGCCTCACCTTAGCGATATGACCAACATTACGGAGATATCCCGCTATCCGATTCGCATTGGCGGACTTGGGAAGCGCCCCGCGCCTCCTACCTGTAGCTAACCGCGGATGAGTTTGAGCAACGGCAAAGCATAATGAAGCATTTGCCTCGATCATGGTTGACGCCTCGACCATAAGTCTATGCGGCGGTTCTAATTCGTCACCATGAGTTGAACGTCCAGCGAGTTGCATAACCTGAGAGTTAAGACGCCACGGACTGGAGCGAGCTTACATCGACAGATGAATTCGAAGTGAACAATCTACATGCCATTACATGAAAACTATCCTGAGTAGTGACAGTACCTTAGAAACGACGAGCAAGTCTGGAACGAGCTCATGATAACAAGGCTTCTGGCGCAGTTCAACTGTAAGCATTGATGGCCACAAGCACCAACGAGCAGCGGTAGCGTCGTTTAAGGTTTAAGGCGAATGATGCCGATAAAACATAGCGACTAGATACTTCCGCCAACATCGGAAGGGACTCGACATCCCGAAGCCACGCGTTGAGTCAAAGGTTGAATGGAAACAAATTCGATTTCGAGTAACGGGACCAAAATTCTATTCCCTGAAGAAGACAAACAGGCGAATAGGCATGTAGCCAGTATAACGAGTAGCGAGTCAAACGAAAGTATTCCAGTCAGTCAGCGAGGTTTAGTGGTATCGCCAGCAGATGGGTGCCTCCCTCCCTCTCATACTCTCCCCCACCCCTGAGAACTTCAAGGAGCGGAACAAACCTGGCCGTTCGGGCAGCAGGCGACCGCAGAGTGGGCGGAGTTCGTGATGCAGTAGTAGCTGAAAAAAGGCGGGTCAGACACGCCTAGACTAGAACGCGAGGAACACGTACCCGGCGTTGCAGCACGCATTCAAGATGCAGCATTCGCCTCCGAGCGGGCAGCACCTACCTCATCGTGAGCGCTAAGTACAAGAACAACATGGGAAGTCTTACCCCCCGTCAGAGCAGGAACCATAGCCAGACCCGCAGCTTTGGCGAGCGGTCAGGCCGGAGTCCAACTGGGATTTGCCTACAGCGAGAGCAGCACTGGCCGGGACAGCCTGCGCACGAGTGTCCGCGAAAACGGAGGAGGCAGCGAGCAGCAAGGTGGACAAGATGAGGGCGCGGTTGAACATGGTAGTAGCAAACGGGGACGAAGGATGTTGGCGTGTACTTGTGAGCGAAGGAGGATGAAGATGTCACAGAGATGCTCGTCTTTTTATACCCTTTCTCCAGAGTCGCGCGTGAGGCAGCGCAATTAGCTTGATGGCTTGCCAAGTCCGTCGATGACAGCAATAACTGACGAAAACATCCAGGATTCATTCGACAAGTGCCAGGAATGAATGGGACTCGGACGCGCTGTGGGTTGAGAAGTAGTGAAGTGAGATAACAAAAAGCTGATAGACGCTCGAGAGGTCATTGAAGTGGAGCTCTTGTGACAGGTCATGGACACGGAATAGAGGGTTTCTGTCAAGACTCTCTTGGCGTTCCGAGAGCCCTGAAGAGACCTCAACATATCACATCCGAGTCGAGACAGCTGAGAGCATCTAGAGAGCTGATGACGGACTGAGAACGCGTTGGTAGGAGTAGCCGTGAAGATGAACAAAGAGTGAAGGTAAAGCCATCATTTTCTCCGTAGCGCGACGTCAGATCTCGAGTCTGATTATCTTGTCAACGAGGAATGAGAACAAGAGGCGAAGCCGACTTGGACGGAGGAGAGATGTCACGGACTTTGGCGAGCAAGGACAGGCAACCCTGCAAAATTTTAAGCGGAAATGGGCGCTAGCGAGCTCCCCGCAGCTCGCAGATCCTGGGATGGCTGACAGCCTGGCACTGTGAGGAAAGATGTAGCAACGTTACCAACACTGGTGCTATAAGGTATGCCAATACATCCTCATCTTGCTAGATTTGCGATGGATAGTGAGTTCTAGCGGGCTGAACCCAAAAAGCAAGGTGGTGGTTTGGGTGAAAAGACCCGGCGCGTAAACAGATGATATCACCTGTTACACAAGCTCCGGCCCACGAGCCGGCTCCGACTCCCGCCATATGTAGAGCGCACCTCTCCCTGGTCCTCACTCGCATCCACATCCCACAACCATGTCCATCGCCCACGGAATCAAACAGCTCGGCGTGCTCGGCGCCGGCCAGATGGGCGCCGGCATCGCCTTCGTCTCTGCCTTGCGCGCCAAGGTGCCCGTGCTCGTGCACGACAAGTCGCAGGAGCAGCTCTCGAAGGGCCTCGCCCTCATGGACAAGCTCCTCGCCAAGGACGTGCAAAAGGGGCGCCTGCAGCAGGCGGACGCGGACGAGGCGCGTGCGCGCGTGCGCGTCGTGGGCTCGCTCGAGGAGATGCGCGACGTCGACATGGTCGTCGAGGCCGTCTCGGAGAACCTCGACCTCAAGCGGACCATATTCAAGACGTTCGCGCAGACGCTCAAGCCCGAGGCGATTCTTGCGACGAATACGTCGTCGATCAGTATCACGAAGATCGCGGCTGCCACGATTCCGGAGGGGAAGGGTGCTGCGTCGGAGGAGGCGAAGGCGACGACTTCGCGGGTGGTTGGTGAGTCCCGCTAGGACGTTTTGGCTTAGGTCTAAGATTGCTTACTCTCTGGTCAGGGCTTCACTTCTTCAACCCCGTTCCAGTGATGGTAACATAGCTCAGATGCCGGCGTAGCGGTCCTCTAACGGCTGGCCTGTTCCACAGAAACTCGTCGAACTCATCTCCGCCATCCAAACGTCCAAAGACACCCTTGACCGCGCCCGTGCATTCGCCGAAGCGTGTGGAAAGGGTCAGTTGCGGCTCTATCCTCCTTCCTTTTTCCGTATTGACGTGTCAGGACACCAGAGGTGACGACTTCCCAGGACGTCCCAGGTTTCGTCTCGAATGCTCTCCTCATGCCCTTCCTGAACGAGGTACGTTCCCACAGCTTCTCCAACCTGTACTACGCTAACTTTAATCCCTCCAGGCAATCATGTGCCTGGAAAAGGTCTGCTTCCACTGTTTCGCGGTGAACCCGCCCGCTAACGCACATTCAGGGGGTTGCAACGCGTGATGACATCGACAAAACTTTCAAGCTAGGCATGGCCCACCCTATGGGCCCTCTTCAGCTCGGTGCGCTCCTCCCTCTTCTCCTCTTCTCGTTTCTTCTCCGTCCATCTCACTGAATCTCCAACCCCGTCTTGCAGCCGACTTGTAAGTCCTTACCCAAACTCCCCAAACCGGAAATCACATGCTAACGACCTCCGAAAGCATCGGACTCGACACCTGCCTCTCAATCCAGCAGACGCTCTACCACGGTACGGGTGACTCCAAGTACCGTCCCTCTGTCCTGCTCGAGCGCATGGTCGACGCGCAGTGGCTCGGGAAGAAGAGCGGACGCGGGTTCTACGAGTATAACGACAACTAGAATATCGGCGTGGTGCTTGCCAGTGCGTCGCAGGACGCGGTGCAGTGCGTGTATACTTGTTAAAATGAATAGGCCCCAAGACATGCATATTTCAGCCACTTATTATCCGATGTGATGTATGAAACATGCACAGACCGCCGCGAAGGGCGTGAACGCTACGGAAGATATAGCACGATGGACGTCGAAAGTGCGAAGTGGGTCATGTTTTCAACACGCGTATGTACATTGCCGGATGCCAGTGGTGTATACTCCTTCTTTCACATCTCTGAGTAATCATCCCAGATGATCCAATACCCTCGCGATCACGGTGGGCAGCGCAGGATGGATGCCATTCCACCTACCTGCGTCTGTTGCATGTGGATGCCATCGACTAAGCCTATCTGACATCCGCGCCCTGCCCATCTGTCTCCGTCTGCTCGTTTTCGCCTCCTCACCATCACCTCGCTGTCACCTCATTCGAACCTCATAATCCATCGAACCTGCACTTGAACTCACCCATATTATCGCGCGAATGTCCACTCGCATGTCTCCTCTCCCTCGCATCTACCTCTCAGATTACATGCTTTATACTCTTAGGCTCCGAAGTCAACAGGAACCCGCTCGCAACCTCACGAATTATGTGGAGCACGCCGTATTTCGCAAACGCCACGTCTGACGCTGAGCCCCGACACAAAATATACAAAGTCCAAGACATGTAGACATATCTCCAGAGGTGCCGCGCGAGTGCGTACATGCGCAATAGGGCGCGCATCTAGAAGATCGCGGAGTAGGGTGAGGATGCCGCGGAGAAAAAGGTGTGTGATTTGAGATGTATGCGGACCCTGTTCATTTAATATATCGATCGAGTAATGGGCTTCCGATTGCACAGGCTCCGGCATCATGCATTACCAAGTGCAGTTGCTAAGTGCGTCACTGAAGAATTCTGATTTTATTTTCAGAGTCCAGATCGTATGCCACCCTTTGCCTGGCGTCGAGGGCGAGGCCTGGCGAGGCTGGGGTGTTTGTGCAGGACCAAGCGTGACTAACTTTGGAGTTATATGATTGGCTGAGGCTGTTCCTGTCGAGCAACCAGGTTTTCCTATACCTCCGCCAGTTTCAGTGCCGCGTCTATGCCGATTCTATCAACTTCCACTCTTGTCAGTGGACATTCTCGTCTGGCTTGCAGGGGACAACGTAGGTACGGCAACTTTGGGTATGGAGCCCGAACGCGAAGGCCTGAACCGAGGCGTATTATTGGGGTTAGCCGCTCGCTTAGCCCAGGTGCTTCGCAACTATGCGCTTTCCACTCTTGCTGTTGTGTTGCACTTGACGCAAAGACGTCTCGAAATACCCTGATTTGCTGAGACGTACGTCGTGATCACTAGTTTCGATCGCCTGATAGCCCACTTCTGCTATTCAGCCGTATGCGCCCAGGCCCAAAGGCGCTTATGTAAGTACCTCTGCTCTTCAGGCGACCACCGTGCCTGTATACTTGCGATAGCCATCGGGCAGTGCAAGATCCACCTCTAGTATCGGCTTCATATCTCCTTCAAGATATACTTCATACATGAATTTCAAGTACCACCCCAGTGCGCTACAGACGCTGCGAACGATGCAGATGCGTGTCTTCACAGCTTAGAATGACCATATGTATTAATTCAGAATCATGTCCAACTCTTCGGCCGTGCGGCTCCTTAGGCCTTAAGCTTGCTTGCTACATGCTGCTGTCTTGGTGCACCTGTCTGCATTGGGACTCCTGTTGTGTCTTCGCTAACCTCGAGGTCTGTCAATGTTTGAACTTGAACTCTCTAAACTAAAAAAAATATCCTACTATTTACTTACAGTTTTAGTTTGTGGCCCATACATAGTCGCAAGCTATACGAGACCAATTCCGAGCTTCAGAGAAATCTTGCACACTTCCGTGCCAATGTCGAGAAGCACAAAAGCATTTTTGGATGGCCTCTCGTCTAAAGGCCCTTTTACCTGGGTATGCCACACAGTCCTCGCCTGTTGTCACTCCGAGAGTGCTATGTGACGGCAGCCGCGGCACTTGTGGCCCGTACGCCCTGCACCCTTTACGCACACCTGCGCCAAATCGCGATCCTGGTCAGTTACGTGATTAATTGGGAGATCCTTACTTGGCTTTATGGACGTTCTGCCGAGTAATGTACCTTATAGCACTCACCAATAATAGTGAACCATGAGCCGCCATGAATTGCGTCCTAGGTGCCTTTCGAAAAACGATCTTATCAACGGTGCGGATGCGCGGTGCAGAAATTGTGACGCGTCAAAATACTCCCTGCGGTCAGATAGATGCATGTTCATGAAATGCGTCCAGGGACTCGGAGGCAAACCAGCGGCAAACCGGAAAGAATGGGTCGGTCGATTTCGCGAGCGAGAATACCACAGACAGGCGAGGCGACGAATGTCCTAGATTTATATGCTATCGAAACGAGACGTCTGTGTCAACTCAACTCCGTATGCGGATGCAAAATAATTTACGGAAGAGATGATGCAAGCCATGAGCATATGCAGCACTCAGGCCGCTTCCGTAAAATTGAGCCGTGGGCCACGCCCCTGCGGGATCGAGACCAATAAAAAAATGCGGGCAAGTCGGCTAACGTATTAAAAGGATCGACCGCTTCCTGGTTAGGCCTTTTGTTCTCACAATGACTTCGAAGCAGGACCCTCGTGGTCAGAAGGGGTCGGAGGTTGGGACGACTGGATTACAATCTTCCGACCCCAGACCGCCATTGGCCGACAGGGAAATGATGGTCTAGCTTTTCACCATACAGCATTTTCATGACTTGATTTCGCCCTCATCCTGGCGTAATATCCAAGACTTCCAAGCGCTTTTTTGATGTACCGGTGTATACGAGGCAGATATGGATTCCAAGGAGGGGGGATACCAGGGAACACGTATGAAAGCGTCAAAACTTCATATTTCTTATAACAGGGTGTTCGAACAAATGGGCGATTGCTAAGTCGATTCAGCACTAGGTGCCTTAACAGCTTCTATTTCCGCTTGATAGGATGCTCGAGTAACCGTACCGAAGGCCTCGACATCTACAATAGTCCACTGGAAATGATGAGCATCACATTAGAGCCTTAACGCTTCAGCGCGGAGACGTGAATTTGGGTGCCGGATACATTAGCTAACATCTAGTGTGGGTTTCAAGGAGACAGCGACGTCCGAAAAGCATTGCATCTCAGATGACTTAGCAGCTAGCAGCGTCACCAGCCACCATTCATACAGCCCCTTGGAGTCCATGAGAGAGAAGTGACGTGCCAGTTCGGTAGAATCGCGGTAAATACCACTATCTGATTGACGGGGATGCAGGCTTGAAGTCGTCAATGTTGAGTTTGCGTTTGCTGTGGAGTACTGTAACTCAAATGAGCCATACAGTTGTCCTCGTGTTGATGTTCTCTCAGGGCAGTGTTCGGGTGGCGGAAGCGTGCCCCGTGCTTTTCTGACACGAACTAAATTTGTCCCATATGCATCCCGGACATAGTGCCGTGTGTGTGTTTTTGGGTTCAAAAAAGTGACAAAAACATCAACGATTTCAGAGCATGTAGCTTCCGTCTCGCGGTAGTTTCGAGTTCTGCGTTTGAGAGTAGACTAGTGCCAGTGTACGCATGAAGAGCTACTACAAACAACCTTTTTTGGTTTCTGTACTTATTGAATATTTCTTGTTCATCCGTTGTTCCTGTCACATCTCATAGATCTCATATGTCATATCCCATCGTTTCTCGGCTCGGGGGATGCCTGTTGGAAATTCCTAGTGGCGTCGCCTACTTTGGCTACTGGTTGCCTTTCTGGAAGCGGCAGTAGATCCCGATTCTGCGCAGACGAAAGAAAGCGTGGTTTACTGCAGCCCTGTCCCGATGCTACTCCAACGTCCATGACACCGTGCCCTGGGCTAGAAGCCTCAGTATGCTCTGCAGACCTGGGTTGCTTACAGCAGATTAATGCCCTCCGGCTGCCGTGCCCTTTGGATGACTTAAACGTCCACTCTGGCTCAACGGCTCGTTTTCACGTCTCCTTCCCTACCCACGGACTCAGCATCACTGGCCTAGTATGCCTGACCCTCCAGAGCACGATGATATCGATGCACAGCAGGCCAATTCTTACTCAACGGTATGTAATAGTATCCCGTTACCATCAACTATTGTTAACTCTCAGATAGGTGTACACTTACGGGCACACTCAGCTGACACCACCGTCGGCTGGATCTCACCATCAAGGACATTCACGGCCCTATGAAACATTACAGCATCCAATACCAACACCTCAGATCGACCGGGAATTATATTCGGAGTCGTCCCTGCGCTCAACTTTTGGCGTAGAGCGACATGGACTCCCAGCGTCAATATATATGAGTGAAGCACTCTCATTACACCCAAACCAGCCCGTACTTCCCTTCGATAGGATAGATGCTAACAACGAGTTAGTGCCCGAGGTTTTACAGCCGAGCATTGCAGAACCTTCTCGGAATCCCGACGCCCCGTCCCATCCTGCTCAATCGATGATGCACTCACAGATTCGGCGGCAACCTATCCAGGGGCAGCAGCTACCGCCATTGATGACCGCGCACCACTACAATCCCGCATATTCTGTGCAAGATAATCCTGAGCCGTCTTTCCACGCGATGCTCTCCCCGGATCATCTGATATCGACACAGCAGGGTGCCTACCCTGACGCCGTGGCAGTGGTGGGTCATGAGTCCAAGGGCCTTGACCGGCAAGGAGCATGGTGGCGGAGCACCCAGCCGTCTGCGCTGACAACTGACGCGTATGCACCTGCGCAGCTCCCGCAATCTGTCCCTCAGTCAGGCCTCGAATCGATGCCATATTGGCCTGCTTCTGCTGCGAGTGCACCAGCGTGGACAGGTGTACCGTTCGCTGAGGATCGTACGTTTCCGCTGGAAGACCCCAAGCAGATACCTTATAGGCTTAGCGATGCTGGTTGGTCGGAGGACGAAGATGAGGAGGATGAAGGCACAGGTATTCCTGTAAGTGCAACGTCTAACGTTCCTACTGCGCATGCGCAGAAGGAAACAGATCTGTCAGCGGAGTCGAAGGGCAACAAGGGCAAGGGAAAGGGGAAAAGAAGAGAGAGGGAGAGGAAGCATAAATGCCCGACCTGCGACAAGGCGTTTGTCCGCCCGAGCAGTCTTGGGCTGCATATGAACACTCACACAGGTTCGAAACGTAAGTCGTCCGTCGCCATTTTACCCGCGGCCTAGCCTATTCTCTCCCCTTTAATTTCCGGCTACGATTTCTCTTGATTGCAACTAACATATGCCCATAGCCTTCGGATGCATGGTGCCGGGCTGCAACAAGCGTTTTACCATCCAGTCCAACGCAACCCGGCACCTCCAATCGCATGGCATGACACCACACAGCAGGTCTCGCAGCTCACGCTTTGCCGTTAGCTTCGATGCACCGGTCGTATCACACAACGTGCACTCAGCTGTGCCCCAGCCCTCGAGCTACGAGTGGCTGCAGCCGCAGGGCTCAACCTCGGGATTAGCACCAAGTGCGTCCGCTCCGCCAAGTTTGGAGCCGCCGAGGCCGTCGTGGGCGCCAGCGAGCGATGTAGCAGGCCCATCACGGCTTCCGCGTCGCCACACCGACGGGCCCCCCACCGAACGGGAGCGCGCAGAGATGCACTTGGGGACGAGGCAGCAGCGCCAGGCTCCCACTAGGCGTAGTGGACAAGGAGCGGGAGGGCATAGCTTGTGGCGGCGCAAAGGACAGGACATGTCTAGCGACGAAGATGATGACCAAGGGGAGAGCGACGAAGAGGAGTGATTCAAGGGGGATACAGTAGGGGGGTGGGTAAAACACGAAACACTCACCCTGAGTCGACGAGTTCGGTGACATGACTATCCAGAGATGAGGGCTATGAGAGCTGTGCGAGCCGCCAGCTGAAGCTTGGCTAACGCATTCTTGCAAGCGGATTTAGCTAGTTATTTTTTATGCCGTGATTTGCTACGCTTGGATAGATTCCGAGTTTTGCATCATGCATATAAACTCAATATAAACCTGTCGTAAATAATTGAAATATTCGAGCGATTGTTTTCGGGAACCCAGGACAAACGCGTAGGTGTCGTTGTAGTCATCATCGACCGTCGAGTTTCTACATCATTACGGGCCTACGGTTGATTGTTTCATTTGCGATATTTCGCCTTACCATTCTGTTGGTTCCTCACATTGTATTCCTTCGGTTATGTCCGTTATCCTTAAGGAATCGGATTGCGGTTCAGGATTGCGGAGTCGTCCATGTGCATGATGATGCAGATGATGTGCCCGAATTCACCGGTACCCAAACATGTCTGAGCGTCCTTTTCCCACGCTTAGAATTTCCTCCCTTCATTCCTTCGTCACCAGCAGGCCACGTTCTCAACAAAATTGGGCTGAACATCGTTGTTTCTTCACTCCAGCCACATCCTTGTCGTGTTTTATATCGCGCGTGCCGTGTGTGTGGCGGTGGCAACAGTACACGCTATGCACGCAAGACGTCGATCGTTCTCGGTGCCAAATATGCATTCTAAGAAATTTAGATTCAATTGGCATTGTATTGGTGGATCACAGAGCCATAGCAGTGAATGCATGGGGCGAGGGCGGTCCACCACGGCGGTAACGAATAAGTATGTTCAGCCAGCCACAGCTCCCCGGTCGATCACACTAAATTGAGCATTAGCTGTCTCAGGGCGCTGCGCCGGACGTGGCCATCTGGACAGCAAGCCACGCTCGAGTGAGAACACGCCGAACTTATATCTGCCATCCAAACTCTCAAAGACACCCTTGACCGCGCCCGTGCCTTCGCTGAAGCTTGTGGAAAGGGTCACTTGCGGCTTCATCCTCACCCGCTTTTCCGTATTGACATGTCAGGACACCAGAGGTGACTATTTCCAGGACGTACCAGGTTTCGTCTCGAATGCGCTCCTCATGTCCTTCCTGAACGAGGTACGTTCTCACTAGTACATCTCTCTCCAACCCGTACTAGGCCAACCTGATTCGCTCCAGGCAATCATGTGCCTGGAAAAGGTCTGCTTCCCCCGATTCGCGGTGAATCCACTTCTCGTTTCCTCCCCGTCTACCTCATCCTTTCCCTTGTAATAAGTGCACCACTCCAACTCCCCGAATCGGAAATCACATGCTAACGACCTCCGAAAGCATCGGACTCGATACCTGCCGCAGACGCTCTACCACGGCACGGGCGACTCCAAGTGCCGTCCCTCCGTCCTGCTCGAGCGCATGGTCGACGCGCAGGGGCTCGGGAAGAAGAGCGGGCGCGGGTTCTACGAGTATAACGACAACTAGGGTATCGGCGTTGTCTTGTGTCGCAGCTCGAGGATGCCATGCTACGTGTGTACTTATTAAAACGAATAGGCCCAGAAACATGCATATTTCAACGACCTGTTCTTCGATGTTGTGTATGGAATGTAGATGAGCAGACCATCGCGAGGGTGCGTGAACGCTATAGTATGGGAGCACAGCGGACGTAGAGTGCGAAGTGCGTCATGTTGTCAAAATGGGTAGGTACATGCAGGATGCCTGTGGCGTATAGAGGTATACTGTACTGTAAGTATGTTCGGTGGAGTGGTACTGTATTGGTATCACATGCAGGTGAGATGAGGATGCTACAAGAGAAGAGAGCGTGGTGTCCCGTCCTGCGGACATGATGTGAGTCCCGGTGAATAATTTACGTGTCCAAGTGAAGCCCTGTTTGCGAGGTTCAGTGAGAGATCATGCGAGAATAAATATCTGAAGCAGGATTCCAGCCGGAGGGTCAGGTAGTGTGTTTGATGGATATGCTCGTGCGAAGCCAGCTCGGCGGGGCTGCTGCCGAGAGAGCAGCATTCTGTCCGACGCCGTAGATGTAGGGCATCGGCAGCTGGCTGGAGGGTCAAGCGGGCCTCGGACGCGAGTTGAATACAGCTAAAACCGAAGAGATGCATCACTGAGCACACCGCAATTCAGCGAGAACGCCATGCTCTCACACTCACCTCTCGGCGGGTACTGTGGCGCGGGCTCCAATCCCGGCGGATAGCTCACGTCCCGCTCATCGTGGTCCTCCTCGCCACTGGCAGATTCGAATTCCCGCTCGACCTCGACCTCGACCTCGACCTCGACCCCGAACCCGGTGCCGACGCGCTCGCTGAAGTCATCCACCTGGATCGTCGGAACTGAAACGCAATATACCCCGCATAAGCACCGCGACCAGCAGCTGATTACTCCGAGCCAGAGATGCTGTGTGGCCTACCTCCGGGCAACGGTCTCGGGCCAGCCGCGTCGGCACGATTGTGACTGTGGTCGCTGGCATTGGCGACAGCAGCGGCAGCAAAAGCAGCACTACCGCTCTTCGAATCTCGCAAACAAGGTACGTACGAAGCCGGATACTGCTCGTAAGGCGGGAGCGACGCTGTCGACTCGGGGCGCGCGGAGTCGGACGGCGGCGGTGCATCCTGGCCGTCCTGGTCCCGGGGCCGGGGACGACGGAGGGCGCGCACGGCTGCAGGGACGTTCACGGGCGAGAAGAGCTGCGCATTGGAGGGCGTGCGTCCGACGCCAGCGCCGGCGCCTGCGCTGCTAGTAGTAGCTGGGTCGTAGGCGGAGTGGAAGGAGGACGATGTGCTGAGCACGGAGGACGGGCGTTCTTTGGTGTGCGGACGGCGCAGCGCGCGGGAGCGGCGGAAGGCCTTGTAGCAGCAGAGGGCGAGCGTGAGGACGATGATTACTGGGACTGTCGGTTCGGTTTGTTTGGTTAGAAGCGCAAAGGGCGGTGAGGGAAGGGGAGGGGAGGATGTGTACCTATTATGATGACAATTTTCACCGCGGTGCTTGTTCCCGATTGGCTGTTAAGGTAGGAGACGGCTGCTGTAGGTGCGGGGCTCAGCGAGCTATCGGTGGGCGCCATGCTTCGCGACGAAAAGAGTGGATGTGGAAAATGAAGGGAACGGACACGGACACGGACACGGAAACAAAAAAGCTGGAGGGGGACCTGAGCGGAAACAGCGAGCGGATAAGCCCCTGTTGTCCCTCTGTGTTTAGCCCCGGAAGGCCAATGTAGCACATGATAGAAGTCCGGGAGCACGAGGAGAGTGCGGTAACCAAGCAAAGAGCTGTAGCGGAAGGGTCATCGCGATGCTTGACTGTATAATTGGAAGAGGAGGCGTGCGGTTGTGGAAGAGAGGGGTCCATAAGTCAGGTAGTGGCCTAGCCATTAGGTTTCTAAGTGGTCATGCGGGATGTTATCGAGCAGCACAGCACTTACTACATAGCCGGAGTTGGGACGTGATATCTGTCTGGCGAGGCCTCTCATGACGTGGACTGCAGATCCGGAATTACATCCTAGTCGTTTACTTCCGAAAAGTAGCTTTTCGTGTAGGTGACGGTCGGTGCTGCCTTGTGCTGCCCCCGTGTCCCCAGTAACATTGGCTGAAGATAGCTTCAAGCTTCAAATCGGTCGCGAGGGCTTCAGTTGAATCAATTCAGAGAGCAATTATATTGAGGAAGTGCATCTGAAGGTGTCCTTGAGACCGTTGGCGCTTGTCACTGGTCAGTACGGTACAGCGGGCGCCACACGGGAGGGGGGACCAATAGCGGGCGCTAAAAGGCGGGCTGCAGGACCGAGGGGCCGTGAAGGTTTGGATATTTGAATGCCGGGCGGACGGAGACCTCGGGGGGAAGCAGTTTTCGCTGAGTCAGCGACTCCTATGGTCGTGTGCCGCGGGTGCTGTTGTCTCCTTGATGCTTCCCCTGTTCACCCCAGTCCACCTCCACCCAACATGTCTCACCACACTTTCTGAAATCTGAACGCTGCCCCTTGTCCTTGTCTGAACCACCTTTTAACCCAATGCAAGCGCAGCTTATGTGGTGAGTTCCTGAATGAATCTTATGAAAGACGTAGGGTTGACTTCTTGCCGAAAACAGCGTTTAGGCTACCCGAACAGTAATCCCTTTATCGAAACATACCTAGCTCCTCGAGCTCTCTTTCTCCTCTCTAAATCTTCTATATAATCGTGCTTTTCTGCTTCCTCGCCTTCCAACTTCAACCTTTCAACTTCTTTTCAGTCAATCGTACGTTACCCGAGACCGTTCATGTCAAACGTAAACGCCACCATGCCGGACACCACCACCGACACCGGGGCAGGCGGGTACTCCCACTACTACACCTCCGTCGAGGTCGAGCAGGTCTTCGTCGACGCACCGGACACGCTCTCCTTCATGAACATCCTCCGCCCCATGTGTCCCGACGTTAAGCCGGGCAGAGGCCCGCACGGGCCAGCCACGCGCAAGATCGTCCCTCTCCCCGCACGCGCCAGGTCCTCGCAGTCCCAAAGCCCCGCTCCAACCCTCACCGCTGGAAGAACGCGAGAGCGAGAGCGTGTAGAGCAGGACGCGAGAGAGGGAGAGCCGGATGACAGCATGCGCATCGACGACCCGCGCACGGAGGAGTACGACTGCTCGTGCGAGTCGCCCGTCACGCCCGGGCTCGTCAACGACGAAGACGACGATTCAGACTGCGACTCCGTCTGCTTTGTGTACTCCGACTCTGACGAGGACGTCTCGGCCTTCAGCGGCAGCAGCAGCGCCAACAACCTTCGCCGTAGACAGCGGGCCAACAGCCGTGCCAGCGGGCCTGTCAATCCGGATCCTCGCCCAGCTGCTGCGGAGAGCGACAGCACCGTCCACCTCTTCCAGAGCATCACCGCGACCCCCGGGCCCGGCTCGTGGAGCTTCGAGGTACGCTTATCTCTACAACCTTTGAGCGTGTTATCTGACAAGTCACCCACCAGGAACTCCGCCACGAGTGCTACGCCCAGAGCCGTGTCGCGACCGGCGCAGGCCCGGCGGCGATCACACCCGGTGCGCCCGCGTGGATGGTCATCCCGCCCGCGTTCGCCCCTCGCGCCGTCGGTGTCCGCGACGCGTCGTGCCTCAACCGAGACGCGGGTGCCTAATCCAACCTAATCTGGCTGCATCCTTCCTTCCTTTCTTCCGTTAACCCCGTCTTCCAGTGCCACCCTTTTTCACGTTTTCGCTGTCACCCCTTTGTACACTTACCGCATCGCACTACACACCACGCGCACCAGGGATTGGCTGAGCATATGGCTGCCCGAGTCATGTATATGTACGAGTAGAATAAACGTCAGCCCATGCATTAAGTCAATTTCCTATGCAGATGCGTCGCGATGCGTCATGTACAAAGTTATAATATTGTATGTATAAAAATGCGATTTTCCCCACTTTTGTTCGCGGTGGCTGGCTGCCCCTCACTCTCCGCGCATAATAAGTTAGTGTCCTCCCGAACCTCTAAACCATCCCTTCTCCCAAAATCTAGATGCAACGCGCCCAGCGCCATCCTCAGCCCATCAAGCCCCGCTCACGCCATCTCCTCCACCGCACTCCCATACCCGGCCTTATCGTTCGCCCCGCGCTCATAGTGCCGCCGGCCCTCGTGCAGCGCGAAGCTCGTGAGCGCGAGGAGCGCGAGCGTGGTCAGGTCCCGCGCGCCGAGCGCCTCAGTCTGGAACACGGCCTGCATGAACGGCACGTACACGAGCGCGAGCTGCGTCACGAGCGAGACGGACACGGTCGTCACGAGCATCTTGTTCTGCGTGAGCCCGCAGCCGAGGCCGCGGTTCTGCACGGCGGAGACGAGGTCGAGGAAGACGAAGCATGTGAATGTCTGTGGCAAAGATGGATTGATGAATTCAGTATAGGTGCTTGTGGTGAGTGAGGAACGCGGGCGCACCATGGTCTGCTCGCGCCGCGAGACGAGGTCGTCACCGAGCGCGACGGTGTACACGAACAGCGTGCCGAGCACGATCGTCGTCGCGGAGAACAGCACGCGGTACAGAAGCCGCTGCGTGATGATCGGCTCGTTCTTCTTCCGCGGCGGGCGGCGCATCACTGCTGGGTCCACCGGGTCGACGCCGAGCGACTGGCTCGGGGGGCCTGCGAGGTCGACGCGGCGGGGGCAGCAGCGGGGGCAGCAGGGGTCAAGATGAGTGCGTGCTCGTGTGAAAGGAGGAGGGAGGGGGAGATGACATACCGTCCATGAGGATGTTGATGAACAGGATCTGCATCGCGTTCAGCGGGTTGCTGTACCCGAACAGCGTGCTGAGCGAGATGAGCACGAGCGCGGCCGCGGCGGTGCTCAGCTGGAAGGAGAGGAAGTTCTGGATGTTGTGGAATATCGATTTGCCTGGGGCACATCACAAGCATCAGCGGCCGCGCCGAAGGGGGACGGAAGGAAACGCACCCTCCTCGACGGCAGGCAGGATCGTGCTGAAGTTGTCGTCCACGAGAATAACGTCCGCCGCCTCCTTCGCCACGTCCGTCCCGCTCTTGCCCATCGACACGCCAATGTCCGCCATCTTGAGCGCGGGCGCGTCGTTCACTACCGCCAACACGTCGCCAGGTCAGTCCCTATCCCATTTGAAGATGATGATAATCGCGACTGCAACGCACCTCCATCGCCAGTCATCGCGACAATCGCCCCGCGCCGCTGGAACGCCTCCACAATCGCCATCTTATGCCTCGGCGTCGTCCGCGCAAACACGCTGACCCCGCCCACGCGCTCGACAAGCTGCGCCTGCGTCATCCCGTCGATCTCCTTGCCCGTCAGACACGCCGGATTGCCCCCGCCCGCCCGCCCACCCTGGCTCCCGAACCCCTGGCCCTGTCCGTGTCCGTGTCCGTGTCCGTGCGCATGATACGACGCGCCCACGCGCAACCCAAGCTTCTGCGCAATCGCCAGCGCAGTATGCTCCGCGTCCCCCGTGATCATCACCACCTGCACCCCGCCGCTCTGCAACAGCCCAATCGCATCCGCAACACCGCGCCGCGGCGGATCGAGCATCGCCTGGAACCCCACAAACACGAGACTGCTCTTCTCCGCGTCTTCCTCGTTCCCGGCGCCGGGCGCAGAATCCGGACCCGCGCTCTCGACGCTCCCGTATCCGTACGCCAGCCCGATAATCCGCAGCCCGCGCGACGCCGTAGCGGTCGCCTCGCCCACGATGCGCGCGGCGGTCGCGCTGTCGAGCGCGGGCGTGGCCCCGTCCGCGACGTAGTACGCCGTGCACCGCGCGAGAACGGCGTCGAGCGCGCCCTTCAAGTAATACATCTCGCGCGGCGCGCCGCTGTACAGCGCCGCGGAGTACGAGTGGATGCCCGAGACGGCCATGTATTTCTGCTCCGAGTTGAACGGGCGCTCCGAGAGGCGGGTGAACGTCTGCGTGTGCGCGTGGGGTTAGCGTGGCGCTGGGGTGGAGGAGAGAGGGACGGAACGCACCTGGCGCGGATCGGGCATGTTAAAGTGCGAGAGGACGTTGACGAGCGCGACGTCCGTGCTCTGACCCACGAAAGCGCCATGTTCGTTCTTGACCGCCGACGCGTTGTTGCACAGCGCGCCGACCTCGAGCGCCTTGCGCACCGCGGGCGTGAGCTGCTTCTCCGACGGCACTGGCGTGTTCGCCGTGTCCAGGTGCACCGTGTCGTCCACGACGTAGATCTCCGTGACCGTCTGCTCGTTCTTCGTCAGCGTGCCTACCAGCCAGTAATCAGCACTCCTCTTGAGAAAAGGACTCTCAGAACAAGAGTCAGGCGAAAGAACACCCACCCGTCTTATCCGAGCAAATAACCGACACCGACCCCAGCGCCTCGACCGAATGCAGCTTCTTCACGATCGCCTTGCGCTTCGACATCCGCAGCACGCCGAGCGCGAGCGTCACCGTCGTCACAATCGGCAGACCCTCCGGGATCGCCGCAACGGCGAGCGAGACGCCGATGGTGAACATGTCGAGCCACGGACGCTGCTGCCACACGCCAACGACGCAGATGAGGCCGATGATTCCGAACGAGAGGATCGAGAGCTTCTTCGCGAGCTCGTCCATGCTCAGCTGCAGTGGTGTGCGCTTTTCCTCGACCTACGCAGGCCGTTTAAGGTTACGATGTAGTGAGAGATGCGGCAGAGGGGAACGTACGTCCTGCATCATCGTGAAGATGACCCCGAACTCGGTTTGCGTGCCCGTCGCAATAACAACCCCAACGCCTCGTCCTACACACACAGCCATCAGCACACCTTATCACTCTCCCATCGCATAAACCTAACTCACCATTCCTCACAAGTGTACCCATATACGCCACACAGCTCCTTTCAGCAAGCGCAACAGGCTGCTGCCCGCTGCCCCCGCCCCCACCGGCATTGCCAGGCGACCGCGATCCATCATCATAATCGAATTCGCACGTCGCAGGGTCCTTGCGCCGCGCGCGCGTCTCGCCCGTGAGACTGCTCTCGTCGATCTCGAGGTCGACCGCGGACGCGAGACGCACGTCGGCGGGCACACGGTCGCCCGTCGTGAGCGTGACGACGTCGCCGGGGACGAGCTCGTTCGCGAGCACGTGCAGCGAGCGGCCGTCGCTGCCAGCGCCAACGCAAACGCACGGACGGGTAAGCTGATATGCTACGCGGACGGAGAGGTGAGGGGGAAGGAGCGCACCGGATGACGTGGCAGTGGTGCGGGACGAGCTTGTTGAGCGCCTCGAGGGACTTTTCGGAGCGCTGTTCTTGGATGAAGCCGACTGACAAAGGAAATAAGGGAGATTAGGACATTGAGATTTGATCATGTCGACAGGCAAAAATACATGGGAAGCCACGCGATGGCGGACCACACCACATGGGTTTAGGGTGAAGTGCGGGGTGCTGCTTGCGGAGTCTCACTCCGAGGAAGACGGAGCATCCACTATCCTCCAAGAAACCGACATTGACAAAGATGACTGACCAGTAAGAACAATCAAGACTGCAACAGTAATGCTGACAGCGTCATCGACGTTGCCCATGACAGCGCTGAGAGCCGCACTACCGCATAAGAGCAGAATCAGCGGGCTTTCGTATATCGTTTTTGCAAACTTGAGGAGAACAGGTTCAGGGGCGGATACGCTGAACTCGTTGTAGCCATGGACGTCCTGCAGCGCACGGACTGACGATGACGAGAGGCCGTTGGTTAGAGATGTTTGGAAGTGTGCGAGGGTGTCCTATGTATTTGTGAGTACCATGGCAGTTATCGGATTAGACAATAAAAATAAAAGGACGATGATGGAGAATTAGGCTTTTTGCTAGCGCAAAGAAGACAGTCGAGACCCCGGGCCCCGGTGCGGAGGAGCGGGAGAAGCGTGCTCGGGGGAGGGGCTATTTTTGGAGAAGAGGGACCGAGGGAGCGGGTCGATGGGATCAGGAGCTTTTGAGATTTCTAGAAAGCTGCCACCTGCGACGTTCTACGTAGAAAGCCAAGACATCGCAACCCGCCCTAAGACCCAGAGCCGCACGCCCTGCACACGCCCAGACACAGCGAGCAAAACACGACAGACAAAAGGACACGATGGACAGGGAAAGGAGAATATCAACGCGGGGAAACTCACCTCGACGCTGCAGTGCGCATATCGAGCAGACGCCGTGTCCCGCCTCTCCTTGTCCCCGTCTGCCCCCCTCGTCGGGCTCCGACTCCGACTCCGCACCGGCGCATACCGCATCTCCACGTCCTCCTCGTGCACCCCGCCCGCCCCCGTAATCGTGTGCACCGCCTTGTGCCACAGCGCCTCCGCCCCCTCCGTCGCATCCCTCGCCAGCTCAGAGAGGGGTATGTTCCCGTTCACGATGTTCCCCGGCAGTTGGCTCAGCGACCCGAGCGATCCCTGCGAGTGCCCGTGTCCGTGGCGGGTCGAAAAGTCGTGCGTGTGCCGCCGCAGCTGTGTGCTGTATGCAAAGTGCTCTTCTACGCCTGGTGGTGGCTGCGGTGTGCCCTCGCGCGACGGTATCTGCCCGAAGTAGGACGACGCGGGAGGGGACGCTGGACGGGACGGTGCATAGTGGGCCTGCATGGGGATCCGGTGCGCAGACGTGGTGGAGGAGGTGACGTCGAGGTTGTTGTTGCTATTAGGCGTGCTGCGGGACTCGGAGATAGAAGGGAAGCCCTGGTTTGGGAGGAGGGAAGCACGCTTGTAGGATGGGAGAGGGCCAAAGTGGGAGGAGTTGTTTGAGGAGGAGGAGACCGTACGCCGAGACTTGGACATCCTGTCCCTGTCTTGTCACCGTATCGAACGAATCCCAGCCGTCGTCTCGAGTGCGTGACAAGTGATTGATGCGGTGCGCTGCGTTTCTGGAAGATCACGTCTCCGCTCTTAGACTCCGGGTCCGGGTGGGTGAGAGCACGAAGAGGGAATGTGGAACGGCTAGACTTTGCTTCAATAATAATTACTTCATAATAAAGCGCTAAATCAGTCCCTGGAAAGGACACGTCTTGTTTGCGCACAGCCACCGAACCAAACACCTCGCCCCCTTTCGTCATCCACCTTCACCTATAATCATGCCAGATTCAACTAGAGGCGAGTCCTCCAGAAGGCGCAGTAGATCGCGCGAGGCCCGCAGAGACGACTACAGGGCGCGCGACAAGGACAGAGACCACCACAAGCGTCGCTCACGCTCTCGTTCGCGCGAGGCCTCCCCACGCAGCAGCGCACGGAGACGCTCGCGCTCGCGGAGCCCTAGAGGACGGCCGCACTCTCATTCTCGGCGCCGGTCGCACTCTCGTGAGCGGTCGAGGGAGCGGCACCGGCATCACCGCCGTAAACGCTCTCGGTCTACGTCTTCGTCGAGCTCTTCGTCGAGCGAGGACGGGTCTGAGCGCAGGAAACGGAGGAAGGAGAAGAAGAAGGAGCGCAAAGAGAAAAAGAGGGAGAAGAAAGACAAGAAAGTGCGTTCGTCGATCTACCATATCGCCTCGCGCTCATCGTGTAACGCACCCGTCCTCTATAGAAAAAGAAAAAGAGCGCAGCCGCGAGCTCGCACTGGGGCAAGTACGGCGTTATCAGCGAGTCCGAGTGCGTCTTTCGAATCGGCCGTCCTTCGTGGATAGTGTGACTGACATTTATATGCGTGTAGCTTCTACAACAAATCGCACGAGTTCCGCACCTGGCTCCTCGAGGAGCGCAAGGTCAACCCCGAGACGATCTCGAAAGACCAGGAGCGCAAGGACTTTGCCGTCTTCGTCGAGGACTTCAATACCGGTGCGTCTTTCCTCCTTTCTCCTTCCTTTTCCTTCGCCTTTCCTTTCCTTCTCATGGCCCATTCCAACCCCCAAACAATTTAACGCGCCTCCTACTCTTACACATACACACATACACATACACATACTCACACGCATACTCACACCCCCACCAGCCACCCTCCCCCACGAAAAATACTACAACATGGACGCCTACGAAACGCGCATGGCCTCCCTCCGCGCGGGCGAGACCCTCCCGCCCGCGGACGACGGGTACGACCCCGCCGCGGACCTGCGCGCGCACGGCGCGGCGCACAGGCGCGCGGCGGTCGAGCACGAGAGCTACCTGAGCAAGGAGCAGCTGCTGGAGCTCAGGCGCGTGCAGCACGAGCGCGTGCAGGCGGCGAAGATGAAAAGGATGGGGATGGAGGTGGGGCAGAGTATGGGTGTTCGGATGGATGGGACGAAGTTTGATGAGGTGTAGGGTGTGTTTTTGTGTTTTGTTGGTTTTGCTTTTTGTTTTGAATTGCATGGAGTTGTGAGTCGCGGGGTTCGTGGTGAGGCAGGCCGGAAGATTGGATCTGCTCAGTTCAGAAGTTCATCGTCTCGAGACTCGAGTCACTTAAAGAGGAGCAAAACCACTGATCCGCGATACGCGCTGAGGATCCCGAAGACGTGCATAACTTCGCATCCTACCCATTCCGAGTCCGGGTCCAACCTGTCCACCGAGAACGGCGGGAGGACGTCCGACACGTGTCATACGTGTCGTCGACGCGTCTCCTTCGCCTTATCACGAGTTTATAAAAGGGCGCGTACGCGGGTTCGTCTAAAGGTAATCTAAAGGCTCATCTACTAGTATCTGTCGCGTTTCGCTAGCGCCATCCCACGCGATATGTTCTCCGACGAGCTGAAGGCGCTGCGCAAGCGTGGCGTTCGACACGTGCGTGCTCCGTCACGATTTTATCAGCTATACATCTACACTAGATGTATAACACTGACTTCGGGGAATTTGTGCTGTAGATCCTCCTCCAGGCGCTGGCCTTCGCGTCCGCCATCACCTCCGTTCTAGTGATATACACGGGCCTGCGCGTCGTGCTCAACACGAAGGAGCCTATCGTCGTCGTTCTCACGTGGGTCGAGCCCTTTCCTCCTCATCGATATGTGGGGTTTACTACTAGGGTTTTACTTCAAGGGGGTCGATGGAACCCGCGTTCCACCGCGGCGACGTGCTCTTCCTGACGAACCCGGACGGCCTGCGGTATAGCACCGGCGACATTGTCGTGTATAGTATTCCTGGGTTTGACATTCCGATCGTGCATCGGGTGATCGAGACGCACGATCTCCCGCAAAGTGCTCTAAGGTGCGCACATAACAGTCTCCGTGCACGTGTGGCAAAACAGGCGCATGCGCTGAGTTGACTCATATACTAACAAATATTCTGATCCTTGATACCGAACTTTGCAGCGATCCCCGGGCGTCAACAACTCCTGTGGACTCGCAGCTCCTGCTGACCAAAGGCGACGATAATTCCGCAGACGATGTTGCGCTTTATGACGGGCTCGAGTGGTTGGAGCGCAAACATATTGTGGGCAAGGTCAGAGGGTGAGTTGTTGCGTTTGGGTTCACCGTCATCGCATGTTATGCCACTAGCGAGCTGGGGATTGAATCTTTTTCTAGATTTTTGCCGTACGTTGGATATGTCACCGTTGCCTTGGTGAGCATGTTCTGTCCTCGAAGCCTCGCTGCGTGTTATATTCGGGGCTGAGTTTTGATATGTTTGCAGAACAATTTTCCTCAGCTCAAGTATGCGTTGCTGGGCGTTCTCGGTCTTGTGGCACTCGTTCGACGAGAGTAGACTGGTTACGTGAAGCGATGTATGATGATATCCAAGGAGGACACCGCCCTGACGCAATGGCTGGTCTAGTACTAGTTTATTACGAGTCAAGGTGTCTCTGGGCCTATAAAGACTAAAGCTGTGTATGGGACAGAGACTTTTTTACCATGTTTCAGACGGATTGCAAGAGCGACATGATATAACATGGCTCATTCGACTGTTATAAGTACTCGGAAATATCAAACTCCTTCACCTCTTCCTCTCCACATTTCTCTTCCAGCTCTCCTGCCAAATGAAGCCTGCGCATTCCCGCCTTTCTCAGATTGCGAGAAGTGGGCTCCTCCACATCCGCAATCCTCGTTCGTATCTGAGTGTCCCGTTCTGCTAGCCATACTACTTCAAGGATGCCCACGCTTGGAATGACCGCATTTTCCTGCCGCCGGAGACCCACGAGGTGCATGGCGAGGAAAAACATGATCAAAGAAGCGGTCAATGCAAAGTAGAGCTAGTACAGTGAACGGTTAGCACAAATAAACGGTTAGCATTATACGACGAGACATTCGATAACGACAAACCGGAGTGGTATTGATCTAATGAGCAGCCAAGTAGAGGTGTTAGGTTTCTCAGCATTGTGGAAATTATACAAGGTAACGAACGTTGAGTCTCGAGACCTGGGCGATCGTTGTGACTTCCGCCACGCCTGGCAGTCCTTGGTCCTCTGGAGGTTCATATGGGGGCCCCTTGGGCGAGGGTTCACTTAATCCGGATTCTTCAATCGTGCTAGAGCTTGCTAGATAGTAATGTAGTGTTTGAGATACCTTCCAGTATTTCCATCAATCATTTACCGCACGCACCTGTCCACATGATTACCGCCGCAACTCTCGCCAGTGCATTTTCGAACTTTGCTAAAGCGAGGGAGACATCTGCACTGTTTGAAGCCGAGTTTGTAGGAGAACGTTCTACACCGGTCCCGAGTTGGCGATTCAACCAACTGGAACAAAACTTGTCAACATTGGCGAGGAAGAACTAGACATGACAAGCATACTAATCAGCAACAGACAGCGTGTAGTTTTGGCCCTGTCTGTCTAAGAGAGTGGCATTTTCCAATGGCCCATTACCCAAGGCCGTGGAAAGCTGGCAGTGTTGAATTAAAGTCTATGACCAACAAGTACAGAGGAAAGGGTTGCTTACCATATGATGCCCGGGTGATGACATGTCTCGTGTCTGGAGCTCGGTGAAATTCTCGCCTGATAAACCATCCCAAGTCCTATGCTCGTCATTGTTAGCTTTAGGCAGACAGCTACGTGGCTCATTTGTCTGCAAGTCGACGTTGATAGAACCTGGAGTAGCTGTCATCCTGCACCCCGCAAAGAACGCGAGCATGGTAGTGTTGGTTGCGTACCCGCTTCGAGAAATATCGGAGGAGATTGCTTCAGGGTACGTCCAGCCAATAGGTATACCATACATATTGCTGAGGGATACCGAGGAAGTAAGTGGGGTAGTGAGCATGTATATAACATCAATCTGAGCGGTTGTTTAGTCGGAGAAAGTCAGGGGTAACGTCTCAGAAGCGAGGCGAGCGAACGAACTCGGGAGTCATTGATCAGTCCCGTCATCTGTGGGCTGAACGCCACTTGGTCTACCCCTGTACTCACAGGGAGAACAATCAATTCACCTGCTCCGCGAGATCCGAGAACTATAAAGACTCACATGGAATGACCAATGAGTCTGAAGCGACAACACCATTCCAAACCAGTTTACCTGACGAGTTTTGAGCACTCAAAGATACGTTGGTCTTCGGCAAAAGTCCACATTTGAACCCAATGGTTGTCGAGTTTACCGATATGATCCCGACCGCGTAGTCTTGCTTCAACGCCGTATCATAAAATGTCGTCCCATTGAGACCCTGCGTCGCCTGAGGTTCGCCCGTGAGATTCCCAAGACCATACGGATACGCCAGAAATCTCTCCCATTCCGGGTCTATTACCTCGCCGATTACCATAGATGGGGTCCTAAACTGCATCGGGATCTCATAGGTCGCATTGGAGATTGCATATCGAAATGGCACCATCACCATGATGCTGCTGCTGACTACGTGGAGGACGAACCCGCATATGAGATAGGCGATGATCAAAAGAGTGGAAAGCAGCGCCGCAGGCATACGGATGTTATTCCGGAGACCAATGAGAGCGCTGCCAAGTCCCGACCACGCAGTGCATGAATCTGCGAGTGCAGTGAGGGTTTGACGGCATTGAACCGCACGGATGAGGCCAAGGCGTTGAGTAAGCGTGATGAGGACTGTCACATAGAGCTAAGGGTGGAAGATTATTTGAGTTGACCGATACCCATCCAGGATGATCAAAGGAGACTGACGGTGTAAAATGCCTGAAGGGATACACTAAGTGCAGTCGGAAGCCTCGAGTTGTAGTTTACGACAGTGACTATCCAGCTGTGCTCTAGCTCGTATCTGTTGATGAGGAGAAGGACAATGTGTAGAATGCACAGCAGGAGATGAAGGAGTAAACAAATCCAACGCAGGTTTGCGAGACCAGGCCTGCTTATGCTCGTGTTTACCCCTGTTGAAGGAGTTGAAGAGTCGTCATCGCCAGTTCGGTGTTGTCTGAAGAGGCTCCCTGAATGTATGGTTAACTTTTCTCATAAACCGACAGAGTACCCAAATAACGCGACCGAAAGCACAGGACTTACCATGAACACCTCCCTGCGAGGAAGCGAGTCGACTCTCCGCTCTCTGGCACCATTTTGTGTATTTGTTATAGCTTTGGCTCAGCGAACTGAGACTTGATGCGTCGAGCCATTTGTCGTCTTTCAAGAGTGGATCGAAGGTGCTGTCGGATAGGAGAGATTGGGAGGGCATCTCAAGGAATTCAAGGACCGTGGAGTCTGTACATACCCTCGCTTGCTTGAAACCTTTAAGTGATATGCAGTAGAAAGCGATGATACTGGAGATCACTGGCATATGGATACGGTCTTGATGATGATGGAACCTTGATTCGGCTGGCAGTCGAAGAAGTTCAAGGTTCCCTGGCTGTCTTTAACCCGTGACCGGTCATGGTCAGCGCTGACCCCGAGTCAGATATCGGTGCACTCCATCCATGTCAGATATGGTACCTTGCACTAGAAACGAGAGCCCGAAGAGCTGTTTGGATGTCCAGATTTCGAAGACAAGGAGAGCGATACAGTGCAAAGCTAGCGATCATACATGAGGCAGCATGCATCATTTGCAAAGATCAAGCAAAGATTGCGCCCTGGATACTATAATCGAAATGAGTGTCAGAAACGATCAGAGCTTACGGCGACAAGTAAGATATCCGACACCTGTTTGAGAAGAAACACCTGAACCGAAACGGATGCCGTTTCAGTGATCATCGAGTGTAGCTGCAGGCAGAGTCATCGCCGAGTAGTGTTCGTCGAAGACAAGGCAAGTTCAAGGTTGGATAAAAAAGCGATGAGAATTAATGCATGCGTCGGCCCGGTGACTCTGAAGGCCGACGCGTACTGGTCGGCGTGATGACGACACCGGCAACCGCTACACCCGCGTTCTGAAAGCTGACCACTACTTGAATTCGGCAGCAGCGCACCAATTTCTTCTCCTCCTCGCCTCTTTCCCCACTTAAAGAACCAAAGCGTGCAGTAATTGCCTATGTCCAGAGTTGACGTCCTCGTCCTTGGAGCCACTGGCTTCACCGGCCGCCTCATCACTCAGCACCTCGCTACTCACCCACAGGCCAACGCATTCACACTTGCGGTTGCAGGTCGCTCCCAGAAGAAGCTCGACGCGCTCGTTGCCGAGTGCAAGCTGCAAGGCCGCGCACAGGCGACGGTCGTTGACGTCACGAACCCGGAGGACGTTGAGACAGCAGTGAAGAACGCAAGAGTCGTGATCAACACCGTCGGGCCTTACTGGAGATGGGGGACACCAGTTGTCAGGTACGCTCCTCACACCCTCTCTTACGGCCCTCCCCATTGTAACGCCACGCTGACATTGTACACTAGCGCCTGCGTCAAGCACGGCACGCACTACGTCGACCTCACTGGCGAGCCCCAATGGGTACGGCGCATCATCGACGCGTACGACTTCGGCGCGACCAAGACGCACGCAGCCATCGTGCCGTGCTGCGGCCTCGACTCCATCCCCTCTGACCTCCTCGTGCACCTCGCGGCACGCACGCTGCGCGAGTTTGCAGGCCCGCAGGCTAGGCTCGGGCGCTCCGTCGGCGCGTGGAGAATCTCGGGAGGTGCCTTTTCCGGGGGAACGATTGCCAGTCTGCTGGCGTGCATAGAGGAGACGCCAAGAGAGGAGATGAGGAACGCGGTGAAGGATTACTCGCTTAGTCCCGGTGCGTTCCCGTTGCTGCATCACTTCCTTTCGGATCCTCCGTCAATGTCATTGAACTAATCATCCTGCCTTTCAGTCCGAGGTGCACAGAAACACGTCCCCCGGATGCTTTATAGCCTTCCCTTGACCTCCCCAGGCCTATCCGGCCCGTACTACTTTATGGCCGTCGTCAACCGGCAAATCGTCCTTCGCAGTTGGGGCCTCCGCGAGCTTTTCGCGAAGCAGGCGCGCTCATCCTCGAGGGTCCTGGCCCAGCGCGACCAGGCAGAAGCTACGCCTTATGGACCAGATTTCACCTACGAAGAATTCATAGCTCTGCCAAGCACAACGGCGAGCGTGATCCTGAGTGCTGTCATGGCGGTCGGCGCGTTCTTGTTGACTAACTTTGCGGCGGTGCGTGCATTCATAGTGGGCTGATGGTGAGGTCAGCGACTGACGAATACACGCATTGTGTCTGCAGGCGCGGTGGCTCTTCCGTCTCTTCACACCGAAGCCGGGAGAAGGACCATCTGACGAGTCAGTACACATTCTCATCACTACACATGTGAACGGAAAGCTGACAGAATGCACATATAGGCAAATGCAAAATGGCAAGCTTAAGGTGATCAACGTGACAACTTCCGCGCCAGACCCGTCCAAGGGCGGACGCACCGTAAGCGTACGCAGCACTCTCACCGCTAAGGGCGACCCGGGATACCTCGTCTCCTCTGGTGCGTTCGCTATTCATGCCTTGCTCACCCCGCGAATTCTGGTGTGACTTACGTCCCTCCAGTTTTCATCGCAGAGTGCGCCCTGGCCCTCGCTCTAGACCACGATGCGCTGCCCGCGCGCGCAAGGGAGGGCGGCGTGCTCACGCCCTCGACCGCTTTTGGAGATGTTCTCATCGAGAGGCTGAAGCGCTTCGACGATAGGTTCAAGATCGAGAGTGAGATTATACTGGACGATAAGCAGTGAGCTGGTGGATGATGGATTGGAGATGGAATTATATAGTGGTCAGACGGTAATGGGGCTTAAAGTGAGTACCACGTCAGGGATGTCGAGTCATTGAGATGCTAATGCAAAAGTAGGCATACTGCGCCCTTGGTTCATTATTTTATCTGCGCATTCTTTGTACCATACCTCTAAGTTATCGATCCCGATTGCGCTTACCCAGTCTCCTCTCCAAAACATAAAGTAAACCATAAGCTGATTCCGGCCCGTCCAAACCAGTGTCTGACCAATACTGACGGGTGATGTTTGAAACATTTATATGTTTTTACATATTCCAAGGGGTTTCGAATATACTGCATGCACACGTGGATTGGTTAGCAGCGCACCAGCACTCGGAGAGACAGGACACAGTCCGACATACAGCTGATGTTGTAGACATCGGGTGCCTTGTTAGAAGATGGCAGGATAAATGACTTTTGGCACATGTTTTCAACTTAGACTTCGTATTTCTGACATTATCCCAACATTACCCCAGAGGGGAAGCCACAACCTCCTGCCCAGCTTGGGCCGAAAAAAAAACATGTACAAAGGTCTAAACACGTTCCTTCCGTTGGCTGCGGCATGAGTTTTAGAACGTTTCGCCTGGAACGGGGTGGATGGACCAAGAATAGGGGCACTGGCTTAAACAGTGCTTTGTCGGAAATATCCCGCGCGCGATCGCACGCATTATTACGCATTCCCATGGGCTAGGCGTTGGCAACGCGTTATAATGGGGGGCGGGATCACTTCAATGGTCCTTGTATCATTATAATGCAATTCAAACGGCACGTTCCGCGTCCTGACGACCGCCTATTGTCGGACCGCATAATTACGCTAAGTAGCATCGGCCGAACGATCTAGACACATTGCCATGTGTGGTAATGCGCCCCAACGCTTAAGGACCATTCCATTGCATTATAACGCACCTGAGAACATCTGAACGCAGTGGTTAGAACCTGCCTCATTAAAATGCACTCATAGTGGTATTGTGGATTGTTCTCACTCTTCACTTGCGCAGTACGACTGATGGTGAATAACAAAGCCATATATTCAAATAACTAATACTGGAGATATAGAAACTAAATATAGGAGCGACTCGTGCCTACCGGACCATGACGAGAGGGAACCAAGAGGGTGGGGCGAGGACGAAGGGAGGGAGCCAGGAGGAGGGCGGGGCTAGGGCGAGAGAGGGAGCTAGGAGGAGGGCGGGGCGAGGGCGAAGGGAGGGAGCCAGGAGGAGGGCGGGGCTAGGGCGAGAGAGGGAGCCAGGAGGAGAGGGCGAAGGAGGGGACCAGGAGGAGAGGGCGAAGGAGGGGACCAGGAGGAGAGGGCGAAGGAGGGGACCAGGAGGAGGGTGGGGAGAGGGCGAGGGAATGCGATGGAGCGCGACAGCGAGCGTGGATGGTTGAAGTTGGGAGTCAAGACGCGAGTAGGCGGACATTAAAATTGCGGTTATATAACTGACGTGATCGGACTTTGAATCCTAGTGAAGGTCGCTTATTAGTATTGGATTCACTATATGTTCAGGCTATAGAGAGTAGTAGTATATCAACCATAGGACTAACAAGGCGATATATAGATAAG